CCGTGTGTGGGTGTGACAGACTGAATTGCTTAAACAGCTGGCTGCTGCAAACATTAAAAGTTTGCAACAGTTTCACTTGCGAAACAGCATGGAAATGAAAATAAGAAGCGTCGTAGGCAAGTACTTCTAATCATCTTTAGTTTTTATTTTAATAATTTTGTAGCAAAGTCGTGACTAGTCTAGAATTGATCATAAAGCATCTAACTTTACTTTCGATAGAGATTTCCTTGAATCGGAGAACGGGGGTCAACCAGATAGACTAAATTTATTTTATTAGTTCAGAATATGAACAACAGGAGCATTTTTTCGGGGCGCGGCTGGCGGTATTTTCCCTATCCATGTTTTACATTTTTGTGAAAAATTTGGAATGACCTAGTTAAGAATTTTAATCTGTTAATGACGGTCATATATGTAATGGAAACACGATAACTCGAACCACGAAGAAACAGAACCAAACCTGATTCCTCCTCATCCTCAACCAAACACTGTTTCATTCAGTTTACTCCTGATTTTCCCCCTTTTCCCCCTCGAGATTCCATCTACCTTTGAGTTGTCGCTAAATTTAAGCTAAAAGTTGCGTAATACAAGTAATCATAACGGCTGCCGTTTGGGGGGTTTATGTTTATATGATAATGGCTTTCGTTCCTTCGGTAACGAACGTATTTTCAACCACGTAAATAACACTGCGAAGCACGATTTTCTCGGCCTGATAGGTTACCAGCCGTTTCGACATACACCCTGAATTTGAACAGCGGAGATGATCTTGTGGTAACTAATGAGTCTGATCTTGTGCTAATCAATGAGACTGGTTCTTTCCGGTGAACCAAATGAAAAATTATCGCTTCTTTTGTTAATGTAATCACTTTTTATTGATTGAAGTTATGTATATGAAGCCTTTTACTGCTCTTGTTTTTCGGTCCAGTTGAGGATTTTTTACAACATTTAGATCTTAAATTTTATTAGTGACTTTACCACCTTACGTAAAAAATGACTTCAACAGTTAAATTATTAATTTGCGTGAAAAAGTAAAATGCCTCGTAGTTTTATGCCATCCATTTTGTTTTCTTCATCAAGACATGATTTGTTGTTTAAACCTTAAGCTTTTTATTACACAAACGGCTTTAAATAGGTCATGTCATGTATGTAGATTAGTTTAAGAGCAGAGATCTGGTCTTCCATTAGTTATAATAAACGATATTGTTACTTAAGGGTTATGAGACACTGTTATAGATCAGTTTATAAATCTTAAAGCTTCGTCAGTCAAAGAATATAACATAGCTCTAAGACCCTCAAAACCAAACCCAAAGCAAGCATTTTTCTTTAATATCAGGCTTTTACAACCTTAAACCCAGCGCAATCGGCACAGAGGTCCTTATCAACAATATCCAGTACATATATAAACCTTTTAATTACAGTTCTTGATTAGGCGGCTAATCTGCAATAATATTTTTTATTGTTTACATTTATCCCGCTAACTTCCTTTAATTAAATAAGTTCCTTCGGAAGGCTTAAATAAAATGTTTGGCATAGTTTGACTTAGTTAAAAATTATTTTGCTAGATACTTGTCATATTTCTAGAACAGTTTGAATGAAAATGTTCGTTCGGAACTTCACAGAAGTAACCGCAAGTATGATAAAACTTGTGAAAAGTATTAATCGAACCGATTGCTGAGATTAAAGGTTTAAGAAGAAGTATTGTGAAAATTTAGCAGTCCTTAAAACAAGATATAAACATGGTATTTCGGTCGGATAATTGTTTATTTACATAATGCCCACTCTGAGCTGATATTAATTATGGCACTTTACAGACTTTATTGTTGTTTGTAAACACGAACGTGCTGGACAAATGGTACGAGGCGGTTAACTTTACTGATGTCAGTATCGTCGCATAAATAGTTAAAATCTTATCGTTATACACCTGACTGAAAGCCCTCGCCCTGAAAAGACACTCATCATCAATCTTTTTAAACATGAGTTGTTTGGGTTTGTCTGGGCGTGAGGTCCCAAGGGACGCGAAGGCGTTACAAATAACTATTGCGAGACTTAAAATGAAATCGACCCGCGAAACGAACTCAATAGAGACTGCGGCGCGAGCCACGGGCAACGAGCAATTACTGCATAAAGACTGGCTGACAAGGAATACGTAACCCATCACTTCAGCATTTAAGGAACCTTGATATAAACTCTGTAAGGTAGGAACGCAAATCATTGCTCACTTTTTTAACAGCTAATGTAACTTTCTCACAAAATTTCTTTTCAAGCTATTTTCCCAAAGTAACCATCGAGATCGATTTTGCCAAAATGTTTCCCTAATTGTTGCACCGGTCTTCTCAGTGAAAGAGGAACACATAACTCTGTCCCTTATGGTATTTTAAATCACTTAAGGGTCATTTGTAAAAGAAAAAGTTAACAAAGGCAATTAAATCGATCAGGCCAGTCAGGTCTGATATTAGAATCAGGCGTGTGGAAAAATGACTCAGCAGTTTTCTAAATCGCTAAGAGCTTAAAGTAAACGCAAAGTCGATAATGGTTTTCTAACTACGAATATTAACATGTTCGGTGATATCGGTGGCACCATACAGTAGACTCTCGGTCAAGAGATACCTGTCCAAGTCGGACACCCTAAGTTATTCACTAACATGCTTCAATTATTTCCTTATACTCTGTTAAGCGGAGACTTCTCTAAAACAGATACTTCGGCTGGTCCAAACATTTTTCGTCTATGCGAGTTCTGTGGTGATATGTATTTTTAAGATCAGATATATCATGTATAAAATTGTTCACTTTTTGCAACTATGAAAGCGCTCGAGTTATACCTCTTAGAGGCGTTTGATGTGACTTGCGCATTGTAGAAAATCGAACTCATGTTAAGTAAAATTCACTCGTGATCGAATGCCAAACACGCACGCATTAAGCCAAGCCGACAAAGTGTGCAGTCATTTATTATGAGGTTATTTTCTTTTGAAAAGATTCTAACCTGAAAATGATGAAAATAAATTTAGTTTTGCATTAGAAAATAAAATTGATATCTCCGATAACACCGTACCTGGAACTAAAGTCAGAAGTTCATTATATGCAATTTTCAACCCAGCCCAACGAAGCTGTCTTAACGTCATAAGATGAGGAGATTATTATCATACACTTTTATCACGAATTTTATAGCAACTTTTCATTGTTCACGAAAACAAAGACATTAGTGCTAAACAATAAGTCAGTGAAGTGACAAACTAGTAATTACGTATTAGCTCTACATTGGACGTACTTTTGTTTAATGAAAATATAACTTCCATTTTTCGAACTTGTTCTTTTTATTGTTGCGTGCATGAACATGCAAAATCCTCTCAGCGATAGATGGTTTTGCTTGTTATTTAGCATTACATCATATCTTAGCCCAGTAGCATTTTATAATTATGCTTTGTTTCTGCCAATGAGCAAAATCCATTGATTTAAATGCGGCTTTTTTTAAGCATTACTTTTTGTCTAGGTTATCATATGTTATAAAGCGGCTACTTTGAAATATACCCGCCAAGGGTTTTTCATTCGTTGACCATATTACTCTTTTGTTCATCAAATTCTGATCATAAACCTTCTCTTTTCTTCTTCATCAGATAAAGGCACCGCCTGGACCGCAACTAACATGGTGTTTTTCAAGGTTGATCGACTGGTTCTTGTCTTGGTAGCGCTACAGTTTGTGTTCATTTTCATCACTCCAGTTACGCCAAGCCAGTGGCTGTAAGTATTAACTTTTTTCAAGTACCATACCAAATTGATAGCAGTTTCGAAACAAAGGTTATCTCAGACGATTGATGTGTTCAGCGTAGTTGCCATAGTCGCAGTTGCTACTGATCAGTTGCAATGAGTGTCCAAAAGTTTCCTTGTTTTATCCACAAGGTGATCGTGTTGAATGTTTCAGTGGCGCAACGGACGCGCTTAATTCAAGCAAACGGCTTTGGATCAAATTGGCTTAAAGGTTTTCTCCTGTAATTAGTATGAGCTGTTGTTGACTATTGATTTAACTTAGTCTTATATCCAAGAATTTCACTATCCTGATGTTCGTTTCGTGTATAAAAAAGGTGCTTGAACTTTTCTTGGAAGATTAAAAAACATTAACGTTAACGAGAAAGTGTCTGAGTGTTGGCTAACTTTGGGTGTTTTTTTTTTTTGGATCAAGTTAGGTTTCTGGGAAACTGCCCACCTACCCCTCCCCTAAATCAACATTTTTCCCTAAACGAGAAGAAAGTGTTAGAGTTGGCTTAGTGGAGGGGTAGGTGGGCAGTTTCCCAAAAACCTAAATTGATCCGTTTTTTTAAGGAGCCTCAATTCATGTCTCTTTGATACGATCCTTAAAGAAAATTCACTATAATACGACATTTTTAAGCCATAAGATATTTTAAGTTAGTAAAATTTAACTAGTGGTCTATTATCAGTGCTGCGTTCTGATTGATTGAGCTACTACTAGGCTATATGTTATAGCCCCCTAGTAGCGAAAAGCGCAGGCTTTTTGGCGGCAAAAAAGGATTAAAGTCTAGCTTTAACTAGCTAAATTTTTTTTCATTCTCGTTATTTTTGAGCAACTAGTTGGATTTTACTAAAACAATTATTCCTCTCGCCCTCGGGGCCTCTGAGTCAATAGCCCATTCAGCCTTCGGCCTCATGGGCTATTGACTCGGAGCCCACTCGTGCTCGTGAAATAATTGTTAATTATTCAGGAGCAAGCAAACCCTTAACCCCTTATGCGCTAAGGGTGGTGGTGTAAGCACGCTACGCAATAGAGAAGACAGGTTTTGACATCGTATCTGCTTGCAAACAATTCAAAAATTTTAAACTTAAGAAATCTTATTACCATTGCACTGGAGTAATGTTTCACTGTATCTTTTGTTGAAAGATCCCTGGCTCTTACAAGTTCCGTAAGCAGTTTTAGCAGCAGGAAAAGCTGCGATGATTTTGACAACCATCTCAGCTACAAACAGGTTCAAGTGTGTAAGAGGAATATAGAGGTAATGAACAGTGTGAAATTTGGAGCCACAATCGCTGTACAAGAATGCCAGCACCAATTCAGATACAGAAGATGGAACTGCACTACCCTTCAATTTGAAAAATCACCTGTTTTCGGAAATTCTGCAAACGGAGGTAAATAGTCATTCTTTTGTTTCGTGCTGTTAGGTTTAAGGTCTTGTTAGCCTGTGTACAGCCGCCCCCTCCCCTCGAAAAGGCTGATTTAGCAACAGAATGGGAACGTCAGTTGACGACGGGAAAGCGCGCGGAAAGGACTAAACGCGACTTCCGGTAATCAATTTGCCGCTCTGCTATTGGTCAAGCCAGTTGTTTACTTTGCGCGCGCCGTCGTCAACTGACGTTCCCTTTCTGTTGCTGAATCAGCCATAGGAGAAGGGGCCCCCTCTCCAATTTTTCCCTGGGGAAGGGGAGGTTGTAGAAAGGCTACATGTAAGTCTTGTTAGGGCATAGTTAGTAGTGGAGACTGGTTAGGAAACCCGGCAACCTTCAAAGTTGAAAACAATGGGGATGTAGGTTATGTTGGAAGCTCCCTGACCGTGCACAATCCTTTGTTTTCTGTTCACAAATTATGACTGAATAAATTAATGCATTGTTTCTATTGGTCAATAACTTCAAAATGATAGGAATGCTATCGAACGTTGGCCACGGTCAGGTCCAAAAAAGCTAACAAAAACCTATAACAAAGGGTTTCTTAACCATTCCACTTTAATTAACTATGGTTAGGCTAATGTTTTTTGTAATAGACTAATACTGTTCTACATCACTTTGAAGCCTTTCGCTCGCTTTTTCCTCTAACAAGTACGCTAAATACATGTACATACCAAAAATACAAGGTTATCGATATTGTTAGAACCTCATTCGAGACTTAAAACAACTCGCAGTATTTTTTCCAAGTTTTTTGTTTGCTTGAAGCGGCAATTCCTCTACTTATGAATTTTGATAGAATTTAATGACGTTAATAAGTATTTTTTTGTTGTTGTTTTCGTCTTTAATTTACTAGGAACCAGGGAAGCCGCATTTGTTCATTCCATTTCGTCAGCTGGTGTGGCATATGCTGTAACGCACTCGTGTAGCGCCGGCAAACTGGGCCGAAAATGTGGGTGCGACCAAAAATACACCGGAGAGGCTGAAGAGGGTTGGAAGTGGGCCGGATGCAGTGATGACATTGAGTATGGAATCGAATTCTCGACGAAATTTGTCGACGCAAGAGAACGCGGCCGAACAGGAAACCCTGCCCGTATTATGATGAATCTGCACAACAATATGGCGGGGAGACTGGTGAGAATTCGTCACTTTAGAAGCGAGAAGGGAACTGGGTAGCCTGCGAACAGCAGACGCATTTCCGGTTGTCGCTTCTTTCTCTCTCTCTCGGAGGGAGAGAAGCGACGACCGGAAATGCGTCTGCTGTTCGCAGGTTAGGAACTGGGATGAGTCGATTGTCGTAAAGGCCACTGGGACTGTTACCTAGGACAGGGAAAAAAATAGCCAATAGTAACAATCTTAGAAACAATTGCGGTACGCATTTCGGCTCCAGAGTCTCTAATACGCATTCCAGTTAGCCAATAAGCTTCCAGAATTTAGTACATCACGCGCAGTTACGAAAGCTGTTCTTGCTTCTACTAGAAATAACTCAATAATGGACTCTAGGCAAATACCGTAAAATTCCGAAAATAAGCCCCGGGGCTTATATTTTTCAAAGGCCCTTTTTGAGGGGCTTATTTTTGGAGGGGCTTATCTACGGAGGGATATTTGCGTTTTAAAATCGATTCGGCTAGCCTTATAGTTGGAAGGAAATGTACCGTTTTAGCTTTGTTTTACTTTGTATTTAAGGGCAATTTTCCAAGTACAAGCCCCCGGGGAGCTTATGTTTGGAGGGGAGATTTAACAGAGGGTTTTTTACGTTACCGGTTTGGAGGGCTTATACGTGGAGGGGCTTATTTTCAGAATTTTAAGGTATATGTAGAAAATGTCATTTACAAATGATCATACAGAAACAATGCTCCATGAAACTATGGACTAATCCTTTTTGAAATAATTGAATTGTGTGTCTTATGTTTTCAGGCCTTAAGAAAGTTTGTACAAATCCCGTGCAAGTGCCACGGTGTGTCAGGGTCGTGTAATGTTAAGACTTGCTGGCGATCTCTGCCAAATTTCAGGAAGGTCGGAGAACATATCAAGGAGAAATTCGACGGTGCCACTGAAGTGCAATACCAACGGATAGGATCAAAGTCAGTTTTGGTTCCACGAAATCCCGAGTACAAACCTTACACCAAATATGACCTCGTTTATCTTAACGGCTCACCAGATTTCTGCAGTGCAGATCCAAGCACAGGTTCCTTGGGGACCCAAGGCAGGTTTTGTAATCGAACCTCTCAAGCAATCGAGGGATGCGCGTTTATGTGCTGCAATCGAGGCTTTACAACGCATCTGGAGAATCGAGTCGATCGCTGTAACTGTAAATTTTTCTGGTGCTGCTATGTTAAATGCAGCGAGTGCCACAAAAGGGTGGAGGTCAGCATATGCAAGTGAGTTTCCTCCTGCGATACAATTACAATTTTGCTTCAAGGAAAGTGCACTCGTTGCAGTGTATTCAGGTTATTTGCTTTGTGGCACGTACTTATGGCGGTGAGTGACAAAAAAGTACAGGCCAGTGTATAATTCCTTGTCTTTGAAAATGACACTTCTTTCTAAAGAGAAGAAAAAAAAGTGCGGCCTTTGCTGTCATATGTCACTGACCAAGTTGTAGTCGAAATAGCCTTTTTTTTTCTATATTATACTATGTAGCCACACTATAAAAAAGGTATAAAGCCTACCTGACGAGAGATTCCAAATACAGAAAATAACTATGAATCTCCGGGACGCTTGAGACTGAGTCTCATTTCCTTCTGCCAGTGTATGAAATTTTAAAGTGGTTTAATTTAAACAGAATGAAAGCTTTAATTTCAAAGTGGTTTCATTTAAACAGATAGTGCGGAATGATAAGTTTAAAGTGCAGTTGCTAACAAAGATTTTCACGACATTGATATACATCCTGAACGGGAAAAAAGGGACAGTGAAAATTGTATCAAATGGACCGCCGTATAAAGCGCAAAACTTTGTGTTAAGTAGACGAGAAAGGCCGTAAGTCCCGCCCTTCCCCCACTCCCACACACACACACACACACACACACACACACACACACACCTTTTCTTTAAAAAGAATCTGCATGTATATAGCGACACCCACGGGGCCCCTTAAGAGTCCCTTAATACAAATCTCACTGTTCTTTGATGTTATATATTAAACACTTAATGACTGGTCCCGAGGGAAGGAAACATTGAGATTCGAGGGAAACAAAATTAGCTGTTTTCCGAGGAACCAGCAGTCTTTAAGTGATTTGTCATATAGCTGGAAATTTTGAAGTTGGAAATTCATTAAAACTCGCTGTAACGGCGGTTGTCGGTCAACATTCGCGGGTAACAGTGCACTGTTACTCTCTGACGTCATAGATTTTGCAATGATGCCCGCTGAGAGATTTTCGCGGGAAACAGTTTCATCGTTGGATGTCATGTGACCTCGAAGTAACCAATGAGAGCACGCGCTGTTGGGAAAAAAATTCCAGCTTTACAACAGTATGTTTTTTTGTTATGACTGAAGCTGAAACTGCTTCCTGTTGCAAACTTAGCTGTGTAACTTTTGTTTCAAATTAGCATAAATTCAAATCCGGGAGACGAAGTCCAATTAAGGTCATTTCTGTCAAGTGTCTCAAAAGTAGTGCTACTTTAAGTCTTATTGTAGATAGAGTATTCACTTTAAAATAGACAGAATAACTCCCGGGAATAGTTTATGTACTGGCTAGTGTTTCATTTTTGAAGGATCTGTAAAGATTATTGTTTTTGCTTAGAAAAAAAAATTATCAGTATGACAGAGGTCGAGTAAATTCTGATCTCTTTGCCATTTGAAGGACGAGAGTCATTAACAGAAGCTAAGCAGTAATTCAAGTTTTAACGCCAGGGATGTTACATTCACTGTAAAAGACGGTGCTAATTTACTTCGTTTTTTGAAAGTTTTCAGAGTGTTTGAAAACTGAAACGGGCGTAATTATCGACGTCATTTGCGAGGATAATTTTACTCAGGCGCAAAGCGTCTTCAAGGGAAAGAAGCTCAATAGTTTGAGAAAAATGAAAAGATAGTTACGGTAACAAATTATTTTATCCTCGTCTATTTCTCCACTTAATGGTTCATGATATCTTAGCAAATAAAACAAAACACGCTAGACGGCGCGTTTGATCGAGGTAGAATTCATCACAATTTACTATTATAGCAATATATAGCTATTGTCTCCTGTTACCACTGATTTACATATCTCCCATAATGCACCTGGCACCTGGTTTGCCCCCCTTCCCCCCACCCAAATAAAATGTTTTTTACAGGCATTGGCTTCAGTCTGTCCTGGGACGACTGAGGTTATGCAAAACTGTTTGTTTTTTATAGTTGCTGCTTTAAGGGTTACATATTATCTGAATTTTTAAGCCTTGAAGTTTCAAACATCTCTTCAAAATGAATTTCTAATATATTCAGAATTGAGACCGAAGTGTAGAATTCTATTTTTATATTGACTTCGCAAGTTCATGGACACACGAGTATTAATTTTCTAGTATCTAGACAGCGTGTAACAGTCACTCAAACTTGTAAATATCAATTAATTGTAGAAAATTCACAAAAGTTTAAAGAGTTCATTAAAGAGGTATTAACACGTGTGTGCAGAATACTACTTTGTTTATTTCAAAGACAGGGGTGCCCATCCTGTAGCCTGTGTCGCAGACACTCTATACCGTTCTACAATGCCTGGCGCGCCTGTGCAGCGCAGGCTACCCATCCTAGCACACCCTGGTATCGGTGTTCCATTACATCAACTCTGTTAAGGCAAAGTTTTTTAAAGCCCGCGGCCCTGTGAGATTGTAATTAGTAAGCAATAACAACACAAACAAACAAAACTACTAAGAAACAAGGAGGAGAAATGATGCCAATGGTTGGTGGAGCAGCACTAAGCTGCTATTGCTAGTTGTCAGTTACCCTACTCAAGTAAAATGAAGTGAAACCCCTCCTTATGGTCACGTCGTTATCACGGCCACTCTTTTTGGCTGTCTGGCAAAAACTGCCTTACATTTTCTTGTAAATAAAACATCGTTAATACGGCCACCCGTTAATGCGATCAACGGGGTTCTACTGTAATCTAAAACAAACATAACAGATTCCCAATAGCCCATTTCCGAACTGTCATGAGCCTCTTCATCAAAGCGAGGCCTTGTGCGCACCATGCATATGACTAGGAGTAATCGATCGACGCTTAGGAGAGTGCGTTCGATATGTTTATTAGGCCTACAGGTAGTAGTTGAGGGGAAAGGGTGGATGATTCTTGCGATAGATAAATGTGATTATGGTATATTTTGAACGTAAGTGTTGCGTACAGCGAAACCTCTATTTAAACTGTGTAACATTACAAAAAGATTTTCAGGGCTAATGACTCGTATGGTTCGTCTCAAGTGCTTGTAATTTGCGTGTGAATTTGCCGCTTTAGAAACGAGAAGGGGACTGGGGCCGAGATGTGTCCCGCAGTTGTTTCTGGGATTGTTACGGGGAACGCGTCCGTCAGCTTTTGGCCAAGTTTTTTCTTTTTTTTTTTTCTTTTCTTTTCTTTTTTTTTTAAATCCAAGTTAACGGTCCCAGAAGTTAACTCGACCCAGTTTCCAGTGGCGAACTGTTTGCTGTCAAGTGCCAAGGAGACTAGTAAGTTTACGCAACAGGAAGGCACGAAAAAGAGGACGGCAAAACGTTTGTGTATGACAAACGTGACAGGCCTATTACTTGCGAGTTTTGTCGTGATCTTCACTTACCATTGATATGTTCTCGTCTTTTACAAAAAGGTCTGTTTAAAGAAAGATGAAGTTTGGCGAAAAGTCATTTCAAACAAAATTATTGTCACGCTTGTCACACAAGGTTTGCCGTCTTCTTTCCTCTCCAGTCCAGTTGCGCAAGTTCACTATTAACTGAGGGACAGTGGCATACTCTCGACTTAAAGAGATGTCAATGTAACTCGACTAAAACCTATATCACCTGTTTAAATAAAAAGACTTTAGAATGATGGAAAAGAAATTTATTATCATAACAAAACGCTACTACATTTATTGCAAAAAGAGCTTTAACAGAAACAAGATTAATGTTTGCACACGCTTAATAAAGCTACCAAGTCTTTCCCAGAAAGATATATATCATGGAGGCCCGATACTTACACGCTGAAATGCGTTTGCTACTTTTTTTCCTATCACCATGATTGCAAAACAAATCACGAGTGCCATTCTACGAAAGTCACGGAAGAGATTTGGAACAAAAGGTATTTGAAGGCCTCTACTGTTACACAGTAAAGAAAGTTTCTGGATTGCATACATGAAGTACCTGATTGTTCTAACGGCAAACTTGTTCTAGCGTGAATGGGTGTGCTTATTCTAACTCGTCTGATTTGTGGGTTTCTTATTAAAGCTCAAGCGTTATGGTAACGTAGTCATGGTAAATTTAAGCGCAAGAAGTTAGTTTCCAAACTAAGTTTTTTTTTCCAAACTTTTGACGTTCATCCTCTCGAAACTAAATGTTGACAAAAGCTCATTGTTCAACACACATTCTTGGACATCGTTTATTAAAACACTGCAAATCATCAGTTTAAAAAGGTAAAGTGAGGAATTTAATGAATTAAAAGGCGACACAAAAGGCTACAGTTACCTTCCCACGAGAAATAGACGCACTGGCACTGTACACTGTAAATTTACGAAGTTATGTGTGTGAATGCAGCGCACTGGCACTGAACACTGTAAATTAACTGAGTAGTTTGTGTGTACGCAGCATAAGCAGGTGTAACTTATGGAAAGTTTCCAAGAAGATCAACCCTGTTGAGCGCCTTAACTCGCAACTGACGAGTGAAATTTTGTCAAAAAATGCTTTTCACAAAACCTTTCTGCTCGACGTCGCAAAGTTTCAGGGGCGTTCAAATCTGAAAAAGAAGTAGAGGTTTCTAGGAGTTCGCACCTATCTATTGTACAGAAGTGTTCCTGTGAAAACCAACCACCCGCACTAAATAAAGTAAAAGACAGAGGGGATGCCTATCTCCTAAGTAAACAATATCCGTGACAGAGATTTAAAAATCAGTTGTATTTACAAGCATAAGCTAAAGAGGCAAAAGTATTCTACACCTGAATATACGCTTCTTTCCGTAATAGCCTTGGTAACATTTCCCATTGTTTTAAAAAAAATTGATCAGGCAATGGTTAACATTTCTCCTATATAATGATTCGTTAAATTTTACAACTATATAAACACCCGTTCGCGTAGTAGAGATTGAATGCAAAGCAATTGCGACATACAGAGGCTCTTAGCCTCAAATACAACGCCCTAACAGGGACGTTTAAACTTAATTAAAACAATAAAACCCACATATTTCTAGACTGCCAAGCTATGATATAAGTGTGAGGTTTAAGGTAAGAAAAAATGAAACACTGATTCACAACCTTCTTAGACTACTTCTTGTTTTTACGCCCACGGATAATCCTGGCGCCTGCGTATTACGAAGTTGACCGCGCATGTTACATAACGTCATAAAATGAAACTTAAACTTAGTTACTATTAATTTTAACATAACGTTCGGGCACAAGAGAGGCACTAGAACATTTGCTTCTTAATCCAAGGGAGGAACTCAGTAATGCGGACATACACTCCATACTTGTTTCGTAAGCCGCATCCAAAGTTACTGCCCCAGCTGACGACCCCACCCAGAACCCACTTCTTGACGACAGGATCTTGGAAGACAAATCCACCCCCAGAGTCCCCTTGACAGGAGTCCTTGCCACCTGAGGCTTCCCCTGCACAGAGCATTTGTGGTGTCACTGTGTAACCTTCGTCTTTAAACGCCGCCTTGCATACGTTATTGCTGATGGTGGGGATGCAGATCTCTTTCAAGGTGTTGGCAAACTGCCCAAATGAGCTCTTGCTTACTTTGTAGCCCCATCCTACCACTCGTCCAAATTTTCCAGGGTCAAAGAGACTCTTCTGCCTATGGTGGTTACAAATAAGACAATGTACTGTGAAATTTATTTAGTAACAGTGGCGGATCCAGGGGGAGGGTCTGGGGGGCACGGAATCCCCCCCCCCTCCCACCCCCTATCAGACCTCACGCTTGTTTGAGACTGAAATTCATGCATCGACAGGATCGTATATCATTTTTTAACTGGCTGATTTTTTTAATGAAACGCAAGTTGCATTTTGTCACTAAACTAAATTCCAAGGATGCATCCTTTACGAGTAGAATTGAAGTACAAGGTAAGGGCCAAGGAATTATAACGTGCAACCACGTTTGGTGGGAGGGGGTGTGTGGGGAGTGAGGGAGAAGTCATTTGCCACAAAAAAGTTCAACAATCCTTTCTGAACCAAAGTTTGGACCCACCCCCCCCCCCCCCAATAAAAAATTCCTGGATCCGCCCCTGAGTAAAATGTGGAGAAAGTTAAATCTACTAATTATAATAATGCAAACATGCTACTGTTGGGAAAACCAAAATCCCTCCCATCAAAGAATTTCTTTCCAAGCAACAAAGATACTTCAGTTAATCTCGCATAACAAATCGTAACTTAAGTAACTGGGGAGCAAGGTTTGCGCCGTGGTAAAAACACTCACTACCTATTAATGTTGCCGGGTTCCAATACCCTTGACCATCCGAGATGTTTTTCTCCAGTAAGTGCAATTTTTCTCTCTTCTCAATGACCAACTCTGAGTCAAAATTCAATTCGTCCAGGAACGTTAACACACGAACCCTTTCAAGCGAGTTCTTCAGAGCGCTCAAGTAGGTTAACAAATAAAAGGATACTTAGGTTGCATCGCCAAAATTTCATGCTTTTTACCTGGGTAAGTCACTCGGGAGCTTAATCAACGACTACAGCCACGGTAGCAAAAATATCACTGATAACATACATTTGCGATTTTTCAAACTTTTTCAAGATCATTTCAACTCGACAGAACTGTCAAATGAAGGTGACTGGAGGTGAATTATATCCCTAGTGGCCCGCATCCAAGTTTAGAGAGACAAAGAAAAATTTGTCGTGGTGTGTTCAAGTCCCCATAAAACGTCACATCGGGAAATTGCACGTCGTAGTCGTGCAAGGGAAGCAAAGTTGTTGTTTTGTGATAAAACGTATAGCTTTTTTGGCGTTTTTGTCGCCGTCTTCGTCGCCGTTGCAAAAAAGCTCTATTGCGCATGCGTTTACTTGCTTTGTGGCCCCTTGTAAATTCTGCAACTATGATAGCTACCAGTTTCCAATCTTTATAAGGCAGGTAAAATAACTTACTGTCCTTCTGGCAGACAAACAGGCTTAACATAGTGAGATATTCTGACTTCACGATCCAGCTTCAAAAGTGCCAGGTCAGAAGCAAACAGACGGAAATCAAAATTCTTGTGACTTATAATTTGAACTACTTTTCTTCTCTGCACGTGACTGTCGTTTAGTTTGCGGATCTGGTGAAGGCCAGCAAATATCTTCAAAACGGAAAGACTTACAATACCACTCGATCTGTCATTCACGCAGTGGGCAGCTAGGAAAAATAAAGCATAAGTTAAGAATTAGCTGTCAAAGGACTGTGGATGGGTTTCGCTCACTGTGAAACTCGTAAAACCGTGAAAACCAGAAACATTTCTGAAATATTATTGCGTTGCAAGGAGAAAGCAAGTCAGACGAGAGAACGGTTGTTATTTTGTGCCTTTGTGGCTTGTTTGCGTGTCCTGGATCTTTGTTAAAATGTTTCAGGCGGTCACAGTTTTCGGAGTTAGACGGTAAAAGCTGGCAAAACACAATAGAGTCTTGTCTCACCGTTTGTAAGAGAAATATTGAATTGACAAAATTTGAAGGCCAATTATGGGAGGTTGTCGATGAGTGACGCCACAATTGGTCCCTAACGTGAGAAAAGACTTTCAGAAAGTCCCTATCATCGTCATCATCATCATCATCATCATCATCATCAACAACATAATCATTATCATTAATGATAATAATATTATTGTTATCATGGTTGTTGTTGTTATCAAAATAATGATAATAATGATGATGATGATGATGATAATTATTATTATTATTATTATTTTAATTACAAACCTGTCAAGACCCATCGTTCATTCAGCAGGCTTCCACCACAAGCAATCAGATTATTCTTCATTACAAGAACATGCCAGGGATAGGAGCCCTTACGCGCATCCTGTCCACCAACAATCCTCTTTCGACAAACATCACTTGTAAGATTGAAGTGATTCACTTCTCCACACGCTGGAATTAAATGGAGAAAAATTTATTCGTCAGGTTACAGCTAGACTACAAGCAGTCTCACGTTTTTTGGTCCGTTGAGCAAAACGCGTGAGACACAAAAATGACCACGGGTGTGATGGATGGCGCGCGTGTGTACTCCCCGCACTAATTCTGAAGAAAAAGAGAGACTAGTCTGGGTTAAAGCCAGAATGTTTGATGAGGTGCCAAGAGATAGATTCGCCACTGAACGGAACAAAGCTGTCCTTCAAAGACTTAATTTAAAATCTGCAACAGAAAAGATGGCAACAGAAGCGGCCTGGTATTGCTGGTTTGCACGTGACGTCAAGGCGACCATGTTGGCGGTCAAGAACAAAAGCATTTTTCTCCTCTGGGAACAAAACTCTATTTTAATGTAAATTCTTCGTGAAAAAATTATATTGTAATGACCCCCAACATGGCCGCCTTGTATCGTGGTTGCAAACCAAGAATAAAGATAAAATAAATACACATCGCAAAATATTTCCGATTTTTCCCGATCCCTTTTTCTCAAATCTCCCGATGAGATTCAAACCATACGGGACTTCTCTGCCCCAGGCGTACAAGCAATACGCAGTTGGGCTTATCAATATCTCCTGACAACTCTACTTTTTAAAACAGAGAACGTAAATTTTTTTAGATCAAGATTCCAGACCCATTCCAGCAACTTACTTGCAATACATTTCGGTTGCTCTCCAGACCATATCCCATCTGCTTGACACTGCCGTGTTCTGTCTCCTTGAAGCTCAAAATACTTATTGCAGGAGAAACTTACAACCTTTTGGTAGGTAAATCCACTCTCAGTTATATTCCCATGACGTGGTTTTCCCGGGTGTCCACAGTTCACCGCTATTTGAAGGGAAGAAACAAAAGCACTCAAATCGAGTCTGTTATATATGGCCACAAATTAAAAACCGGTATTCCTGAATTCTTTAAAGCGTCCCTGATATCATTCCTCATGTCTGACATTTCGTATTGAAAGATAGGTGCTTAAAATGGACAATCTTATCGTAGCCTTTTAATTTTCAAGGCCAAAAAAATTGAAATTGCTCTTACCTGCTTTCCTCCCTGTTTTTTTTCTGTTCTTTGTTTGTTTGTTTGTTTGTTTTGTTTTTTTTTTTTTTTTTTTTTAACTTAGGGGCGGCTCCTAATAGCTGGTTGTAGTCATTGTTCCAACGCGACGTAAACAAACACATAAATAACTCAAACTTGCTAGATAAAGGTTAGAACTTTTAAAACAAGCTCTCAATTTAACATACGTTTGCAGACGGGAGGAGTGCCGTCCCAGTCTCCGGTGTTTTTACATTCTCTCACGGCCGAGCCTGTCAGAAGATAGCCTTCATCGCACGCAAATGCCACAGTTTGTTTGAACGTAAAATCGTCTCCTGTCATATTCCCGTGATCCGGTGCGGTTAAAGGAGGACACCGAATTCCTGTTGATAAAAAGACAATGATACCCTTTGGCTATAAAATCAAAGATGCTAATACACGCAGAAATACTGAACAATCACTCGCAAAAAACGTTTTTGAACATAATAGCACAGCACTATTTACAATTCCTTTCGATTAAAAAAGCACTTAAGGCACAGTTCAGACGCCAAACTTTTCATGAGCCGAACCTAATACATTGAATTAACTACATGAAAATTTTGGCGTCTGAATCAATTGGGAACGCCTGTTTCAATTTGGAACGACTCAGCCGTTCTTTTCGCCTAACCCGGCCGGGAATTTCGTCTTTGGAGCGACTTTGGAATGGCTTTGATTCAGACGCCGAACTTTTCCTGTACCGAACCTAATGCATAAATTATTAGAATCTATTTTGTAAGCAGTTTGACCGAAATCAACGTTTTTCTCTTTTTGAATTTAGTTCAAAAGGAGAAAGATAGTAGTGTTGCTAAAACTTGAGACTAGTAAGTAATTATGGACGAAATCTTTGCAGGCAACCAACTCTGCAACCAACTCCAATTTTCGCGTATTGTCGAAAAATATTCAACCCAGGAAGCTTCACTGTACTTTTTGTCACCTCAAAAATTAGTGCGGTTATTTTTATTGGCGAAGGGTTAGCCCTTTCCCGGTCACAAAATGATTAAACTTCTAAAATTTAATAACTTTTGACAACTTGTTCCCGCCATTACCACATTCTCACTAAAACTCGTACTAAAATGAGGACGGCTATCACGTTTTCCCGCCAAAATGATGTTGGCTCAGGCGGGCGCACTACTTAGTATTGAAAAAATCTCGATGGTTCTCGTAGTCGTCCTCGTCTTAGAATCTAAAGCTCTCTACTAATAATAACAGAACAAAGTTTGCACCGAAGTCTAGAAAACGAGAGGACCTTTAATTACTAAAAACATCGCCTTACGTACCGTGTGTGTCATAGAAGGCTTTAAATCCTCTGTAATTTCCAGAATCATCAGATACAAATTCCATGTGAATGTAGTTCCCGGATGAGGTGATGTTCCGTGGAAGCTTTTTGCCGCAGTAAGGACCGTACTTTCTCTTCTGACCAGCGTTTATTTTTAGGTAATCGTAAGGGCAAACGACATCGGGATGTTCCTCTATGTCAAACTAAATAAAGAGGTGAATCGATGTAAGATAAAGCGCATGAACAGTCTAACCTCAAGCATCAGGAAAAATCCGCTTAGGACAGGAGTAGATCAACCACGGTAACTTACTAAATGACGAAAGTTCAGGGACCGGGGGGGGGAGGGAGTACTCCTGGAAATTCCTGCTGGGGGGGTGCCGCCCGGTTCTCCACACTTCTTTTTGCTCCCGCTTTAATGACTATGCCAGGGGAGTAAGGAATGTTTAAGAGGCTGATGATTCCTCTAAATAAAAATCAAGAGGTAAAATTTGGGGATTCCCGAATGTAAAGCACCGTCCTTAAGAGCAAATTTTACGATTTTTTATTCCTGAGATAGTCACTTTTGCTCATGTACGTGAACAGTAGAATTGAGTGATGAAATCTGACGACGAATTTACTTGCCAAATGGAAAAGCTATTGTTGCAGTTTTATTTTCATACCTCGAGGAAAGTTAGCGTTATCTGATATCCTTTCTCCACGGTTATTGTCCAATCACAATCGGAGTTTTGGGGGTATTTCTGCGGATATTCTGGAGATGTTATTTCTCCTCTTCTAGACTGAATGATCTGGTTGTCGCAGATGACTGAAATATGAAAAGAGGACAAGGTAACGTACTGAAAACAAACAGCAACAACGAAAACAAAATGCCTGGCAGGAATGCAAGCTGTTTTCTGCTACTCTGGCTCTTTCAAAGGTCAGTTTATTATGATAAAAAACGAAATTTTCAAACTTTTCAAGTTACTTCAAGAGAAAGTTTCATTACATTTCGAAAGTAAGGTTTTACACTGGAAAATTAACTCTTATAGTTAGAATGCTGTCCAATCAGTCCTCCCTAGAAATTCAAGGTCATTTGATACGTTATTACAGGTAATATCGAAGCAAACAAACAAAACAAAACAAAACCTCGGCAAAAAAGAGAAAGCCAAGAGTTATTTTAAAAGTAAAACGCGATGAAATATATCTGCTTACAATGGCATGACTTGCCATCAGGCTGAAGTTTGTATCCGAGACGACAAGAGCAGTAATGGCCGCCGATGTAATTGTGACAGTGGTGATCACAGCCGCCATTCTCGCTTTTACATTCATCTTCATCTGCAATAACAACAAATGATTTTTTGTTATTTATTCATTTATTTATTTTGTATGTTGTATATTAATGTTGTTATTTTGACATCAATAAAAACAAACAACACGTGATCAACGCCGCACTGAACAGCTGGCACATGCAAGTGCCGGATCAGTTGAAGAGATTTGTGTTTCTAAGTGAATGGACTACAGTAAATCCTCTATTGAGACCCCCCCCCCCCCGGGGGGCTTATTCATTTCAAGAACATTTGAGGGGGGCGGTTTAATAGAGACGGGGGGCTTAGTTGAGAAGGGGGAGATTATTCAATTTAGCAAAGACGATGGTATCAGTACTCCATAAAGGACAGGAATTCAAAGTGGAAAAGCTAAAGTACAAGAAGTTGGATGGAGGTCATGCATCCGGGGACCAAAATCAAATCCGAACTTCCAGCTGGTGAATAAACCATCCCAAATCAGTCAAACGAAGATTTACAGTCAAACGAAATTTATTTGAATAGTCGGGCAAGGGAGGGGGCTTTATTTGATTGATTAATCCAAAAGTCTTTATTTGGGATAATTTATTAGTGAATTTGCGAATGTAATATAAAACATGAGGGTGTTTCATCACCAGATGAAACACCGAGAAGAGAGTTAAATACGACGCGCAGCGGAGTATTTTTGACGAACTTCGAGGTTTTCATCTGGTGAAAACTTTCTTTTGATATTTCTTCTCAAACAAAATCATTTTTGAAGGAGAAATTAAGGATGCAAATACTAAGCAGTGTTTCATCCGATTTCCAAACACTCATTAAACATTAATTTCCTTTGTATTTTCTTAATGAATTATTAATGAGTTTGAGAAAGACGATTTACAGTATGCGTTCAAGAAGTAAGGTAACGGCGAAGGATCCTACTGGGGTTGTATAAATGCCATTGATGTCTATTAACTGGTTAACTAAGAAGAGAGGAAAAACAAATCTGAACTTTCAACAAGTGAATAAATCAAATCGGATCAATCTGCGTGGAGCGTTACAGTCTATCATTCAAGATAAACGGGGTGGAGGGGACTTAATAACTCTCTTCCCCTAAAAACGGGAGGGGGCGACTTTTTAGTGGAAAGGGGTCTTCTTTGAGGGAAGGGGCTTAATTACTGTAATAACTAGAGTCACAGAATCTTACCAACAGCGATATAATGCGCTCTAAAGCCAGCATATGATTCCTCGTTAGAGTAGTCCGAGTGAAATGTAATGGTACATTCGTTGGTTGGCGAGATAACATACTCCTTAGGGAGTTTGCTATGATGTTTGTTTATTGTCTTGTGTTTGGAACCGCAAAATCGTCCCAGCGTGCTATTACCAGAGCGCAAAGAGAGCCAGTCGTAATCACACTGGAAGAAGAACTCGATGTCGATTACTGTGAAGCGTATCCTTATTCGATGACCTTTGGGGACTGTTATGTTCCACACACAGTGTACATTATTCGGGTAGGTGTTAGGAAAGTTTGGGGACTTGATAACGCCAAAGAAGCCAGAGCTATTTCCACCACACTTCACAGCGCCTAAAATTACAGATTATAAGGTTCGATCTTTAGTAACAAACAGTGTAAAATTATAGACGAGAATAAAGTGCCAGGCAAATCTTTTTGCTTCAATGAATTTCCCCTTTCACTGGAGGTGAAAAATAAGTGATAAAAAGATCATTTGGTATCGCTTTTTAATATTGTCTACGGATTAGTAGTTAGCATCCTACGACTTGGAGATATCTTTCTCCTTTTTCCTTCACTGGGCTCCCTTTCTAGACTGAGCCTCGAAGTATATTCCATTACAGGGAGTAAGCCCTTCCGGGGGTACCCTAGGGGATATTTAATCACAAGAGAGGATTATATGCACTGTGCACGCATTCCAGCCTGGCGGGACGGAGTGCACATTTTTTATAAGAGTTTCGAAAAAGTCCTTTGTTGTAGCAACTGCAAGTCGCAGTCAAGCTATTGTGTGATCGATTCGCATTGATTCAAACAAAGATCGGGCCAGTTAATAAGCTCCGTGATTTTCGCTGAAGTTTGATGGCAACAATCTGTAATCACTGTGATCTGATGCATAAGAAACTGATCCAGGATTAACATGGTACTTTGTATAATGTTCTTGTTCTGATCATGTTTTTTTGGTCTCGCATCAGCGGGCCATTTAGCAATGCAGACACTTAATTGGAGATGAATAAGACGGCCGACTACCCGAAACTCAATAAATATGAAATAAATTAAATAAATAATAATAATTTGATAGCACATCCTCAAAGTGGTTTTTCGTCTAGTTTATACCATAGACCTGATCCATTTGCAAATATTTAGAAATGTTGGTTCTATTTTGGGGAGATGGGAAGACCTGAATTCCTTGAGAGAACTTCGCGACAGGAACACTAACCGTAAAGAGAACGAAGATGAGTTTTCTCGTGAAAAAAAATATTACTTAAGAGACAATTCACGTTCGCAGTTGGTGTTGACAGAGATCAGTAGTTAAATCAAAGCAAAATTAGTCAGTGTAACCCAAAACAGTTGATGACAAAATCATTGACATCTCAGTCACAGGTCAATGTCTCCCCGACAAATCAGAGATCGGATGTTTTTCTCAAGAATCTCACGTTGGAGACCCCTTATGTTATCAAGTATTAATTGTTGAAAATTTTGAGCACTGTTACCAAATAACCTTGGGAATTAATCATGAAAATAAAAAAGGGGAAAAAATTCCGCCACGTACTGTCTTGCAGAAAAATGGATTAAATTTAGGAGCTGACAAGTTTTCTAAACTGAGTGAAATTTAAACTCAATTTTTGCATTTACTCTATCTTGTGAATTATTGGTCTTACATATTCGGACGATCTGCTCACTTGCACTTTGGAGTATGTTTTATGCTCAGTGCTACTTTTTGAGTCGTTTTGTCATTCTTCGAGCTGACAGCAAAGAGAAAGCTGCAAATTATTTTAACAACTTCGTTCACAATAAATTTTCCAAGAAATCTTAGTAATGACTTCGGTTATTACTACTGACAAGTCATTATTCCGAATACCCCTAGCAAGGTAAATTTGATGAAAGAAGAAGGATCGTTGAGGAGAGGGTTTCGTTTATGGGAAGTTTAGAATCATTATTAGTGTCAGTAGCGCCATTTTCAGGTTTCGCTGAGATGATTTTATAGAATATGCCCAAAAAATAAACGTGGAGGAATTTAAATGAGTATTTCACGCTCAGGTAGTGTTCAAAGGACACCAACTTTGCATGGTGAAAGCGATGGTGATTTTTTTTTGAAAAGACAATTGAGCCGGATGCTACAGAGGAAATGCCACTGAGAACTTCACTCTCCAAATGAAGACGCTTACTCATCTTTTGTATAAACAAATAAAGCACCTACGGGCAATTATACTGACACAACTTCGTGGAGAGGTCTAACCACGGGAAGTCCAGGATTTCGGCAGGATTTACTGATCCAATACTTGCTCTGCTGGTCAAATTTGATAACAATTTTTTGTGTACGAATTAAGCCTGACTGCATTTTTTTCTTGGCCTAGGCTAAATAATTATGTTTTTGCCGATTTTAGGCTTAAAAGATTCTTGTGATATTCTTTAAAAAGGAAAAAATACATATTCATCATGATACTTTCTGTGGTTTAGGTCATTTCTTTTGTGCTGTATACTGTACATAGGTATTTCATGTTGTTATTAGCACTGAACATTTAGCTATAGCTAGTGCAGGCTTTTTAGTTTTGTTCGCTAGTTTTGTTGTTTAAAGAATTGTAATAAACAAGGCAAGTACAGAGGAACTTCGATTTAACGAAGGGCCAAGGGCATGAAAAAATTTGTTCGCTATAACGCGGTTTCGTTATATAGAGGTTCCTTTTTCATTTTTTTACTATTTTCTTAGAGGTCCACTGTAACTCCAGTCTCTCCAAAGTGTACTGCATTTGAAGGGTAAAAAAAAAATGAACGCTTCCATCACATCCAGAAACGAGCACAGTCAAAATTCAACCAAATCTCCAAATTTCATCGTTTCATTGAATGCCGGTCACACCACTGGACTCAAAATTCTTACAGGACGCCATTATTCACTCTGATCTGGCCGGAGTGAAAGGGGCGACCCGTGCATGTCGGCGGAATAACTGAAATCAAAGACCCACCGTCATGAACTTTAATTTGCTTTAGTCCTCAATCCTCTAAGTCTAAGTTTCACAGGAAAACTTTGAAAAAATGCCATTGGGGTTTTAGTGGAACGCGACATCATATAAAATGGATTTCAAAAATGGCGTGTCCCATCTGGGCAACGGGAAACAGTAATTGTATTACAATATAATGCAATTTTCACTAGAATTGATGCGATTCCAAAATAATAAAATCTGAGTTCACTTACTTAAAAAAATAAAAACCAAGACTGTTCTTATTGATTTTAACAATGGCACTCTTCAAGCGGCTTAAGGGACAATCTCCCTGTTTGTGTTCATAAGGTTATCACTGTGTTATAGTTTGCATCAAGAACTCCTTCCAGGTTAGTTTTCTTTGTAACTAATAAAGGTTTTAGCTGTAGGATTTGGGATATATTGCAGTTGTTTTTAGGACTCAATTAATTGCCCATTAACAACGCCTTTGAAGAAGACTGTGCGTCAGACTTGTAAAGTGCTCTTAGTGTATCACGTTGAGTTCGGGTCAACTGGTCAAGAAAGCACCTGAAAATAGCACTCGGCTAAAAAGAAAGCTTGACTCGGAATAAAACAATCCAATTAATGGATTTTTTTTTTGTTCGGTACAACCAAGAGATGTATCTCAAATTTACAAATTGGGTTACTGCCAAAAAAAAGAAAGAAAGAAACAACAGCCACTTAAGCAAACTTAAAAACCTTTACATGGTAAGAAAAATTGCTTTTGTCCAACAAGGGCTTCCTCTCTTCCTGGTTTTCTTTTCACTACCACTGCATTTTGCTTCTTCTAAAAGTTTTCAGTCGTTGACATCTTGATTCTTTTATTTTTGACGATTTTTTTTTATCAAGCCAATCGTTTTGAGAAGAAAATACCATAAAACGAGCAACCTTGAAATGCAGCTGTAAAACACTTTTTCGTATAAGTCAATAATCCTCAAGGACCCTTCTATTGTAACTATAGCAGGATTTCCGGTAAGCATTGGGTCAGTCATCACAAATCACCGCCCTCTATAACCCAATGAGGAGACTGACTCAGCGGTCATTTGTTGTTGAACGAATATATCTGAGTTAGGAAAACTCCGGTGCAATTTCTGGGCGCTAGTCCAGTCATGTAATCACGTGGTTCAAACATCTAAATTGAGCACTTTGATGAACACAAAACTTTGGCGCCAAGCTGGTTGAAAAAGAGACACCACTGTGATTCCGACAGTGATAATAAACGTGAATGGGTCTATTAGAGAAACGGTATTCAATGTTGTTTCAACTGAATAGGTCAGGGGCTTATAGAATTAAATACCACCAAGCATAAGGTAAGATTCTGTCTGCTTTCTTTTGAGATATCAGTATAATGTGTAAAATCAGGAAGCATTTGGACAATATCGTTTTCCTGTTAGTTGATCTGACGATGTCATTAATTCGTTTTCTGTAAACAAATGTGTAACACTCACAAAGACGTCAATCGACGGTGATCTCGACTGTAAGCGCGCTATATCACATAAATACAGAGATATGTATCTCAGTGATTTTCCATTGCCCAGACTGATGGAATTATCAGCACTGGTAATGTAGACAAATCTCTTTACCAGTATGTTTACTGCTGTAAAGAGGAATGCGCCTTATCAGTTTGAATTGTGATTTTTTCGCCTTGGCTATTAAAAACGCTTAAAGGGATTACTAAGGCAGGAGTCATAAGGAAATAACTATCATAGGACACAAAGAAAGGAAGACTTACTGAACTGATTATGAGCTAGGTTTTGTTTTTGACATTTCATGACCTGGTTTGAGCACGAGACTACATCATGTTCGACTTCCTCTCAAGCTGAACGCGCGTTTACTATCACAAACTCCCACGTAATAATCAGCTGTTACATGAAAAATTACATAGTAGCAATTAAGACAAGACGTACCTGAACTAGAAATGGCCTCAGCAAACAACAGAAACAGAAGACAGGGTAAAAATCTACGATGAGATTCACACATGATGCAAGTCAGTTACTCGAACGTGCTTCTAATAACCAGTAGGAGACAATGAAACAATAAACCCGTCAATGTAAAAAAAATTAAAAGGAAAAAATAAAGAAAAACGAAAATAGATCAAAGTTAAGAGGTGAACATACCTAGGAAATTTCATGGTTCTTGAATAAGTGACGCACGCAAAAGACAAAGCGCGTAATAGTACGGTCCCAGTAACGATAATTCTTTTCTATGGCACGCGCCTACGTTCACTAGGGTTTTATTCATTGTTAAAGAAGATTGACAGCTGTCATGAGTCTCAGTGGGTGAGCAAAACAGGAAACCCGTGGACACAAAGATCATGAGATGTAAAATGACCTCTAGTGCCCGCTATACTATTACGTTAACGAGCAGTGTTGAAAAGTAAGTTCAAATTACAGCATCAGACAGCAAAATGGGTGTGGCTCTTTCCCCCAAAACAAAAAAATCCATAGACATGGCTAAGTGTTTTGTGGGAGAAACAGAAAACTTATTTAGGAACTTCTTACTATGTTCAACATTGCAAAGAACCCATGCAAAAGTCCCTTCATTCGGTGCGGTTAAATTTTATGACGTAGGCTTTTAAGTCATCCAACTGCGAGTTTTGGTACCGTTTGAACCAACCCGCCTTTAAAAAAAAATGGTATTTTTCAATCCCTGATATCGTTAGTTTGTTTGTTCTGAAAACAGTCTCCGCCTCTAGTCTGTTGGTGCTGTAGTATTTTTAAGTAGAAGAAGACACATGTGCTGGAGGCACGAAAAACAATGACCGCCTGCTTTAAGGTTTAAACTTCATCTGAGTGAATGACGGAATTTTTAGGGAGGCACGTGGAATTATTGTTCTAGGAAAAAATCCAAGGTTCTATTAATGAACACAACCGGTTCGCTTTTAGGCGGATCTGTTACACCTGCAATAATGGTGGACACCTCTCTAAGATGGACCCCCGGGGGGGTACTTTAGGAATTTCTGGGTGGGGATGTGCCGCTGGGACCCTGGAACCCTTAACCTATACCAGAGCTAGTTCAGCTGAATTTTGCTACCCTATACTAGAGTAAACTCCCCAAATCCCCCTATCCTAGAATAGCTGTTTCCCTAGTCTAGATAAAATCTTCAACCAACTGATCAGTTTCCTGAAAAATGATACCCTATTCTAGACCCAAACGCTCTGATTTATATACCCTATCCTAGAGTAAACTGCTTGAAAACCATACCCTTCACAGCGGCACATACCTATACAGCCCATATATGGCAGTACCCCCCCGGGATCCGAAGCAGTCAGTCAGTTTTGTACTGGCTTTAATGATCTCAAGAGTTGACTGCAGCCACCTTTGTCTTCACTATTTTGATAGTAACTCTTTAAGTCTTCAGTGTGACCAACATCAATTTTCCTCCAATAATATCAACACATGACAAAGAATTAAGGTTATAGGAATTTCAAAAATGAATCACTTGAAGAAAGATGTTTTGATCTTTAAACAAATTGTCTCAACTAATTCTTTAAGGAAATGTATGGAGATCAGTTTGGAGAATTTTTATGTGGATACTGGGCCTTAAACCCGGGTTAACATTATCAGGAGCCCTGCCTTGCCCTGATAGCGATGAATGAATTGAGGAGTGAGAATCTGAAAGAAAGAATAATATCTTCCGCGCTGCGCTAAAAGGCTATAATCTCACTCTCAGGCAGTCTCTTTAACTTTATAGACCATAACAAAGGGACTTTGATCCACAAAACATGCAAAGCCTCAACGAGGAACCAAGGGTCAGTGTGACAGTTCTTGGTGAACCTTAATCTTTGAAAAAAAAAAAACAGGTTTTAAGTGCAGTGAAACCTCTCCTTTGGGTCAACTCTATTTATGGGGCACCTCATTCAAGGGACACAAAACCTTTTCTTGATTATGTGAGGATATTCTTGACTGACTGGGAGGAAAAGCATGATAGGGCTGGTAGGGTACATTCTGCACAGCAGCTGTTGCGTTTTGTTGATTCTTATGGCTGGAAAAAGACCAGGAAAAAGACTAGACGGGTCTAGACTGCGAGCAGGCTTTGTTTCGCTCAAAAATCATTAAGAGCGCGCGATAAGCGCGTTTACAGCGTTTACTCGCAGTCTTGAAAAAATAAAAATAAAAAACCTTTAAGGATAGGTGTTGTCCCAGAATCATGGGCGTCAGACAAGATGCAAAGGCGAGCAAAAAAAAAATCACGAACCGTAGTAAGAGATGTGCATAGGGACGGATTTGACTCGTCATGATTCATCACGAACAGTCCGGTCACACCACGGGGCTGGTAGAAACTGAAATTGACCGAGCCAGGAGTCGTTTCCGAGCATACTTTCATCGGTCCATTACCCGTTTTATAGATTGCTCACTAGCCTGCCAATACAATCGTCTCTCATCGCCCCTCTTCGCTTGTGAAGTTTGCGGGAGAGAAACTTCGCAACTCATTTTCAAGCGGCGAGCACTCAAGAGCTACGGCTGTATTAAATTCGCCGGCTAAATGCTCACGGAAATTTACGTAATCTACATCAAGCTTATCGATTATTATATTGGTTGTTGTTAGATTACTCCTGGAATTTAGGCAGGCTGAAGAGAAAAACTAGAGCCCGGAGTATTTGATTCCTGGAATGTCACACAAGCAATCATTTACTTTGGCAATGTCGTGACATTTTATTTTTGGGCCAATACATGCACTGCAGGGTTCAAAGAAATTCTTTGCCTTGTTTTATATCAAGAAATGATTTTGACGTATTTAAGTGAAGAGAAGGAAGAACGCAGAGTAAGGGACGGACCACTAGAAAAGTTAGGGGGGCAGGGGTATTTTCGAGCCGCAGGAATTTTTTTTCGTCATCAAATTCCTTGGATGAATTTTTTTAGGCCATAGCATGAATATTTTTTAGGGTTAATTGGCGTGCATCATTTTTTTTTTCATGTAATTTTCCCTTGCGCGAATATTTTTTTTTGTACTTCCCCCCCCCCCTCCCCCCCCATAAGTTTTCTAATTGTCCGTCCCTAAACAATCCGGTTAAAGTGACGAAGAGAATGAACTGCTAATCGCTATTGTAAGCTGCGCCAAATACTAGTTTTAGCGTAGAGGCTGTCATTAGCAGTTCCTCTCTTTTTGGCATCAGGTGATCATTCAGACTTCCGCTACAATAGTCATTTTAACGCTTAAGATGTTTATTTACGAATCTACGCACTTCCTTTTTAAAGCCGACAGCCATTCATAGAAGGAGAATATGCTAGCCAGCGTCTCCCCTGGGGTTACTATTTTGGTGATCGTGATATTTTGCGGTTTCCTCGGTTCTTTTTTTTGTGCTGTCTTCGCTGCGTACGGACTCAAACAGTGGAAATGATTCTCTTGGCCATTGTCACATTGTAAGTAGCTTCTCTAGAGAATATCGTCTTTACAAGTAGGCATGTTATTCTAAAACTTACAGTGAGAACATAATCCTACGAGATGAAAGATCAACAAAACGATTTTGTGTTTTTCTGTTTTCATTGTAACTCTCTCGTGTTCTTTGTCTCTCCACAGAACAAGCATTCTTGGCATAGCGTTTACTAACGTTTCCGATGGTAAGAACTAGACAGTAATCCCTGTATTAGAACGCGCTAGTAGAATTTCGTGTTGTTAACAGGAAACTTAGACCTGAAAGCTTGTGGGCTTGTGTCATTGATTTTATAATCCTTTTGCCTTTGTCGGATTTATTTTTCAATTCAAACGTGCGGCCTGGCACATTGAAATATTTCAGTTGTGTTTGGCTTTCCTCCCACGAAAACAAAAAAAATGAAAAATGATGAAGACTTGCCAAATTGCTCCATTGACCAGCTAAGTGACTGTAGAGCGACTTCCAGGGATCAAGGCAAAGGAGTCCGTGACTAAGCTACCCACTAGCCCGAGAGCAAGCTCTCCTATTTGGACGAGCGAAACCAGCCGCGCGAGAAGGTACCGCGTGAGCACGCGCGAGCGAGTGGCGAAGCGTGCCTCTCGCGCGTGTACTTTTCACGATATCCCCCAAATGGATGGGTATTTTGGGGTAGCTTCTTTATAATATGAACGTCGTCTCACTTAGGGATGTAACTTGCTTGTTTATTTATTTATTCAATTATTTTGTTGGTGAACCACAGGGACGGGAAATGCCTTGGGAATCTGGTGGTTTTGTTAATTAAGATTGGTCATATTTGGTGATAGGCATCTCGGTTACTCTACCGTTAACTAAACATTATTTCTTATTTATTTATTTTTTAATAAAATACAATAAATATAGATAAGTAAGTAGAGACTATAACAGGGAGTTACCCCAGAAGCGTAAGCCTTCTAATGCAATTGTTCTCAAGGAATTTCTCGTCGTATGGCGCTATTACAGACGGACTCTCAATACTAAGGACACTAACTCGCGGTCCAAAGGGTGCCCCAAAAGTTCTTCGTAATGTACAAACATTAACCGCAAGGGACTGTAAAGGACCGCAAACGAATAATCCGAAGAACGTAGGATCTATAAAGACCTGATCAGCAAAATAATAATGTAGCCATAGACAGCTGTCTATGGCTACAATCCCGCTCTGTTTTGAGTTCTTTCGGTGTCGTGTTGGTGTCTTGCAGAGTTAATTTTCACGTAGTACGATCAGCATTGCAGTAGTCTGCTTGCAGAATTTAATATGTCTACTTTTTTGTAATATTTAGTGACCTGCGTCGCAGGCTAAGCGTTAATAAGAGAAGAGGAAGGGCGGGAAAATCGGGTCCTTGCCAACCTTCGAAAGGGATAGGAGGGCTTGTGACGCAGGCCAACAGTTGGCAACGTGGTCATGATTGATCACGTGCGCTGGGCCGGGGTCATTGCGGGCGACAAGAGGAGCCCGCAATCCTAATCTCCAGCAGTTATGGGCTCCTGTCTGCAGGTTGTTATTACGCATGCATGGCATGTAAGTAGACAGCATTCGTTTGGACTTCCATTAAAAATGTATGGAAAGTACAAAACGTACTTTGAACACGCGCGTTTGGATATTCTAACACTCGTCATCTGATCAAGCGTGTTTTGACCATCTGTCACGGGAAACTTACGCAAAGCACAGCGCCGGAGCAAAAGCGTTTTGACCTTCGATCGTTGTCACCCGCACTCCGTAACCTTTGGTTATTACTAGTTTGTAAGCCTAAAATGAGTAATTTGTTTTAAAACTTGATAAGCTGTCTCGATCTCGAAAGGAGGGGTATTTTTGTTTACAACTTGTAACGAATTGCAAAATGATGAATGGAAAATCGCACGTACAGTTGTAGTTTTCAAACAGCTGAAAGAACGCATTTGGCATGCAACCTCATTCCCAGGGTCCCGAGTAGGAGAAGACCCTGCGAACGAGGTTGACCTGGCATGTAGGCCACAAGTGACTCCATGATAATCCTAACCTCACTCGGATCATTGGCCTGTGGTTTATCATCAGACCAATTTAAAGCAATCAGAACTAAAATTTATCGCCAAATAAAACTAAAAAACAAACAATTTAGTTGCCGAACTTCTCTTTGGTCTCTCATCGTGGCACAACGAAGCAAGCATTTTTCTTCCAAAATTAGTTTTACTCCCTTGTTTATATGGGTTGTATTGAAACAGGCGACAAAACCTCGGTAGATGTACTGAGTTGGGTTGTCTTGCATTCACTCATTACCTATGAAAGAACTCGTGAAACATTTCCTATGCGGTCAAACTGCGTTCTTAAGAGTGAAACTTGAAAAATGTCTTCGTCATTGGATCGTATTATTAAACGGGTCGAAGTTACATCAAGGTCCTGTTTCATATATCTTACTGCAAAGGGGGGGAAGAATACCTGTTTTTTTTTTTTTTTTTTTTTTACCAGGATCTCTCTCTAAAGGGTTCGCTTTATTTGTTTTCCACTCCGCTGTATGTAGACAAATTGCTTATGGAATTATGCACCGCAGACATCAGTTGTTCGAGAACCGCGAGAATTCGAAAATTAAGGCGCGGTGGTGACGTGGGGAAAGGCGTGTGTTTAACTTACACAAACAGATATAGGAACTATGATTACATGAAGGCCGGAATATCAACGTACGACCGACCGAATGAATGAATGAGTGAATGAATGAATGAATGAATGAATGAATGAATGAATGAATGAATGAATGAATGAATGAATGAATGAATGAATGAATGAATGAATGAATGAATGAATGAATGAATGAATGAATGAATGAATGAAATTGAATGAATGAATGAATGAATGAATGAATGAATGAATGAATGAATGAATGGATGAATGACTGAATGAATATACTGATAAATGAATGGATGGACGAAGAATTAACGATTTCACACAAACATGTTGAGGAATCAATGTTACTTTAACCCTTTAAGCCCCAAGATCCACATACAAATTCTTCAGACTGATCTCCATACATTTCTTTTAATAATGGTTGAGAGAATTTGGTTTAATATCAAAGCATTCTTCCTTTGGTGGTTAATTTAGTAATTCTCATAACCTTTACTCTTGATGATCTGCTGATGTTGTTGTCACTCTTGGGACCTAGAGGGTTGAGGATGGTATTGTTTCTTATTCAGGTAAATGCCAGCGTAAAATCACTCAGTTATCAGGACAGTCTGGTACCATAGAATCACCGGGTTACCCACACACCTATGGTCCTGCACAGACCTGTATATGGCAGATAAACGTTAACACAGGATTCAGAGTTCACATTCATTTTGACGCACGCTTCGATGTCAGCAGAACTCCAGCCTGTCGGGACGAGTATGTTCTGATCAGTACCCGAAAACAGAGATTTACCGACTTTAATGTTGTTCGCAATAAAAAGGATTCGGTGGTTTTCTGTGGCAACCAAAAGCCCAGCAATGTCACATCTCCTGCTAATGAGTTGTGGATACGTTTCAAATCAAAGTCTGGTGGCCGGAGAGGGTTTATAGCATGGTTTGGAGCAGAGGGTATGTGGTTATTGGGATCCAGATTTCTCTCTTTTCTTTTTATTCAGCAGTGTATACTCATTCTAATTTCAAAGTTTCAAGTATCTTTCTGAATATCTGAAAACTTTATAAATACTGCTCTGTAGTCTAACCTTCGTTTCCAGGGTTCTCTGTTACACGTCCTTGCGGAGCTAGAGACAGGAACGGGTAGGAGAGGACCCTGGGAACGAGTGTGTCTGAAGTCTTGCACTTTTGCCTTCATTTGCCGAATATGTTCAAATTTTTTGTCCAAAGGCTCAAAATCCTGGGGGTGGGGTGGGTGGAGTACTTTGAGGTAATTTTTGCTGGGTATGTGGCGCTGGCCTATGTGAATCCCTACCCCATTATAGTCTATTCTGTGGCCATGTTATAGACCACATCTTAGACACTTTTGTAAAAACGTAACTTTCGCATTCCCGACTTACTCACTTTTTGTTTATGTATCTACCTTATAGAGCCTTTTAACTAAGTCACCCTGAAATGAACTGACACATTTGCTAAACTTAATGTGGTGTAAATCTTTCTGTTTTAAAATCCCTATACACCTGAATTTTCTGACCCCCAAAATCCTAACAAAGTGCGACCTCATTCTAGTAACTCTTATAAAAATGCAACCCGATAATAGTCAATCCAGTCGTGAAAATGCGACCCCATCCAGCGGCACATCCCCATTAGCCTATTACTAGGAAGTACTCCCCCCCGGGTCAAAATACATGACAACAGTGTAAACAGGTGTTCAATCTTTTCCCGTTTTTTATGCTTACGCGGCCTCAGCTACAGGAGGATTAAAAAACACACCAAAATTTCCATCATGTAAAGAAAGTTTGTGAGTTGTTCCGCTTCTTAACCCAGTTCTCAATCCCAGTCTGTGGGCGAATCATGTTGTGACCATTCAAATGAAACCTCTCTGTTGGTAATGTAATGGTTCCATGTGTTTTTCAGCTCTTTACTAAATAAAGATTGTATTTTTTTTGTCCAGTTTTGGCTTTGACCACTTCTAGCAATGAAAATGTTTAACGTTAAAGTCATTATTAATAAATATCCTATTAGATATTGATGAGTGCAGAGAGCGGAAGAATGGCGGCTGCCATCACAACTGTGTGAATACCCCAGGTAGCTTCCGATGCAAATGTCGATCAGGGTTCCGTCTTGTTCCTAAAGGAAAGAAATGCGTTGGTGAGTAACTCGACTCAATTGAAGTTTTTATATAAGATCTGAAAGGGCCTTAGTGCTGTCATTTATTAATTCATTATTATTATTTAGTGTTAAAAGCTTAACAGCTAAAAATGTAATGTCTAGTGACAAAAACCCTTTAGGATCCTTTAGTGCGCACTCCATCAAAGATCTTAGTTCAAAAAAGGTCCTTATAGAGGTACCTACAAGGACAGCTGAGCCATCACCAAAAGGGAGCTTCCGACATGGGCAAAAGAGTTTATCAAAATAACCATCCACTTATAGCCTGCGCAAACTCATTTCTCGGCCATTCATCGAGCTTGCTTAATTGCTAACCTACTTTCTTCTTGTATTCCAGAGGACATCGCAATTTCATTCTCCAAGAAGCGTTATCGTTCATCAGTACAGATCACGGCCCCGTCTGGCACTTCCATTCTTACCGTTCGAGCCAGTGCCAGGAATTCCCGAAGAGTATTTCATTATTCCATTGTATCTGTGAATAAAAAGCCTTACAATGATAAAACCGCATTTTTTGAAGTGAACCCATCAACAGGTACCGTGCTTCTTGAACTATTTCCTGATTTATGCATTTATTTGATTGTTAGGGATATAAAAAGTTATGTCAGTGGGCATGTCTTAATTATAAGGTGCTATGTTACGCACATAAAAAAGCCTATGAATGCAGAGGTCCACTCAAACTGTAAATAAAACCGAGTGGTTCTTTCTTCCTGGATCTCTAATGTAGGGATGCTATTGCCAGACGTCATGACTTGAAGTGGGAATTAAAACAAAACTCAATGCGAGGCTGGCAATACGGCAAAGGGTTGATTTATCTGAGGGCAAAGTTTCGGCTAACAAAATAAGCCTTCCTCAGGGACAGAACTGTACCTTATCAATCACCTTGTTGTATAATTATTTACCTGTCCATCTATTGTTCTCATTTTCAGTTTATCTTTAGAGACCTCTGATTCGAGAACAAGAACGACTACGAGTACGGGATTTGATTTAATTTTTTTTTTCTCGTATTGTCAAAAGATAGACATCCCGGATTTCTTCATTCTACTTTTTTTCACCAGGAAAGTCAGTGAAGTTAGCACTGTTATCGTTATTGAAGGAGGTTCAGACCTCTCCCGATTGCAAAATGCCAAAACTTCTAACATTTCATAACTTGTTCCCACCACTACGACATTCTCGTTAAAACTCGTAGTACAATGACGACGGCTACCACGTTTTCCCGCCAAAATTACGCTGGCTCACGCACGAGAAGTACTTACTACTGAGAAAATCTCCTACTCGCAGTCGCTCTTCGTCTTATAATCTAAACCTCTCTATTAGCCTGTTATGTAAATTTAAATTCAAATCTTAGGAACCTTTATAGTATTCTCTTCCAGTGTAGCTCTGGCCCTGAGGAAGGCTAATTTTGTTATTGGCCACCCATTTGGCCTCAAAGAAATCAGCCCTTTTCCATATTGCCAGCCTTGCATTCATTTTTCTTTTAATTCTCATTTACATACTTATCAGTAAACAATAACAAAGGAAAAGGATACGAGAGGGCCAAAGCAGCAAGGAGAAACAAAAAGGTTGTACGACGATCATAGGTAGATAGATGGGGGCAGGGATAGTTCTGTGTAGAACTCGCCTCCCACCAATGTAGCCTCGAGACAGGCCGCATCGACATGCCATATGCGGGTTGAGCTTGTTCTCTTCTCCGACTGGTTTTTCGTCTGGTTACCTGGGCTGCCCCCCTCTCATAAGCAAACATTCCAAATTCAAATTCGATCACAAAAAGTAGGTTCGATTACCAACCGCTGTTCGGGAAATAAGCCCGCGCCCAACCAGCGGAAATCGAGCCTATGAGGAAAGTGTCTCCAATTATTTGTGGGCACTTTGAAAAATGACCCTTACATTCTGAGCTTTCTCCCAAAGTCGAACACTCTTGGATCTCAGACATTTCTAGCGATCAATTTTAGGGAAGAGTTTTGCCTTACGGTTGATCCACAGCAAAGGGTTGAGGCTCGTCCGTGACATCTGATCTTACTACTGTTCATATACAATAAAGAAAAGACACGTACTGTCGTCTCTTCGTCCGCCACATCACTATTACCATGAAAAAACAGTTTTTTATTCCAATTTAGGTAATCCTTCACCGTATTACGACAGTTTGTCTTTCTGTGTGTCTTTATTTTTGTCTCTCTCCCTCCGTTCAGGCACAGTTTCCGTTCGTCGCAAACTCCAGAGGAAGTCCAACTATCGCCTGCGAGTGAAGGCAAGCATTGATAATGTCATTTCAGGCTATGTCATGGTCATTATCAGAGTTACAAGCGCGCAAAAGAGACGACCCCAACCGAGAGTGGATCAAGGCCTAAAATTCCCCAGTCCTATATACTCTGTTATTATCCCGTGCAGCATGGTCGTTGGACAGACCATCCTTCACCTGCGCGTAGAAAAAAGCAAACACTTAAAGAACTCAACTGTACGCTATAGATTGCATTCTATAGATCCTTTTCACGGAAAACCTCATTTTAGTCTGCATCCCGCGAAAGGCTTTCTCAGAATCAGCAAAGAACTCACAGAACTGGTCTCTGGCGAAAAAGCCTCAAGCTTCGTGCTACAAGTTGTTGCTCGGACTCAAGAAAAACCAAATGTGTTCGAGTCGACGCAGGTGTCTGTCGTGGTGGTACCTGATTACGCTGGCAATGGATTCGTGAAGTCCTCCATGGCTGCGGTTAAAAACAAGTCGGCATCTGTGGACCGCTCTGAACGGCTAAGGTCTCAGAAGAACGAGACGTTTTCAGATGATTTCAAATCACCTCTAAGGAGAACAGAATTTTCCTTGCATCGCATGTTTCGGCGACCGTCCACCGAAGCCCAGAAGATTTCAAAGGCAGACTTACAATTCAACAAGATTATTGGAGAGATAAAGCGCGAAATAGCAACACAACTAATAGGTAATTTATTGCTGGTCTTTTTAAAGTTCCTTTTACAAAACTTCCTTATTCCATTATAAACTTCTCCCTTAGCCAGACACTCCCCCGCGCCTAGCACTTCTACCGCTATTCTTTCCTTCTTCGAAGGGTGGTTGAGCTACTTCTGAAAATTTTTGAAAAAATGAAAAAGAAAAGAGAACTCTAGTTATAGATATACTCATACCTTCTTAATGGTAAACAGAGTATCAGGAGATGCAGCACTTCTGTCTTCCCCCTTCTGCCCTTTCCCTTAGATCTCTTTGTTAAAGCCTGGTGCTAAGACTGCTGCCGGGCTCCCTAATCAGTTTCGGTTTAGTGATCAGCTCATTAACTTTGCATTCTCGATAGAGGCCACGCTAAAACATCTTAAGCTTTATGCCAGAGGTTTGCCAAAGAGGTATCATTTGAATGGTAACACCACAGGATTTCGTCCAGAGATGCATGAGTTAGAATGACAAATCATCTTACCTTACTGTACTCGGTCTAGGAATGAAAGGGTATAATAAAGGCTATAAATCCTTTCAGCCGTAATGAGGGGTCTTCCTATTTCTTGCCTTAGATGATCGTGGTCGTTCAGGTGTGGTATCCGTAAGACTTGGGGCAAGCTCTATTGCCTCTGCTTCCAAACTGTCTCAGATCATCAAAGAGGTCAACTGTACTTTACCTGTAGCCAACTGTTCTGACACTGAGTATCACTCGCGCTACCGAACGTTTGACGGCACCTGTAATAACCTTGACAATCCCACATGGGGAGCCGCGACAACACCCTTTACTAGGATACTGGACCCAATCTACTACGATGTGAATGGACTGTCAGATCCGGTTGGATTCCCCGATCAGCCGTATGCGCCAGATCTTCCATCACCGCACCGCGTAAGCAAAGAGTTTCTTATTCACGTTACGGAGGCTACTGGAAACAAGAACAACTACTCGCATATGCTAATGCAGTGGGGACAGTTCTTGGACCATGACATTTCTTTTACAGCAGAGAGCGAAGGTGGTGAAAAATGTTTTTTGCCAAAGTAGGTTTACATTTTACTGCTCTTTTTGTCAGAACTAATAATTTTATTTGAGCATGTTTTCTGAATTCACCATTTGCACATCTCCCGTAATGGATAGAGAAAACTAGGTCTAGTTTTGGGTATACCTTACGACAAAATTTTCTTGATTCTTCGATGGTCTAATCAGAAAATTAATATTAATAGCTCTAAGGGAATTCATAGCAGAACTGGGTAGAAAATTGAATTTGCGACGTCGAAATTGGATTTGGCTGAGTTGTTACGAAATGTTTTCCTTACTATCGTTTAGGTAAATCTTCGTGTTCTTATGTAAGTAATATAATACTGTGTCTGTTCCTTTAGCTGTGATGGATCATTTGAAGATTTTGAGCCTCCTTGCTTTCCAATAATGTATCCAGATGAGTCTGGGTGTACTATGTTTACTCGGTCAGCGGCCGCATGCCAAAATGATAACGAGAATGTAACGCCTCGGGAGCAGCTGAATACTATCACCTCGTTTATCGATGGATCACAAATATATGGCTCAAGCAATCACGTAGCTGAGCGTCTTAGAGACTTTGAATGTAAGTATTAAAGCACTGACCGAGTGGAGTAGAAAATTTTCACCGGACTGATTTCCAAAATTTTACTGTAGGCGTCTCCCTTTTCCCGGGTGATGGGTACAAAAAAATATTTTCCGTCCACAATTTGTCTTCCCACAAAACCCGGGTGATGGGTAACGGGGAAAAATATTCCTTGGCCGAGTTCACATTTTTCTAAACCGTCTGAAAGACAGACAGGGAGTACTGTGGTGTGTCCAGTACCAGTCATTGTTAATAATTTTTTCCACGTTGGGTGTTTGTATCATACCTGCCGTTCCATTTGCCTTGCCTTTTGATCCTCAGCAAACAAAGGTACCATGAGAATAACTCGGCCGAGATATCTCCTACCACATGTGCAGTCACCGTTCAAGCCGCCCCTTAACCTGTGTCAATTATTCGGTGGATGTTTCGATGCTGGCGACTTCAGAGTCAACGAACAGATCGCACTCGCATCCATGCATACCTTGTGGGTCAGAGAGCACAACCGAATAGCAGAGAGTCTTAACCAAATCAACAAACACTGGAATGCGGAAAAGGTATACCAAGAGACTAGAAAAATAGTCGGGGCCGTGCTTCAGCACATAACATATAATCATTACCTACCGAAAATTCTGGGTGACAAGGCCTTACCACTTTATCGAGGATACAAAAATGTACACCCTGGCGTCCTGAATGTGTTTGCGGCCTCCGCGTTTAGGTTCGGCCACAGTATGGTAAGACCAAAGTTTTCAATGCTTGATGCAAATTTTGATCCGATTGCTCCAGAAGTGCCTCTCATCGAGGCGTTTTTCAATAACAAACTTGTGCAGGGAGAAGGCATTGAACCTGTTCTCCTTGGACTTGTAGCCAACGATTCGCAGGGCACCAACCGAATAATGGCCGCTGGGCTTACAAAGCAGCTGTTCCAGCAGCCTGAATCTGAACATGGCTTTGATCTGGCGGCACTCAATATCCAACGCGGCCGTGACCATGGTCTTCCGGGGTACGGTGCCTGGAGACGCCAATGCAATCTCTCACACGCAGACATTTTTCAAGAAACAAACTTTGAAATCAAAGATGCTACAGTTAGGAAGTTACTGCACGACTTGTACGAAGACGTGGAATATGCGGACCTGTGGGTGGCAGGTCTGGCTGAAGACCCTATACCAGGTGCCATGGTTGGCCCCACGTTTCACTGTATTATCAAAGAACAATTTCGTCGGCTACGTGATGGTGATCGTTTCTGGTTCGAAAACCAAGGGGTTTTTAGCGATGAACAAATTGCTGAAATCCATAAGACTTCATTGTCACGAGTGTTATGCGATAACGTGTTTGGCATTGTTTCTGTTCAGCGAGATGCCTTCATCACCGCAACTGATGAACTGAAGCGTGTTGAATGTACGGGGATCCCTGGTATGGACTTAAGAAAGTGGAGAGAAAGTCAACCTTCACCACCAGCAACATGTAAGTGTCTTAATCTTCTTCTTCTTTTGAGTGCATTTAAAGTTATGGAAGTTTTTGGAGTCTCAAAGCCACCATTATAACGATTACTGTTACCATAGAAATTTGTTCCTCAGCCGATCGAGCTGGCATGACTGTCCGTATGGGCTGCATTTCTAGTGCGTCACTGGTTTCCTTAATTGTACGCATGCAGAGCTTACTGTCTACGTTTCATTTTTCTGGCCGAGAAAAAAAAAATGAAAAGGAAATACAATAATAAAAATAACAAGTTTTCGTGCAAGGATTAACTTGCAACGGTTATGTGCCCAGTTGTCCAGTGAAGGTTCTCACGACGCTTTTTACATTCAAGACCATAGATTATTTCACGTTACGACTTACGTCGCTGTTCTTTTTATTTGCAAGTATAACACTGCCACTCACAATTTAAATCAATCAAATCTCTTACGATAATCATTTAATTGATTACATTACTCTCAAGCAATGAACAACGAAGAATGCTTTGCTTGATTTTTCAGATGGAACCTGGTCATCATGGGTATACACAGTCAGGAAGCCGACGGGAAGCTGGGCTGTGGCGCTAAATGGTGACCTGTGTTCTACGTCTGTGATGGATATAGAGTGTCAGCGAGCCGACGGCTCGGCAGCTCAGCTGACAGGGCAGGTTATTCATTGTAAAGAGCGTGTGGGTGTATACTGCAGAAACACTGAACAGACCGGACCTAACAAAATCTGTGACGACTATCGCTTTAGATTTTTGTGTTCCAACATAGAAAGACCAGGTGAGTTTATAGACCTAAAAGTTTTTTCCAAGGTGCACTCTGACAATAGAGTCTTTAAGATCCAACGACGCGGACGGTAACGAGAACGTAAAAAAAACCAATAGCTTTGATTAGCAAAACAACAACTTTGCACGTGCACCATGCTTTTTTGTACATTTCTCCGCCCGTTTTGCACGACTACCAAGGACGTAAACAAGCAACGACGAAATTTTATTTCTCTTACTGTACTTGGATATGGTGCCTAGGAATTCAGCTCCAGGAGGGTTCGCCTACATTCGACAAAGTAAGTGGGTAGGAATAATTGCGACAAAGACTGAAAGAACGTAAATTCACTTTTTAAGCGACGTTCTCATTACCGTCACGTCGTTGGATCTTAAAGTCCCTATTAGCCTGCGTCGCAGACGCTCTAAATCTTCTATGTAGACAATACAAATGGTTTAGACGAGTGCGTGGGCCGGCTGCAAAGCAGGCTATCTGATAAACGATTTTCTAAACTTTTACTTGCTGTGATTCCCCGTTTTTTGGAAACGTTCCGACATCCTTTTCAATAGAGCAAATGCATTTCTTCTCCTTTCTTCTATGCACAGGCTCCACTATCTTTTCCCTTAAAGAAAATCTGCGAAAAAGTGAGTGCAGCAGTAGAATAGGCCATTTTCAAGGTCATGACAATATTTGACTACAACTATCAGAATCAATTTCGTTATTGCTTTCTAATTTAAATTTGTCAATACCACCGAGGTTTAAAAAACAATATCCTTAATTTGCACAAGTAAACAACAAATTGCAGGATTCTGGTAGTCGTAGTAAGATGACGTCATCATGCGATTGTCCTATCACGTGGTAGGGCATGAGAGGAGGATAGCTGCGTTTACTTTCGCGTCAGCACTCACTTTGCAAGGAAAATTATAACACCCCATGAAACCCTGCGAAGGAGAGATGCTCTACACGTTGTGCTTGGCGTTTGTGAACCAATAGCTATCCGACCACGCTCTGCGCCAGGCAACTTCATCTATGTACCTTGTAATCAACAGCTACCACAACAGGTATTGAAACTTCGATGTCTTGTAATGACCAGTAGGTTCTTAATTTATTGGAACTTTTAATTTGTTTGTCTATTACCGAGATCACTCACAGAATAGGTTGTCAAGGCTTTCAGATAAAGAATGATATTCCCTTGTGTAATTTTTCAAATAATACTCTCTCTTGTTTTTTTAATTTTATTTGAAAGTATCATATTAAGAGTCAGTTGGTCTTCATTTTTTTTAATTTTTCAGTGTCGCAGGAATTCACAGCCTTAGAGACTTCAACATTTAATTCAAAACTTGCAACACAATGCGACACAGGTAAGAATTAAGTAAACACTAATTTTACTTAGGGTATAGAATCTTATTGTTACAGCCATGACCATTCATAACTGACATGGACAACAATGAACTAATCACTTCTCGAAACACAGCGATAAAGTTCTTCGTCAAGCAAAGAAATTACGCGCAAACAAGTTTCATATTTTGGCCTTGCTTCTTCCTTGCTTCTTATTGGCTAATTAGGAGGCGTCAGTTATTTGTTTAAGCCAATGAAAAAGTAAGAGCATTGCGCGTTCGAGATTATATCTTTTATAAACGAGGAATTTAGTTGTTTCTATTCATTTTTATTATCACTCTTCCTTAAACGATCAGACGTTGTTTCTTAAATTAACAGGCAATGTTTCACTTATACAGTGGGTTGCTAATACCATGGAATCCACCGTACGGCCGGGCCATCAAAATACACTCTGCGTGAAAGATTTAGAAAGGGACGTCCGCATACTAATTATTTTAATAGTAGTTAGGGAATATTATTAGGATGCTGATATACAAGTTCGGTCTTCGTCTAGCACATGTCTGTTTGCAAACTTATTCTCGAGAATCATAGTCAGCTTCCATAGTCGTATGGCACAACTGCTGAAACTAAATTTTCTTAATAGGGAGACACCCGACCGACTTTCCTTTATCATTCAAAGTAATTCAACACGTCACCATAAGCCATGCTTATAGCACCGAGCTGAGCAGAAAACACATGTTCGCGGGAAAGAACAAAGGAGAACCCAAGAAGCGCTTTCTAATTGCTTTCGATACAAAGAAAATTACACGGAGAGCCATAGTACACTCAGCAAAACTGTATCTTTATCTGGCTGGATTTGGTATTAGTGATGTGGGAGATGACGTGGCATCAATTCCAGCCAATACATTGGAGGTTTATCAGATCATCAGCACAGACTGGAATCCTAAGAACACGACCAGTGTGATTCCATGGCATCAAGATTATCTGGGGATTGGAAAAGACGTCTCAAAGATTAAGTACGTGAACGATTTTTTTTTTTTAATTTAAACGTCAAAAACAATTTGTGAAGTTTACTTTGCTCTTCGAACAGAGACTTTGTTTTAGTATACCTCTCCCCAGCCAAAAAGCGAGACCTTAGTGTAAATTAAAGAAAGAGAATCGTAGACCAACTTTGTCCGTTTGTAACTAGTGGAACTGATACGGCAAGTCTCCTTATTCGAGTCTGTGTATAGATGCCCTTCCCCACCCCCAGCCCCCGCATTCAGGATTTTTTTCCGCAGGGTAGGGGGCTGATTTAACCTCTAAAACATCCGGTTCGATTGCGCCCATTCTGGCGTTTAAATCTACAAGTATCAAAATTGGGTAGCACGACCTCCTCCCTACTGCCTATAAACCCCTGCCTTAATCTTCAACCTTTTTTAAATGTCAAAACGTTTGATTTCGTTTACACAGGATAGCAGAAAGTGATGTTATTCGACCAGGAGATGGGCAACGATGGATTGAATTGGATGTTCAACATGCTATAATAAACTGGCAAATACGACAACAGCCAAATTATGGGCTGATGTTCAAGAGCAAAAGGGAATCTAATGCAAACGCAGTGATGAGATTCGCTTCTAGTGATCATCCCCTTGGTGACATACACCCCAAGCTTGTCGTGTGTGTTAGTGTCCCTCCGTGGTAGCTAATACTCAGAACAGAGCTAGCTGTTTTAACTTAGTTATTTTTCACCTGTTTTGTGGAAGAAATCTCTACGGACTAGAACCCAGACCACATTTGTCAGGGAGGAAAGAGCTCTCAACACTGGCCCATCGTTTTAAATGAAATGAGAAAATGCAGTCGCACCATGTCAGACATTATAATACTAAACTTCTGTGATACAGTCTACTGCTTGCATTAACTTAGTGTTGGCAATGTTCTCAAAAAATTTATAGTAAGGAGATCTCAATTTGGTCTGAAAAAGATAAAAAAGGGCGGTTGCTAATTGAACGGACAAGTTATTGAAGCCGATAAGGAAGTAGAGTTAAGTTTTTTAATTGTTTATCTCTTTTACGAATACCACCTTGTTTTGGGTGCCGCGAAATTCTTGCGATTCGGATTTCAAGACAACGCTGAGCGGATATGATCCGAAATAAGAGTCTGTGTGAGTGACGCATTAGTCTCACACATAAAACGAACCAAGTTCATAATTAAGTTTCAAATACATGACGAGAGCTACACGATGAGACGACCTTTGTAGTGTAATAGTTGTTGTGTATTATATACATGCGTTATCCAATTTTGAAATTGTTAAAAGCCTCCTCTAAACAAACCCTTCACTAAAGAGAATTATTCCCCAGCAGACGACTGCTTCATAGACTAAAACAAACACGTATTGACGTTATCAGCAGAAAATAGCTGAATTTCCTTATTAAAATATTAATAAGTAAGGTCAAAGTGAAGTATATGAGGGCTCATAAAACTGAAAAAAGCCTTTGTCCTTTGAGTGAAATGGCAACAAGAATTTAAATCCATTTAATTAAAATGTTACAGTTTAATTGTGGTCATGATGGACAAGTAGCGCTGATGATCTTTCAGATATTGCTCTCCAACTTTAAAGATTCGACGTGTTTTTCAATAACGTAGCATTGGGTCAGTCAATTTCACTTCCTTTCTCTGTGCGATTCGCATTAACAATATGTGGCTTTTTCTTTATTTACAACGTGAAGATCGGTCTCTATATCCTTAGGATATTTTTTAGTGTTTTCAAGGGTGAAGTGTTTTTAATATCGTTTTTTCGCAACTTAAATTACATACTCCCGACCCACTGCAGTTACTCTTCTTTCTTTCTTTACCTTCTCAGTGATGAGAAATGGTTCTTTTGTGTGTCTGCTTCCTTGTTGATACTTTTCTCAGTAACCCTTTAATTTTAGTTGTACAAGAGCGGAAACAGGGCAAACTGCCAGGGCCGGTTGTATTATAAACGGCCTTTCATGTAACCCCCAAACTGACTGGCAAGACAAAATTCAGTCAAAAGTACGACGGGATCGTTCGGTTTACTCCAAGATTCGTCTAACAAAAACTGTCGGACCTTTTAAAGCCTTATCCATATGTATAGAACTTCCACTTTCATACACAGGGTTTATCTTAATTTCATTAGGTTTTGGTGGTTTTTGTCCAGTAACTGGTTCGATTCATCTAAATCATTTCAGAATCACAGTGGAAGAAATGTATTTCAGGGAACAATCTTTTCTTTTTTCGGTTAGCCCAAGACAGCTTGAAGCACCCATATAGATTTCCACTAAATTATAATACAAAAACTGTGTACAGTCAAACCTCGTTAATGCAGACACTGAGGGGGCCATGCGAAGTGTCCGCATTAAACGGGTTGAATTTAGAGAGAAATGTAAGGCTTTACTCAGGTACAAAGAAAACTGTCCCTGTAAATAATGCCCTGTCCGAATTAAGAGGGTGTCCGTCCCGGGGGGGGGTGTACTGCCGTATATGGGCTATATAGGTATGTGCCGCTGTGAAGAGTATGGTTTTCAAGCAGTTTACCCTAAGATAGGGTATATAAATCAGAGCGTTTGGGTCTAGAATAGGGTATCATTTTTCAGGAAACTGATCAGTTGGTTGAAGATTCTATCTAGACTAGGGATTGTGGTATAAGGTTTTGTTTTGGTCGTGCTAGTGACCTCAGTAGTTTCTGGAAAACAGCTACTCTAGGATAGGGGTGATTTGGGGAGTTTACTCTAGTATAGGGGAGTAAAATTTATCTGAACTAGCTCTGGTATAGGTTAAGGGTTCCAGGGTTCCAGCGGCACATCCCCACCGAGAAATTCCTAAAGTACCCCCCTCGCCGGGTGTGTCCGTAAAGCGGGCTTTGGCTGTATAATATTTTGTCTTCCGCCTCCACTATTCATGTTCAGCTTAGGAACTAGTTGTGGAAAATATGAATACTTATTATTCTCTGGAACTTAACAACTTGTCGTCCTCCAAACAGGGGACGTCAAAGCTAAGTATGAACCTCTCAGCAGACATTCCAGGACATAATAAACCCTTTTAGTTGTACAGTAATTGGATTAGAGGAGGTATATGACCCTTCATGGTCACGACATGATAAATATCCCTACAAGTCCCAAGAATGACCAACATCAATTTTCTCCTAACAATTTCAATACCTAATCGAAAGTGCTTTGATCTTTGAACAAATTCTCTCAACTAGTCTTTCAAGGAAACGTATAGAGATCAGTATTGAGAATTTGTATGTGGATATTGGAGTGTAAAGGGACATACCATGAGGTATATCTTTCTCTTTATGTAAATGCTTCTGCAGTCTTTGTTTATACAAAATGCATTCTTGAAATCGCACTCACCTAGAACAAGGGTTGATACTTGGTAGTAATGCAAACACAGGCTATACTTTAATTTACCGCCGCCCAGTTAGATCAAGCAATGGATAAGCGCCGGTCTGCTGAGCAAGGGGCCGTAGGTTCAAACCCCGGCTGGACCAACACTCAGAGTCTTTAAATAACTGAGGAGAAAGTGCTGCCTTTGTAATAACATCTGCAAACGGTTAGACTTTCTATTCTTCTCGGATAAGGACGATAAACCTTAGGTCCCGTCTCACAAGCCCTTGTACATGTAATAAATCTGTGGGACGTTAAAGAACCCACACACTCTTCGTAAAGAGTAGGGAACATAGTGCCCAGTGTAGTTGTCTATCTCACTTTCTCACTAATGTATAGGGGCATCATTACTCATTCCTTCATTACTTGCAAACTCCACCTTAAGCAGTCTGGCAAAAGTCCCAACCAGTGTTGTAAATTATCCCTGAAAAGCCCTGAGGGGAGTGGATAATAAGATATTTACTATTACTTACTATTTACTATTACTTACTGCCCCGCCACTGAAGTTTCATCGATAACATTAAAAAAATCAAGTCTTTTATTCTTACTCGTGGCCAAGGGGTTTTATAATGTTAGTTTAAATCGTTGCACATGGGTCCATAAAATGAGAAAAGACGGTAGGCATGACGAACTAGCTTTTGCCCGTTCCATTTGCCAAGATACTAGGATAATTGGCCAGACTCACGCCAAACAAATACACAAAATTCATGATCATAATTGAAATTCGAAAACTAAGAAATAAGCTGGAATTGTGACGCAGGAAACGGCAATGATGTGAGTCTGCCGCGAGTCGGACTTAAGAAAGCTACATGAGAAAAAGAACTGCCCTTTTTTTCCTTACAGAGGTTGTCAAGCGGAAATGGCAAGAACACACAAAACGGCGTCGGCTCGACTCGGCAACATCGCAATTATTTTGGTCATTTAGTGGAGTGCCCCTCGACATATTTACACAAATCAAGAAGGCCGTATTTCCTGGTAAATTAATACAAACTTATAAACGCGCGAATTCGCCTTCGAAAAAAGCGACATTTTGCGGTCTTGTGGTTGATGGTTTTTAGATCGGCTTTTCATTAAAGGATTTTTGTTAACTAGCAATTTATATGTAAGGCGATTAAGATCGATCGTAATGCTAAAGTCAATATAAACTAGACAATTCTGCACACAATCTAGGGGCGCGAGTACATCGAAGATAGCAACATACCCACTATCTTGTTCTTTCAGTCCTACCTCCTTTATAAACTTTCTCCTGTTTTTACTAGTATTTCTTGATTAGCCTATTGGGCAATCTAATAGGCGTTTTCTTTCTAGGCTCCAGTTCGTCTTTAGTAACGGCGCATGCGCAGTGATTGGATACAGAGAGGTTCCCGGCTCGCTATTTCATGTTTTCATACTTGGCAAAAAGAATGAAAAAAAAAATCGTAAATACCAGTTTAACATGTCGAAAAGGTGTAACACAGAATTGATTCACGCGTTTGGTTCCCGTTCCTTAAACCACGGAAAACGTTTGAATCCAAAATCAACCTCTAAAAAAATGCTAACATTCACCGCGCTATAATGCTTGTATGGAAAAATTCAGCCTACTCTAGAATACGAAAAACTTAGATTAGAAAAAATAGATTCTGCCTGGGGCCAAAACGTTTAGTTCTATTTTCCATATATTTTTTTCCTTCGAAAAGTGCCCGCCTTGATAGTTTTTTCGCATTCGTGACTAGGTTATTAATTAAGGCGAACAGCTATTATTTGTCTTGATTCACGTGTTAATGGCCCTGACGGGATACAATTAAAGACGGTGAAAATGACCGACATGGCGCCGAGAACTTTGACACCAGTTACTGGTTGGACCTGAGTGGCGCCCAACACTAGATGAGAAACGTGCTTATTCACGAAAATAGCTGTAGACAGTAAGATAATGAGAAGTTCGTGAGCTTCATTAGTGGCATCATGTGTTTGCGTTTTATAGCATTTGACATGACTGACATTTTAGCGACGCAAAAATTTGGTACTTGGTACTTTGGTACCCAGTTTTGTGAGCAAAGAGGAAGAAACCAAATCCTAAATGGCCTGTACGTGCAACTAAATCGTTTCTGAGAGTAGAGGCCATGGCATTTTCTTTTAGGTGATCTTCTTTCCTACTGATCGCGCCAAGTTAAACATAAAAACTTGCTTTTCGGCTACTGTTAAAAGGTCCGCCAGTTTTTATTGGCGACGGGCTGGCAGTTTACTGATTAGGCCGGATTATTACATGGACATTAATTGCCGTTTGTTTGTATAATTGACATCTGTTAACCGTGTAATTATATCAACTGGTAGATCAGTCTACATGAGAAACAAACACGCGCTACAGAAACCGCGCGCATGCCTTGGTTTTCCGATTCTAAAATTTGTGAAGAAAGACATGTCAATCGATATCTTAAAAAAATACAGATAACAAGTCTTTATTACCTCCCAATCTTTTATAAGTACATTTAAACTTACAAAAAAATTGTGTAGAATCCAAACAATAGAGATTGAAATGCCCTTGTTTCTGTATCCCTTCATGTTTACCCCATTTATAAGGCGTTACAGGACGGGGAATATAATATGACATCAGCCTGTTATTATTTTCTAGTCACGTTATTACCATGCCTTGCCGGAGTTCATAAATTCTATGTGGCTGTCGCTCCTTTGAGTTATTAAACCAGACGTTATTTAACAGCAAGAAGAGATAGAAAAATTTAGTGCTTCCTTTGGACCCAGGGTTTCCCGTTTTTTTTCCCTGTTTTGGTTCCAATTTTGAACTTTTGAGTACCGCCCTTTGGCTTCGCTTTCGTTCCGCACAAATTATTTACATATCTTTCACTCTACAAAAGATATATTGGGCTTACTTTAATGCCTACATTGAAATACTGTTTATTGAAACCTGACTTGTTAGCTTTCTCACATGATTAATGATTAGAACCTCCTAAACAGAAAAGGTGTGACGCTGTGTATGCGCGTAGACTTAGTGGCGAACATTTAATTCCCTTGTTTATTTGTCTTCAACGCGAATGTAAGCCACATCTTTCTATAATGCCAAGCAGAACTTGTTGCTTGGATTCAGAACTTTATCTTGCATTAGTCTTTTTTTGTTTTGTTTTGTAGAAATGAGGATATCTACAAAGAGAATGCCAACATGGAAGAAAGCGGTGACTGCAGAAGTATATGATAGAAGTCTAATCAAATAGTGTAATGAACGACGCACGTTGATAGGATAAAAATGGTAAAATCTTTTAAACTAACAAAAGTTTATCTAAAAAGGAATTACACCCATATAGGCAGTTATGCGAAAAGAAGAAAAAAACCGTGAAGACCATTAGAATTTACGACTTTTTGCTCGAAATTACACACATTACAAAGCATTTCCTAACAAGCGGCAATGATCCAAGATTTTTTTTGTGAAACGATAAAACATTTGCCTAGGTTTTATTTTAAAAGTGCACCGCCAATGTCAAAAACGCAATAATTTCGTCTCATCGTGCGAGTTTCTGACTTTGATTAATGGGGGTTGCCGTCGATATTTTTGCCGAGGCCAAAGCTATGATATTGGATTTCCTACACGTACAAGTTAGCATACTGTTTTTTTATGAGCTAAATTTAGTGTTTAACTGATGTTTCCAGTTTGAGATGAATTTAAACGCGATAAGATAAGCAATTTTGGTTCTTCAACGACCACCAAGCACACTCGCACTCGCGCTCAATGTGTTAAAAGAAAAACCGCATCTTCAAGCAAAAGAGCGCGTTTCCTGCTATACGGCGCAATTATTACTTAACGTTTAGACTAGGAACAATTGTCAACGGCTAAATTTCGGTAATCAGCCGCATTAGCTGTAATCGATTATCTCATTATAGTTACTGCCGAGTCCACATTGTGTAATGATACGCACTAGTTACAGGAAGAATATTTACTCGTATGGTTTCTACTGATTGGCTGGAAAAGCAACCTGTAAAGGAATGCCAAATGCCGATCAAAGATGATTTATTAAATAACCAATTTAAGTACTGTTCAGTTCACTCTGAAGAGTGCGTGCGATAAACTTGACTTCTAAAGTACTTCGGTCAGCAATGGAAGGCTCTTCAATGTATACCATTCTCTTCGTGATTTTAGCGTAAGTAAACGCCTTTTGTAGTGTCGTTTTAAAATGTGGTTTGAAGGAGCTTTTTTGCCTTTAAGTAGCTTTAAGTGAAAAAGACATTTTCTGTTAGTGCAATCCTTTTGTACCTCATTAAGATTTGAAACGCTTGAGTGTGTCAATGGCTTATTTTACGGACTTCAAACTTTCAAAAAAGTAAACTATTGTAGAGTCCCAAAAAGTTTTTTGTTCAAAAGCTAATATTTATGCAACTCAGTATAATGTGCGTCATAGCGCTTGTATATTTTTAACGTGAGTAAACTGCTACTCGCTAATTCATGGTATGGTCTGAGAGCTGCAAGAATTCCGGTTAGAAATGCTGCTAAATTACCCACGAGCTATGCTGATAACACACCTAGAAGAGAATAAGTTAAAACCATCCTTTATAAGATTAAAAGCATATTAGTTATTAACTTATGGAAACGATTTTTATATCACAGACTTTTCACGGTGACTGGATGCGAGGGAGCAAGGCGAAACCCTACAAATCGTGGAAAAGGTGTGTTCTTGTATAATTCAGTTTATTAACTTTTATGTGGGATAAACTAGAACAGCATTTGTTGATGAAAGGGTAAAGGAATAAGCACAGACTTTAAAACAAGGTAGTAAGAACATTTCTACCATCTAATGAATTCGCTTGTGAGCGGGCTTTGAGATTCCAATTGAACACTTAAGACTTCCTGTGGTAGACTATCTGGCGATGCTTACCCAAAAACATTTATTTGCTGCGCCTGGAAAATTACAGAAGTAATTTTTTCATTACTTTGAAAATGACTGTAACTGGGATTATCTGCAAAATGCGAGCATCGTCATAAAAAGAGAACAACTTCAATAGACAGCTTAAGATCGTTCAGAATGCCTACTTCGTGACTTGAAGAGTTGTTTCGGTCTGTCTCTTTTCAAAATTTTCGCACTTTTAATTTGTTTTCTTTGTTACTTAAAAATGTTTGTTCAGGAGCGCTTCTTTTTTTAGCACTTCTAGTTTTATCGCTGATCATGTTTTCCTTTCAGTTTTGTTATATTTTACCGCCGAAATTATGATAGCATATTTTTGGTGGACTTAAATAGTTTTGTTGATACAACGTTCAAAATTAGCTCGCTCTTGCTTAAAGAAGCTTAATTAAGATGATTACATCGATTTGTTCTCGGAAACAACTTTTAAGCTTCGTGATGCTTGAAAAACCAGCGTGGTTTTGATTACTTTGTTTCCACAGCGTATCTTTCTTCTACAACTCTTATACATTTTGCTTCTCGATAAAAAAACCATTCGGTCACATGTCTCATAGAGGCAAAACCTAACCGAGTTTAGAACTAATAATTATGTGCAAAATGCGAGGCTCCATCTAATTTCACTGAAATCGAGGAATAAAGCCGACAGTTTCCACTGTGTCAAAGGCGTTCTTTTAACAGTTTATCGATTCAAATGCGATGCAGACGTAAGTCAAAGACCACCTCGCTCCAAGGTCAGCCAGCTATCATTGAAAATAAGTGTACATCTGTACACAGCAGAAAAACATTGTTATTAGCTAATAATTCACTAATTACATACATGCAAAAAATGCCCACTTTAATTTAGCTTAACGTCTCTAAAATCGTGTTTCGCGTTCTTGTTTGGTGACTGATCTTAAAATGACAGTAGTTGCGGTGCCACAGATTTCTAGTTTATTACGTCTGCAAGAGTGTTTTTTTTTTCCAAGAAATATCAGTATAGAGTCATGAAATTGATTTACCTTGCATTGAGGATTTCAAAAGAGCTCAAAGAATGTTCAATGTGTCCTTTCTGACCAACTGGAAAACCTGAAAACCCAGGACTTGAGATATCAGCATGCTCTCACCTACTTCGGGTTATCCGCTGTCTAGCTGGAAAGATTCCAATCGATGGACTGATTGTATGTCGAGTATTCAAGAAAGCACTTTAAACATTAAGAGTTCTTCAGTTCTCCAAATGACATGTCTGGGTGGCCCGTTAGTAAGCTTGTCAAAAGCTTACAACTATTTTTTCTTAATTCGTCTTGTAAATTTAAAAGATCAGAATCAACATATATCATGATTTATTAGGTTGGGAAACTAACCTTTTTTATTACAAGGATTATAAGGTATTAGCGAAGAGCTCTTTCCGGACTTGGCCAATTTATCTTACTGATAAGCTGAGAAGGTTAAAACGAAGCCTTCTAAGGCACTTTACTGTCGACAATTGGTATTAAATTGCGATAAGAAACCCTGTTCTAGCCTGTTCTATGCATTTAGCAAATTAGCAGATTATTTTGGCAGGAAGATTTTCGGCGTGAGAGCAAAATTTGAAATTAACTTTGTTTCTGTGAAAATGTCTTTGCAAGAAATTGAGTTAAAGTGAGAGAATGTCCATGAAGTTAGAGCCGGCCATTTTTTTGTAAGTTTAAACAACTAAAATCTCTGCAAGCGAGTCATGTAATTTATGCGGTTATTTAATGTACTAGACTCACGTTTATCAGTTCATAGATACAATCAACATACCGGAGGTATTTAAACTCTATTAAGGATGTTACAAACAGCTGCACAGTGACCTTAGTGTAAACAGGCCCAAGATTTACGAGAGGTACCAGTGGCTCTAGCCAACTCCTTGATCTTATTTTAAAACTGGCGTCATCTAAAGGGTTTATGGGTGCGCCCCTGGCTATCCAAGTGTGAGTCTAGACAAATGCCTCAAACGATCGGAAAACGTTGGAATTCCGTGCACCTGTAGCCTGTTACAGGCGTTCAGATAGTTGGGAGAAGCGCGAAACAAATGCCCTCTCTTTTTGCACTTTTCCTTTATTTCGCGCTGCTCCAAACTATCTGAACGCCTGCAACAGTCTAGTGAACCTGTTGACTTGGTAGATGTGACAAATAAACAGTTCAATTCGTTGCGTAGTTCTACGTTAATACAAACAAAATATATTGGGCAGCATATAGGATGGCATCCTTAGCACTGAAGCAAAAGTACAACTTTATGTATGGCCCGGTGCAGAATGTTTTGATTTCGCTCGTAGTGATCAGTAGAAAGTGTTCAGTTGTAAATGTACGTTAAACAATGACAGAAATAAAGCTGGCTTTTTCGGGTTGCGGAAGTCAGAAGAACAACTTCGATGCTCTCTGTTATAATGATCTCGGGTTCTATGATTGATGATATAACAGTTATGCCGAAAAATGTACGGAAGGTAGAGCGATTAGCAGTCACCTTTTCAAATACAGTTAGCTGTTCGCCTTTGCAAAAAAAAAAAATAATAATCACCAGACTTGTAGTTGTCAATAGCGTTAGTAGAACAGAAAAACAGGATTTCCTTGTTTGCTAAAAGAGTTGGTGAAGTTTTAGTACGTTTCAAGTTTAACGATAATTTGCAGACAGAAGTTTAGACTGTTATTTTTTCATCTAATATGGATTCGCTTTAATTCCCAGATGCTCTGAATGAAAATTCTTTTCACTTTTTTTGTCAGTCAGCTTTCATCGGTAGGAACTTGCGCTGATCTTTTTTCGTAGATCCTTCAGTCCGACCCTTTTTTCCACTCCAAATTTTGCAAATAGATTAAGCCTATATTCCTTAGGACAGGACAGCGAGATTCCCAATACTGGAAAGGCTTCTCCTTATGAGTAAGACCATTAAGCTGCTATTATTATTTTGTTATTCGTTCATCGATTCTTCTCCTCACTTTTTTCATTCATTCATTCATTCATTCATCCTTCCATCCATCCATTTATTCATCCATTCATTCATTCATTCATTCATTCATTTATTCAGACAGTCAGTCATTCATATTTGAATGTCTGATTTACTTGTATTTTTTTAGTGTTCATTAACAGATCTTTTGTCTACAGCCACTGTTGCGCCCACGGTCAATTCTTCACTGCTTCTTCGATGCGACAGGAAAACCATTCACTTAACTAAGTCATCTGGAACAATTCGCTCCCCAGGCTACCCCCATGAGTATGCCGAGAATCAGCGCTGTACCTGGCGAGTGCAGGTACCTCGTGGATTCCGCATTAGGATTCGTTTTCGACGTCAGTTTGACATTGAACAATCACCTCATTGCTCCAAGGACTATCTCATGTTGTCCGATAAGAAGAATTTTCGCGACGTTCCCAAATACTGTGGCAGCATGAGACCTAGAAGCAGCTTCTTGGTGCCGCATAACTCCGTCTGGATTCGGTTCCGATCGGACAACAACACAACTGGCAAGGGATTTTACATATCCTACACTTCAGAGGGTAAATACATTCCCTTCACATTTCATCAATCAATCCAAGAAATCAATCAATTAATCATTAGAAACTGTCGTGAAAACTTGTCAATAAGGTGATCCCCGCCATGTTTTCGTAATAACGTAACTCGTATGTAAAATCCCAGCTACCTTTTGCGTCCCGTTTTCTCAAAATTGATCGATTTAGCAAGATTAGTGTAAAATAAACCCTTTTTCCATTATTTTTATGACATGTAAACGTGATGTATCATTCCGTAGTTCGCTTTCATTCTCCTCGCGGAGATTCCAAACGCCAGGCACAGTTACGCCCATTGCTCTCACTCGAATGTCTGTTTGTTACACACCTGTGACGTCACATAGTTACGTGACATAAACTCGATCGTTTTCCGGTCACGCGCAAAATTGCTAGTTTTAATTCGCAATATCGAAAAAATGCTCTTATCGGGAAAAGTAATGTGGAATAATATTTAGTCAAAGTACTTTCCAAAAAAATAAACATAAAGAAATAGATATGAAAAATGGGTATCGAAAACCTAACACCGGTCCTTTAATTCAAGACGCTGCTAACTCAGTCGACCTTTCCTTTGAAGAACTTTCTCACTTATCAAACGAAACACAGCATATATTTTTATCATGGCTGACCTTTAGAGAGTTTTTATGATTTTTAGTGAACGACTCTACGTTACTGAGTGGCCCATTCGATGACCATTTAACCTTCATCAAGGCAAAAATTCAGCAGCAATACGTCTTCGTAGCTCCAGTCAGTTACATTTCATAAATTTTGCTTTTTTGGACTGCTTGAGAGTTTCAAGGGCTACTAAGACCAGATTCATATAACCAATGCCCTGTGTTTCACACTTTATTTTGATACAGATGAAAATGAATGCAAGAAAGACATGTGTACATTCCCAACACTGTGCAGAAATACAGTTGGTAGCTACGAATGTGACTGTCCTCCGGGATATGCCAACAAAGGTCCAAAACAATCAGCGCGGTGTGAAGGTATTTAGCATAGCCATTCCTTAACTTTTCTCCGTCTCCCCGCCAAAAGTGGACAAGTCTATAAGAAAACTGACACCAGGAGATGCTCCCTCCCATTGCTCATTTGTTTTTGTTGACTCCTTAAGGGCACTCTCCAACAGTCACAACTGGCCGGTCGGAAGCTGACAGACGGGTCATTTTGAAAAAAATTAGGATTTTCTGAAGAGTTTTCGCTTAAAAAGCCGTCAACCCTATGAATATACTTAGGAACTGACTGATCTCACTGGTTGCACAGTTTTGGTAAAGAGTGAAATTCTCATTACAAAATCATTTAAATCCGTCGATCGATCGCATGAAGTATTGTTTGAGAATTTTTGTCATTTCAGAGAAATTTTCATCCGAGAGATTTCATCATAGTTAATTGAGTGGAATGGTTATGAAACCCGTCAGACTCCTTTGTTATATGTTTTTGTGGACCTGAAAGTGCACAACGTTCAAAAGAATTCCTATCATTTTGTTTGTATTGACCAATAAAAACGTTGCATTAATATATTCCGTAACAATTTGCCAACAGAAAACAAAGGATTGTGCACTTTCAGGGTGCTTCCAACATAAACTGCAGCACTGTTGTTTTTATCATTGATGTTTGCCGCTTTTCATAACCAGTCTCCTCTAATAACTATGATTTCATGGTGGTTTTAAATTTAGTAAGTTATTTCAATGTTTTATAATTGTAGATATTGACGAGTGCAAAACAGGCAATGGCCGATGTCAGCACAAGTGTGTGAACACAGAGGGAAGCTTTTACTGTATGTGCAAAAAAGGCTATAAACTCGCAGCAGATGAGAGGAGGTGTAAAGGTAACTAGCTTAACGTTGCAGTCACCTGTTGAGTTCAAGATCGGAATTTAAGCGAAGGATGGACACTTCCACGGTTGTTTAAATTCTTGACATGGACCAATCTGGGAAAATCCGTCGACGCCATTGGAAAGAGCGCCTTAAAGTAAGTAAAATTGACAAATTTGAAAGTGATACTTAAGCGAGCTATGATATATATCGCTCCCCAAAGTTGCGAAAATTTACAGACGGTTTGTATGGTGGGAGCAAGTTTGTGCCCTCCACCTTGTGTCTGTAAAACGTCTGTAAAATTTCGTGAATATGAGGAGTTATATCTTTGTTAGTTTTCAACAAATCACTCTCAAACTTGGCAATTTCACTAATTTCAAGGCGTTCTTTTCAGTGGTGTCGACGAATTTTCCCTAACTTGTCCTAAGTTGAAGAAAAAAAACGTACAACGATCTATGGCTTAAAGACTTATTTAATTATGGGATTTCCATCCTAACAGATTACCAATGAAGCCTCGATTCTTAAAGAATTCAATAAACTGTAAAATCTCATGCTACTGCAATACAATCTTTTAGACAACCTTAAAGGTTTGCTCTAGAGTGCTTTATTCTCGATGTCATTGATGATACGCACTTTTGATACGTTTCTAAAAATATTGGTAATGCTACAACCAAATTAAGAATTGCAAACGCCCTAAAAAGTAAATAAATTTTAAAATCGTTTGCATCAAGTAATAGGACTGAATTTCAACGTGTCCCGTCATTCGCACACCGATACCATCGTCAGTTCACAATTGTGAAGAGGACAAACCCTTACTCCTAAGATCTTGAAATATTTTTGGCGTGTAAAAACATAATGAATTATAGAATTATACCATCGTTTGATGTTAAATAGTGTGGTAGCAAGTGGATGTTGATATTTATTCTAAATCTCTAAACACCCAACAAATTGATACATAATTATGGCAGTCTTTGTTGATGTGATCTTGAGGGTCTGTCCAATCACCATTGTGAACGCCGAGAAGGCCTTGGGACCGAGCGCTCAGTTTTTAAGTATGTGTTATACAACTTAGCGATCTCCTTAGATGATCAAAAGAGTGACATATACGCTGAAACCTCTGGGTCAATCAACAGCTACATAAATCAACGAAGATGGGATTGTTGCTCTAGTAAATACGCGAACCTATTGTAGAGCAGAATAGTTATTTGTTCCACACGGATTTAATACATTAAAAAAGGTATACAATGTGTTATAACGGGACGGTTGTACAGGGACCTCAAAGATTCAATTCAAGATTCAATTCAAAGGCAATAAATTAAATTTTTAAATAAATGATAAGTCAATTAGGAGTGTTATACACTGGATGTTTGTTCAATATTTCAAAGCTCATGAGCATTAGATAATTCTCGTTTACTGATGTTGCTGTAATTATAGGTAAATTATTTTCACCTTATGGATACCTTGTTTTTAAATGAAAAACAATATGATTAAATATTTACAAGGCATATAAAGTAAACGCATATACGTTATGTTTACTCTGCTCCATAGCCATCGACTTTACTTGAGAATATGACCTAACGATAGCTAACTATATGAGGGAACCTTGGGTTAAAGCGTGGTTTGCGTTTTCAATAGAGAGGTAATCAGGTACACATTTCCAGGCAGATAAAAGGTCAAAATTTCGAAGAAGATGTAAATTTTAGAAAAAAGGCGAATGGCCAATTTTACAACAAGTACATGATGTATGGTCATGTAATTAATGCATGGTTTTGGGCACTTTTTTTTTCTTGGCTTTTCCCTCATTTTTTTTTGGCCTGATTTTCTTTTATAGACTTGTTTATTAAATTTTCTGCCGAAAAACTGTCATTTGCACCAAGTCAGCTTTACTTGAGATTATTAGCTGAATGCTTACAACATGTGCTGTGTTTTTTTTTTTTTTTTTTTTTGAAATCAGCGTGAAAACGCGACACGTGTGCTGACCAAAAAAAAACAATTAAACAAAGAAAAGGTATACTGAGACAGTTGCAGGATTTATGACATATTAATTTGAGTCACTGCTTTTATTTTCGCTTCACTTTTATTTCAGCAATTCAGATCAACAAACGAGCTTTCTTACTCGATACACAAGCAGGAGATCCCAAATAAACTTGATGTAGGCTAGCAAGGAACTGAACTTTATTAGTTCTCCCTGTTAGAAGAAGTCCTTGCCCGCTGACTTTTCGTGGAACATTTAGGCTATCATATCATACTTCGTAAGGATGAACTAAATTTCCAAGCATGTCATAAAGTTGTCTCCTCTTCGTGAGCCGCGAAAAAGCTTCCCTGAAAAACAGATAATCATACTTAGAGAAATAAGTTCAAAATTATCACGTTACAAACAGTTTTTTTTAAAAGATCACTCAACTTGAATTTTTAAAATTGCCTGTGAGAAAAAATTGCTGGATTTCTGGACTGGGTGCAGTGAACAATACGTTTAAATGACGAAATATAATACACCAGTTTTTAAGACAAGCCTTGCGTGGAAATGAAAACTAGAAAGTGGTCTGAAAAGCCAGGTAGAAAAAGTGAGTTATCTTTATATTTTACAAGGAAAAAAAAAAGAAATTAAAGATGAACAGACGAAAACTGATTTCTCTTTAAGCTTATCATTTTTTCTTGCTCAGTCCATCACTAAGACCAAGTGTAGCGAAAGGCTAGAATGATATAAGTTTAATCTTTTCGTTTAAAAAATCTCGATTTCACCCTGTAATATAAAAAAAATCATTATTTTTCCTGTTCCGAAATGAGGATTTTAGGGCACAACTCGTGCGCCATAAATCCTCAATTTCTCTATAATTATGCCACTTCTGCGTTCATGCTTGAATAGTCTGACGCCTTATTGTCATCGTAAATGACCGACCATCTTTCCCGATAACGCTGATAGCCGTGAACCTATAGTAGGTATAATCAAACAAAATCATATTTATCGCTACAATCCTAAGCTAAATCGCAGTTCCTTTACTTTTGCATCTCTGTCCATAGGAAAGAAAAATGCAAAAACCCTAGTCGTGAATCGAAGCAATCCTTTCCATAGAGTCTTCTCTACTACGGCTAAAATGGAACAGAGAAAACTCTGTTCATAACAACCAAAATACTCGAAAGTCATGGAGAGTCTTTTCGTTTGAAAAGTCTATCTCTACGAAACTAATTGACAAACTGTTTTATAACCGCAAGAAAACAACATGGCTTCCACCTACGCAACAACCTCCGTGGTTTTCACGCCTTTTACACGGATTCACTACCCTTTATATGTCACTGTACTTTGCCCCACCAAAACCTACTTCGACCCAGCCTTCAGTTCTTCGAATATTTTGGCAGGATATGAGCGCCACCCAAATATTAAAACGGCGGAAATCGAGCCAGCCTCTGACCACAAAGATCAAAACTAACAGCTAATAATTATCCGTGATAAACGTTTTCAAAGTGGAGAACCAAGAAGTTAAGTTGTTTGGCATGTGGTGCATGACCCATTGACTCGCAGTAATAGATAAACACGACCGTGAGTGTTTTATGTATCAGGTAAAACGGAAGTCTCGAGCAAAAGTATGCACGGTAATTTGCACCTCGCAAGCAAAACATCACCCTAGTGTTCTTTTGGTGTTCGTTGCTAGTGCGTGTCTGTGAAAAAATCTATGGTCTTTCTTCATGAACTAAATTTGATACTGAATGGAAATAAACTTAACAAACTAACATAAAGATTAAGCGTGACTTGGTTGGAAGCCACTTATCTTGAGGTGACTAGAAAGCCCCTCCAGCACTGTATAGAAAACCACTTTATGGTACCGCCAGTGTAATACCATAGCTTTAATACAAATAAAACACCCTTTTCAATGATGCTTTTATCGGATAATATAACGTCTGAAGTTAAAAATACCCGTCTTGATACTTGTTTGCGGTAGAGAACATCCGTTTCTGCTTTACTAGAACTGTTCTTGGGAATGCTCCAACATGCCAAGTATCGCAAGTGTAACAAGTTTCTTGTTACCGCTGGACTTTGTCCTTATGTATTCTCCTCGGCTTTCATCAGAAGTAACAGTTAAAAGCTCTTGACGAGTTCTAAGGTCAAAACAACTAAAAATCAAGTTACGCTCGCTAGTTTTAAATTTAAATGGAACCTGTCAAATGGCTACCCCGTTGCTTATTCTGTGATGCGGACATTATCTTGTTTCCTATCGCACGGCCGTCTTTCTTCCGCCTGAACATGACAGAGATCTCAGTAATTTGCTTAATGAAAAATATTTAACCCGAACACCTTTTCCTTGCCAGAGCTCCAGTTTGAAGTGTGATTCAATTAGGAACATCCTCGACAACAGTCGTTGGAATTTATGTAACCATATCCTAATGCTATTGAACTCATTAGAATGTCGTTTTTTTTTCTTTTTAGAAATAATTCCTAGTAACCTAACAGCAACGATAAAAATTAGATAAGCAACGTGTTAATAGCACACCATAAGCATTAATAATACCAAATTCAAAGCTATTGCATTAAAATCTCTGGAAACTGTTATTTGAAATAAGGCCTGGTCTGCAATTAGTACTTCAGCACTTATGACACTTTTTTTTTATAAGAATGCCGCTTTTCCGGCCCAGGTTAGCTGAATATTTTTATTTTTCTGACGATTTTAGGCTTTAAATATCCTTGTAAAGCTTAGGACTTTTTCGTTTTAGAATGTATTGGGGTATAAATTACAGTTGATGCAGGTTCTGGTTTTGGTTGCTAGTCTTACCGTTTAGAGAAAGAGCTTTAGCATCGACGACGGCGTCGGCAGCGAAAACGTCACTTAAAATGAATTCGTGTTTTTTCAAACCGCCTCTTTAAAACGTACGTGAAATTAGGCATTTGCACGTCGTCGTAGTCGTGCACTGACGGCAGAGAAATGTACAAAAAGCGTGATGTACGTGCAAAGTTTTTGTTTCAAACGTGTTGCTTTTTTGGCGTTCTCGTTGCTATCGCCGTTGTCGTTGCTTAAGTTCCCTGTTCTTATGAAATCTCATCTTTATGCAGCTAGATGAATCGTCCTCCTACTCATTGTTTTCTTGTTAGCTCGCTTCATTTTCACTCAAAACTCTTACTAGCCTTTGCCCTCTGATAAAATAATTTATGATAATAACTAAGCACTCAACCATCACAGTCTTCGGTACTTTCACTGCACTTGGACAACCACAACTTGAAATTTCCTTATCACGTCGGCTACGTCAGTCCATGGACGACGCAAAAACACGACCAGAAATTTCCCCCTCCCTTTCTAAACTTGGGCGTGGTCCCTAAGAGTTCCACTACAGGGAAATTCACCTACATTTGACATTTAAGCGCGAATAACCGCGAAAAAAAATTGTAAAAACGCGAGTTCATTTTAATAGTGACGTTTCGTTGCCGTCATCACGTGTTTGATACAACTTCCAAAACAACCTGTACACACAACGAGAAGTTTTTCATCACGTATCAAACACGCCACCGGGCACGGTTTACTTTGACTTTGGATTAGTAATGCTGATTTTTAGAAAAGCGTTTGTAATTCAGTATGCACGCATGTTTGCTTTCCAGAGAAAAAAAATTATCAAGCTTGAATCACGAAATTTCTCGCTATACTTTTCATTTTTGTGGTAGAAAGAAACTTCCTTTTTACATTTCGCGTCTCAGCTCGGTGTTCCTTGACATTCATGCAACTAAAGATATTTCCTAACAATGATTGTATCCAGTCTAAAATCAATGAACTGAAATTCCACTACCGATTAACTTTCCAAATTTTAGCTCAAAGAAGCATGATAGCTTTTATGTCAAACTCAATCCGCGCCTCGTACATTGCAGATTTTGTCCCATTTTCAAACAGTAAGCAATAGTCAAGACAGAAACATTCGTTTAAATTTAAAGGCATAAAAACTTCTACCAAAAACTAGTAATTTTCAGTTTGCTTGCTAATTTTCGTGTTTTGTACACATGTACTGAATAGCATAGATCAGTAACGAATACCTGCCCAGCTGTCGTTTAGTCTCTGATGGTTCTAATGAACAGTGGAGTTCCCTATTTTTTACTGAGTATGTTTTACAAGCCTACAATCGAAGATAATGCCTTTATTCTAACCTTCCCATCACTATAATAGTACCAAGTTAACTAGTTTCAAAATAAGTTATATTAACTTACTTGACTGTCGTGTTAATTTTTGCTCTCATGTCCTTCTTTCTTCTCAGCAGATCAAAATGAGTGCAACAGGAACAATGGCGGCTGTTCTCACTTGTGCGTGAATTCTCGATCGTCTCATTACTGTTCCTGCCCTCACGAATACGTCCTTCATTCAGATAAAAAGACCTGCTATCCAGGTAATATGTTTATGCGTTAAATACCTTATAACTGTCGCAAAAAACCGCTAATACAGAGAACTTTTAACTGTGAGTGCTCCCGTTGTGTTCCAGAGAGGCAGAAAAAAGATATGCTAAATTCTTAATATTGCGTTGTTTTCCAGTATGTTACTGAATCCCTTCGCAGGATTAATTGCGTGAGAGAAAGTCTAACCACAACGGAACTGACGAAAAGCCACTACTAGTTACGTTCAGTTCTTCTTTTCCCCGGTGTAAATTAATAAATCAAGGAAATGTCATCGGCAAATTGTCAATTTGCACCAAACTCGCGAAATCCGGCCAAAAAAGATCAATTTTACGGACTTGCTACGTGTCGGTATGGTACTTAGATTCCATTCACAAAAGCCATTATTTCGATTATAGCCAAGGTTTTTACTTGATTCAAACGTATCCCTTATCGGAAAGACGCAATATAAAAGTTACGTAGGTGCTCTACAGTGAATTAGAAAGTAGACATCGCGTTGTGGGTGTGGCTGGGTTTGTTACTCCTAAAAGTCGAAAGAAAACTCTTGGAAACCCTTTTTTCGTGTCGGTCGAATAAAGAGGAATCTCTACAGCGTGGATTACAGTGTAAGAGCAATCTAAAAAGTAGTCTGAAGGTTTTGAGCTTGTTAGTTTGGGATCATGTTAATCCTCTCATTCTAATTCCACTTGTTAACAGCACTCTTGTCATTAATGCTATAAATCTGTTATTGATGCTCGCATCAAAGACACTGAGGAGTGCTCACGAGCTGCATTTTTCTGGTTTTTTAAACTGTTTTGGGAAGAATTAATTGCTTTTTTGCTTGAACACCTTGCATTTCACCTTAGTTCTTGATGAAAAAAAGAATGGAAATCAAGAGATTTTTCAAGCAAAACTAACAGAAATGTTTTACAACTGAAGATTTACTTATGGTCCTCCGTTGAATAAATTTCGGCTTCCCTCAGTTTGGGAAACTCAATAAACAGTTCTGTTTAGTTAAAAATCATATTTAAACCTGTTTGTCTTCGATTAACTTCAATGTGCGTTAAACACTTTACAAAGAGGGTCAGAGTCTTTTAAAGAAATTTGTCAGTGTTTCCGGTATTGCTGTCTCTTATTAAATACTGGTTTTACGGGGATCGTTTTTGCCAGATTGCCTTTTATAGTTAAAGGAGGTTTCCTGGCGTGTCCCTACCGAAATTGGGAATATCACCTTTCTATTGACAGACGTCACTGTCACATGAACCAGAGAGCTTCCTAGTACAGTGCACCTAGGGTTAGTGGTGCCGACTTGCCTATTCTTAGTCGCTCGACTTAACACTATGAAAGGCTTGAACCCAGAGGTCATTTCATAAGTAGGTTGAGTACGATCGTCCGGGTGAACGTAGTCTCCTGAATAGAACTGTTGTTGTTGACAGTGAACAGTTAGTAGTCACAGTTACCGGCACCGTACAAACGACTTATTGACGAAATAAAGCAAACCTAACTACAAGAGAATGACTGGGCAACTGATAATTTGACTAACAGTAAACGATTAACTGTGACGATAGACGGATCGAAACGCACCGATGACATTACGAGTCTTCATAGCCAATAACATCACGGCTTAACTGACAGACGACCAATAACATCACAACTTAATTGACCAATCAGGTCAATAATCAGAGTTTAATACCATCAACTGACGGAATACAACTCACTTTGACTCTGAAGATGACTACCGCACAGGTTGTCGAAACGTCAGTCACTGTCATCAAAAACAGTCCTATTCAAGACTGACTCAAGACTATATGCAACCGGACCATCATACTCAACCTACTGACTTAACTCTCAAGGGCACCCAACGTCAATTTTCGGAAAATTTCTGTTCGGAAGACGAATTGAGATCTGTTCCCTTAGTAAGGCATGCAAACGTCTCTCTTTAAGGCCATCCAAGGGTTGTCCGTCTTAGGCACAGTCTGAACTGTTGTCAAAGAAGATCTAACATCATATTTTATTCCTTTTTCTACTTATAGAAATATCATTCTATGATAAGCAGTACACAGTGACTGTCAGTGAAGATGAACAGCCCAACACCGTGATTACCAAAGTGCAGGCTAGGACATTTCCCCTCACACACAGTATCACCTACACTCTACTGTCAGAAAACCTTAAAAAGCCCTCTCTGTTCGCAATCAACTCTAGAACTGGGGAAATTATGGTCAAACATATACTTGCCAGGGTCAAAGTTCGAAATTTTTTGCTCGAGTTGGAGGCAAGCTTTCAAGTTCCTGATAATCCTGGTGATCGTCAACGTCGATCCACAAAATACTTTCTGCTCATCAACGTTCGAGACCCCCAAAGTGAAAACACGCTTTCTTTTACAAATTCAACATATCACCTAAAGATCCCATGCAACGTGTCTCAAGATGAAACGGTTTTCCGAGTACAAACCGCTGATACAGAGAACAGCAGGCATCTGCGAATAAGATACAGATTTCAAAAGAAACTGGACTACTTCCACATCACGCCTAACGGGAAAATGAAGGTGAAAAGGAGCCTTCTGTTGTACTGCTTTCTTACTCCTGCCAAAACCTTCCAAACCACCCTCATTGCGCGAGACACCAGTGGCGTGAGGAGAAATGCGCACGCTCTGATGCGAATAGTGGTAACTCCACCAGGACAGCTCTACAAAGTTACTGCAAGCGTGATTCCTGACACTAAAAACACCATAACACCCCCACAGCCTGTAAAATCAAGCCATGAGAAATGAACCAACAAATGATGAACCTTGAATCAAAAGAATGACTGGAACAATGCAAGCATTTGCCAGAATAAATTGTAAAGTTAACCTATGTACAGCCGTATTCATGCAAAAGCAAACAAATATGCTATTTAGAATGTAGATAATAATGTAATCGTCAGCATATATGGACAAGTCCACAATAAAATTGTGGTGTGAAAGACGTTAAGGCTGGAATAAAGCCAAGCTCATGAGCGGATTTAACCTGACTTAACTCAGGTTCAAGCTAACATTCTTTAGAACAAATTAATTGCAGGGGTATTAATCTAAGCACGACGGCGACAAGTACCCTTATGGCTTAGTTTCGTCCAGGTTTACCTGTCTACCTTGATGTCTCTAAGGGCAGCAGGAGCATGCGCATTTCATAAACTAAAGGAGAATGGGTACAAGCTTCTGGCGCAACCATCTCTGGTCATATTTTTGTCGAACAATGATTGGTTAATAGTTGCCTTTTGATTCCATCGACCAATCATAACTAGCTTTTGTCCACCCAAACTATCCCAGAAATCGTTGCCCGCAAGCTTGTGGCAAGTCTCCCAGTCGTTTTTAAGATGGCGCATTAGACTATTGACTTCAACAACAAAACATCCTGTATAATATTTGTTTACTCCACTGTTAATCAAACTTTGTTACTTAAGTTTAACATTCAATCTCGGTCTAGAGATTTGACCCAATACAAGCTAAGTCTGAATGGATTGAATTTGTTTACTTTTACAAAAAGAAGCCACGTTTTAATATTACAGAAATAAAGATTGAGTTCTTCTTGATACTTGCATCAATTGAGTGGCATTAATTGTTTACAACATGCGCTTCAACCCGCGCAACTGCGAGCATTTAAGATCTAAGGCCGCATGGCTTACTGGCCGGCTCTAATAAAACTGTTTGAAATAACCGAATACACTGAGTATAGCATTTTTTATTTTATTTGTTATTGCTATCTTGTTGTGACCTTTCTCTAACCTTGCAGCTTACGACTAGCTACATTTTGGCTAAAACTGTTTGCAGTAGCCGTTTTGTTTTCTGAACACATCTCTTATTTCTAACAATTAAAGATGATAATAATAGTAATAATAATAATAATAATAATGATGATGATGATGATGATGATGATGATGATGATGATAATGATGATGTCGATAATGATTTTAATAATGATAATGAGCCCATTTACCAAAGAAAATACCCCATGTTCAACGTGTTTTACTATTAAATTCACTCGCTCCAGCTCAACTCAAGTGAAATAGGTATTGACGAGCAACTAAGGACTTGGCCCGACACACCCCACTCCCTCTGGCTAGCCTGCAATCTTCAGTGGGAGCAAAAGCAGGGAGGTGTCATCAGAACAATGTTGAAGTCATCAGAACAATGCAGAAAGGGACGTTACAATCTCCAGGCCCTGTGAAGGAACCGGAATTAACACGTTAGTCCTGGCTCCCTTTAACCCTGCCGTCACGGTAAAAGATATCTTTGTAGGTTTAAATACTGTATTCTTTTATCTTTTTAACACGTTACTGTTGCCAATCATCACCCCCCAAAATAATTAAAAACTGAGAATTTTAAAACTCAAGTCATTCAGTTCCCCTTCATGACATTTTTTTGGTAATTTCGTAAGGAAAGTGTAATTCAGAACTTTCGAAAAAAAAAACTTTACTTCACGTTTATAAGGCGTTGTATTCGTCAGACATGTAGGGTCATGTCTGAAAACGCATTTTTTTACGCGACTGAATGTTAAGTGTGTTTTGTTGTCTAAGCTAAAGATAATCTTGCGCACTTATTTTTCTCTTTTCATTCAGCGGCATTGTGATGGGGTTATCGGCATGTTGTTAAATTTGTTCCGCATGTGTTAATTTTTTTTGTCTTTTCAGTCTGACCTCGAGCCCCTGGGTCTCACTTCTACCTAAGAATGTTAAGACCATGGATGTTTATTAAATTTTTCTCTTTGGCTACAGTATGTTCTAATCCATTGTTCTATATTGATCATGGACCTTGGTTGTGGAAAATTTCTACCTGCTATTTGCAAAATTATCAGTTTTCTATGCTTTCTATACTTTCGTCCGTAGATCCAATATTATAGCTCTGCTAGTAATCCTGTTCTAATTAAATACCGTGGCCTGTTATACCCAAGAAAGTGTTGTCGGTTTTTGAATTAAGTTTGAACTAATTAAAAAAGTGGAAAACAATCTGAGAAAACGAGCTGATATGTTTATTAATATAAAGCAAAGTTCTCCAGATCACACGTGTTTTCTTTTTTCGGCCTTCTGCTCGAGATTAAATCGCCACCCGTGATATATGATAGAAGATAATAATACTGATTAAAAGAGACTGGGTGGCCGAGTTGCAGAAAGGACAAAGTCTGAGTAAATTGGTGTCTGTAACAGTTTACAAGTATGTTGAACAAGAATTGTTTTTGTTTTTAAATAAAATGAATAGGCTTTGAGCAAATCTATAAATTATTCAACTTTAATCGGATGAACATTTCAGTATTAATATAACATCTAATAGTAGATCACCGCTCATCGTTCTGAACTTCGTTCCGCCTCCAGTCCATGGCCTCGACAAGGTAAAGGTTAAAAAAAGCAAATTATTGAAACGCCGTACGTCCTATTATTTGTTTTTATTAGCTGTTCCTTTAAGAGAAAAATTGAAGTTATACAATGTTTAATCAATCTATATAACAAACGAAACGTAGTCAACAGCTTTTTCAGTTTTAACTTTCCTTCATGAACAACGAGTTTATTTAGCGTTCGTGTTCAAAAGCATCGGGCTTCGTTGGCTAGAAGCCACCGTTCATCTTTTTCTTGGTCATCTGCTGGCCAAGAAAAATTGGAGCCAATAAGTAGATCAACCGTGTCTTATCAGACTACAAAGACGCTTATTATTACACACCTATCTTTTTTATTCTCTTCGCAAGATGAACAGTGGTTTATACCTTGAAGAATACGTCTGATTACTCTGCTGTGTTCGTCAACTCAACTTTCAAGAATGGCCACAGATCTTTGGTTAGCCTTTCAGTACTGCAGGCATCAGAATCTTGACATACCGGACGAATATCAGTAGTCTATAGCTGATTCCAGTTATGTTGCTTCACGTTCTTGGTTTGTTCTTCTCCAACCGTGACTGAGGTATGCACTTGACTTTTTTCTCCGTAAACAACTCTGGTTGTTAACCTTTGTGTTTGGTGGGCGATCCTTCTGTTTTCTGGGATGTGTTACAGGGCTTCTCGAGATGAGATTTCGTTTTCTCCCAAAATTATCCACAAAGACTAAAAGTGGTACAATTCTAATGTATCTGGGACCTCAGTTGGTTCACATTGCATGAGACGCGCGCGGGCGTTGAAGTCGGTAGTACATCGTAGGGTTCACTTTATCAGTGTCTCGGTAGTCTCCCCTCTCATTTACTTTTGGAACCTTTCGTTTGTCTTCTTTAAATCTGAGTTACTTTTGTTAGCTACAATTAGAGGTTATGCATTGAGCTAGTTCGTCAGCCTATATAATTTGTTTAGGACTCAAGTTTACCGCGGTTTCTCTTAATTTAGATTGAAAGTTCCTCACGCATAATACTTGCCCGGTATTCTCCCTAGCGTAGCCATTTTTGTTTATCAGTGGTGTATGTGTAATAAGAATTATATGTTCCACCCTCAAAAATTGCAAAAGAGAAGTGCCGAGGATTTTCTACTACGTGGGAATATTTAATGTTGTTAAGTTTAATCTTCTAAGGAATGTCCTGCCATGACTTTAAAACGTTCGGCCGCAGTCAAAACGGATAGCTGATCTCTTTAATTTACGGAAGTTCTCCATTGTAACACTAACTTATCAGGAGTGAACGCATTCCTGCCTCAGTATTTTGGTTTCCTTGATGCTGCCAAGGAGCTGGCTACCTCCTAATTTTTTACTTCTCTCTTAATTAGCACTGTTTCAAAAATGAAAAATCGTTATCAAAACGCGCGAGTTATAGTTGCCGTAAACTGACTTAAATAACAAAATCTGGTCAAGGCAGTCATGATATTTGCCCACCGTCTTTGTCGCTGCTAGCTTCTTCAACACTTGAAATGTTTCGGTAGCTTTTATTTCATTCTCTAAAATATAATGAGACGTCTTGACAATTCTAGAAACAGTCAACTTAAAGTTACTGCAGTTAAAAGAGTCTCGCCATAACTGAATCAGCTTCCATTTTTTTAATAGAATGATTATTGTTTATCTTGGAGCCAGTTTAATATCAGTCTCTCGTCCTACGGTTTCCCTCTTTCATGTTTCGATGTGAAATTAATGAAAGCAAGGGTTGAACAAAACTTTTCCTGTAGTTCTCAGTCCCTGATAAAGCAAATTTTTGCTGCCACTTCTTATTCGAAGATTGCCGACGTCTCTTCGCGCTTGGCAGCCAGGACTCTAACAGCCATTATACAAATATGTGTATCATGCTGTTCTTTCGTAAGACGAATGATCTGAAAGTACGAGAAAATCGGCGAAACTCATTAGAAGACAACCAGATTTATAACTTTTAGAAACACTGAAAACTCATACAACATGAACACGCGTATTACTGTGGTTGAAGGACATTTTTTTATAATTTTAGTTAAAATTGTGCGAGAACGTAACCGGACGAGCGCCTCAAGGCTATGGGTGTTGCCGCGACCGCGACACGAACCGCGCTGGCTTAAAGGGGTATAATCGATTAAGTTGCTTACTTTTAAGCAGAAATTGGAGACATAAGGGAACTGTAACAGTAATAATTAGTATTAATAACTGAACTGTTCTATGTGCGCTTTCCTCTTATTCTCCGTGAGAACTCAACTGAATTAAAAACAAAGGCTATCAAAACAAAGGGCTATTCAAACAGTGTTGCCAGTAAGAATCCTCAAATCTCTGAGATCTTAGAGAATAGGTCGGTCGCCTTATTTCCTCTTCTAGGTGACTACAATTACAGCACTTCACTTTCCTGACTGCTAAAAAGATTGAGTACTCTAGCAGTATGGTACCAAATCAACTCGGTCTCATCTCAATTATTGCCCTGATCTTTTCTGAGGCTAGATGTTTTCAAACTCCTTGAATATTCAGCAATATTCATTTCGTTTACCCGCCCTTTTCACAAAGGCACGGTTTCAAGATAGAAGTTCCTTGCTTTACTCGTTTTCTAAGCGGGCTCAGGTGGTTCTTTGTAACTCTCCTTTAAAATCTCACGGGTTTTTTATGATAGCTTGCTGGTAACTAATAAATAAAGGTGAGTGGCCTCCTTAAACATAGAGTTTTAAAGGCTCTCTGGGCCAATTGTTGCTAGTTCGCGATCTTTCTATGTGAGGCTTCTCTCCGGCCGTTACTCTGGTGTCCCGCAGCTCCTCCATGATCAGTGAAATGCCAACTGATTTCAAATGATGCCAATTCGGCGATACGGAACGCAGAACACTCATTTGAAAACGAGTTTTTAAGAGCCTCTAAATGTTTAGTAGGTAAACAGACAAATTCCATTTACTTTGACGTTTTAATACTTGGAACTCAAGCCCAGCGGTTTAAAGGGGCAAAATTCAAGTTTGTTTCTAAAGTGGCATACCGATTACTATTTTCTTACCTTCGGAACCGGTTGCTGGACATAGAGATGGATATCTGTGTTTGTTTAAATCACTTGATGCCTTTTTTTCAGGCTTGTGTTGATCGAAATATTCCGCCTATTCTGATAAAAGGAAAGTCAAGTTTCTTCACGAAATTTGTTAACTGATTTCTAAAAGTAAATCCACCATCGTGAAGATTAAAAGGAGCAAGTTGTAGCTTTTTGTCAGGTATATACACCGTCTTCAAGGGTTTAAAAAGCAGCTGATAATAGCAAGTCCAAAGCCATTTTAAATACACGCCTGTTCAGTCTCTGAACCAAAACTGAACGCCAACACGATGAACCCTCGTGGAACCAAAATATTCGACGGCAGCTACGATAATGTATGGCTTGTTGAAGGTAATATTCTTTCGCTTAAAATCCTCATTGTGCCTCCTAGAGGGACCTTACGATCCGACAAGGGCGACACCAATGAAAACGTCGCTGAAAAATAGTTTTTGCGTCCCTTGAAACTTTTTCGCCCTTATACGAAGCCACCCAGTTACTTGAAAGTAGGAAAGTTAGGTTGGAACTGAAGAGAGGGAACAGCTTTTGAGTTCTGAGAGAGATACTAAAATTTATCGCCTTGCTGTTCCCGTTCCCAAGTCAACTCAAAATTTGGTCATTTTGCGTCGTAGTTGTGCAGCGACGGCTATGAAATTTACACGTGCAGAGTTGTTGTTTAGCTCAAATAAACCTTTTGAGTTTTAGACGTTCCCGTTGCCGTCGCCGTAGTACCTTCGTAAGGTCCCAATGTACAACAAATACCCAATCTCGTACAAAAAATAGTCTAAATTTAGAATTAAAACAGTAGATTGTTGATACCATTACACTGAAGCATTCAAAATAGCTCATGCACGTTAAACGTGCCTATGTTTTTTTACGCACGGCTACAGAGGACTGGTTCGAGGGTGAAGGGCTGGTTCCTCAAGCATCAAATATGGAGGACGAGCGAACCTTGTGATTGTCGATTGTCATGGAAGAAATAAGACGGCGACCGTTTAAAGTTTGTAACTCAGATCGGACAAGAACCATAGGGATGGTTTTACAAAGCCTTGAAGAACTGAAAGACAGGGCGGGGAACAAGTTTGGTTTAACACCAACAACCTGCCGTGTGTTTCTTGAGAAAGATGGAACTGAAATAGACAGTGAGGAATATTTTAGTTTTCTTGACGATCAAACAAAGCTGATGGTTGTCAATGATGGAGAGGAGTGGATGGCTGGATCACAGAGTAAGTTATTGAAGATAACCCTTATTTATTTAGTTGCTAATCACTGCTTTATACGAAGTAATTTTGTATCAACTGATCGGCATTCACTTAAATTATTATTATTTAATATGCATTAAACATGCAATAAATATCGGTAAGCTTCCCTGCTTTCATGTTGTAGGAACTAATACGAAACCTTTTAACAGCCATTGTTTTTGTTTTCTCGGGCAGGTGTGAATCGCTGTTATTGCAAATCAGACCTCTAGAATTGCATTATAAAATGAACTAGTTTTTAGTAAGGCCATCCCCATAAAATGTTTTGTTTCCCATCGCCCGACCGACCCATTTTTTTGGAAAAGTAAAAAAAAAAAAAAAATCCAGAATCACTTGTAAAGAAGCAAATTTACAAGCACACGATCTTAGACATTTGATAGTCCTGTTAATAGACATCTTTTACCATCTGATTATATCTTGCAGACTAAACGTGAGATTTAATATGCAATCATGTGTTCATTCTTTCTTTTTTTTTTTTGCCCAACCAACTGACCCACCTTCACGAGAGGGAGGGCGATGGGAAACGAAACATTTTATGGGGATGGCCCAATAGGGATACACTGTACATCGACTAAGGCAGGAATGAAGAGTTATGGTAACGAAAATGTACCTTGCTTTACTTCCTAGTGTTTGAAATGGTGGTCGAATAGGTATGGTACGTTTCATTTTTTATATGCATTCCCATTATGGATGACAACTTTTCAAATCGGGGTTCAGATTTTTTCTTTAAGAAGCCGACAAAATTTGGACTCTTTCAGTGAGACAAATAATATTTTTCAAAGGTGGAGAACGAATCCTTCAGATTTCATTTTTCAAATGGTTCAGACAAACAATTGAGTTTCAGATTCTAGTCAGCTTTGGGGGAGGGGGTTCTGGATAAAAAATGGAATGTCCCTATGACCATGTTGAACTACCTGTGCATAGCTTGCACAGTACCTTCATCTGTATTTCTGTACAACAGGCCCAAGTTTCAGTCAAGGAAGTATTGCTGCAAGCTTGGAAAGAAATGAGAGTTTGGAGTTTGACCGCACAGATGCTGGAGAAACAGACAGTATCTCATCTGATCTTCTGACAAGAATTACAACCGACCCGGCATTTTTTATTTCATTTTCGGATGATAACCTTCAAGACGTGATTAACTTTGACCCTGAGCAATTTGCAACAGCATTAGATAAGAGTCTTGCTGTAGCCAAGCACAAACAAGAAGCTTGCCAGCAAGAACTGGATAGACGGACACAGTTTAAGGAGGCTACACAGTTGTTGAAACTGTTAGACAGGGCACAGCAAAATCAAGGAGCTGAGAATGAGACACCAGTAGGTTATAAACGACAGAGGACTACACCTGAGTAAAAATGTACCCATGCACTCAGCTATGTTGACAGGATCATCACAACATGTTTGTTTACATGTAAAGTACACAACAAGCTGTTCTCAGTGCTCTCATGTTAATTTTGCTGGCAAAGAGCGAGTTTTTTTTGATGGTATAGCTGTCAATTGTTACTCTGCAGGTGTTACCATCCTAGAAGGGTTTGGGGGCATGCTCCCCTAGAAAATTTTGAAAAACTTTAGCAGCTATTACGTGTTTCCCTTTATTCTGAGAGAAAATGTGACCCTTTAAAGTAATATTATTTTAGATCAGATTTCTCAGATTTTACTTTTAACTGATCAAACGCCAACTCTTTCTTAAAAGTCTGCCTTATCCAGAAGTGATATTAACATTTTATGACATTGAACCCGAACTGGAGTTTGTTGTACATGCTGCCTTATGAGCAGGAGCATGCGCAACACAGTTATTGAAATTTTTTCATGCTTCAAATGCAATGCTTATTCAAGGGTGGTGCTTTTTTGAGGGTGGCGTTTGTTTTAAAGTTGGATGCAACAAAGAATAATATTGTTTTAACTACTCTAACAGTTTTATAATTTTCCATATTAAAAAAAACAGAATTAACCCATTCGCTCCTGGAGATTTTGGCGAAAAACACGTTTTGAAGCTAGTCGAGTGGTTTTCTGGTCACTGTCGTGCTATAAAGAGCTAAAACTTACCACAAACTGGTTTACAAGTCGAACACTTCGCGGCCTTCTGATCCAGATGCAAAATATCAGCTTGCAAAGTTCGGGCATGCGCAGAAAGCAAAATTTCGACATAGTTTTTGGGTTTAAAAGTGACACAGCAGTCTTGACTTTCACTTTTCGCTTTCTCTCCTCCCTTCTTTTTTTGCTTTTCTTGCCTCATTTTTTTTTTCTCTTGCTGGGCATTTAGTAGGCTTCATTTTGGTGGGAAGAGGTTTTAGGAAAGCTTTTAGGATCTTAGGATTAGGTGAAAGGAAAGGTAGGTGGGTAATGGAACAAGATTTTCATGGAGATTTTCAGGTCAATGTCAGGTGGTTTTTTGCTTGTTTCTCCGGTGTCCTTGACTAAATTGTGCTCATTCTGGTATGGTTTGAAAGATCTCTTCACTCTGCACAAGTTAGCGAAGAAAGTTGTCCTTGACCGTTAAAACTGATGACGTCACAATGGGTAGAAAGGACCTGGATCCGCACGGGCGGTTCAGGGGCGAATGGGTTAATGTCCTTTGACTTAGATCTTCCATATCAACAGGTAAATCATACTTGATATGCATCAAAGCAAGGGAAGGGAGCCTACTCTCACCCATGGTACATCTCATGTAATTGCTGAGCCTTCTCATTGTGCTGATTGGATAAACAGTCTTCCTAATAATGTTTATTAAGAAATAATCTAAGCTACAACTGAAATAAAGTAATCAGTTTTCTGAATTTCCCAGGGTGATTTGTTTTTTGTTACCTCAATATTTACGTCCCAAAGGGGATTTGTCCAAGCCCCTCGAACCCCCCCCCTTTCCTACGTGCCTGTTTCCTGATATATATGTCTATTAAAATAATTTCTTTATAGTTTAGTATAGAAGGTCACTTATTATTATTACTATTTTTTTTTGTTTTTTTTTTTGTTTTTTTAGCAGTTGAAAGAAACTTTTGAATCTTAGAGGTTGACAGTTTTTTTTTTATTGAAATGAAATGTTTTTTAATTCGAAAAAAATTTTTCTTAGTTTTAATTAACTTTTTTTTTAAGCTAAATTAAGTGCTTTTTAAATCGACAGAAATTGTAAATAGTGTTTTTGAATGAATAGTTTTTTTTCTTTTTTTTTAGCGAATTAATTGTAAATAGGATTTTAATAGTTTTTTTTAATAAAATTGTCTATTATTTGTAGAAGGTCACTTCACAAGTAAACGTAAGTTAAAGTAAAGTAGCGAACTTAAAAAAAAAAACACCTTTTCTCGTCTAGATGATCCCAGAACTAGAACATAAACATCATTCAATTAAACCACACCTCATCAAACAATGTTCCTTTTTTACTTTTTTCAGTAGATTTTTTCACAGCTATGAAGGATGATCCTAGACTGCAAAACAGTAGGTATTTTTGTCATTCAAGTTCACGCAAGCAGTCAAACTAAAGGTCCGGAGCAAGGCTGAAAATGGAGAGTGAGACTGGGGAGAGACGCTTTTCTCTTGGACTCTTAAGTTACCCTAAACCGATTTCGAGAAAAAAACCTGACTGTTTTGCAGTCTAGGATGATGCAACAGACTCTCTGTGACCCTCAAAAAATAAAATGCCCCATCCATAAGATCAAACCTTCCAACCAGGGAATGAATTTCAGATCAAATACCCACCCTCACACCAAAAAGGGGTAGCTATGAATAAAGAAAATGTAACGCCAGATTTGCAATAGAAATTTAAAAGTGCTAGCCTGAGAAAACAGCTGACATTTTGCGATGCCACCACCCTGGTTTCCATGGGAAATGACACCTGAGGAAAAGTGCAGAAATTGTACACTGATGACATGTCAATTCCCAGATCTGGGTAGTGCTTTCTTGCTTTTATAAAATCCTTAATTTTTATTTTTAATTGCAGCAGTTAAAGCCCCCACCCAACATTGTGTTACTTTCAAACATTTAGAACAATATAAACAGATTATTACTAGTATTTGGATTGACCATCTCCACAAATATTCATTGAAGTTAACTTGTGCAAAGGCAGTGAGGAAAAATAGGAAAACAGAACAAAAGAAAGATAAAACCAAAGGTGAATTCAATATGTTAGATACAGCTGATTGAGATAAACAGTTTAAGTTCATTATATATTCCTTGAAAATATAGTTTATCTTCATTTAACAAAAAGTATATGAACTTTGGCATTTTGCACCCATAATAGTTGAACTTGCATATTTGATGGCATGTGAATATGAGTTTTTTCAAAATATTTGTAAAGGTGATGATTAAATAGTATTGCTTGTCATCAAAATTCATCATAAAAGCTGTGTAGTATATTGAAACCTGACCGCACACTTGGTTTCAAGAGTATTTGAGAATATAAATAGAGGTAATCACTTTTTAATTTCCCCAGCTTAAGGAATGGACCAGTAAGTTGATGGGCTTTTTTGCTCTGGCCCGTGGAGAGGGGGGTATGTACTTTCTGTAATGGCCTATACAGCAGATCGGTTAAAAGTCCCAAAAGGGCTAACAGATGCATTTTATGGCTGCTGTGAAAAAGTAATGAAAACGTACGTTCTGGTTTTGTGATTAATTCATAGTTAAGTAATGATCCGGGTAAGATGGATAGCAATTTCTTTTGTTATGCGGCAACGGTGCTTTCCCCACATAGGAATGTTCTCATTTTTACACAGAGAATGCATAAACCTACATGAAGGCCGTTTACGCAATAAAATGCATTTACACTCCACTTTGAAAGGGTGTTTTTTTGTGTTAAAAGATTTTGACCAATCACAAGAGTTGAAAACAATAGCCAAGAAAAGTTTACAATTTTACATGTTCCCCACATAGGATTTCTTTGTTATTCAAACTGAGACCAGATTTTGTTATATGGAAGATGGTTGGAAAGTAAGGATGAATATAATTATGTCCTGCATTATGAAGTTTTGTTAACTTTTGCTGTTTAAGCCAATCAGAAGTAAGTACAGACAATAGAAAAGTTAGCACCTTTTTTGCATTCCAACATGTTCGTTGCCATTCAGTGCTATCGTTCTTATCTGGACCGTTTCCTAAAAGACAGTGCATTTACAGCAGTTGAAAGAGATGCATGGTTCTAAACTAGGTATGTGAAAAGGGTACCTTGTCTGTCAAAAAAAGGTACATAGGCCGGCTTGTTGCCAAGATCTCAGTTGCTCAAAGTGAGATCTTGGCAAGCGGGCCAGCCTGCTCTCTCATACAAACACACACAATTTCACTGATAAGGAATCAAGGCACAAGCTGATTAGCCAGCCCGGTAAAGCGGGCCAGTCCAGCTAAACGAGCTGGCTCGCCTCTATTATAAACAGGCTAATTAAGAGAGAGGCAGCCTATGGCTGATATTCAGCCTTTATTCAACCTTTATTAAAAAATTTATAGTCCTGCAATGGGGTTACCATCACGCAAGACACCTAACTAAAATGAAATAAAATTAAAAGTAATGATGGTAAAAAAAATTTTCTACAAAAGAGAAAATGGATAAAAAAATTCCACAGCATCAATCATTATGCAATATTAAAATTCATCATTGACTAGAATACTCAAATAAGACTGTACTTAATGTTAACAATTTCGCTTGGTAACGCATTCCAGTCCTTGACAGTTCTACAAAAATAACTATTCTTATAAGTCTCAGCACAGGCGGCCCAAACTCACTTTACAAGGGAAGGGTGTAATGTAATTTACATAACATAGGTGACGCGCCGGTGTCGCGTTACAGGCGTTACAGGTGTCTCAGCATTTGGCAGCAGTTCAATAAACTTGTTTTGGCTAGAGTTCCTCAAATGTCTTCTACACTCGTAACATAGTCTGGGAAGGCCAGGTCACCATCACCATAAATTGCTTTGTTGAATGAGGTTAACCGCGAGATTGTTCTTTGTACCTTCAGGGGTATCCAGTTTAATTCATTCAAGAGGTTTGTAACTGTTCCTGGTTCCCGCGTGTAGCAGTTTTTAATGAAGCGTGCAGCTCTTCTTTGTACTCCCTCTATTTGTTTGATGTGTTTTTTTAAGTGTGGGTCCCAAACTGAGCTGGCGTATTCGACGTGAGGCCTCACAAGGGCTTTGTAGGCTGCCTCTTTCACTCCCTCGCGGCAACTGCTCAGGTTTCGCCAGAGAAATCCGAGGGATCGATTGGCCTTCATGACTTTGTTATTTACCTGCTGGCCCCAATCGAGGTTTCTGGACAATTCTATGCCTAGATAGGGGTGGTGGGTGACCGAATCTAAAACTTTTCCCATAAGGACACAGTTAGACTCAACAGGATTTTGTTTCCTCGTTATTCTTAAGACATGGCATTTGCTGGGGTTAAATTTCATTTGCCATTTGATATGGACCTTACTTCTTCTTCTTCTACAAATGCTCCAAGGAAAGGTTTCTAAAGCTTTCCTGCATGTACATCGTATGGACAAAGAAGTGAAAGAAAGTGTCACTTGTACTTAGAATACTAAACACTTTTAAATCTTTAATATACTCTAAGAAAACATCTCAAAGACTCGCTTTCGCAAGTCCAAAGTGCCACAAAACTCATCACGAAACAAAAACTACCCAAGGTTCCCACACTTTTGTTTGGTTTATGGTGAAGTTGCCTGAATATTCATGAATGTGAAGCCTCTGAGACAAAAACAACAGCACCTGAATCTATTTTTCCTATAAGATAAGAAGTACAGACATTAAATTATTATAAGATAAGTTTAATTGTACAGTTAAAACCTGTAGATTTTGAAAACAGCCACCCTTTATGAAAAATGATTGGTGAGAGAATTGCAAGAGCAGTGTAAGAAATAAAATTGCATAAACATCTACTAAACTAACAGTATTTAGTCTATTAAATGATATATACATATCACTGACTTGAGGAAAACTTTAATAATCTATGCTCAAGGCTAGTGTGCATGGTTGTGTGGAATATGTTATGACTATGTCAGTTTAGAGGTATATTTGGCAACTGATTTGACTGCTAGGAAATACTGAAATACAGGCAACAAACTGCTTACATGGTGTTGTCAGTCAACCTGTTTATCCTCAAAAAACAGTTATATCAAGGGATTTGCATATTTTGGTGGCTTGAATTGATATACTGTTTTGCTTGATCATGGATGTACTTGTAATATTGGGGAAACAAGACTGAGGAAAAAATGAGTGAGAAAAAGGAAATATATAGGGGTACTACCATGATCGACTCACCATTACAATAATGGTCGACATAAAAGGCCTGGGTCTATCTCGGTACAAGAACCTGAGGGAACGCGGACTCTGGGAAGGAGAGTGCGTCATTATCCACTAGCCAATCAGCAGTGTTGTTTTATCTGAGCGTGACACGTATGTGACACATATTGACACGGCAGGGCAGAAAAACCGCTGATTGGTTGCCGTTTTCGCGGCAGTTTGTGGTCTCTGCTGACCATCTTACAACGAATCAAGTAGTCTACAAAAAAGAGCAAAGTTTGAAGCCAAATACATAGTTAACCATGACTAGTTCGGTGATTATGATCTGATATCCCCAAACTAGAACTCATTGACAGGCGATGTCAAGAGTTGTAGCGAAATCAGATTAGGAATACACTTTAGGGTGCTTGCTGAAAATGCGCGGGACAGTGTGTAGTTCATAGAGACATTATACGACCAATAGCTCTTAAACAATTTGCAAAAATAAGAAACAGGTGGAGTATTTAAGGTTCAAAATTCGACCAACCAAAAGGCTAAAAGCCAAGAAGCAAAAATAAAAATACGTAAAAAAAAATCGAACAGTACGTTTTTTCTGTGGCTTGCTGTTTTTTGTTTTTGCATCCCCTCATGGTGAAAACACTCGAACGTAATCGCCGGTGAGAAGCTTCCACAAATGTACAGCCAATCTTACCTCTAAGAGGATCGATCCTCTTGCACTTAGAAGGTAGATAGCAGCGCTAAAATATATTTCCTTGGACAAGTAAAAAGGAAAAGATTTGTAAACATCAAACTCTTCGCCACGGCTTGTGTCCACTTACTGACTGGTAGGCGCCAGCTTCCCGGCCTCATGCTTTACGCTGAAAATTATGAATGAAACTGGAGACGCCGGCTCGTTTTTCCCCGCTTCAAAAAGCTTCAAAAATGTCAAAAAATAGTTACCGACCGCTTCACTGTCAAGTTCGGTCTTTTTATGCGTTCCGGCGGAAACTTCAGTCCAAAGTTGATTAAATAATGGAAAATGTTTGTGAACGTGGCTCCAGATTAAGAAGCGTGTCAGAAAAGTGTTGGGGTGCCACTAATTACTATTCGGGAAAAGAGGCTGTTTTACGTGGCTACTCTAGGCCGGTTTGGCTATGTTTTGGTCATGCAAAAAAATTGCAAGTGGAAAGTCAAAGGAGGTGCTGTTTTCCACAAAGTGCTTTATTTAAGTACAGCAACAAAAATTCCAAGAATGTAAACTCCACCGACTCTACTGGAGAAGCAGTAATTGTTAATACTAGTATGGTGTGTGTCACATGTGGCAGGGTCTGTAAGAGCAAAGGGGGCTTGACTCAGCATCAGAACACCCACAAAGGGGTAAATAGTTAAGTGTTTCCCTGAAATGAGAATAACAAAACAATAATCATTTCCTTTTTTTAGAAGCAAATCCAAACAAATAATACAAGCCCTTTGTTTCATGTAAAATACCTTGAATAGGAATGGGCATGATAACACAGGAGAGAAACCTTAAACAATGCCTTTGTTGTTGCCTTTGTCTTGCTATAGGTATCTCAAAACAATGCAACTAGCTAGATAACAAATAAGTGATCTTGTGCTTGCATTTGGAATTTGGTCCATACAATATTATATGAGATCTTTGCATTATAAAAGATTAACTCAGCCCAAGTACTATGCCAGTGAGAAAAATATAGTGATAGTCCTGTCGAGAATACTAATAAGGGACAATGTGATGTACAGGAGTAAGATAGTGTCTTCAAAATATTCGACGTTATTTTGAACATGTAAATATAATAAGATTTTCACTTCAAAATACCACATTGTATATGGGCAAGGATTGTGTATAACTCTGCTAATTCTGGATACATGTAAGCTTAAAAATTCATCCTTAAAATTTCACCTTTCTTAAAACAACCTAATTTTGTACAGTAAAATCATTCCAAATCTATATCAGTCCAAAAACAAAGTTATTAACTGTATAAATCAGTTGGTATAAATTGATCTAAAGAAATTACAAATTGGACAACGCGTACAAAAAAATAATTTCGCTTCTAGCGGAACAATGTAAACAATTCACACCAAGGAATTCATTAAACAGTGTGGATATATCTAACCTAGAATCAAAAGCCCATTAAACTTGTAACTCAGGTGCTATGAAGTGCTATTTTGTTTGAAAGTTTGGTTACTTTTAGCAATGGCTTCGCCAACTGTTAGGTGCCGCATTATACGCCTGCACGCAGCGCACGCTGCACCGCCGCAATCTCTTGGAGGATAAATAGCATCCAATGCAAATTTCGGTTAACTCATTAACTCTGAAAACGTTCACTATGTCAAAGACGAAAAATGTCTTACCTTTAAACTCAGTTGTGTAACTATAGGATCACCGAGACTTGTTGCAGGAAAACCAAACAATCGCGTAGAAAAAAGTTGATCGAAAAAAGCACATGGTTTGCTTGGCACGACTCCGTCCGTTTAACGTAATACAGTCACAAAGATTACCTCCAAAGCGAAGCAAAACAAAACGATACCATTATATACAAGACCTTTCAGTGATGTATTTCAACACAGTGCTCTTCAAATTTCGGCCAAATATCTCACATTCATGATCGCTCGATTGTAGCTCCTTCCAATCGCTCATTCTTTTGAACCAACTGCATCTGCATATGGTCAGCGGAAGGCGCAAGCGCATGCTCTCAGTGGAATTTTTTTTAACCAATCAGCGGTTTTTCTGCCCTGCCCACATGGATAGATAACTCCTGGTTTCCCACATTTTGGACATTTGGTTCAATCGGACCTGAGGACTACGGGCTAAGCTAGACAGTAAGCATGAAGTTATTGAAGCATAACGTCGTGACGCATTTTCAGTCGTCAAATATTTTCAAGCGAAGGTGAGTCAATCCTAATTTTCCAGTGTTTTGCGTTTAGTATATCGGTGATAACGTGCAGCAAACGTCCATACTTGTCGGCTATTCCTAACCTTTTTCGCATAATCTACCCGAACGCGAAACCTCTCCGGCTATTTTAAAACTGCGGTCCGGCTGCCCTCTGAATCCCGGACATGGAGACACCATGGAGATGATTTATCGCCTTAAACATCTTTATAATAAGTATAAACTTAACAGTGTTTGAAGCACACCCGTTGCTATTTTAACCTTAGCGTTGAAATAGATTTTAAAAACGACAGACATGTTTCGTGTCTCTGTGTAATGGCGCTGAAGGCGGTAGTCACATGTGACATCGATAGGGATCAACACCGGCTATGATTAGTGTCGTACTAGCGTTTTCATTTTGATATTTTGCTGCCATCGAAGAAAGTTACGCTGTAAAGACCGATATTATTTTGTGCAAAAATCAGTCTGGTACATTTGGGTTCGAATGGATTAGATTTTCTAGAAAAACGACAGACATGTTCGTGTCTTTGTGTAATGGCGCTGAAGGCAATAGTCGCATGTGACATCGATAGGGATCAACACTGGCTATGATTAGTGTCGTACTAGCGTTTTTATAGTGAAAATGCTAGTACGACGCTTTTTTCAAGTTGACTGAAGAGAAGATCAAGTATTTGCAATGGGTTTAACTTGGGAAGGTCTGAAGGAAATCTGGATGTTTAGAATTCCTTCTCTTCCAGGTGTCGCAAGGAGTTCGACTCGCCCAAAGCTATCATCCACAATTTGAATAAAAGAGTTGACGAGCTCAAAAAGCCAATCGGTAATGAGCCAATTGTAGCTAATGACAATCCAGCGCTTTTTTACAATGATGAAATGTTTGCGATCATGCGATTGGATCTTGATGAAACAATATTTTGATATTTTGCTGCCATCGAAGAAAGTTACACTGTAAAGACCGGTATTATTCTGTGCAAAAATCAGTCTGGTGCACTTGGGTTTGAATGGATTAGATTTTCTAGAAAAACGACAGACATGTTGTGTGTCTTTGTGTAATGGTGCTGAAGGCAATAGTCACATGCGACATCGATAGGGATCAACACCGGCTCTGATTAGTGTCGTACTAGTGTTTTCATAGTAAAAATGCTAGTACGACGCTCTGTTTAAGTTGACTGAAGAGAAGATCAAGTATTTGCAATGAGTTTAACTTGGGAAGTTCTGAAGGAAATATGGATGTTTAGAATTCCTTCTCTTCCGGATGTCGCAAGGAGTTCGACTCGCCCAAGGCGATCATCCACGATTTGAATAAAAGAGTTGATGAGCTCGAAAAGCCTCGAAAAGGTAACCGATAATGAGCCAATTTTAGCTAATGACAATCTAGCGCTTTTTTACAGTTATGAAATGTTTGCGATCATCCAAGTGGATCTCGAAGAAACAATATTTTGATATTTTGCTGCCATGGAAGAAAGTTACCCGTAAAGACTGATATCATTCTGTGCAAAAATCAGTGTGGTGCATTTGGGTTCGAGAAATAGTTTCCTCTCAAGCTTTGCCGAGTAAATCATCTTAGTTTAAAGTAAATAAATAAAATGGCTTTCTTTTTGGGAAATATTACAATTAGCATACATATAATAAGCATAAATAGTTTGAGCACTCACCTGTAAACAACCGAATACATGAGCTTCAGGAAAGCGGAAAATTGCACAAGTTACTGAGCTCGCTTCTTCAAATCCTCGAAACTCGAGGGGAAAAAGAACATTGTTACTTCTAGGTTAGTGTTTTTCAAAACATCAGTATCAATAATTATACCCTGTAATTTTAAAAGTGCTAAAATTAGTTGATAATTTGAGAAAATCTTTTTATCATTTGAAGGGCCAATTTGTTTGTTCATCATGGAAGAAATAAGACGTCGCCCGTTTAGAGTTTGTAACTTCCAGGCTGGGCAGGCACGTACCATAGGCATGGTAGCGGCTAGCTTGCAAGATCTAAAAAGAACAGCAGTGACAATGTTTGGCCTGAGACCAACTACGTGCCGGATGTTTCTGTTAGATGGAACCGAAGTGAAGGACGAAGAGTATTTTGCTTTGATTGTAGAGCAAACACTTCTGATGGTTGTTTTTGATAAAGTTGAGATAGCTGGATCACAGAGTAAGTTCTTGGAGGAACTGCTTATTTAGTTACTGATCACTGTTTTAGTACATGTATGTGAAATTATACTTAAACTTTTAACCAAGGGTGCAATGGTATCAGGTTCTATTGCTTGTCAATTGTTTTGCCTGGAAATGGGTCAGTTTAAAGCACTAAGCAGGGATACACATAAATAAGAATGAGTAAAATGAGCAAGCATACATGATCAGTAAAAATTGTAAAACCAAACTGACACTTTATGTCACAAATGCAACAGGTAGCCTGCCAACAGGTGTTATTTGTTGCAGAACTCAGGTGTGTTGTACAGTGCAAGTACAGCGAGGAGTGTGAGACAAAAAATAAATATAAGCTTTTTATTTTTTTGACTGGAAACCAAATTAACTCTGTTGATATTCCTCTGAGAATGAAAGTTGTTTTCAGCAAATTGAAGCAATTGACTATTCAAGGGAGGCTGTTTCGCTTTGAGTTTTCTTCCTTGTAAGGTATCTTTACTGGATCACACTAAAGGTTCTGGATTATTCATGTTAACCTACAACTTTCATTGAAAGTTCAGTTACCTGATCAGGCAACTATGATCGAAAACTTAGTTGTCGTGATGAAATTTTTAGTTGCCCCATGCAAGCGGGCAGCCTTTAATGTTGAGCCCTGAATCCCTGTCAGGATTTGAACCTATGACCTCCTGAGAATCAAGCAGGAGTCCTATCCACTAATCTTGATTCAGTGTCTCTGACTGTCATAGAAAGCAAGGCCAATTACAACAATACTCCTTAAATTTTATTGAAACACTATACTGAAACCGAGGATTTTTCATGGCAAGTATTCTGAATTAATTTATTCAACCTTCCCTTTTGTGTACTTCTCTCCATCGCTGATGATGAGTTTTGCAGTTATTTGGAAAATATTGTTAATATGTGAATCAACATTGGGGAGGGCTTAACATGACAAGTTTCAACAAATGTGACAAGTATCGCCTCTTGTGGAAGCCTTTTGGGTCTTAAGGTCTTAAATTTCCATAAGATTTCCATTAAAGCATTTAAAACCAATGGTAATTAGCAAAATCAGCAAGGGTAGAGGCTGCTTTCCTCTGGTACCTCATTTAGTAAATTAGGACCAATCCTGACAGTTACAGACAAAAAAACAAGTGACCTTTGGGGTAAAAATCCACTACCAATTTTGCTATTTACGTACTACTTTTTACAGATTAAATTTCTTCCTTTGTTGGAAAGAAAGCCCGACAAAATTTTATGCGAAAGAAAGGCAATAAAGTGGGCAACAAAACTGCCTATAAAAAGAAAGGAAAAGGGAAAAAGAAGAGAGTGAGAAAAAAAATCGAAATAAATTGCTGCTTAATTACACCCAATTAGCAGAAATTAAAGTCCTGGCCCGGGTTCTTGGAAAGCAGATTAATCTATTCTCCGATTAGCGTCAAATCCACGATTAAATTTCTCATTCCTCGGATAACTAATCGTGGGTTAAAAAGGAGTTTCTGAAAGTGAAATTATCCCGCGATTAACTAATCCCAGATTAGTGCTAAATGAAAACCGGTTTAACGAGTTTTTCGACCGCCTGCTTCCAAAAAATATGGCGCGAAAAATTGGCGCGGATTGCGGGGCCGGTGAAGAAGGCAAAATGGTGGAAAGTGAGGTGAAAGAACTTGAAGTAAAGGAAAGAAAAAGAAAACCAAATTTCTCACCGCTTGAGATTTCCGTAATTACAGAATGTGTAAAAAAACATATTGATGTGATCCGGTCAAAGCTGACGAATAATATAACAAACCAAAAAAAAGTCAAGTCTGGGAGGAGATTACCAAGGAGGTGAATGCTGTTGGCCGAGCGAATCGCTCTGTCCAAGAAATAAAAGACAAGTGGAAGAACCTCCACTCAACAGCCAAAAAGAGATTTCCGTAATTACTTCCACCATCCAAAGGTTTGTTCAATGGCCACCCTTGTAGCGTTGTGAGCCTGGTTGAATGCTTCCTCCTTTACAGATGTAGGATTGAGATATGGGGTCATGAGATATGGTTTACAAGGGTACCCACTATCTCCAAGAAGCAAGCCATCTTCCAATGTGCGGGTCTGAGACTCAAACCTCTGACCAATCAATGAACTGCTTAATATGAAGCTGTCATGTGTGCTACCAGGCCATCGTGCAACGATGTTTGTAAACATGCCTAAAGAAATTTCAACAATAACTTTTGTACTTTTTTGTCTAATTCCATAAAGTATCCATACCTCCCGTATTGAGAGTTTTTATTGATTGTTAGAGACTCCATCCTTCTAGAAATTCCATGGTTAAATCTCATAGATTTCTGATAGGTTTTTGGGATTTAAGCCCCCCTCCTTCCAATCTTTTTGTTTGAAGGGGATGAAGATATCTGACTTTTTGTGGGCCTCAAGCACTGTAGTATATAATATTTAGACTTAAGGGACCAGTCATTATTTATCACCGGGGGGAGGATTTTAGTGGGGGGATCACTTAATTTTGAGGAGAACAAAAGGGGGGATCCGTCGTAACTGAGAACCCAAAAGGGGGATTGCTGAAAACTTTGGAAGGATTCAGAGAGGGACCACTCAAATTTGCTTGGAAAATGAAGACATGGGGGGGATTGCGAAAGTCATCTAAAGTTGTTAGGGTGGATTACTTCAGTGAAGTAACATTCAATGGGGGGATCAGCTAAATTTCACCTTGTTTAGTCCTAAATCCTCCGTGTCCCCAGGCGGTAAATAATGACCGGTCCCTTAGCTCCATTTTTTTTTTTACCTATGTTTATCTACGTTCTGCCCAAAGATAGTTGAATTCAAACATCTGAGTGAGATGACAAGCATGTCAATTGTCAACTCTCTTATGGGGTCCCTACCATAAAAACATACTGAAGGGTTGATTACTTTGCTAATTATTAATATTTTTTCACCAGAAGAGTTAAAATCTTTTAAATATTAATAGAACTTTCAACAAATTAATATTCTTTGGAGCACATGAACTTCTACCACCCCCTCAGATAAAATGTATTATTTCTACTTTGTTCTTTATCATTTGTATACTGGATGCTTATTGAAAATGATACTCTCCTTTTTTACCTTTATGGTTGCATACTGCTTAGACATTGATGGAATGGAAGCCCTTTCGGTTGACATAGTCATCCTCATTTTTGTTGGGCACTTGGATCCTCACATGGGTCCCGTCGATACAACCTACAACACCAGGGAACCACCCCCCCCCCCTTCTCATAAAATCCTCTTTTGACTTCTTGAACTTAAGCAGGTTCTGTAGGGAAGTTGATGAACTCCTCCTGCTTGTTCGCAAGAGCCTTTGACACGTCGGTCACAATTCTTGAAACGGTGGATTTAGGAAGGCCAACGGTGTCACCAATTATTTGTAGGAAACTGCCGCTGGCAAAAAAGGCAACGCTACAAGAACTTGTAGCGTTGGCGACAGCGCATGATTTCTTCGCGTCTGCCTTTGTAGGTCATCTTTCAGGATTTCTACAAGAAATTTTATTGACTCCCGTCTAAACCAGTATCTACTGCAGAGTTCTTCGTCAGTTAGTTCGTCGGGGTCAATTTCTCGCTGTTGGAACTTTCTTTCGCGTGTTTGCGGGTCAATTAGAGGGAACAGTAAGTCCGCCATTTTGTTTGTTTTGACAAACAATTAGCGAGTTAATCGTCCTTGTTAGGTGGGTTAAATTTAACATTTAGTTTATTCCTAGATTAAGATTAATCATGCTTTCAGGAACAGAATCTAATAGTGGGATAAAATTTATTCTGCGATTAGCGATATTTAATCCTTGATTAGCGCTAATCGGCTTTCCAGGAACCAGGGCCTGCCATTCCCATGCAAACTGGCCAAAAACGGTTTAAAAAGAAGGATATTTTGGCGCAAAATGCATTTTCCCCTAAAAAGTGGCTGGCGGTAAAGGGTTAATGGACATTACCAAATTGTATCAAATTGGCCATTTTCCACATAAAATCGTAGAATTTACCAAATTCAGCATGAAGCAGGTTTGTAAACTAAAGAAAAAAGCAATTCTCATTTTGATGTAGACTCTTTGTTGTCCACTTTTGGAAATAACTATCGGAGACTCTCTCACATCTACCAACAAGGGTGCAATAAGAAATTTAGGCACTTGGTTTGACTGCAACGGATGAACACATGTTACAAAATTCAGTTTGTACAGTCGGATACTTTTATCTCCGTAATATAAGCAGGATGAGCAAGTTATTAACTCAGGAGATAACAGAGAAATTAAAGGGGTAGTGTCTCTAATGTCTGCCCCCGTGAGCATCATCTTTTTTTTCTTAAAATTAAAAGACAATAGAACTGTCATATTGATGCAACAAAAATTCCTTCCTCAATACACCGCCGACAGAGCTGTGTTGTTTACATTCTCAAGTAATATTTTAGTCTTATGTAAAATGTGGCTTATGACACACAGACTTAATTTATCATGATTTCGTTGCTAGCTTGGTAGCCTCGCAACCCAAAAACAGCTTTCCTGCTGTGAACAGAGCTCCTAGATTCTGTCATATTACTCCTTTGTTAACTGAACATTAAACACAGGACTGACTTTAAGTAAACATTTTTCTTAATTTACCGTATTTATTCGATTAACCGCCCTGGGCGCTTATTAAATTTTTGGACCTTGAGAGTGGGCGCTTATTCGAGGTGGGCGCTTATTCGAGGCTGGGCGCTTATTAAATTTTCAACATTTTCAGCAAGTGTAGTATGTGTATTTTGCAACAAAACACGAAGACGTAACAAAGCAAGGTTCCTGTAAAATACTTTGAAGAAAACTCAGTCTTCGGGAAAGTCTCTTATTAGTAATTATTCAGTTTTAGGGGTGGTCGCTAATTTGAGTTTGAGTGGGAGTGGGAGGAAGGTGTGGTGGAGTGGGCGCTTATTCAAGGCTGGGCGTTTATTAACTTTTTCTGCCTTTAGGATGGGCGCTTATTCGAGGTGGGCGCTAATTCGAGGTTGGGCGCTTATTCGAATAAATACGGTAAGTACAAGGGCCATTCATGGTGCAGCTCTGCGATTTATCGGTTATTGTATTTCACTCAAACCGAATTCTAAATATTGACGAAGATCCAATGACACACTATTGCCGCAGCTGCCATGGTACGTTGCTCATGAAACTGGAAAAATGGCGACTCTGAAATGAAGCTGTGGCACTTGACTAGTCACTACTGGTAAATTTCTTGGCCTACCACAGCATGTTTTGGAATTTCAGTGACCAGTGAAAATCACAATGTTAAGTGCAGAATTTCCCGGGGAGGTTGGAGTGGCTGTGGACATGAAAAAAGTTGGGGGAAGGAAGGAACAAATGCTGCCAACAATTTTGGCTATTTCCCAGCATGCAATGCAGTCATGATGTTGCAATTTGATTCAGGCCATAATGCACTAGGACAAAAGGCTGTAGCTTGGTCCGGGAAACATAAGAATGCTGACTTTTTTGCGTCGTTCTTAATTTGAAGGACATTCTTCTCAGTGCCCACAACTGACATTTAAATCAATGTTTGGTTCCTTCTGTGAGTACCGGAGCACAGATTACGTAATACAATAGTAATAAAAGACAGGAAACAAAACAACTCCAAATAAAGACTAATCCCAAGTGACCAAAAATACAAAGCTTTCCGGTACCTGCAGAAAGACCCCAATGTTTGAACGATTGAGAAAGTTGCAGTGTTTTAAAGCAGTGGAGTCTTGTACATCCAGTTTTGGGTGGCACGGCCATCAATAGGTTAATTAGTCAACAACATTGGCTTAACACTTAACATACATGTACTCATAGTTCAAAACTAAACTAGTAATAGTTGCAAATTAGGGGAGTGCGTTCAATGGGGAGGGAGGGGGGATGGGGTGGTGGGAAGTGAGTGGTAGTGGGAAGGGGGGTGCAAAGCCTGCTGGGCTTGTAATATTGAGAAATAAAAATCAAACACTTTTATCAATATGAATATCATCTTTTTATCAGTGTTATTGTTTATCCTCCCACTTTACAAATCGTTACTATTTCATTTTTCCTCAAAAGTGCAATAGCGTACTGTACTTTTTACATTTCCTTGGCTCAACCTGTTAAGTAAAGTACTTGAAAGTAACAACAGGTCAAACACTGACTATGATCCTCAGGATATTCCTTTGCACTCTAGGATAATAAAAAAAATGGGCTACAATTGGGATACAGAAAAATTAAAGTTATCTGAAAAGTTTAAGCTTCAAGTATCACTTTAAACCCTTGTTGCGTGACACTAGGCTAACACGACCCGCCTCATTCAACGCACCCAGAATTAGTGAGATGAAAAGGTCAACATTTCACTATTCAACTTCTTGTATATTTTTCAAAAAAAGGTGACAAAAAAAGCAAATACAAAGCTGTAAATAGCTTTTAAAAGCGAAAAGATGTAATTTGTAGGAGAATTAAATATGATCGATCTAAGGTGATCTTGCTTCAACCATAAAAGCAAATACAGTGCGCAGAGCGCATTAACATAATATCTACATATCCGATTATCTTAGAATGGAAATTTTCCCATATAAAAAAAACTTAATTGAAAACTGCGTGAAAAACTAAAGACAAACCTGTAGTAAACAGAAAATCTCCAACATTTCATCTGTGAACGAGTGTCACAAAATAGATACCAGCTCCCAGGTGAGAAAAACTGAACACTTGAGATCGAGGCAAAATGTGCCAGGCCGGTCCAAGATGGCATCCAAACTGTGAAATCACATGGCATACAGAATGGTTACTACTTCATGTACGGTACACAAATAGTAAGCGTTCTCCTTCGTCAAATGCGATAAAACGAAGAGTTTTACTCTTTTGCCACAAAGCAAAGTTACCACCTGCTTATTTGACCAATCAAAGTGCATGTGCTAAGAGATATAATAAAATGAGTTATTAGGCAGCTGAATATGCATCCTTGGGCCTTGTAAATTCTGATCACTAAAAGTGAGATCTTCACAAGGTCTTAGATCTTCGAAGGCCTTACGTTGTTGCCTCCAGAAGAACCTGGTATTCAGTGATACCTGAAGCAACAAATAATGTTGTTCTGAATAAATAACACACACAAATGGCTTTACTTTTTTCTCAGTTGTCACTGTTACAAACAAACTATTAAAAATACCTAATCTGAAAATATCAATCATTGTAGATGAGTTCTTGTAATGAAAATGTGCATTGGTTAGCTTCCTGTATGTCTAGTGTTTGAATGGTTATGTTGAACTACCTGTATCTTGCATTACATACCCTAATCTGTTTAATTATTTTCTGTTTAAACAGACCCAGGTGACAGTTCAAGTTCAGGAAGAGAAGATGAGAGTATGGTGTTTTGACCAACTTTGACCCAGAATTACAGTATTTTTGTAGAAACTGGTGGGAGCCGAGCTGAAACCAACACGATGAAGATGCTTGCGAGCAGGAGCTGAATAGGCAGACAGAGTTTAAGGGATAACTGTACAATATGCTCATAGATTTATCGCATATTCATAATAAAAGTAGGACTGCCTAATTGAAGAAAGGCTCAAATGACGTGATAAATAATGTAAAATAGGACTGTAGTATTAAATTTGTATGATAAAGTTGTCGTGGTGTACAGTTTAGCTAGTGATGGTTACCACTACCTTGTCCTGCATGCCAAGTCCAACTGAGTTCATGAATACCAGGGTTCCCTAGCCTCTCACCTATTAAGTATTAACAGAAACTCATTTTAGAGGTTTTCAACCCCTTATGAGTTTCTGGTATTCACTAATAATTAGTTGCATGATGGGAGGGTTTCGTCGCTAAACCCTCCCATCATCACTTTCATGCAAAGTCATGTGCTCACAGCTCTGTCATCAATAACTAAATTTTATTCCTCACAATTTACGTGGAAGATAAGACAGTGTACAGTGTAGACCCAGTTGTTTTAAAAGGTGGATTTGCTTATTTTTTCCAACAAGGTGGTATTCAGTTGGGCCTTTTTTGTATCGAGAAAGTTGACTCTGGTACCCATGTACCTACCCAAGCTACCCTGGGCAAGCTAACTTTTCATACATTTCCTTTTCTACGTGAGAAACAAACGGTTGGCTCGGCTAGAAGGATGGCTCAGCTAGAAGGAAGACCAGCCAAGCAAGGTCCCTCTTTTGTGATGGTAGTGTCACCCCCCTAGTAGCTTGCACACCAGACGAAACTAAACTGTGAAACAGTACTAAAGTCCTTTTTCTCTCTCCCTCTTCCATTCCATCGCTTTTTCCCCTCCACTTCATCGTACTGAGGTATGAAAACCTATTTCTTTTTTTTTAATGGCCTTAATGCATGCGTAAATTTAACATATCAGTCAGAAGAGCCAATCTATATCTTAGCTTTTAGAACAATCCTTTTCAATGGCTGTATTTTGGAGACAAACAACGGGATTCGGGAAAGCGGTGAAAAAAAAAAACACGGGATCATGATCAGGACCAACCACCCCCCCCCCCCCCTCCTTGAAGAGCATGGGCAAAGGGGTCAATTTTTTTAGGGATCATTTATAGGTCATGAATAAATTATCTTATTTCTATTGTGCTGCACATTGGTTGTCCAGCCCCCATCTCATTTTTTGTTTGTTTCACAAAAATGTGAATCCCTCAAAACTTGAACTTTCAATGCCATTTAAAAAGGATACTACCCATCACATCTTTGTCGAACAATGCGCGTGTGTTCATCTCTTATCTGTTTTTGAGTCTCTGGATTTGGCATAATATACTCTACCATGAGTCTTGTTATTAAAGGCTGTTGAAAAAATACACACTTATAGGATGTTGCATAAAGTTGTGTAGTGTGGAAACAATGTGCTTTTGTTATATTTAACAATTTATTCCACTAGTGTGCGTTGGATATGAGTTGGCTATAATCATCTCATATTCAACAAGCGTGAGTGGAATAATAGTTTTATTAAAAACGTCCACAAAATATTGAGAATTCTTTACGACTTTACGTGTAAAAACAACCGATTTTCAGCTAGTTTTTAATTTTGCGCAGACGTATACAGTTACCATTAATTTGGAGAGCTTGGTATAATGGCTCATTTACCATGATGGCTAAGCCAATCAGAACTCTAGAATTGCATTATCCAATGGTTCAGTTTTTAATAATACTATATAAACACTCGGTGATCTTGGTGTTTAAAGCAATCTGATTGGTTTGCTATCACAGGGTTATTCAACATTAGTAAAATCCAACTAGTGGTCTATTATCAATGCTGCGTTCTGACTGGTTGAGCTAATACTAGGCTATAATGTTATAGCCCACTAGTAGCGAAAAGCGTCGGCTTTGAAAACCAAAACAATGGCGGCTGAATCGCGATTTTCTAGCTAAAGTTATTTTGACTCGATATTTTTGACCAACTAGTAGGATAAAAAATGATTATTACTCTCGCCTCAGAGCCCCGGGGGGCACTTGGGTATTTTTTGGGTGGGTATGTTCCTCCCTGGACTCCAAATTGGCTCCCCGTTCTAAAAAAAAATTCCCCTAAAATTGATACCCTGTTCTAGAAATGGGCCGATTTTTAATACCCCTTTCTAGAATTCGCCCTAAAGCTGATACCCCGTTCTAGAAATGGGCCATTTTTTATACTCCGTTCTAGAAAGTTTGTAAATTGAAATAGCCCTGTTTTTTTAAAAAGATATTTCTTTATTTGTTCGACTTATACATCAAATAAATGCTTCTTCATAATCAGCAACAATTTTAAGCAGAAGATAAAGCCGTGATCCATAATTTGTTATACCCCGTTCTAGAAGACGCCTCTGAAGTGGATACCCCGTTCTAAATTTGCCTAGTCCCTAGGCCTCATTATTATGCGCGGCCGATGCGTTTCGGGTCACGTGGTCCGAGAAAGTTCGTCTCGGATACGTCACCGTGACCGAGAGGGCCTGAAAAGGTGTAAATCGCTGTTATTGCAAATCAGGCCTCTAGAACTGCATTATAACATGAACTAGTTTATAATAATAGAGATACCCTGTACATCGACTTCTAAAGGCAGGAATGAAGAGTTCTGGTAATGAAAATGTGTCTTGCTTTACATCCTGTGTGAAATGGTAGGTGAATATGTATGGGACGTTCCATTTTTTATGCACTCCCATTATGGATGACAAGTTTTCAAATCAGGGTTGGATTTTTTCTCTCAAGAAGCTGACAAAATTTGGACCCTTTCAGACAAATGTTTCAAAATTGCAGACAAAGAACGAATTCTTCAGATTTCATTGTTCAAAGGGTCCAGAACAAAATTTGAGTTTTGGATTCTAGTCAGCTTTGGGGGTCAGGGGGTTCTGGATAAAAAATGGAATGTCCCTATGACCATGTTGAACTACCTGTGCATAGCTTGCACAGTACCTTCATCTGTATTTCTGTACAACAGGCCCAAGTTTCAGTCAAGGAAGTATTGCTGCAAGCTTGGAAAGAAATGAGAGTTTGGAGTTTGATCGCACAGATGCTGGAGAAACAGACAGTATCTCAGCTGATCTTCTGACAAGAATTACAACTGACCCGGCATTTTTTATTTCATTTTCGGATGACAACCTTCAAGACATGATTAACTTTGACCCTGAGCAATTTGCAACAGCATTAGATAAGAGTCTTGCTGTAGCCAAGCACAAACAAGAAGCTTGCCAGCAAGAACTGGATAGACGGACACAGTTTAAGGAGGCTACACAGTTGTTGAAACTGTTAGACAGGGCACAGCAAAATCAAGGAACTGAAAATGAGACACCAGTGTGTGCCAAACGACAGAGGACTACACCAGAGTAAAAATGTACCCACTGGGCTACTGCAGCAAAATCACCAGTATTATGGCATATTGTGTGTCAAAATACACAAGATAGATAGTTTTTAAAAAAAAAAAAAAAAGATAAAAATCCCAATGATTATGTAATGTATAGTAAACCTGTAACCCTCAAACAATTTAAAAATGTAGTTGTCACATTCTCTCTAAGGTGGAGACTAGAGAGGAACCAAGCTACTAGGTGTTCTTCTTAGAGATGTCCCACATAATATACGGGATCAAGAAAAATAACTGAACAAGCTCAGCCTTATTTAGCGAGGTATCATTCTATTGAGAGGCAGTTGGCCACATTAGTGCCATTTAAAGGTGTACATAACTCTCTCACATCATTAGTATTATTTTTTTAAATTTGTGCATGTAAATATTAGGGTTTAACTTAATAGAAAAAAAAGATTCCTGAGCCTTTGGCTTGGAAAATAATTATCTGCTCTTTTATGTTGTTGACAGTGCTTGTTTCAGTTGATTATTGGCATTGTTACTAACAAAGTTACGTGTAGGTACCGTCATGTATTCTGTCAGTCCAAATAAGGTCTTATAAATTTTAATCTATGGATATAGTAGTCTGTGAACAGCCACAACTTCAACTTCTCTTAAAAAAATCAGGGAGAGAGACCTCTATGTTGCACCATTGTTAATCATGTCCCCGATTAATTTGGACAAATGAAGTTTTTTGTTTTGCTGTTAACAGTTTTGAAAAGTTGTTGATCGGCCAACACAAATAACAACCATGGGAAAGGGGCTGTAGGGCTCCTTTTCCCTAAAAACTCAACATATGGCAGTATGACCCTGAATACTGGTGATGATTGTTGCATTTAGCTGTTGCCAGACAGTATTATCATGTTTTTGAAGGTTTTTTTAAAAGTACCCGTAATTAATCACACTGTAAGGAACATACATTCCTACATTTCTAATCTGTGGTCTGTAAGGCAGCTAGACTGTCGTGCACTATTTAACTCACACAATATTATTATGTCAATGAATAATAAAGGCATGATGAATAGAATTCAAAAGTAAATGTGTGATTTCTATCATTCTATGCATGGTCTTAATTATTAAATTGGATTGCCCTTAAACAAAGCCCCAAGTGACTTGACATTATTGCTAGAAGTCTGTCTCATCCATTCCAGGGTTTTCTATGCTTTCTCCTACTACTTTGATTGGATGATGGTTGCGTTTAGGGATACTTATTATTATAACATTGATATTTCTTAGGATGCACATTTAAGATCAGTGTAGACCAAGTTGTCTTAAAAACGGGATTTGTTTATTTTCTCCAACAAAGTGATATTCTGTATCATAGAGTTTGTTTTATCTGAAAAGAGCAATTCACTTTGCATTCATCACAAAATATAGTAACAAATCATGATGCCATTTGTCATTCCACAAACAACACCTCTGTTTAACCTATTTTTTTACTTTTGACAACCAAGAAGTATAACTGCTTTAGTCAATAACCAGCCTCAGTTAACTGTTTAATCAAATATTGTACTACGTAGCCTGAAAAAAAAAACAGCTGTCATTTCACAATACCACAAATGGCTTCCCCACAAAAGGATGTCTGAGGAACGAGAGCAGAAATTCCATACTAATGACATCAACCAGATCTGGCTAGTGACACACCATCAGTATGGAATTTCTGCGCACATTCCGATCCTCAGGTGTCATTTCCTGCTGTTGAAGGCACTGCAATGAAGGCTGTTTTCTCAGGCTAAAATTGGACAAGATACACTAAAAATCATGTGTATATCAGAGAAATACACAAATAGTGCTTTGAAATGAACACACAATGGAACATCTGTTTGTTCAGTATCCATCAGGACCAAATTCTGGGGCTCTTTGGATGTCTTTGCCAATCTCCTCAAGATCAAATGGCTGCATGCCCAACCTTGGTTTTCGTTTTCTTTCCAAACTGAAAACAACTGTTAAGGATTGTCATTCTACATTTACATTGTAATGTGTTTTTGTACCAAGGCTCTCTTGTCTATCAACATGGGCAGATTTAAAAGTGGAGGGGGTAGGGGTAGTGAGGGGGAACTGTGTGGAAATGAACAGTGCACTGGGACCATAAAGATACTATTTCACTAACAGTACCTTTAGTTGCACAAGGGGAATTTGTAACAACATTGAAATTTTAGAAATGGGGTGGTTATTTAGGCATTTACTATATTCTGCTCTGCTTTACATTAGTGGTCCAGGCCCCCATACCAATTTTTTAAGCTTACTGGCTAAAAGTTAGAAACCTTTATGCTATCGTCGGCATAAGAATGAATGATGGTAAGGTCATTTCTTTTTGTTCTTTTAAATGCAGTAACACAATGACCTTCGGAGCCGAAGGGACTGGGTTCGATACTTACAATCTCCTATATCTTTTTTTTACTCTGTTTTGTAAAGCGTCGTTATGACAAGGAGGAATTTGATACTGATTGTTCTTAGCCTTTCTAAAAAGTTTAAATGAGATGTTATGCTCCGTTATTTTAGAAAAGCGTAAGGTGTTTGCGTCTGTGAGGAATAGTCTTTCAAATATCATTTTACAGGAAAAGAATTCTATTTTGACTTATAATTCTTGAATAAGGGCGTTTGGCCAAATTATTTCTTTGCTATTTCCATCCATTCGTAATTGCTTTATGTGTTGATTGAGTTTTACCAGTAACGAATATTTTTAACCTTTAATAGTATTTAACATTGAAAATCACAATGTGGGAAAATGCAAACACAAATCTGTCACTTTTACTATGTAATCATTCACTTAAAATGTCACAAATTTGCATAACTTTGAAACAACTGGCATTTTTGAAATTTCATGTTATGGTAATTTCGTTATGACATTTGCATGCTTACTCTTGGCAAGAAATTACAATAGTGCCAGAACCGTATCTATGAAAGTTTTAACTTTGCGTGTGGCCGCTGAACCAACCTTACATGCTATAAAGCACTTATAGCACGTAACACACAGTGACAATAAGTGCACGTGCCGAGAAGTCAATGGTTAACATGACTGCCTTGGAGAAGAATTTGGTTTTGCAAGCACATGGCTTTTGTACAGACTATTCATTGCCACTAAGCTCATGTCCTCTCAGAGGACTGTTTTTTGTTTATGCTACTGGTAATAACTAACAATAATATTGTAAATTTCACATAACCTGAACTAGCATTGTCATAATATAAAGGATACTACTCATCACATCTTTGTCGAACAATGCGCATGTGTTCATCTCTTATCTGTTTTTGAGTCTCTGGATCTGGCATAATGTACTCTACCATGAGTCTTGTTATTAAAGGCTGTTGAAAATACCACACACAAACACACTTACGGGAGATTGCATTATTCATGCACACTTATCAAAATGATGTATTTACTGTATTGCAAAAAATTTTGTAGAGTTGAGACAGTAAGGCCATTTGTGCAAGGACAAATAAGGTGTGTCCATAATACGACACAAACTGTAGTGTATAAACGGCACATTTTGTTTTAAAAAAAACTTGACTCAGCTGTAATAGTAAGATGCCTCTTGTCTAACAACAGGTGTTAAGGGCTGTTCTTAGAAAGGATGAATCTTGGCTAAGTCACGTCTTATTTCAAACAAAATGTGCCATTTATACACAACAGTTTGCGTATTATTTAGAATGTGTCTTATGTTATGTAAGACGTGTCTTATATGTTTCTTGGAATAAATAAATGGCCCCAATTAATGTGCCTAAATAAAATTATGATGTAATGTAATTTACACATTCAAACTGGATATTCAGTGACTAAGATAAACCAACATTACTTACCTCTCTCATACCAGTCTCATCTGGTTCTTCTATTAAACAAAAGTAAACAACAAAAGAGTTTAACATTTAACTCAAGCATGCATAAATCTATTTTCACTGCTATGTAGGCTACATGTACAATCTAAATTATATAAAAATTGCTTTTCAATGGCTAAACAAATAGATGAGCTCTAGAAAAAGTTTCATTTTCTCACAAACCCAAGAAACAGTATACAACTAGTCCTGTAGGATACTGCTACAGTGCTAAAATTTCCACTTCACTAGTGTTTTACTTTGTGATTCTTGTGGCACAATTATGCAGCATATGATGCAATTTGTGTAGTGAAGGAAATTAGATACCGTAGAATCCCGGTTATAAGCCCCCCCGGTTATAAGCCCCCCCGATTATAAGCCCACCTCTCTGCTAATAGAAATTTCCTCCCGGTTATAAGCCCCCGGTTATAAGCCCACCCGATTATAAGCCGACCTCTCTGCTAATAGAAATTTCCTCCCGTTATACCCCCTGTTATACCGGTACCGTATACAGTTAACAATAATTAGGCGGTAAATTAGCGACATACCGTATTTTTTAGACGTTTTTTTCCTCCCTATTATAAGCCCCCCGGGTTATAAGCCCCCCCGATTATAGGCCCACCCAAAAACCCTTACGAAATTGTATAAGCCCAGGGCTTATAACCGGGATTCTACGGTATGACTGATAACTTAGTTATGAGTGATGCTGTACTCATAACATCTTAAAAAGGCTCAGGTTTACTGCCACTCCCTCCTCTATATTTTTGCAGTTTCATTAATTTCATATTAACTTACCTATGAACCTTTCATAAAACAAACAACCAGCTACTCCACTTAGGAACACTAAAGACTAAAACAGGCAACAAAAGTTATCTTACACTTTTACAAGAAATATAGCATTTTTACATGTACAGTAACTGGGGGATTTGAGAAAAAAATTTTACCAGTGGTCTTGATGAGGCAAATAAGCCACGGGGAAGGGAGGGGGTGGAATACATTACATGGAATGGCCCTAACTAAACATGCATAGTCTACAGGCTGGTGTAAACAAAAACTTAACAGCATCACTTAAATACTTACAGGCGTTTTCCAGTCAGTGATTATTCTTCTCAATAAACCACGTTCCTTTTCAGTTGTGTTACTAGTTACGTTCCTCACTGGCTGACTGATTCTTACTGCAAACAGCAAACAAAACAATGTTTTTTCACTGGTCAGCTACAGTACCACCGTGTAGCTCTTTCAAAAAAGGACTTAACTTCTCCGGTATTAAGAAGACTTGCTTATCCGCTTTTCGGCCTAATAATTAGATGCCGAATACCAGAAAAAATTCAAGAACAAAATCCGGTTAGAGCAAGTGCTGTGTAGAGTCATATTGGTCCACTTGAGAAAACTAACTTAAATCCTTTGAAAACCTCAATTTCTGCCTGTAGAAAACTCGAGTTAGAACAATTTTAAAGTGAAGTTAACATAAAGATATCTACTACCATGGATAGATTGCCTTAACTTACAGGAACGGTGAGATATTTGTCCCAATCGAGTCCACAACTGACCTCGAAAGGCGGCCATCTTGGATGTGACCAATTACTACTAGTTCCAACCCTCCGTCTTATCGCGCCAGTAACGCCTGGCGAGAACTTGCTCTTAACCAGACCCTCGCGTCTTTCTCTGCAGCGTTTTACGGTATCAAACAGCTGGTATCAAATTGTTCTCTTTTTGATTGTCGCTTCTTTGTCGGCTGAGATTCTACATGAAACAACTTAACACGAGTACAGGTTGTGGATACACATGGTCAGCCTGGAACAGGCTAGGGTCTGATCAAGTCAGCTAGTTTGGTACTGGCGAAGGTATTTTTAAAATATTATATATGCCGGCGACTACGCACTTAGCTTTTACCAGGTTTGCCTTTCTGCTTTCCTAGACGCTATTCCTGCAGAGCATCTACAAAGTTTTGAGATGAAAGTAACTTAAAACGTCTTTTGTGTGTTTTCGTCAGCCTCAGTGCAGTCTTCAAGCTGTCCTTGACTCCAGCTTTTGGAAACATCATCAATTAATCACCATCATGCCGGCACATGGCCGCCCACATGTCAGTGTCTTGCACAATACGCCGGCAGAAGTATTCATGTGCTATAGTTAAGAGGACCTTCTCAACCTTGATTCGTTTACAATGGTTTTGCTGCTTTTCAAATTCCAGGTAAGTTAAATTTTCATTCAAACTCTTTTCACACCACCGCAACCATTTTTCTGTTTCTCCTCGGCATAGTCATCTTATAATAAATTAATGTTTGTCAGTGATAATCTGTTAAAGTATAAAAAATTTAACACATTTCTTACTCCATGATGCCTCTTCCAATAGAAGAGATTCTCTTCTCCCCCCCCTCCCCCCCCCCCCTTTTCCCCATTCAAGGTTGTCTTGTCAAGTGTTAGCCTGTGTATAGCCGTCCCCTCCCCTCAGAAAAAAATTAGAGAAGGGGCATCTGTGATTCACCTTTGCTCATTGTGTATGGAGGCCATGTGATTTTTCCGAGAATGTGTGGAAAATGATTTGATTGGGTGTTACTCGTAGATCACTACATCATGTAAATGAAGATTTTTATGGCTTTAGGGCCTGTCATCAAAACATGGCAGGCAATCAGAAAATTATAACATTTTTTATACAGACAACTACATGAATGCAGCTATTCAGCTCCAGGGATTTCAGTGAAAAGAAAAGAAACTAAAAATCTTTATTGAAAGGTTCTTTAGCCTTACTAAAAAGCTTTAGGCTTTTAAGAGGTCAAAGAAAAACAATCAAATCCTGTCACAACAACACGCCTACAGAAACATAAACCACAGGAAATACATGTAATAACTCAATTCAGAGGTCGTGAAGCTGGAATGTCTCATGCATATAGCCTGTGAAGTGCAGATGCATTTCTGGTCGTCACTTTTTTTTGGAGGGAGAGAAGCGACGACCGGAAATACATCTGCTCTTTGCAGGCTATATGCATGAGACATTCCAGCTTCATGACCTCTGAATGCAAGAATTAAAGGCAAAAAAAAGATTTGTTCAGGCAAAGTTTATGGTACCCTATGCACTATTGAATTCCATCTTGAAAGTCGGCCTTAATTACAGCTTATATAAAAGGAAAGATGGGCTTGAATCATGCAGAGCCTCAAAACTCTGCATCTAACTTGGAGGAGTAAGATGATACAGTGGTCTAAATTTTCTTACATAATTTAGTTGTAAGATCCAGCAATTTGAAATCTCTTTTATACTGAAATATTATAGCCCAGACAAACAAATGGGCTATAGATTTTAAACAGTTCATTTACAGTACTAGAACAATGGACATACGGGGTGAAAACAAATATGGAGATGCCTTTTTTTAATTGTATTTTTTCAATGCCCTATACATGGCTATCAGTAATTGCTAATGATTATTGTGTTAAATTTCTTTGAAAACTTAGGATAGTATGTTTTTTTCAAAGGGGAACTACCTTAAAGATAAAAAAAACAGTGCCCAGTACTCTGAAACCGTGAAAGATTTTCTAAGTCTTGTTCCACCTGAAATTATTCTCTGGTATAAAACAGGTTTCTGTAAGCCCCATGCCAAAAGAAATGCAGAGCACTTTCTTCTTTCTTTCTTTCTTTCTTTTTGTTTTGCTTTTGTTTTGTTTTTTATTTTATTTTTTGAGATGTGTCAAAATTCTAAAGACAGTTTGATAAAAATCCTTCAAAATTAACGGTTAAAGGGGTATTTAAAGTAAAGCATCCATCAGATATACAGGATTTGTAAAGCAGAGTCTGTGTCACAATGATTTGCCTTTATTCTTCCTGACACTACTAAAATTGTTTGTTATTTGTGCATTCTGGTATGACATTTTGTTTTATCCTCCTGTCCCAAACATAAATGTTTGTAGATACACTGTATTTGTTTTAGTGGAGGCATATACCTAGCCTTATGAATATTGGAACTAAGGTGTTTAACTCGGCTGTACAAAGATGTTATGGCAATAGATTTGACCCATTGATTAATTGAGTTCAATCCGTATAGTCAACACAACCGTGTGTTTGTAGTGTCATTGTGTTTTTGTCTGAAATGCATGGTGTAAAATTAATATACTAGCAAACCGTAAATTAATCATCCTGTTTTTCTTTTATTTGAATAACCTTTGTTTTCCGCTGTAAACCTCTCAAAGCGAACACAGCCGACCGAAATTTTCCGAGCCCAATCTTGCTGCTGCCATCTGCATCTTCGTGCTGATTTCCAGCAGGTGCTACTTGGTTTCTTGCCACCATCGCCGCGCGCAGGCGCTCTAGCTGCTCTGAAGTTTGACGTTCAGTGCTGTGATTTACCGCGTGCTCACAGAGATCTGCTCCCAGTCTTTCCTCTTCCTCAGAGAATCTGAAGTGGATGAACTTGCCGATGATGTAGAACTGGGCAAAGGCGATGAACGCTGACCAAAGAGCAATCGTCAAACAGGCCAACAGCTGCACCCCAAGAAGTCGTATGTGGCCACCTTTGAAGACCCCGTATGTTTCTGAGAAATCCTCTAAGCGATCTAACTCGACAAAGAAGGCGACAGCTATCATGCCCCACAGTGCGCCACCAAGGTGGGAGGGTATACATCCAACAGGGTCGTCAATCTTCAGCTTTTCCAACAGCATCCAACCCATCACTGAAATCACGCTGCCGATAAATCCTATAAAAATGCTCTCCCCAGGCCGTGCGACGGCACAGATGGCTGTGATGCTTACCAGGCTCCCGAGAATTCCTGACATGAGAGTGGGAACATCGACACGCTTGAGGTAAAATACACTGAAAAGATGAGCGAAAATACCACCGCCTATGGACGCATTTAGAGTGCAAACAGCGGATCGGGAAGCTAGTTTCCACTTGCCACCACTGACCCCAAACGTACTGCCGCAGTTAAAACCAAGCCATCCCCACCAGAGCATGAATGTGCCCAGCATAACATTGGTTGGAGAAGCCATCTTTTGTTGTCGGCCATCGCCTGTAAATTTGTTTCTTCTTGACTTAAGCATGATTGTCCCCACTAAACCAGCCACGCCTCCAACTAAATGCACCGGACTAGCGCCACCAACATCTATAACACCCAGCTTTTTAAGCCAGCCATGATTCCCCCACACCCAGTAAGCAGGAAAACAGAACGAGAGCGTGTTTGTGAAAGAAAACACCATGTACGCTTGCAAATTGGCACGTTCCGCAATGGCACCTGATACGATGGTTGTCGCAGTTGTTGCAAAAGATGCCTGAAAGAAGTACAAAGCGTAGACGCTGCCCATTGCCTCGTCTTTTGCGTCAGCGAAAAAGTTAGCTACGCCAGAGAAGGGGTTGGTGAATCCCTCTGACTCTCCTCGACTGAAGGCGAATCCAAACATCCAGTAGGATAAGCCACCGAAAATTACATCCAGAGCATTCTTGACCATGATGTTGGTTTCATTTTTCTTCGATACCATCCCTGAATAGAATGAAAGATAAAGCAAATTAATCTTCTTTTTAATCATTTTTTATTTTTATTTTTCTTAACTATGAGGTGTCATAATTTAAGACTAACAGACCTGGATGATGTCTAAAACGATTCTGATTATACTGTTTTAAAACTACTATAAGAGGGTTGTTGGGCAATAATTTTCCTAGGTAGTCATATATATATTCGTTCTATAATTTGCTTCCACAAAGCCTGAATTTTATTTCTTTGGCTATGCATTTATTCGACAGCCTTAAGGAACAGTAACATGATCAGGACAAATACGTTTAAATCTTGAAATTCTTAGAACTTTCGATGAGGAATCCTCCGCATTAGACGCGCAAAGCGTCACAACGCTTCTACTGAATCAGATTACACTGTAGAAAAATTATTCCCGTTGTTTAATCGATTCCTAAATTTCCGGTTTTGTCCCAATTTTTTTTCGGCAGTGAAGATCTCTTTTCAGTTAAATGACAGGAACTGAAAATAATTATTTGCTGACTGTAAGTCCAGGGTTAATCCTATTGCTTTTATATGATGCGATCGACTCTAACAGACGAAACGAAGGTTCTTATGTAACACGCCCATTCAGTAAGTCAACTCTCTGAACCTTACACTGAGCACTGAGGGTTTAACGAATAGACCTTATCACCGTTTAACAGTGTTTGTATGAGAATCTTATGTGGAATAATTTTCGTAAAACGGCGGTTCTGAAGAAAGTAGGAATTACAAACTAAAGCTACACACCAAAGGATTCTACGAACAAATTTTGGGAGCCGTGCCTGCGTTAAAATTCCTCCAGTCGCTTGCTTTTAGATTTTCCATATATTTGTCTGCAATTTTTCCCGGGAAATTTTAGTCGGCAGGAAAAAAAAAATTACAGACAAATGTATAGAAAATTTTTAAACGAGGTTCTCGCGCGGGTAACGCCGTCAAATTTTTTTAGAAGAATCCTGAGAAGCGAAGGTTTTATTAGTTTTAAATTCATATTTTTTTAAGTACGGCCGTTTTACGGAAATTATTCGACATTAGATTTTCACAGAAACACTTTAATTTCTCACGCGGTTGGCTACCCGTCAAGATAGCTTCCAAAACCGTGAGAAGGTCTATTGACGCCTTAAGGTTAAGCTCACCAGATTCAACAAGACCAAATCCAGATATCATGGTGAAAATAATAAACGCGCTTGTTAAAATCCACACTGCATCTCCAGGACCAACTTCACCAGTGTCATTCTCGGCCTCAGTAGCAGCAGCTTGGGTGACATTTCCAGAGGATATGTTCATGAACACCATTTTTCAATAATGTCCTGATTTGATGCACCAAGAAATACTTTCCTGAATAAATCAGCGAGTTCACCGAAAGTTTAAGACCAGGCAGACTAATGAACAGATGAAGGAGGATTTTCGCTTTGTTAATGATATGATAAATAATGCATACGTGCATTTCAGTGGGTGTATCTGTTTCTTTTCAATTTTTTAGGCGGAACAGTGTGTTTCGATTTTGTAGAACATTTTTATCCGGGGTACTGCAAAAAAACGGCAGGCTTTTAAATCGGCGTTCTCTGATTCCTTTATAGTTTGATCTCCTATTCTAAATATTTTTTTTTCTCTTGACTGTTTAATCGTCTTTATTTTTATGATAGTTCAACGCCAACCATCGCATATTATAAAGTGGAAAATGAGGATATTTTCTTCTCCTTAACGAACTTTATTTCATGACAGTAGGAGATGGTCAAATTAGCATGTCTATATTCTGAAACTCAGAGAACGGAGTTTACACAATAAGACATTAGTTCTTTATCGTCATATTTCTGAAATACCCAAAAAATCGCAAACTTGGAACCCTGATGGAATTAACTGAAAAAAGCACACCATAACGTGTTTGGAATATTGGGCTGAATTTGTAATAAGTGTTACAAGAACCGATGGCAGTGACAGTTTGTTGCCTTCATGTTGCTACGATTTGTTATGGTTTAGTTTTATTCATCATCCCCACCCCCCGCCCGCCCCCCTCCGCTCTCTCTCTAAGGGTCAATTACGGAGATATGCAATCTAGTTCTAACTTTTGAGTCTGTGGATTAAATACTATGGTGCGACTATTCAAATGAAACCACTTTAACAGTACTTTTAGGTGGCACTAGTTTTCTTGTCTTGTGATTTTACCAGACAAAATTTAATATTTTCCTTCACTTATGATTTTTGCGTTTGCCTACGGCTATCTATATGTACAGGATTATTAAAAGTGGTAAACTTGAAAACAATGTTCTACATACGCTCGACAGCTAGCCGTTGTCAGTGTAAATGGAATCAACTGAGATTGAGGCACTCTGTGCTCAAGTTTGCCTTAAGTTTGTAATACGTTGTAACCCTGCTGCTGTTTAAACAATAGAAGCACCACCTTTTCAAGTTCAAGCTGCGGAATCTAGACGCTTCTGCCGGGTGGGGGGGAGGGATGAGTCTTCAAATCTGCCATAATCTTCTCAAGAAATAGAACATAAGTCACTTTGAAGAAGCAAATTTATAACAACTTATACCGAATTTATCTCAATGGTCGTTTCTAAAGTTGACGTTGGTGTTGTTATGAACTCCATTTCTATTATTGATGCGAAAACAACTGCCGATAAAAATAGCTTTAAGAAATAAAACAAAGAAAAATAAAGTCATGGATCTTTTTTTTGTTTGTGGCTCATTTTGTTCATAATTTATGACGAGTTTAGGAGGTCGCACCACACGACAAAAAGGTCTAAAAGTCTAAAACCCGCTTGAGTTTTCTAGACTAGTCCGTGGGTACTCTATACCTATTCCTAGGTAAACATTTCAAGGCTTTTGGTAGGTTAACTCTGAGCGTGAAAGCTGGGGCCTTCTTTGGAGTGATGCGATTTTTTTCCTTTCTTAATGATTTTGAAGCATATCATTTCTGGGCCCAACTGTCTCATTCTGTTCTACTGACAAATAGTGCAAAATTTATTATGTTTATTGTTGTCTATTTTAGATACTGACTAATTTACAAAAGCTTATTTTTGGAAGCCTTCCGACTGTCCCTAATTTAGTTAGCAATGGTAGCTGTAAATCGTTTAAATAATTCTATAAAAGTAAGGAAGGTTGACCACTGTTTCATTACTTGGAATTATGATTCAACTAGCTATAAATCCAGATATTTTCTAGAAAAAGAAAATGAAAACATATGCGGCAAAATAATTACGATATAGGAATTAATATTGAGTTTCTAGTTTTGATTTTCTTAATAAAACAACATGGCAGACACGGGATATATCGACAAACAATCAAAAAAATTGGATTTATTAAAAACAAACTAGTACTGCTAAAATTTTGATAGATGCTTCGTCGGCCGCCCTTAACTTATATTATGAACCGATAAAATTTATCTATTTGTATTTTCTGTCCGTTTTATTATTTAAAAACTGACTCCGTAAAAGATGCAACAAACTGGTATTTAAATGACCCCAGAAACTGAAGGGATATCCTCAGTATCAATGAAAAAAACCGATCAATCTTATTTTGTGATTAGTTTGTGATTGTAAAATGGCTTTGTTGAATGAGTTGATATAACATCATATTTATCACAGCAATTGACAAATGAGTAAACTTTATCAAGTGAAAATTTCTGACTTGTTAAAAAGGGTATTATGATCTTCCATTCTACCATGATAATTTGCGAGGTTATAATCAGTGGAAATCATGGTTTTTCGAGCTCAAGAGATGTGAGAATTGTTAGCTACGATAGTGAGTGGTAACAAACATAAAAGCCAAAGTCTCGATCAGAAAAATGTCTTTGTTTCCTATGAATAAAATGTATGAATCATTTATGAGCAGTGACCTAGCTACTACCGGAATAACTTTGATTTGAGCCAGAGCGCTATGGCTGCTAACGAGAGCACAGAACGTCCTTTAGAGGGTTTAACGGGCAGACCAATCGGTTATGATGATGCCACATGGATTCTTACCAGTGCCTTCATTGTTTTCACCATGCAATCTGGTTTTGGCCTTATCGAGTCAGGTATGTATGCAACTACAGTACTGAGAACCACCAACAGAGAAAACTGGCGCTGCCACCATCAAATTTCTACAACTGTAAAGTCGGGCCTATTTCTCGAAAGTCTCTGTAACTTTTCGGCCCTGGAAAGCTCTGTCTGTGTTTATACTCCAATGATTCAATAGTTATGCAGATTATATGGTAAAACTATCGACCGGCTCTTTCACGATTTAGAGTTTAAAATGAAGCTTGATGCCTGCAAAATTTTCCGGGTCTTTCGAGAAACAGGCCCATAGAGCTAGAAATGGGACGAAAACTTTCAATGGTGTACGAAAGTTATTTGTCTTTCTTCTTGACATCCACTTTGAAACAACGGACAATTTAAGCACCTATTAGCTGAAGAAAACGTAGAAATACCATATCAAATACTTTCATATTTCTTGTTTGAGGGCTATTTGTATATGCCTTCATTTTCTTTTGAAAGTGATACGGTTTGGTTGCTTATAAATTTAGATTTAGACTGAAATTTGTGACAATGACACAAGCAAACAATCAGAGCCCAATTTTGGTCATTGAGTTTCCCGCTTCTTACGAAATGCTTGATCAAGAGTTTTTTTCTTTTTAAAACTGGATTTTCTTCTCGGTAATATTCAATTTCTTTATTGTTCAGGTATGGTCACGATTAAAAACGAAACCAACATTATGGTAAAAAATGCCATCGATATCATATTCAGCGGCTTATCGTTCTGGATTTTCGGTTTTGGTTTGAGCTTCGGTATCGACGAAGGCACGAATGCTTTCACGGGAGTCGGCTACTTTTTGACCGAAGTTCCCATGGATAAAGGACAGGTGTATTCAATGTACTTCTTCCAAATGGCGCTAGCATCAACAGCGACCACTATCGTTTCCGGAGCAATGGCTGAGCGGACAAACCTGAAAGCGTACATGCTGTATTCGTTTGTCAGCACTCTCACCACGTGTTTTCCAACTCACTGGATTTGGGGAAAGAATGGCTTACTCAAGGAACTCGGGGTCATTGATATCGCAGGATGTGCCGGTGTGCATCTGGTCGGAGGTGCCGCGGGTTTTGCAGCTGCCTTCATGTTAGGGCCCAGGACGGGGCGCTTTGAAAATGACAAGAAAAGGCCCCAGCCTTGCTCCATGACTAATGTGCTACTAGGGACCTTCATGTTGTGGTGGGGATGGCTTGGGTTTAACTGTGGAAGTACATTTGGTATTAGTGGATGTAAGTGAATAATAATATAGAAGTTTCTGTGTTAGCTATCGTCGAAACTCTCTTGAAAACCTGATTAAACTTCGAAAACAATCGTGTTCTGTGAAGAGAAGGAGGGGTCTAAAGACGGCCTCCATGGGAAAAGACCAAATTGCAATTTAAGAAACGCGTCGGCAAATTGGATTTTGCAAGATAAACCCAATCGAAAAACAATCATGTTTATTTCAAAAAGAAAGTTACATTTTTATTTGAACTTAATCCTGTAAAATTCTTTATCTGGAATTGATAGAACTAATGTCGGGGAGTACATGATCACACTTAATGTATGTGCCTTTCAATCTTTTCTTTTCAGCTAAATGGAAGCTAGCTTCCCGGTCAGCGGTAGCAACGCTAAATGGCTCAATCGGTGGTGGTATTCTTGCCATAATCTACAGCTACATCATAGATGACGAGACACTCGATGTGCCCATATTTGTCACTGGCATCCGAGGGGGCCTGGTGTCAGTAACCGGGATCTGTGCCCTTGCAAGGCCATGGGAGGGACTGGTGATAGGCTTTTTTGGAGGGCTTTTCGCGTGTTTGCTGTCGGACTTGATGATCAAGCTCAAGATTGATGATCCCGTGAACTGCGTTGCCACTCATGCTGGGTCAGCGGTATGGGGTATGATTGCTGTTGCGCTGTTCGTTGAGCAGGAGAAAGATGAAGGATTCTCACATGCGCATGGACTGTTCAAGGTGTGAACATTTGCTATTGATTTGTACCAATTTTTGTTCAAACTTTTGCGGCTCATTGATCACTTTAGTAACGAGAAGGAAACAGGGCAGAGTTAACTTTCGCAAAGACTTCTGGGACTGCCCCTGGGGACAGGGGAATAGCCAATGGCTGACCGGTGCATTGCCAGTAACGATCCCAGAATCAATTGCGGGACACGTTTCGGCTCTGGTCCCCTTCAGTTCTCGTTACCAAAGTGGCGAATTAAACTTTAAAGCCAGGGGCAGAATCGCATCAACTGCTTTCTGGTGAAACTTTGACGCAGAAAAGATACAATCTTAGCGGTTTAACACATTTTACTCTGCAAATATTCAAAGATATTTGCATCATGTCACAGCAAGAACGCTGTACTTGAAAATCTCTTTCACGTGGTAAAAAGGTGCTTGCTTTTGTTGCGACAAAGCTGCGTACAATGTTGTTTTCAATAACTTTTCCCTTTTAACACAAAGGCGGAAATTAACACTTGATCATTTTATTTTGTCCCTTGCAGGGGGGTGGCTGGCGGTTGCTTGGCGTTCAACTTCTAGCTTGCGTGCTAACAGCCTCCTGGGCAGTCGTCACAACGGTAATGCTGCTGTTTGTCATCGAGAAGACAATTGGAATACGGCTTACAGAAGAAGAGGAGAAAGAAGGCTGCGATTTGGTGGAACATGGCATCGGAGAGGACACCGAGGATGAAGATGTCGAGAAGAGCAAGCCGCAGCGAAAGAGAGGCAAGGCCTTGTTTGCTGTGTTTGGAAGGAAGGCAACTAATGAGGTAGAGAAATTCCATGCTGACGATGAGGAAGATCAAGAAGGAAAAGAAATGAAGAGCAAAGGACCTTTTGTTCTGAAAATGCCAGCGGTCGCTCGTAGCATTAGACGCAAATGCATCAGCAACAATCACCACGACACTGGGGGGAGCACTGCAGCCATTGTTACTGGTGAAACAGACACAGTGGTAGATAAGAGATGTCAGCAAACGTCCAATGGTAACAAGCAAGCGTTTTGGATGAGACTACCATCTATTGCTCGGAACCTCCGGCGTAAACAGGAGAACAAACGATGTTCTAATGAAGAACCAAATGCCACCTGCAGTTCCTCCTCAACAGATACATATGGTCAAGAAGAAACAGTGGAAACTGCGAGTAAACCCCGTCGCGCAACAATTTCCGACGGAGTTGATGGCGAAATTTCACAAGCATCCGATGATCTGCGGTCAATCTTAAGTACAGAGTCAGATATCGAGGAATTGGTCAAAACCGAAAAAGTACAAAAACGTTATCCCATGTTTGAACAAAAACGAACTGAGGAAAAATGTGTACAGGTTGCTTGTGAGCATGGTGTGCTTATAGACATGTAAAAAAGATGAAAGAAACTTGTATGCAGAAACTGATAATTGCCGTCGACTAACTTACAGTGCGTATTATTTTTATCCTCTTTTTGACTATTAGTAGATTTTAATCTACGTCTGTACATGTCTACTATTTTCTAGGGTGCCACCAGGCCTAGTAATTTTGTGCCAATGTCAATTGTAGTAGCATTGTCCTATTAAACACTCCATAAACTAAAGGAAGAAATTGAAACAAGATTTTGTACTGTACAGTACCGCAAATGATCCCCAAAATGGACCTCGAATGATCCTCGACCGCACGTGATCCCTAAAGTCGACCGCAAATGATCCTGTGAAAACGTTAATTTATAGAAATAGATTAGTTTACGTACTATGATTAGATTTATAAATGCTACACTTATTCTACTTACAGAGTGGTAGCTTTCTCCCTTTTTACCGAAAGAGGACATTTTTGTTTTAAGTATAGCAATTTTCTTAATTACATATTTTATTTTATTTTATATATTTATATTTATATCTTTACTTCTCAACTCTTCTTGAAGTGTAAAACGTTGAAGAGTAATAAAGTAGATGCAGATGTTGGCTACGTGGTTAGAATTGAAATTAACAAACTTAAAACCATCGCCCTATCAATTCATAGCATTTACTCTCGCAATTGTTTTGTTTCCTGACTTCCCATAAGAATTTCAGAAGTGATTCTTCTAACCAGTAGCAATAAAAAAAGAACGATTAATGCATCGATATTGAAAAAACTGATAACTACATTCTGCAAAACGTTGCTTAGTCTCATCATCTTCATCACATATTTTTTGAAAAGCCACATTTCCAGAATACTTACTGTTCTCAGACCCTAATCTATTAATTTTCGTTGCCCCTAATATGCGTCAAAATAAACTGCTAATTTCCAAAGCAAAAAAGACTTTATAAGGGAAACCCAATTACTGGTAACCCAGTAGTTTTTCTCGTGGCCCACAAATAAGGACAGAAACAAACATTTGAAAATAAACAAAAGAAGGTTAAGAATCTCAACTGGCCAGAGACAATCCAGTTGGCTATTTACAAGAGAAGTCGAGGATTTGAATACGGGTAAGTACCGACAACAAACTCAGCTAGCGGCTAGGGCCGGCGGGAATTGAACTTGGTGTCTCCGGATCTGCCTCCTCCACATGCTTTCACAAGGCTTAGTAGACAAGCGAGGAGCGTTAGATATCCGCCAAAAAGGAGAGCGCCTGGGGACGGGACAGCCGGCCACACTGCCTTCTTCAGCAAACTAGCATCTCAGTGTAAACACCACAAACACCTGTTATGTTTCACTGCTTCCGGAAATTTTTCAAGTCACCAACACTTAGCCTGTATGCACGATCATCATTCGCCGGCGTTAGAGTTATAATTACAGGCGTTTTTCTTCTAAAAGGCGAGAATGAGCTCCTTGCTTTCCTTTGCTCTTCACTGCCCATGCTGTGAAAGGTATTAATTTCTGTTGTGGATTCAAGAGCTCTTCTCCACCTCGTTCTACTAGAATCAGTTGAAATGTCGCCGTTATCGTCTGGTTTGCATCCATCTTGGGTAGACTGCATGATGCCTGGGATATCTGCATTTCTTTGTAGAACGCCATCGCTTGCTATTTCATCATAAGATTCTTGATAATCTACCAACTCAGTGTCATTGATTTGGCTCGCATTGTTGTCGTTAAAACCTATTTCTGCACTTTCCTGTCTCTCACCTGTCTGCCCTGGGACCACTTTATTTTGCAAAGCAGGAACTGGCTTCAAATGACACTCAGCATTTATCTGCGATTGGTCGATTCCATGTTCGCAAACGTCCGCTCCAAGTATTTCCTCCTTCAGCGACAATCTGAGCCCTACAGACTTGTCAATGATAACAAGTTGTATTGTAACAGTAACAAGAGTCCACGCAGTAATGGCCACACATGCCAACAGCTGTACTCCCAGTATTCTAACATGGCCTCCCTTGAAAGCACCATATGTTGATGAGAATGGCGTCTGAAGGCTGTCTTTCTCTACAAACAGGCCAACAGCTATCATTCCCCATATTGATCCACCTGCGTGGGTGGAGACTGCGCCGACAGGATCATCGATGTGGAATTTGTTCAGAACTTGCCAACCAAAGATGGCGATAGCTGAACCAATGAAACCAATAGCTAAACTCCCCCCAGGCCTCACGACCCCACAAATGGCCGTGATGCTGACCAGGCTACCAAGTATACCCGCCATAAAGAAAGGAATGTCCAACCTGCAGAAGAAATTTAGAAAGTATAGCCGTTTCTATGGTAATAAGATGAAATAAGCGACCTTCTGCGCGGCTTGAATGTCGTTCGCATTCATTTGATAGTTTTCAATGATAACAGAACAAAAGAGCAAGGAAAACACTAAACACGTGGTATAGCCAATACCCTCTCTTGCGCCCAACCATGATCACCGCACAGTGGCAGCCATGAACAGCGGTTTCTTTCTTGTTAATACTCATCGGTAAGACAAGAACACGACCCCCTTCAACGGCCTGTGTACTTGCCCTTTACTGTCGAAGCGAGTGCTACACAAATATTTGACTTACTGGGTTTGTGTTGGAGTTTCTTCCTTGCTATTTTAGTTTGATTCTTGGTTGGTCAGAGTTTTTTCTTATTGCAAGGGACAATACAACAAATACAAATATGGTGGACCTGTCGAACGGCCTGGGTCTAGCTGCGCGAAAGGGAGGCTAGCGAGGCCTCCAGAGTTCTATTTTTGGCCTCTTGCTCATTGATAAAATTTTGCATCGAAATTTTTGTACGCTGTTATGGAAACTATTAATTGATGAAAAAAAAGTTACCTGTTGCATTTAAAGTAGCTGTAGAATGTAGCAAACATTCCACCACCACAAGAGGCATTTATGGTACACACTGCTGACCGTGAAGCAAGTTTCCATTTACCACCGCTGACCCCAAAAGTGCTGCCACAGTTAAAACCCAGCCAGCCCCACCAAAGCATAAACATACCTACATGTAAAAGTAATTAATAACAGTGAAAAAAGTATCGTCGTTAACTTAAGCATAATAACAAAAGTCAGAACACAAAAAAATGAAAAGTAAAGTTAACCAAAATAGGAGAGGTGTTCAGTAAACGAGACCAAAAAGGGTCGCAAGGGCATTTTAGGCACACCTTTTTGTCAAAATACGGAGATTATGTTGCAAAGGTCATCAGGGGGTAATTCAATTTGTTCTTTACGTGACTTGTTGAAACAGTCAAAGCTAGTCGATAAGTATAGTCATTTGTCCGGGAAACGTATGGTGAGGGCGACAATGGACCTGCTTTCTAGGCCGATTTCATCTCTGCGAGACCCTTTAGGATAAAAATGGGCCCGGTTAATCCCTCTTAGCGCGTAAAGTGGCCGATATGTTGGGACTACATATCACCCTGTAGTCAGCGTCGGGCCCCTAGGTAGTAGCGACTCGCGAAAATAAAACAACTCATGCGAAGATAGCACGCGCGCGATCTGGAGAAGAGAACTCTCCCCAGCCCCCACTTTTCGCATCACTTTTTACTGCACGAGCTATCTTGGAGCCTGGAACAGGCTAATCACGCCGTGTCAAATCACAATGTTTACAGACGGTAAAGGACGAAACCTACCAAGTAAAACGTTAGTTGGACATCCCATGTTATGTCTTAAAGATTTACCGCCTGGATCATTTTTGAATCTTCCGACTCGAGGCTTCAACATCATAGTGGCAACTAGCCCTGCTACTCCTCCCACCAGGTGAACCGGACTGGCTCCTCCCATGTCAATCACACCCATTTCCTTTAACCAGCCTTTTTCTCCCCACACCCAGTGGGCTGGGAAGCAATATGTCAGGGTGTTTGTAAAAGCAAAGATGATGTAGGCTTTCAAGTTCATTCTCTCAGCGACTGCACCTGACACTATGGTTGTTGCCGTTGTCGCAAACGAAGCTTGGAAGCAGTAAAGAGCGAACACCTCTCCCATGCGTGTCTCTTCTGCGTCCGTAAAAAAGTTTCCGAATCCAGAGAACGCGTTCACACCACGGTCATTTCCAAAAGTAAACGCAAAACCGAACATCCAGAAACCTAAACCACCAAATATGACATCCACTGCGTTTTTTACCATAATGTTTGCTTCGTTCTTCCTAGAGACCATACCTAAGGATACAAGCATATCAGATGATGCAAGATCAGCTATTAGGCTAAGCTCCAAAGGGAAAAAAGATAAAGCAAGTAAGTTAGTAGTTAATTCATTTTTACGGTAAATTTTGTAAGTACAGATCGATTTGCCATTTGCCTGTTCCACGTGAAGGAATGTTTAATCTAATAGATATTTTTCATCGCGGTTGTCATCCGTCGAGGGATATTTTTGTCTTCCGAGCCGCTGCCTCTTTGCATGACGTCAGACTTCCCCTTTTCCTATCGATATCACTACGAATGACGTGAATCGCACTGATATGATGGTTTTACACCCTTTTTTCCAAATTTGGTCCACGCTTGCTGGCTGGGGGACTTAAGCCATTCAGAAAAGGGAAAATATTTTGAGCGAGTATTGGGATATGATTATGTGACACGATCAGCAATAAGAAAAGTAAATCTGGATATAAATTACCTTGTCTTTTGGTAAATAGGTATTGCTAATAAATTACAGGCAACATATGAATTTGCACGGGAAAACGGATGATTGTCATGATAAATATAATATGAAATGTAAAAATCACGAAAATTTTCTTCTATTTTTTTTTAACGTGCCAAATATTGCCGCTTTAATAAGTTACTATTTTTCGAGCTAGAGCCATGGATGTTATTTGCTTCGAATGAATGTCAAAATTTTAAAATACGCGATGAAAAAGGAGAAAAGCCAGACGCGTATTTTGAAAAACTGTACATTCACTTGATTAATTGCGTTGAACAGTTTCTTCAATTTTTTGTGTTATTTATATCTACAACTGTTGGTCGAGGAAATGTTAAAGCCGGAAGAGTATCAGAAAATGAATTACCATCTTTCAGGCTTTAGAGGAACATATCGCCTGCGAAACAGGAACGTTTTAAGCAAAAGAAGTGTAAACCAAATATCTACATTCAATGAACGCCTTCTTATTCGAGAACGTTTGAAATAAAAAAAGAGAGATTACAGCAACGATCAGGGACAACTAGAAATGATTAATACAACTTACCAGATTCTACAAGGCCAAATCCAGAAATCATCGTAAAGATGATGAATGCACTTGTTAATATCCACACAGCGTCACCGGCACCATTCATGCTAACTCGGCTACTAGAACTTCCGCTAACCGACTCCTCATCGTTCATTGTTGTAGAAAATGTTGGATTCACCGAGAAGTTTGTCGGCGCTTCCATCATAGGTGCCCAGTGAATATTTGCGCAGACCGTTTTGAGACGGCGAAGATTGTTGAAAGAAGTATCTCTTGTGTTTACTTGAAAAGTGACCATGACGTTCGTGAAAAGGCAAATAAAGTGTTATATTATTAAAAATGCCTATGATAAAATCTATATTTTATCTCCTCATGTCCTGTTGAAAGGGATGAACGGTGTGGCAAAAGATACACAAGCTTTTTTAAAGAAGAAGGAAAGTCAATTCATTGCCAAAAAAATTATCCCGACTTGTAGCTATGTGCAGATAAAGGAACGAACAATTTTTTAGATCGCACCCTTTTAAAAAGGATCAATGCACCGCTATTCAAGAATTATAAGAAGTAAATAAATAAATGCAATTTATGCGAATAAATGCAATTTTGTATTTCAACGATTCTGCAGTGCTAGTGGGTAATATCTGACAGATACAACTCGTCTGTAATTTAGACAAGCCTTCGACTACACAGTATACCATTAAACGGCGAAGTCTCCTTGAACGCTTAATTTTCGATTCAGAGATTATATAAAACATCCAATTAAAATACAGTGCGTGTTAAATAATTTAGTTTGATATACGAAACTTCTAAATGTCTCTTTTCTGCGATTCTTTCCATGATTAAGTTGCAGAATAACGTTACAATAACATTCTCCCTTGCCAATGCACAGCTTACTTACCTTCGTTACTGTATGAAGCTCCTCAATCAAGAAATAAAACGAATTCTTTCATCTCCCCTGTCTCAGTTGTAATTCAGTTCTTTCTCCTGTACTTAAACGAAAACGACACAATTTGCGGCGAAAGTAATACTTTCGTGTTATATACCTTTAGGCTATTTCCAAGGTATAGCCACTTGCCTATTCTAAACGTGATGCAAAAATTTCCTCTTGAATTTCTTGACTTGTACTCACAGACGTCAATAGCAGATTTAAATGCAATGAGCGGACGCCTTTAATGAAACGTGCCGCAGCGACAATGGATTTTTTTTATATTTAAATCATTTTCGGCGGGGTAATCTCTACACGTCTTTTCATGGCGCAATATAATATTTTGAATAATTGAACGGTTAAAAAGTGACTGGAGGGATCTTACTCATTTGAATTGGTTTATATATTCATCTGTTTCATCTGTCAATGAAGCAACGTTAATGCCCCGGGGGGTTACTCCGTATAATTTTCTGTACTGGGAAAGTCCGTCCGAAAGGGGGCTTTAGGTTTATGAAAGGGTAGACAAATCTGTCATTTCGGTCGTAAAAAGGCCCAAAGGGCTAACAAATGCATTTTATGGCTGTGAAAAAGTCGAAAAAGCGTGCTGATTTTTTCGAAAGGGATACAAAGTTCTAAACTAGGTATATGAAAGGTGTACCATTTGTCAATAGAAGGTATACAAAAGGGGTATCGGGCCTTTTCTGCCAAAAATGGTATATAAAAGGGTAAGGGAATGGACCTTGGGGCGGAGCCTCCCCGTACAAAGCTCTGTTAAGTACCCCCCCCCCTCCCCCTCCGCAGCATGATGCACCTGCGCTCTTTTAGTACAATCAACCAGATATGCTTTTATAGTTGCTGTGATGCGCAATTATTGTTATACGGTTTCAAAATAAGTTAGTTCCGACGTTGAATTCCACCCAGTACAGTAGGCAGGTAGCAGCTAACTCGTTATTTCTAGGGGTTTTCTATTTATTAAAAACGCAAAGAGTACAACGACTCTGCTTTAATTAACACTACATGATAAAAGCCAGGAAAATCAATTGGATCTCAGGTAGTTTGATAATTACTCGCCACTCCATTTTCATTCAGCTTTGAAAACCAAAAAAGTAAGAAAGTCCCGTTAGCTGAAAAAAAATTGATCCTAAGAATCTCTTGATACTATTACATACGATAGATAAAAATGAAATAAATTTTGAATAATGCATTTCTATCATCACTGCTTTTTTTTTTTTACATATAGCAGGCCATCGCTCATTCTCCGTCTTTGAACGAGGACGCTTGACCAAAAAAACTGTTTAAAAAATAAAGATAAGCTTTTTCCTAATGAAAATCATGTCGTTAGTGATAGTTGTTTACTGATGGACTGGATTGGGAACGAAAAACACTGCGCTTCACATTTAATTTATTTTTTTCGTTTCACAATTTACATTGCAAGTGACTGTCAGGCGATAATTAACAGCGAAGAATATATTTCGGAGAAGGACAGGGGCACCCAACGGCAATTTTCGGGAAAATATCTGTTCGGAAGACGATTTGAGAACTAGAATCTTCGGAACATTTGCTGTAAAATTTCTTGCTTGCCTGCCTCTCCTAGGATTTTCGAACGTCTACAACATGGTATAATTACCCATTTTAAACGGATATTTACCCGAAAAAAGGCCACCTAGAATTTTCGGGAGCCTTTTCCTAGCTGAAATTTTCGAAAAGGTAAGTTTTGATCACTATAATTTTCGGATCACTAGACTTTCAGCTAGAAAATCCGAAAAGATGAAAAGTTTTTAGGGGGAAAAAATATGCCTATATCTACCGTTTAAATACTAAAATACGTTCAACAATGCTATGTTAAGTGGTATTGAACTATATCCTCGTTGGGTGCCCCTGAAGGATTATTATTTTAGATTCGCCAGTTTTTACAGAAGAACTGAAAAGCAAAATACTGACCAAAGAGCAAGATAAGAAAAAGAAATAAATTATGAAGCGGACAATTGTATATCGAGAGTGTTTCTTGAACGAGTACGCTGCATAATTAGCACCTGCGAGACCTCTACTGGTTGTATTTTTAGCAATAATAATAATAAACGCCTACTGCTTTGAGTGAATACCTTGTCTGATAAACCCAAACATTAGGATGTCCACCTATATACTTTACAACTTTTAAGACCTTTTATCCATTTCTAATCAAATGAGTTATGAAAAGGCCACTTTAACAAAATAGCTATCTAAAGGAAAGAAAAATGCGTACCTTAGCAATGTAAAGCCTGCTACTCTATAAGGGGTTTTTGTGCAGCCTTTTTCTAGAGTAGAATCCTATTTGTTCTCGATTCGCAGTTGAAGGAAATCTAGTCTCCAATGAACTGAGTGATATATCAGTAAAATGGATGATAAAATCAATTATTGAGAAAGGCAGCTTATTTTTGTCAACAAAGGCACAACACAATAAAAGTTTTGTAAACACATATCATATCTCTTAAAATTACGTAAGAAGTTTACAGTTTTGTGTACGGTAGGGGATAAAGTCATCATCATGTGGTCGTTTTGGATTTGAAGGGTCGTTTCTTGAAAACAGTGTATTTTAAGTGAAACTTGAAAACAGCAACAAATCGCGATCACCTTAAGCAACTACAAGGATGAACGAAACCCAAAACATTGCCAACTATTCAAGCAACTCTTCGAGCCAGTCGCCTCCTGCAGATGATGCCGGGTCACTTAATTCAGACGATGCAACCTGGATTTTAACAAGCGCGTTCATCATTTTTACAATGCAATCAGGGTTTGGACTTGTAGAATCCGGTAAGATCAGCTCTAGAGTTCTTTTTAAACTTTGAAAACTATGAATGCATTGGAAAGTTTAAGATTTATTAAGGTGGGTTTTTTTAAAGCGTTTGACATCGGGGCAGGTCTGAAAGAAAAAGGAGTATCTAACAACAAAGATTTAATTAGGTAAATCATCTTGTTGCGTCAAAGCGCCGGATTGCAGACAAGCATAAAGGAATTTTATTTTAAAATATCTTAAAACTTTAGAAGTTAAAAGCTTAAAATTATTAAAGAACATGAACGAGTGATACATCAACGAATGATCAAACTAGTTAAATTAACTACTAAAAAAAATTTAAAATATTGGGTATTCTCCCTAAAATTCGTCGATGTTTTTTTTTTTCACTTCATGGCGTGTTAAAAAAAATGTTTCGAGATTAAGATTGTTTACTTTAATTCCTAAATAGGTATGCAGTGGTGAATTTGTGGTAAATATCTGTAAACTTGCGCTCCTTTTTACTTCTCCGTGACGTGTAAGGAGCTAGCAGAAAAAAATTTAAGCTTAAATTAATTTCTATTGAGATTGGAATCATTCTTTATTCAATCTTTAGGTCTAGTTTCCAAGAAAAACGAAGTCAATATTATGGTAAAAAATGCTATTGACGTCATATATGGCGGCCTTTCCTATTGGTTGTATGGATTTGCCTTCAGTTTTGGTCTAGAAAAGGGAACCAATGGATTTTGTGGAATAGGTAAGATAAGCTGATAATGAACTGCCATTATAAAACTGCAAATAAAATAGTATAGCATTTATTTGCTTCTATGTTATTCTCGATAATCTACAGCATCTTTTTCTTTGGCAAAAGAGAGTTTCTTCCATATCCTTAACTTTATGTTTATTACCCTTCTCTTGGTAACCAACCTAAGGCTATATACACACACTCAGATACCGGATAGATTTTGCGCATGCGCGAAAACCATACCAGATAGGGCATCTGTTCACACACAAGAACGGTGATTTTGGCGGGAAGCTGCGCCACGCCGATCTCTTAAGGTGACGTTACACGGGACGATACGCAACGACGATTTTAGCATAACACAGTGCTGCAATGTTGGAACAATGTTGCAACGATTCGAAACAACGTTGCAACAATGTTGCAACCCTGTGTTGCCCTAAAAATCGTCGTTGCGAATCGTCTTGTGGAACATCACCTTTAAGTGGAGAGTCACATATCGGATAGATGTTCCTTATTTTCCTCATAGCTTTTCGTGTCGGCACGAAATCTATCTGGTATAGTGTGAACATAAACTAAGATAAAAAATAAAACATTGGGACTGTTCGCAGGTTTTCTGTATTTCCATCCTGACTGACAAATAAGTTTTCGCAAAAAAATCATACGTTTTGGCAATATGAACTGAAAGTTCAGATGTTGAATACAAGTTACAGAATAAAAGTTTGCCCGGAGGAAAAAACAGGATGAATCGTCTTTCTGTTCTGTGCTCATTCAATGTGTTTATCTCAGGTTATTTTGCAACAGATGTGGAAGCTGAGGAGGGAGATGTATTCGCTTTGTACTTCTTTCAAATGTCATTCGCTACAACTGCCACCACGATTGTATCAGGCGCTATGGCAGAAAGAACTCATTTGCACGCTTATACCATCTTCTCTTTCACCAACACTATTTCTTACGTTTTTCCTGCTCATTGGATCTGGGGAGAGAAAGGATTTCTCAAGGAGATGGGTGTTATCGACTACGCAGGTAAAAATTCCAAAAATTGCAAGAGTCCCACACGGTTAATTTTTTTGCAAAGTTGTCTCGACGTGTGGAAAGAATGATACGTAAAGACGGGCTCGGTAGCCATGTGGTTTTTCTCCGAAGGCTACCTCTTTCCGAGTCAAGAGTCTCTTCTGAAGGCCATTTCGAACCTTTTGAGTTTTATACGCACAAGGAAGTATTCCGGCCCAAACTATCAATTAGTTCTGGCTTGCAAGTATTCGATTACTGGCGCGCACGCTGACATGTAAAACCTGGGATGCGCGGTCTAGTCCAGTTCGTTCGGAGCCAGAGCCACTCGGCTTTATTTGTAACGACCGAGTTCACGACCAAAAGAAACAAGAGGCTCTGGGGACGAGAAACGTTCGAAAAACGTTAGTACAGCGCATATTCGGTCTTCTCCATGTTCTCAGAGCCTTCGTTTGTGCAACTAAGCTTAAAATTAAAAAAAAACTGCGCTCTTAAAACGTGTGCGGCTTTAGGCATCCACTTCTCGATAATGATTGTGAAAGATTCAAATTTATTAACTTACTTTCACTAAGCGGATCAAACGAACTATGCAGATCAAACACAGTCTCATACTCAGTGTCATCCAAATAGCTGCGAAATAATTTTAATTGGCTAATTTCAGGTTGTGCAGGTGTTCATCTTGTTGGAGGAGTGGCTGGTTTGGTTGCTGCTATGATGCTGGGTCCCCGTCAGGGTACTTATAACAAATCAATTAAGAAAAGCCAGCCTGGATCACTCACAAATGTCATGCTGGGCACCTTTATGCTGTGGTGGGGCTGGCTTGGGTTTAACTGTGGAAGTACATTTGGAATCAGTGGAGGTATGCAGTAGGTCCAAGTTACACGAAGGCTAGAATTAAAGCACGAATCTAGTGTGGAAATTTTAACGCACTATTTGGATTACTTTCGTCTTGATAAGAGGATTCTAACTGGACACCAGAGAATTGATTACCGCACTATGTCAATTTGATTTTTTAGACTGACAAGGTGAACTCACGCTTTTCTGATTTTCTAAATGAATTATTTGCCTGAAATCTCGACCCAGCAAAGTTAATTGATTGATTTATTATAACAGGTTTAAAGTCTACTTTTTTGAAGGAATAAACCATTACTTGCCAAAGAACAGAATACTGAATAAAAACTTCTTTTACAATAAAACTGCCAATTAGCCGATGCCTTTTTATATCTAAACATAAGTCATCTGACGGTGTATTATTAATGAAGCTCATGAAAGAGTGAGTGGAGCATATATTGCAGTCATAGTTTAATCCCGTACAAAAGCAAGAGTTCATAATATTATGATCTCTTGGTAGAAGCTAATACTAAATACTGAACAATTCGAAAGCCAAATTAATTGGTGTATTAAAAACAGGTCGCTTGTTTCCACAGCAAAATGGCTGCTTGCCTCAAGGTCAGCGGTAGTGACTCTGAACGGCTCAATCGGTGGAGGTTTACTGGGAGTGATATACAGCTTTGTGTACCGGAAGCGGAAGTTGGATGTTGCTGTGTTTATAACTGGTATACTAGGAGGTTTAGTGGGTATTACTGCTATCTGCGCAATGTGCAGGCCATGGGAAGCTTTCTTGATAGGATTCATTGGAGGGTTAACGGCTTGCGGTAGCTGCGACATTATTGACAGGTTTGTGTTGTTATGGTAATATAATAATCCAGTCCAACCGCAGCGAATATTGCAATAGACCAGGAGCCCATAACCCGGAGAGAGCAACTTCCGTGCGCTTGTGTCACGGCGTTTCTACGGACCAGTTATTTTCAGAACAGTTTTGGCTCAAATTTTGAATCTCTTTTAAATTCATAAAACTAGTCAGCAAAACGTACAGACCTAAAAATCGTATTTTTTGCCTTTTAATTACGTTTAGTTTTCCATTTTGATATTTTATACTTCGAATGTGCTCATAGACATGGTGGAGATTCTATTTTCGCGGTAAAAAGTGCCCTAAAATGTGTCTAAAAATAAACTGGTCCGTAAAAGCGTCGTGTGACACAGGCCTAGTATGGGAGTTGCTCGCTCCGGGTTATGGGCTCCTAATAGCTTTAGCTTGTGTGTTATGTTTTCCCAATGAAGGTCTGAGGGGAATTTGCCACTTTGTCTTTTCATAAATTATGCGTACATATGCATGCTAATAAGACGAATTTAAAAGAAACAGTTCTCTAAAGTATTATCACCCAACCGCCATTGGCAAAACAAAACATGCAGGTAAAGAGGTCTATTCGCGAATCGCACTTCTCCCATAATGCACCTTGCCTACCCCTCACCTCTCACCCCCCCCCCCCCCTAACAAAAAAAATTCCATAAGCATTGTCCCCAATTTTTCTTGTGATGGCCGTAATGCAAAATTTGTCGAGCAAACAAGGTGTATCCCGGGAGATGTTCAAATGGTGAATGATGAGATATAAACCTTAATGCAATAACAATATTAGGTACCAAGCGGCGGGGAGCTCGAGCAAAGAGAGACGGCTGTATTCACAGGCCATTCTCCCGTAGGATAAGGAACACTGGCTCTAAAATAAAACGAAAACTGTTTATGTTAATAATACGCCCTGAACCTTTCCTTAGATTCAAAATTGACGACCCCGTAGGATGTATCGGAACACACGGAGTTGCAGGAATCTGGGGAATGATTGCAGTGGGCCTGTGGGTCGAGGAGGAACCGCTGGAGGGACTTTCCCCTGTGCGTGGGCTCTTCAAAGGAGGCAGTGCGAAATTACTTGGTGTTGAGATTTTGGCTTGTCTGGTAATTACTGCTTGGTCTGCCTTTACAACGTGGCTACAGCTATTCCTTATCGGCAAAATCCTCCCACTCAGGTTAACGTTTGAGCAAGAGATGATCGGTACGTTGGCTAATTAAGTCCTAATTGCGTTTATTTTTATTTATGTTATATAGTTCGTTCACTTAGGTAGTCTCATGATTATCGGTACGGGGTAGCTGAACAGTAAGGGCCTTTTATTTAAACGGAGTTTAGACCGTATTTAACAAAACCGCGTTGTAAGCCATTTTCAGTTTTCCCAACGCTTTTGATCTAAGCATCATTTATCGTGAATAATCTCAATATAGCATATAGCATAGACTGGAAAAGCAGTCATTTTCTTATATTAGCCCACAAACAAAGAGATATCAAATTCCAAGCATTACTTAAACCGCTGCTTTAGTTAAACTTTAAATAACGGACCGTAAGTGTTAGAAATCTCACATCTCTTTGCGCCGTCCCCACGTAATAGCAACCTTGTTCCCAGGTTCTCTCGCCTGGACAGGTAGGAGAGAACCCTGGGAACGAGGTTGCCACAGCCGAACGCCTGGAACTTAAGCCTGGAACAGGCCTCATACTCTTAACAATTATTGAATGAGGCTGAGTATGATGTGGAGAGTTAGCCTTCCAAATATGGAATGCGCCGGCCTGCTGGTTATGAAGCCGGAGGATTGGAGCCAAACAGAAACGGTCAAATATTGTGAATGAACTACAAACAAAAGACGCATTTGGCTGTCCAAAAAAGGAGAGAGAGAGACTATATCACCCTTGGGGAGAGCCAAGGACCAATCTTATTCATTTACTTTTTAGGTGCGGACAAGCTGGAGCACGGTATAGATTGTGAGGACTCTGAAGACGAACTTGCTGACTTCCGAGATCCTGGCCTTGAAGGAGAGGATGGGCTAGACAGTGACAGAGAATTAAGAAACAAAATTCACGGCGTTGCACAAGGAAACGCAGAAGGCCACTCCTTCAACTCCAACGCTCAGATGGAAGAAATCCTTTCCCTTCAAAACCTACCAGGTTGCGTTAATTATGATTTTGAGCGTAAAAACTCCTCCGAAAGTTTGAGAAACCGAAAGTTGAAAAATGAAGTTGGAGTACAAGTTGACTTGGTCGATTAATTTAAAACGGTTTTTTACTCTTCTATCCTTCTTGATATTTTTTGATATTTGTAGCAGTGGACTGGGAGATCCTTTAATCAGCGAGAAATAATTGGCCTGCGAGCAGAGGTTTTTCTCTTGCATGGCTTTAAGCGTTGACAAAGTCTTTTGCGTCGCTTGTCATTCGCTTAATAAACCAGCTGTACGCGAATGACAAGTAACGCGAACAACTTCGTAAACGCTAAAAGCCATCCAAGAGAGAAACGTACGCTCGCAGGGTAGAAAATATCGGAAATTTGAGGAGCTATTTAAAACATTATTTTAGATTTTCAGTTTATCTTTTTCGTATAGACCAATTGACACATTCGTTGAGACAATCAGATAAACTTTTGCACAGAATATTTGAATCGTAAAAAATAAAGGGGTTTGTGAAAAAGGACATTCCCCATCGCTTTTTCAAACGGGATGATTACTTGACGCTGAAACTTTCGTTAACTTTTTTATTTGTCTTGGGACACGGTAACATTATAGCGTCGTGAGTTACGTAAGCAAATCGATTCCTAGTAGAAATTCCTTTAACATAAAAACGTTGGGGAAAAATTAATTTAATTTCCGGCGCTACCAAAATTTTAAAATGTTTAAAAATATCTGTCAACTACGCATGAAGATTTTGATCGGAGATAAATCGATGTCTAGCGTGAGACATAGTCAGTCTCGCCAAGATTATTGATTATCTTTCACTTACAGAGCTTGTGGACCGGCTACTACATAGCAACATTTGAGCTTTCTAAAATGTATATTTTCTTCAATGTCATATTCCATATCTTAAAACAGTCTGAAAATCAAAGTAAAACGGTGTGTTTCAAGACGAGAAAACGAAACCAGTTAACTACGTGAGGGCTTTTTTTTAATTCACGAGCAAAAAAGACTGTCTTCTTTTTTTTTTTTTCGATAGCGGAGGCCTTTCCTTATATTTTTTTTCTTGACATATTAGTTATCCTGAAATCTCCATACGTTTTTGATTAAGGAAGCCTGGGCATTATTCGAGAAAACATTTGATAATCATCTGGAGTATCAGGTCTCTGTCATGATCTCAAGCAATTATTAGCAAAGGAGTTAGTCTGGTAAATACCCTCCATTAGTGTCGTAGAATATTGACCCCTTCACAGTAAATTGAGTCTTTTCTTCAGAATCATTTCTCTTCACTACCTTTTTATTGGAAGAATACAAAGGAAGACACCTCTCGCCCAAAATTTCTGGGCCGGGTTGTTCGAAGCTGTGTTAAGATAACCCACGGTTAGTGCGAAATTTGACCTCAGATATGAGGGCTTAAAAAGCAAATTCAGTTTAATTCTCTTTGCCTACAATTTGATGATTGGATACTCTAAAAAGAAAAGAGAAAATTATCCGAGAGAGTGCTTTTGATAAAAAAATAAAGAAACCGGGGTTAAAATTTAACCACGGGTTAGCGCTAACCGGCGTTCGAGCAACTCGGCCCTGAACTTTTGATATCATATCATTTTTGTTCTTTAAGTGAATTGGAACACGAAAAACTTCATATTTAACTGCACTTTTTACCCTTTAATCAACGACAGTCTTTTTCATGAAGTAATGAACGACAAATATGCTCTTCACTCACTAAGCGCAAACGAAATGATATTCTTTCTCATAAATAACCCAAATCCCCTAATTTGAAAGAAACTTGGTCACTTTATCTTCCTGGGCTGAGTTGCTCAAAGCATGGTTAGCTTTAACCATTGGTTAAGCAGTATCAAAACCAATACGTTGTCAAGGTATTAAAAGCTGGTTAACGCTAACCATGCTTCGAGCAACTGGGCCCTGGCCTCTGAAAAACGTGAAAGTACAACAAAAGATTACCGTCTGGTAAGTTTCTGTATGAGTGAATTTATCCCTCAGTTTAGCCATCTTTTAATATTATTTTATTTTGTCGTTGTTATTGTAATCGACAATACCATTTATTCCTATGGAAATGCCAATAAATTGATTAACTGATTGATTGATATATTTATTCCTACTGACATTTTGATACACTGGAAAAATCTGACGAAATTCCTGTTTTACAGTTTGAGGAGTTTCGAATAGGTGGCATGAAGGCAAGCAATTTTATGACCAGAAAACAAGCTTAACCCCCTCTTTTTTGCGCAGAAACAAAAATGAAAGCACAGAAATATTTTCCAACTTTACGTTATTTTAACTGTGTTCATGCTTGAATTATTAATTTGCTTGCACCTGAATATTAGGTAAAATCCAAGATGGCGGACCAGGTAAGCGCCATTTTGAATGACGTCACGGGTAACCTATTTCTTATACTACTTACGTCATCGAATAACGATCATTATAGTATGATTTTGTCTGGTAATGGAAGTGGATTTATTTGCAACTGTTGGCGTGGTTCGGCACGGCAAAAAAATATCCAGCAGTATACATGTATGTATAGGCAACACGTCATAAAAATCACTTTTTTTTCCCTTTGAAAACAGAGTCATGCAGCACATATGCCTTATTTGCCGAGCAAACCTAATTTCGTTTACCAGCCCTCAACTGAAATAGGAAAAAATATAGATAGAAATAGATACAGTACGCTGAGTTGTAAAAAATCGTAAAAGATACCCTCATACGTAGATTTTTCCATGGCCATCCCGATCTGACTGATTCTAGGGATGGCACAATGGACAAAAAATAGTCTGAACATGTACATTTTAAATTTTTGTCACAGTTTAACAATGAAAATATCTACATAGCTTCAAATGTTGTGGCTGAACTGATTTTCAATTTATAACTGAAATCTTTGCCCAGCACATGCGTTACAAACGGACGAACATCTTGATACGAAACTTATATGATTCTTGTGAGAAATTTTTGAACTCATCCTCTAAATAATTTCCAATAAAGTGAGCAAATTTTTTTTTTGAGATGTCTATAGATTGAAGACCGGAACAAATCAAAACGAATTTACTTTGTTTGAATGAAAAAAGAGGCATATATATAACCCTGTTCACGGTTAATGCTACTGATGAAAAGGAATATATAAACTCAGGGGCGGATCCAGGATTTTTTTTAGGAGGGGGTGCACTCGTCTCTTGCTCTACTTCAACACCAATAAACCACATAGTTTTCTTTTGCACAATACCAGTTGTACTAGATCCGCCCCTGAAACTGTCAACAAGAAAACAACAAGTCCTCGGAAATTAAGAATCTTTATTTTATTTACACTGACCTGCGAGCAAATTATTCCTTTTAACTTTGCAATTTCATAAGCTTTCATATGTGGAGATAAATTTCTCTGAAGTCGCGAAAACACTTCCAGCTATCTTATTAGAAGTATGGTAGGGGCTGATGAGTTCGGTCATGACAGAAAATTAGAATGAGCCAAAAGCGAAGCGTAAAAAAATTACTGTTTTCTTTATACTCGGTTTTTATTTATGCATGTGCGAAGAATTTTCAGTTACTTTATTGTTTTAGTCGTCAGCTTTTGATCAAACATAGGGATTCTGTGAGTCCCTGCAGTTCAGGGAAATTAAAATCCATGGTTTTAACATCGGGATCATGTATCATTGGAGACATGGTAATCTGGAATATTCTAAAGTTCTTAACTGATAATTTGCTTTTTTCATATTTCGTGACTCTCTTGTTCTTATCCTATGCATATAATTGTTGATTTATGGGTAAAAAAGTCATCAAAATTCAGACATAATATTTCGCTAAAGGGAGTTATACTTTATGTCTATTTTTTTTATGCTTCAACATTGAGTCAAGCAATTTACTAATTAAATAGAGTGTTTTTGTGAGGCTAACTACAACCAGAAAATGTCTCTTGTGATCTTTTAGGTGACTCTATACAACGAAATATAATGAAATCTGTTGGCATATTGTTTATACGGGACTTTTGGCAAACCAAACAATAGCTGGGCATTATATATTTCCTTTCGATATAATAAGATAGATCTACTATCTTAAGTAACTCCAAATGTCAATTTTAAATAACTTAAAGCTTTGTCGTATCCGCCGCGGTTTGATATCGCGTCAAACTATTTTAATTTGAAAAAGGTATCTTAATGAAGCCTACAGAGGTAAATTAGACGCCTTGTCAGTTAAACACACAATGAATGAATTCGTATAATACGAGCACCATAAACTTGTCGCAACCACATAAATACAGTAACGACGATAGGGCAATATACAGAATCACTAAAACAGCTGCTAGCTCAACATATCGCTAACCTGTACTATGAAAGAAACCATGGATACTTGAAGGGGTCGCGATTTCTTGAAACTCGGACCAGAAAAAATGGTGAGAAAAAGTATTTACTTTATGGACGTAATATTTCAGCAAAGGCAAAACTGAGCAACATTTTACCGAGACTTGTGTTAAACTTCATTTTTTGCAGTGCAACTTGTGAACAACTGAACAATATTTCACTGTCACAGTATTGAGATGAATAACATAGAAAGTCTTAATGCAAGTAATGCGAAAACGAGCTCACAATCGTCTCCGTCTTTGGAGACGTACTTGATCTCTGCATTGTTTGTGGTCATTGCTGCCATCTCAGTTTTTGGCAACATTCTCATTATGATGGCGATCTTTATTAACAGAAGATTGCGAACGACAAGTAATTATTTGCTCGTTGCGCTGGCAGTACCGGATTTCTTTCAGGGAGCTGTTTCGCTTCCTCTGAGGCTTGTAGAAGTGTTGGACAAGAAATCCGATCATGCGTCATTCTGTCGCGTGGCAATACCACTTTCGACTCTTTTCGGCGGCACTTCAAATCGTCACATCTTACTGATAGCTACGGAGAGGTTTATCGCCATTTGCTGGCCATTCTTCTACTGTAACTGGGTTACCACCAAAAACGCCTTAGTAGGCGTCGGCGGAACTTGGGTGTTTATGACAATTTTCTCACTTTTACCAAGTCTGGGATGGGGTGGAAAACAACCTGAACCCTCCGTCAAATTTTGCCGATTTCCAGAATTTCTCACGCAAGAATACATAACAAGTCTGTATGTATTCGTTCATGCTTTTCCTATCATTACAGTTATCTTCCTGAACGTCTTTATCTTACGCGCAAGCTTTGACCACGCCAGACGAATTTGCGTTCAAGTGGCTGCCAGCAACGCCAATTCTCAAGTGGAACGGACTTCAACATTTTACCCCGAACAATCGGAAGAGGTGGGAAGTAGAAAAAGGGAAGCTTCAAGACAGATGAAGGCAACAAAGATTGTAGCTGCAGTCGTTGGATCGTTCATACTGATGGTTGTTCCAATCATCACTATCGATGTGGTTGAAATGATGACTGGTGCTGTGGTACCAGGCTGGATTGTGAAAGTCACTGTTCTGATGATCTATTCCAACCACTGTGCTAATGTTTTCGTATACGCGGGCTTTAACAGTGATTACAGAAACACTTTCAAGAGTATCTTCAAGAGGGGAATGAACATTGTCAGACCGGAGAGAAGTTAGTTTAATCCTTAAAATAGAAACCACAACACTTAATTCATAAGATATAAAGCCACTTAACTACGGAAAGTTAGCGTCAATGCAAATTGAACTGCTATAAGTGAGAAAAATCGGAAAAGTTAAGCCAGTCAGCAAATCATTACTATTAAACTAAGGACAAATAATAACAGGACGCTCTATATATAAGTCTATCGGGAAAAGAACGTTGGAGTCTGATTCTGAAGCTGCTGAATCTGAACTGGGAGAAGCTGTTTCTGTCCAAGGCAACTTAAAATTTGGCAAAAAGGGTAATAAGGACAATGAAATTTACTACAATTTCTACCCTTGTTTGCCCAACCGGGCCTCGTTTCCATGCATATGCGATTTCGCGTGCAAGGCTCTTACTTCAAGTGGAAATTCCCCAAATGAAAATTCTTTGTGTAGAAATGCAGCAAAGTTTCATTTTACCGAACACGAAAGAAGAAAAGTCCAGCTATGTTACATCCACTGTTTTACTTCAGGTCGACTTAGGGGGGAAAACTGGACTTCATCTTTTTCTCCGGAAGTAAAGTATTAAAGCTAAATATGCAGCAAACCATTCAGATTAGCCGCTTTCTGTTCACCAAAAATTTCAAAAATTCCGGTTAGGATGCAAATGGCACGCACGTTTTTTGGGCTTTAAACTAGAAAATTCCCGGGAACAAGTGGATTTTTATTAAGATAGCCCTCGGTTTTCCCGTTGGAAACTTTTCCGTTGAAAATGCGTGTTCCATTCCAGGCTAGTCACGAAGAGAGGGGAACGAATAAAACAGGTTCTTTACCCGAATTACTTCTTTCCTTCGAAGTTTCCGAGAGGTTTTGGTAAACGGAAAACGCGCATTCACAACTGAATTTTTTTGAGAATGATTTACTAACGTTATAAATATAAAAATGATTGGATGTTTTACAATTATCGAGAGATTAGTGCATGTTTTCTTGTGCAAAGGACGCCTGAAAAAAAATAACGACAGCAGCAATATAAATTGGTTTAGGTAATAGCATTATTTGCAGTGGTATTTGGCATAAATACCACGAGTGATATTTCGAAATTGTTATACGTAATTTCACGAACCGTTAGGAGAGTGAAATTTGAGACGATTTTGAAATATCACGTACAAATCATGCTGTTATTTGTTTATACTACTACCCGCAAAAGGTTTGTAATTTTCACATGCAGGTATTTCAAATTAAGCTTAAAAACCACTGCTCTAAGCCAATCAAATTGCAGAAATTTCTCACGTTGTAGTATAACAATCTTAAATAAGTATAATTTGGCTGCATGGTTTGCAATAGTTTGTCAATAGCTATTAATTTTTAAAAATTACTCTGATTTTGCCTGATGAATGCATATAATCTATATAGCTAGCAACATGAATACATTAACAAAGTTGAAATAAAATCTAAGCTTTAGATCATGATTTTGTTTGGAGAAATCTGACATGGTCGAAGTAAAAGATCTCAAACTGTCCCTATGTTACTAATCAATAACAAGATGCAACCACAGCAGGCAGAGCCCATGGGATCAGGACAAGTGTCCTCTCAAGGGCCATAATGGCTTTCGGTCCTCTGCTGTATAGAGGTGTCCCTTATAATGTGGTAACTAGTAGAAAGGTAATATGGGAGGGGAGGGGGTGGTCAAAGTTTGTGTCCCCTGAATAGAGGTTCGATTCGTTCGATTTTTTCTACACGCCTATGTAGCTCTGCTCTGTGCTGGTACAGGCAAATATCGGCCAGGATAGGAAGACTATCAGACCTTGTTGCTCGAGAAAGCCCGGCAAAGCCGTGTGAAAATTGTCGACTGTTAATGAAAAGGGGATCCAGCTAGTGACCTCGGGAAAAAACGTTTCAGTCTAAGGATAACTAAGTGTATTATTTTCTTCCCAACGTTTAATGCACAGTAATAAACCAGTCTTACTCCTTTATATTTTATCTGTAGAGGGTCGGTCTCAAAGCTTCTCTCGCAATAATTTGGTCCTGAAGAAGAGCCAAGAGAAAAGTAGTCGGACTAATGTTGCGAAGCCGAAAATGTAACTAGTTTTAACGGTTGAAACTCCGCAACAAATTCAGTACTGATAGCTCGGCGTCAGTTTTACTTAACATCTTTGAAAGTGTAAACTAATCAAAAGAAAACAAGAAAGAAATTATTGACGAGAGAAAAAAAAAACGACAACCAGGCCTCAGTACAGAACTTGAGCTTAGTGTGCAATTTTCCAGAAAAATTGAATGCACGTCTTCGGCTAAAAGACCAAGTTTCAATTTTCCCTGTTATTCTAAATGGTATTTGAGGGCGATAATAAACAAGATGATATAGCCCTTTATGGCTAGATAATCTGGTAATTGGGTGAGATGAACTGCTAACAACTACAGCAACATGAGATAGGGATTGATACGACAAGAACAGGAAGAACAATTTTATATTGCCCTCCAAACAGCTGTCAAGGACTGTGCAATGAAGATCAGTCCCCAACAATCAAAGGCAAAAATGAAACGAAGAAACAGGCGTTGTCACGAGTATTGCTTTTAGCATAGGTCAATAGAATATGAAGGAGAATCACAAGTCATTTAGCCCAACATTTCAACTCCACAAGGGGTACGTTGTTAGCACAACCAAATCGAAAAAAAAGTCATAAGTTTGAACAAATAAGATCTTATGCTATACAGAAGTCACTATTTGAACAGCTTTCCTTTGTGCGCATAATTCACCGCGTTTAATGAAAAGTACATAACACTGGTGAATGTGTTGAGTCAAGCGAGAGTGCATTTACTTTAATGGCTGCTTTGTTTTTATCCTCTTTTGAAGACAGAATGCGGATTAGTGACCTGTTGAAGGAGATTAGATAGTGTTTTCACCGAATGTCGCTAATTGGTAAAATGCAAATACACCTTTTAGTGAAAAATGTTTCATTTCTTTTGAACAACGAACCATATGCTACATCGCTTCGGCTCTTAAAACCAATCCAGTTAATAACGGATCATGGCAAACACAGTAGATGAAGAGTTTTAATCAATAGGATTTATTGCTGAAGCGTAAACACTTTCGTGACCCTTACGTCGAAAAAAAGATTGGTTTATACATATAAAAGAAATGGAAAAAAAGTCGTTTATTTGCGGCGATGGTGATCAAAGAATGAATTTAGTCAAGGAATACTTTGTTCGATGCCAAGAGAGAATTTAATGTCATACGCCTCGCCACAGGACTGGATGAGACAGAGCTTTATTGGAAAGTTATGTATTAATGTTGGCACTGGTAACAAGACTTGGCGATAAAAAAGGAACAACAGTACTTATTTTCAAGACGCTGATATCATAAATGAAATGGAAAACACTGGCCAAAATAACTCTTCGTTTTCAATGACTTCTAATACACTGGACCCACCAGTCTCACGAAAAACTGGCAGATAGTTCGATTTTCCTAGCTTGTCTATATTCAATTATATCGTTTATCGCCGTGTTCGGAAATCTGCTCGTTATAACAGCGATTTTCTGGGATCGAACACTGCGCTTGTACACAAGTAACTACTTCCTAGCGAATTTGGCAGTAGCTGACTTTTTTCAAGGCGCTGTGGCGATTCCTTTACGGGTGCTTGAAGTTCTTGGTGCGGAATACAACCCCAACGTATTTTGTAGGGTCGCCATCCCTTCATCCATACTTTTTGGAGCCAGCTCTAATTTAGCCATCTTAGTTATAAGCATCGATAGATTTTTAGCCGTCAAATATCCATACATTTACACACGCTATGCAACTACAAATTTCATCATCGCCGTTAATGTATTTTCATGGTCAGTTGCAGCGGTGTTGAGTTTAATAGCGGCTTCCAAGCTGGTTTGGATCATACCGGATACTTTGACAAGAATTTGTCGTTTCCCAGTTTATTTGAAATCAGACTATATCATAGCAATGTATGTTATTGTTCATGCTATTCCTATTGGAACAGTTGTGCTTTTGTACGGATTTATTCTGCAAGCCAGTTTAGTACACTCAAGGCAAATACACGCTCAAGAACTGGCTGTGGTCGCTAGCGTTTCAATGTGTAGTAACAGCAACGTTAATGAAACTGACACCACAATTAGTACCGTGACAAATGGACGGAAAAAACAGCAACGAGAAACAGCTAGGCAGAGGAAAGCTGCCAAAACAGTTTCTATAATCGTTGGCCTGTTTATCATTCTTGTTGTACCTATAATAGCAATCGATCTCGCCGAGATGCTTGGTGCTCCGCCAGCCCCCTTAATCTTGACAAAAGTTTGTGTTTTTATGATATTCGCAAACAATTGTGTGAACGTTGTAGTATACGCTGGTTTTAATCAGGACTTTAGGCGAGCTTTCAAAAAGATTCTTTTAAAGATTGCAAGAAGCATCTTTCGAATGAGGACTTACAGATAAAAATTCGGCAATGAAGCACACACCACTGACACTAGTAAACTCCGCATTCTCGCCCCCAGATCCCGTCGTTTCTTTCGGTCACGTGGCCTTGAAGCCGAGTGGCTCTGGGGACGAAAATGTAAACTCCGCGAATCCGTGGTATGTCAAGTACCTCGAGCACCTGCCCAGCCATATCTACCTGCTGTAGTCTGTGTTTCCTTCCCGAATAGGTCAGTTTTTTCAAAATTCATACTCGGGCACGAGGCTTAGGGGAATAAAAGAAAAGACGTAGCATTAAGATTCAGTAATGAATAATTCTTTTCTGTTGTTTAATCGATCCCCTCAGTCTCGGAGCAAAGAATGACTTTTGTGTATTAGTAAGCTGGGTGACCATATATCATTTACAGTGCAACTGACGTGATATCTGGAGAAATATCAATAGTAAATATCTTGCCGTAATTTTCCCTGTGTATTTTGATTGTTTCATTCGGTATTTTGATTGTTTGTTTCGATCATGGGAGTCCCCGAGGAGAAGTTAAAATGCTAAGAATTTACAGAGCTTGTAATGGCCACTCAGCCTGCCTTAGGGTCAGGTGAGCTGCTCTCCTACTGTTAGCTGTGACACCACCGAGAAACACGTTGACCCTTACTAAAAATAGGGAGCTTAATAAGCAAGGACGACGGCCACGGAAACGAGAACGGCAAGGCTTAGATTGGCAAAACAACAACTTTGCACGTGCATCACGTTTTTTGTACATTTCTTTAACGTCGCTGCACGACTACGAAGTGAAAGTGCCTAAATTCACGTTTTGTCGAGGACGGGAACACAACAACTTTCTTTTTATTTTCCTCAACTTTGATACAGTCGAATAGAATTCAACTCCAAAAACATTTGCCAACATTTGACGAAGTGAAAGAGACGGAATAAGCGAAACAAAGTTTGAAGCAGCGCTACTTCACTTTATAACAGAGGTTTTCGTAGCCGTCGCCATCTTTGTTGCTTAAGCTCCCTAATTTCCCCTGGAAAACGGGGCAAGAGAGAACGCCTAGCGACTCGGTTGATGGTTTTAGGTAGTCATTCACATTTTGCCTACTATGTAATCCGGCAAGCTCTACCCCAGATATTTCCTGACTTTCTTTTCCTTTTCAGTCTGTACAATTACTATATGATTGTGACAAGTAAAATAGACAGTGAGCAGATAACAAGTGAGGTTAACGATACATGAGAGTTTGTGCCTCGGGAGATAAAAAAGAGTCCGTTGTCCGCATTAACCCGGTCTGTATTAAGCGGGTTAATTTTAGAGAAAAATATATGATGAGGCTTTTGACGGTACAAACGAAACTAGGGGTTTTGGGGGACATTTTTGACAACATTGTTTCTGTTACTCAAATTTGTAACGAGTGAAACAAAAGAATCTTTTGCTTTAAGAACCAAACGCGCTTCTGGTCAGCACATTAATATCAAAAGGTGACGTCAGCTTGAGTATCGCTATATGCGGGTGTCCTCATTGAGCAAGTGTTCGTAGAGCGGGGTTCCACTGTATAGCAACTGCACGTTTTGGACCACCTCTAACGTAAAACCCATGAATAACACAACATCACCAGACTTACGCTAATAAACAGTTTTATTACTCATTTTCATAAACTTAGACACAATTTTTATACTTAAACCAAACACTAGGCTACGAGTGGTCTTTCACATTTCTTAAGGATAGAAGAGCGAGCGGAATACGCCAGCGCGCGTGAAAATCGCCGGTGACACTCGGAGGGTGGAGAGAAACCTTCCTCGCGGGTGCCAATTTTCACGCGCGCTCTTGTAGTTCGCAACCTCTTAAAGTATACAGCTATTTCGAGAAAGGCTGTGGGAAAAAAATGTGCACGCCACAATCCCGAAAGGCAATATGGGATATGGTCAATACACTGTTCCTGACACTGCAGCTGTCGAAACTACTTTCGTTGCTTTCCTTTAGCACTCATAAACATATGTCCATGGTCTCTCGTGCCATTCTTTCAAGTTTCTTCGAGGAACAGTGAACTCAAAACCACCCACAATCCCGATTGTCGATTGTCGCGTGCATTTTTTCCGACAACCTTTTTCGAAATAGCTGTAGACAAATACGGAGACAAAAAGCCAAGCTTTCATCTGGCGCTGGAGTTACAGAATAAAACGTAGAGGCCACTCCCGGCTAGTTTGAATCGTTTAGATTGCAATCTCTGGCTAGTTTGTTTTTAAATATATTGGAATAAAAAATCAAACTTTTAAACGCAAAATATGGAATTAGATTAGTTATAAGAGCTTGAAATGCGGTATGATCCACACATTCGCGCAAAACCTCCTCTCTCTCTCCGTACAAACGTTGCGGGAAAACCATCTTTGATAACTTTCAAGCAACTTGCACGCAGGACAAGAGACACGCTGCAGCCCAAGCAGCACACACAACGATTGCAGGAAGTAACGAGCTGTTTTAGTTTATAATTGCAAAGTCACAAATCACACAGTGAATTACTTCTTTGACTCGAAAAAGTCTAAATTGTACCTTGAATAAAAAGAAAACTGAACCAAATCGCAACAGAAAGGGCCGCAATTAACCTACAACTATTTAAACACGGAACTGAGAGAGCCCGGCTGACGGCTTATCCGGAAAAGATAAATTCACGGAGCAAAAACAGGGTTCGTACAGATTTTTGGATCCAAAATTCAAGACTTTTTCCAGACTTTTTCCAAAACAAGAATTTATTTTTCCAGACTCGAGGTTATCAAACAGGGGATAAATACAGACCTTAAAAAATATAGGACGAACGTCTTTTTTTACGATGCACTGGAAACGTACGGGCGAGATTTGACCAAAACAAAAAAAATTTCACTTATTAAGCACTTGTGTAACTTTGGGGAAAAAACTCAAGACTTTCTATCATTTTCCCAGACTTCATCTCTATTTTCCAGACTTTTTGCAAGTCTGGGAAATTGCTGGGCAAATTTGAAGTCTTTTTCAAGGATTCAAAACTCTGTACGAACCCTGCAAAAAGATTAGACAAGCAGAAGAAGTCACCACAACGAGTTGAGTACAGTTCGGTGACTATATGACGGTAAATTATCAAGACCTGCTATCAGCCGAACAAGTCCTTCACATTCTTTCACTGGGCACAGTTAAGAGCATCCAAACTTGTTGTTGGGATTTGTAACTTAAACGGGTTTGGGCTACGTTCAGACGGCAACGGATGAATTTTCGACGGGTTGAAACTGAATTCGCGCATTTAACCGGACTGTTCACAAGGAACCACCTTGAATGCCAAAATCGAAGTCAAATCTTAAGCCGATAGAGTCGAAAATTTGACCGGCACAGTGTGAACACCATAATCGTCTAAATATTTGTACGGTAAAGGCGTGGTTGCATAGATACCTGGCACCTCAGCTGGGAGGCGCCATTTTGGATTTGCTCAAGTAGCGCTCTGGGCATGAGCAGATCAAAACCACTCAATTCAACCGGTTCGCCAGATCCGTGTGAACAGAGAGAAAAAATTTAACTTTTCCGTGGAAAATAAAATTACTTGCTCCGTGTTTAAATGACCGCGCTAACTTCGCTGAGCCCCTTTCATGAATGGTATTCAAAAAAAACTTTTTTAAAACATGGACTTTACAAATATATGGAATACCAAACACTAACACAACAAAAATTAACGTTTTAAATATCTTTAAATATATAATTTTTCATTAATATAGCAATAATTCATTATTATAAAAGTTTTCTTGTAATGGAAAAATCATGATCGCAAAGCATCAGCAAGGCACCACTTTTATCTCAACTTACACATTTATATTTAAGTAAAAACATAATCACTTTCATGCCTGCGGCGCTGCCAAGATTTTTCTCGTTGTAATGTCAAAGGGATTTAATGTTTTGTTCCTTTATAATAAAACAATTTTAGAAACTTCCTCGGAAATCTTCAGCAACATGGTAAAATCTTCAACAGTTCTCGACAAATATCGCAAAAATAAACACAACCGTTCGTACACACTTTTAACGTTAGTTCAAAGGATGTTGGAAAATCTCCGGGAAATTTGTCTGAATTTTTTTTTGAAAGACAACAATACGTACATTTCCAGGAATAAAAACCCTTCCTTCACTTTCGAATCTTTACGGGCGACGTTCTCGCTAAAATGTTCGTAGTTATGTCGAGGACAGCCCTTTTTAAAGCCAGCCTTAGAATAAGTGTTCAAGGGGAAGAGGGGTTGGAATAACGCTCTTTCCACACTCGCTCTCTTCCCTACCCCACTCCTGCTCCCGACAGCTTGCTCGCAGGCCACGTAAAGATAAAACGCATACAAAGTAAGACATTTACCGCTTTCCATACCAAAACGATGTGGACTTTCAACTAAACCTATCAAATAAATATCCGTTTACATCGTTCCGCTCCCCGTGTAATCGGAAACAGCAGGCGCATAAGTCTGCCAGCATTTACTGTCTTCAAACAGACTTGTACATACATACATAGCTGACATGATCCAAAGAAAACTTAGAACCTCAGGGATCACTCGTTACCAGCGTATCTTGAAACACACCACCACCACACTCGCTTGTATCCATTTCTATCCGCTTACGGACTCGTTGATCATTTTGGCTTGTGCAGAAACCGCAGAGCAAGATATGTCAACACTCTGAACACAACGATAAACAGTAAAAGTGCTGCAATATTCTCACCCACAGTTCTGGACACGTTCAGTTTTTCTAACACTTCACTTCCCTGTATGATGGTACCGTTGTTCCTACAACCCGCATACGACGAATCCAGCGGTGCGCAGCTAAACAAGGCAGAAAAGAAAAAAGAGACAGACATTGTTAAAATAGAAATCATTTAACTGGACTTTTGGCAAAATCACTTAGTCTATCATACTCAATTACGATAAATTTTAAGACGCCTAATACTTATCAATTTGTAAAAAGTGAAGAATGTTCTCAGAAGCACGAGGACAGCAAATCCCTGTCTCTTAAGAATCAAATCATTACCAATTATTGGACGAGGCTGAGCAAAATATCGTAATTTGTCAGTGGCGAGCGATCAAGTATTCGGCTGAGGCAAATAATTGATCTGCGAGACACTGGCAAATCACGATATTTTGCGATGACCGAGTTCAATAATTGTTTCACCATTCGATCACCGAGTTCGTTTTTTCATGAATAAACTCATGGATTGAAAGCGATCTGTCATTTTCAAGCAACAGCGATCGCAAGAACGAGAAAAGTCCCTTGGTTTCATTTACGCATGAGCAGAATATTATTTGCAGCCAAATAATATATTGACGAACAGACCATTATTTGTAGGAAGTTACTTGCAGGTCACGTGGTGGGCTCTGAACACCACCTTTCGTCGTATTCTCCGGTACCTTTCCGGGAAGTTTACTCCACGGTTCACCAACATTTTTACAGAACTAGCCATTTGTAATCTTCAAGAAGCAAAAAAGCTGTAATTTTAATTTGCAAAAGGCAATTTCCTTTGTCAGGATATATCTAACGCCAACTTTTAAAGAACTTATCAGTATGAAACTCCCACGAACTTCACCTTATTTGCCAAATTAAAAGCTTTGCAAAACAAATTAGCAATATCAAGCGGTGAGAAAAAAGGGTGCGCGAGGAACCAAGAAAGGCTTCAAAAGGTTTCCCTTCGTTCTTCCTTCCTCGCGCATTCATCACTATGATCTCGCGCGCTTCAATTCTCTCCTTCCCATTCCCCCTTAAATGCCAATCACACAGAGTAGCCTAATAAGGAACTAAAGGCAAATCAGGCCGGCATTCCTTTAGAGTTTATACACACCTGAACGCTGGGGAAGTAGAGAACTCTATTGAAAGGAGAGCATCATAAGAATAAAACAGGTAAGCAAAGTACTGAAACCAAGATAACCAAGGCGGTATGTTCTGCTGATAAAATCCACCCAGAAGCATACAGCTGAGACCATACACTGCTGCTACAACTATTGACTTCTTGAAGTCCATCACAGTAGCGCCAATACACAGACCTACAGACTATGAAACAACAGAAATGAATAATATATAAAGGACATTACATGGCCGCGCGGAGATTACAAATATCTCTTCGCGTGTTGAAAAATATTTCACGAGGGAGCACATTATTTGTTATAATTATAAACACCAATGAAATACCACATCATTTCACTTTTATATTTTTTTTTTTGAAGCAAAAGTTGCAGTTACACATAATCCACCATCCCCAACCCCAACTTTTGTCTTAATTTTGATTGTGTGTCTCTTAACACATTAAATCACTGACAATTACACGACTATTTATGATAACAGCTGTCTGCATGGCTGGTGTAATTATGATTAAATTTTGACCCTGCGTGCCATAGAGCTTCCAGTAGGTCTATGGTAAGAGCATCCGAACTAGAACTCGGAGGGTCGTGAGTTCGATTCTCACGATCTCGAAATTTTTTCTGAGTTTTCTGGTGTTAGAATTCTCCTTCCTCCAAATCATTTATTAAGGATAAACATCACTGCATACCTGTCCTGCAATGGCGGTTAATAAGAGAAGAAGGAGAGATAACAGGAAAGCCTCGCTTCTGTTCAGTCCCGCCATCCAATACACAATGGTTAAGAACAACGTGGGCATGAAAATAACCAGCGGTAACTCACTGAAGAGCTTGGCTAAATAGTATGCAGACAGCCTGTAATAACCAGCGGCTCTCTCTTTATTAACTACTGTCCGTTCATTTGGGACTGAAAATCATTAGAAACAAAAACTACAGGTAAATGGGAGAAAAGTATGAAAACTAGATCGACATTTTGTTTTCCTTAATTATACACTATTTTTGAAACTTGAGTTTGTGGCTAATTTTCTCATCAATATCACTATGATGACGTAATTAATAAGCACAGGATACCCACATAAATGGACAGAACAGTTCACAGTTCTGCTTCCCAGGATAACAACCTCAATGTCAAGCAAAACTTTACTAGCACGTTTCAAGGAAACTTAGGCAAGTAGACAGACCTTCACGGGTAAGGAAGACATGACGTGGGGAAAATAAATTGAATGAACACGTGTAATAAATTATACTGTTGCTGCACAACTTGGAAAGAACAGTCACATGTCTGACTACACTTTATACATTATACAGGAAGGCCACCTTCACAATACCCAGCGTACCAACACATCGGAACAACAAATCTGCCGTTGAACAATTTCAAACGGCGATATAAATGTTTTGTAAACTTACATGAGATAAGAGATTGGAACAGTGGAGTGAAATTCCAGTAAACCACAATAAAGAATATCTATAAGGAGGCCAAAAAAAACAGACCATTAACGGTGGAAACACATTTAGACCATTCACTGACAGAGTTCAGGAGCTGATTCACCAAAACTCACAAGTCAGTGCTGATTTTATGACACAAGAATCCTCAACTATAAAAACATTTCACTGTTTTTGGATTATAAAAGATTTTTCCTTACGATTCATATTTAATAGACAAAAAAGTAAATAAATTGGCACTGGTAAAAGTTTAAGGGCCTGTTTACATGGGGTTGGGGGACCCCACAAAAGAAAGGTAACCCAAATACATACAGGTGGGGTAACCCGCCTGTCCATATAATCTCTCATATGGTCACCCCACCTATCATGTAAATGCAATGAAATTATTTATGAGAGATTATATGGACAGGCCAATTACCTCACATACCTGGGGTATCCCACCTCCACATAAACAGACCCTAAGATGAGTTAAAAATTGGCATTTTGGATTGGTGAGAACCTGTCGTTTTATACTTAGTCTGAGTGTAACTTATCGCCAATGTACACACACAGCATCCCATCCCAAACACTATAAACTTTGAAAATGAAATTATCTCTTACAAGTACTACTACCAAAGTGCGAAAAAACAAAACAAAGCAAAGCAAGCACAAACAAATAAGAGAAAACCACATACCAATGAATATCTATCCTGGATACTCTCCTCTTGGTAAGGTACCTGGAACCAGATGACCCCAGCTATAATAGCTAAAAGCGCGCTCTATTAGAAACAAAATAGGAATTCATAGATTATTAGGATTTCAATATTAGGCATCTGATGGGTTTTAATCGCACATACAAAGCCAGTTGAGGCACTAGTTTCGTTGTGTGCAACTATCTCTTCTCACCTGTACAAAATTCAGCTTGGAAAGAATATCAGGCTTGGACTGTTTGAATGTGCGCACAAGTAGAACGGAGAACTGCGTCCAGAAACTTGTGGCCCATGATGTAGAAATATCAGTGTAAAGAGCGGAATGATCTACTTCATCATCGTTATCATGAACATCAATCTTAGTGTAATCCTGTGATGTGCTACGCTTGTAAGTGACAACAGCGACATTAAAGTCCGCAGATGACAAACGTGCTTCAGTGTGTACCGGCTTAGGGCTATCGTCTGATAGTTTACTCAGCGATCTTTTGAAACCTTTCCAGGATGTTTTTGAAGAAGAGGATTTGGGGTTTTGAATGAGAGGAACAGAGCTTTGGTAAGCTTCAGATTCGACATTTCCATTGGGGATCAGGGCATTTTCTATGTCACGTGAAGGCTCTGTGCTGCTAATATCTCTTGGGGAATCAACCTTAGAATAAAGTGACTCCGATGACGAACTTGATTTACTGTGATTATCTTGTGTAAAGGCCTTTTCTGTTTCTGTTGATTTTTCTGAAACTTCTTGTGTACTTCCAACTTTCAGATTAGTTTTATCCAAAGGTGCCTTCTCGGTGGTGTCTGCATCTTTTTCACTGGATTTTTCAGGGTTAGGGCTTGGAGTGTCAAGTCTTGAAACTTCATGATTTGGAGAAGATGATGCTAAGTATTTTTTATGCCTCTTTTTTCTGAACATGAAAAGAAATTATTTTAATAAACATACACTGCATAAAAAAAGAGATGTTAGCCTACAAATTAGTCCTTATTTTCTTTCTTTTCATCGCATTTTACTTGATTGTGTTTTTAAGTGGAGCACAGGCAAGCATGAGGCGACAATCCCTTCGAGAGTGTTTTGCACCACATGCCCGCCTCATGCTTGCTTTTTTCTCGCCTGAAAAGGGCAAAAATAAATAAATAAATACTGTTGAACCTCAAAGTGCGACCCCCTCTCGTAAGAAACCACCTCCCATAAACAACTACCTATCCAAAACACCAAAATTTTTCCAGTCAAAGCCCTGTCATAAGAATTATTTCTCGTAAATAGCCACTGAGCATCTCTTACATTGGACTGAGCTTACGAAGATGCCAGCAGTTACACAGATTATTGATTGTATGAGGTATATCAAAAGGCATTTAGTTACTGTTCTCTAGCCGAGAAGAGTCTTAATGTCTTGAGAATGTGTATAACATAAGCCATGTGTGAGTTCTTGAGTTCGACTTCATTGCCGAGTCCTTCAAAAGTGGATTTCAAACCTCTGCTGAACAACTGCTACATGTAGAATTATTGGTACCGGCTAAGCTCAGTCATTATCATACTGTCTCCTAATTGTGATATATCAAAGTACATTCTGATTGCATTGACCATGTTTTAAGGGGTTGCAGGTTCTAGTGCCTCATGTTAAGGACTTACCTCTCAGCCCAACCTTTCACAATCATTTCTTGAATTTTCTCTCCTTCAGTCACTTTCTCCACTGAAAACAATTTTTTAAAAAAATATATTCAATTTAATGCATATATTAACGAATACCTTCCGCTATTATTTTGTACACTCCTTCACCATTAATTTTTATCCATTCACCAGGGAAATTTTGCTTCAAAATATAATTTGAAGCTACTCAAGCTGTTTTCTGGCCGCTATCCCAGCACAAAGAACAAAACTGTCCAAAATGTTGTTTGCAAGTCGAGTACTAGGGGTTTAAAAATTGGGTTTTATTAACTGAGGTAGGTAGATTGGTCACTGTAGGGAAAGGGGATGGGGGGGGGGGGGTGGACAGCTGATGTTTCAAAACCAAGATGGTTAAATAAAATAAGACATAGCGTAGATGTATAAAGTAGCTTGCAGGATCAGAGTGCAGGACTGCTTTTTGGCAGTGGCAGTGAGATTCATGTATTAAAGAGGTTCGTAGCCTGAGTACAGTCGTCCCCGTTTGATGGGAGGGATTGGCTGTTCACAGGCTGGTGATTTGCCACAAGGGAAAAATCAATCAATTTTGCTATTTTCTATTCTTCTCGCGCATTTACAGCTTAAATAAAATATTTTCAGTGTATAAACTTACATATAAAGTCAGCAGGGTTGAAGTGGGCATCACATACCAAACCAACGCTCTCAAAAAAATTAAGAACTTGACTGGCCTTTCCATAAAAAGCCACCTGATAACAAACACAAATAAAGATTAAAACATCATTCACAACTCTGATAAAGCACAATTAAAATATTAATATGAGTCCAACAGATACATGCACTTTCAAAATAACTCGAAAATTAATTTGCCCTGATCTACAGATTACAATTTTCGATAATTTATTAAGCACTTGCATAATTATGCAGTTTAAAGGGGCTGTCATTGCCAGCTGGCTAGTTTATACATTTTCGTTTATAATGCTTATTACAAGTCCTCAAATGTTACAAGAACAAAAAAGAACTGTGAAAAACTGTTGGGCTAATGCACTGTAGGTTTTCAAAACCACAATTGCAATCCGTTTCAATCTTCCTCAAGTTTGTCAATCTATTTGCTGTGTTATTTATACCTTTTTATAACATTTTTCAGCAGTTATTTTGATGTTTCACTAAATTTGGTACAAGACCCAATGTTTAAATTTTGATAAATTTCATGACACAGCTCCCTTTCAAGATCTTTGTATGCTTATCATGTTTTTGTCTCCAGAATTTGCATTTGTTTATTATTACCTGTCCTCCACAGAGCAATAGAAGCTTGTCAAACATGTAGAAGATCTGACTTGATGGCTGATGAATTGTAGTTACAACTGTCTTTTTTTCTCTGGCGGCATAATTCTTCAAAGTCTTTACCAGGTTTAATGCATTGCTGGAATCTAACCCAGATGTTGGCTCCTATTGTAACATGAGTAGAAAGACATTATTTTACACTGTAATTACAGTGGTCAAACCAAGATAATACGGATATGGGAGGGACATAGTGTCTGTATTTTCCCGCTGTCTATATTAAGCGGGCTGCCAGAAAAAAACGTCATGGACACTAGCATTATTCAATGCTTTTGCAGGCTCAGGCAAAATTGAATAATAATACATGTATATCATGGCAAGGAGCCACAAAAACAGAGCAGATCATGGTGTATTGCATTAAAAAGATGGCATAATTGCATGAAAAAAGATAATTTAATGAAAGGATAGTCAGAACAACTGAATGACAACCAGGCATGAAAAAAGACGCATTACTGATTGAATGTGCTCAGTATACAGCATTTTTGTGAAACTGGTCTGTAGGGCTAGTTAATGATTCTCATTTTTTTGCAGCTCACATTGATCAGTGAATTATTACAAATCTACAGAGGATATAATTTTCACTAGAAAAAGATGAACTTTGAAGGCTTAAAGAAGGGTAACTACTAACATCTAAAGATTATACATGTATATAGCCCTTTATATGTAATTTATGACTAGAACAAAATACATGTATCTTTCTAAAATGAAGTTGTCCTTATACAAATACAAGTCATGTAAGCAAAATGTAATCATGCATAAACTATATTGTAATCATGGAACTTACACGGCTATATGTACATACATGTACACCATATGTGTTTTTTATTTCATTTGACTTAATTTTACAACTTACATCAAGGAAGATCAAGGAAGGGTTTGTTATCAGCTCACAACCAATGTTAGCACGCTTTTTCTCCCCTAAAAAACAGCATTAAAGAGAAAGTTTCAGTTAGACACAAAACGTAGATGTATAGTGTATGAATAAATTTTCGCGTTATTAAATTTTATACATGTCATGTTATCATCATAAAAAACAACACCACACAAATAAGACCGCAAGTAGGAGGAAATTACTTTTATGCACTGATTAACTTTAAGTTTGTTTTCTACTTCTCGCCTTTTTAGAACTGGGAACCATGTTTATTGACTTCTTTGAAGAACACTGTCATATCATCAAGATACTGACGTAGCAGTCATTCTAAGAAAGTTGATCACATACCTCCAGATAATCCACGCTCAAAAGGGCTTCCAATTTCTACAACATTAACAAAGTACAGTTACTAACAAAGACCAAGACTAGTTCACACACTCAAACTCTACGTGCAACCTCCACAACTTGTTGGCTAAAAACAGGAAAGAAATTTCTTTTGGACAGAGAATACACCATAAAATCAAAAAAATTTCTATGCGGGGCTTCTGATGATTAAAATAATTATTATCATCTGATGGTGCCATTTTCAACCACAATATTGATCTCAAATCACATCCAGTAGCATAATCTATAAGACATGTATTATCCAACAAAATAACATACAAAAATGCTAAACTGCAATGTAAGGATGTAATTAGCATGGTTGTTCAGCTCCTGAAATTTCTTGTTGTCCGCAAAAGTATTAAGGAATACTCTCCAACAAAAGAAATCACATGCATGTAAAATTAGACCTTTTTTTGCACAATATGACTTACTAGAAGTTCATCACAATAAATTAACCAATATTTTATGCACTCAATCACAGGACCTGTCTGTGTGTACTCACTTGTATCCAAGCATCTTCTGACATCTAAGTTGTCCACAATTTGGTCAACCTGAATGCAAAAAAGATTAATATTAATTTTGTAATTATTCAAGAATTTTTTGACCCAGTTTCCTATAAGAAGAATACCTCTTAAAAGCTGGCAGAAGATAATGTTATCATCAGGTTTATAATAAATATTATTATTATGGTAACACGCTTTAATACTGAAACAAAGTCATATACCGTAAACTTCCGAATTTAAGCCCTGGGTTTATACAATTTCATGAGGGGTTTTAGGGGGGCTCATAAATGGGGGGGGGGCTTGTAACTGGACTAAAAATGTGTTCCATGACATGCTAAATCAGCAGTGCCTTTTTAAGCTTCAGAATGCCATTAAAAAAAAATTCATTTCAATACAAGCTAGAGGGGGCTTATATTGGTGGGAGGTGGGGCATGGGACTTATAACCAGATGTATTTTTTGATTACAGGAAGATGGGCTTATATTTGAAGGGGGGGCACTTATACCTGACACTGGAGGAGGGGTAATAATCGGAAGTATACAGTAACTTGTCGGAGACTGTTAAACTATTGAAATGCTGGCATTTTGAGAACTAGACCACTTCAATGAAGGACTGGCTTTATGCAAGCTATGCCGAGTAATTCAGGCACCAGTTGCTACAACTAATGTCAGACATGCTAATTTCTGGTATTAAAAAAGGGATTTGGCTGAGACATTAGCTATTAAGTCTAGCAACTGGTCCCAGCATAGTGCACAGTGAACCAAAGCCCCATACATGTATCTCTTGCCCTGCATGGCCTTGCAAAACCAGGAGAGAATATTGTGCAAGGCAGTATAGCTGTTTCCACTATCCAATTTATTTAAAAGACTTGTAAAATGTTTATTCTTTATTCCAAAAACATACCTTTTGCAACTTGTCAGCCTTTGACAAAGTATCTGGTAGGCGAAGCATTGCTGAAAACTAAAAAAAAATTGAATTGGTTTTAAAAAATTATTATTCAAGTTGAAAAATAGATTATAAAGTAATTTTTCAGTCTAACCCATCACCATCGGTAATGTAACTACAGTAGCTAAGCTTTTCTAAAGAATTCTCACACTAAAGTTCATGAATTGACAACCAGTTCATTATTTTTTCTTTTCATTGTAAACTAAATTTCCCTCAGAGCAGGAATGAGCTGTCTGGATTCTGCACTAATTAACATACATGTAATAGTACAACAAAAAAGGCTTTATAAGCATGGAAAATATTAAAATATTAGCTCCCTCTCCTTCAAACAAACTCACTAATTAATGAAAAGAAGAGCTGGTCCCTAAAGAATTTTGACATACCCATAATTATACTTAATCAACAAAAATGATCACTTTTTTACCGTAAGAGTTTCTTGAAGAGTGAGATTTGCAAAGAAAATATCTTCTTGCAGTACATAGCAGATTTTCTTCTTAAGCTTTCTGTCCAACTGTTTGCCATTGAGTAAGATTTCACCTTCTTGAGCAAGCAACCTTCCAGCAAGAATGTTCAGCAGCGTTGTCTTGCCAGAGCCTAATTAAGCAGGAAAGAAAGCTTTCAAAGTTAATTTACATGTACATGACTGTCCACGGCAACAAAAAATAATGGGGTTAGTTTAAAGGGCTACGTCAATGTGGATTTCCACATTCTTTTAAAGGTTTCAAGCCCAAAGAGACGCCCTGTTCAAAACACTAGTGAAATTGTATACCCTGTTACTCGACTCAAGAACCTTAAGATGGAATCCACCAGTGCACAAAAACTTTGTACCAGAATAATTTGAACAATATCACATTCTTTTTCACATTTTCCAGTTAGGGCTCTAAATACAATTAGTTATCTGTAATAACACCAAAGAAACTTTCTAATGAGAGCCCGAGAAAATAAATGCCAAATTTCACAAAATGACATCTTACACAAGAAATTTTCGGAATTTTAACTGTGTTTTCACAATTCTTCTGAAATTTGTCATTTGTTTTCTCAGGTTCTCATGAGTTCTCTCTTTGGTGTTATTACAGATAAATAATTACATCTAAAGCCCTTGAAAAAATTAATGTAAAAAAGAATGCCATATTGTTTAAATAAGGTACAAGGTTTTTGTCCAGTGAAAATTGAAATTACTCAATTTCCGGATGGATTCCGTCTTAAAACCATACCTTGTTCAGCCGCACACACCTGCTGTTTAGGCCAAATAAAGGAGTCCCCTTCTATGTGTAGAGAACTTGTCAACGAGCTGGGCGAGCTAGTCATGCAGTTTTAAACATGTGAAGCATTGTTGAAAGAAAGGGAACGTGCATATATATGTATGAGGAAGCGCCTCCACGTTTATCGGGGGGCACGACCAGACCTGAGACCGCATAAAAAGGAGCTAAAAGGAGGCTATAATCAAGCAGAACGTATCTGTTACGTCATGCTTTTTATCATAAATTCATATGATTACTTCAAATTTCTGTAGAGAATGAACCATAGAAAATGATATAAAGATTTGAGGAAAGTGAAATAATAACCTTCCCATTTAACTGGCCATTTTATTCTATTGAAAGGAAGAAAAGTGTTTTTAAACGTTCTTAGCTTACCGCTTGGGCCCATTACCGCCAGCATCTCACCCGGGTGAACTTTCCCGCTCACATTTTGAAGAATTTGTCGATCGTTGATTTTCACACCAAGGTCGTTAAATGAAAGGAAAATAGGTGCATTTTCTTCCCCTTCTTCGGTCATCCTTCTTGCTCTATTTGCTTCTCGCACACAGACCCACAGAACTCCTCTCTAAAATTACTTCTTGCTTGCAATCGCAACCTTTCGATAGCCTTTTATAACAAGGCAAACACATGTATAAAATATTGAATACATACTCTGTACATCACTTTCGTCTGTGATTGGTTCCATCATTTTCTGACAACCAATCAAAATTTAGCAGACCGGACATTTGGAAATGCAAGGTGATGGTGCAATGTGATTTGTTCCGAGGGGGAGAGGGAACGGGAATTTTGGCTGCCTTTTATTGATAGATTTAGACTCAAAAACGTGGGCACGAATTGAATTGGAAACTGGACTGGCAAATTCAGAAACAGAAGTCCACTTTTAGAAAAAATACATTTCTTTGAAGCAATCAAGACTTGAACATAACCACGTTCTATTTTTAGCTTCGTACCAAAAATGTTAGTCTTTATTGCATCATAGCTCACGTCAGGTGGAATCCGATATAGCTATGGCCAGTTGTGTGGAGTCATGATGGTGCAATTTATGTATATTTCCATTTTTTTTTCCGGGTTGCTTGTTTAAATAGTTTACCTTTCTGTTGGATTATTTTCGTCGAAGGGGCAAGAAAAGGCGTTTCTAGACCCAGTTATTGCAACAAAGAAAAATAATATCTCATTCCTATCCCGGCTTACAAGCAAAAGGATACGCAATGACATAATTTTTCTACCTTGTTTAAGGGGCAATTAGCTTCAAAACGGAAACAATGATATCCTGTGCCGATGAAAATCTTATTTCACTGGGACCTCTATTCAGGGGACACATTCGGGACCGAGGCGAGTGTCAAGTAGAAGGAGTTCCCTAAAATAATGGAGGTTGGGCGGGGGTGTGCTAATAATTAACCTGTTTTTTTATTATTATTATTCTGCCTGAGTATCTGCTGCAGTCATTATTTCAAGCAGCTAGATAATAAAAATTTTGTGTGTAGAATTCCCACGAGTGCAGTACGTACATCCATTTGCGGAATGTAAGCGAGATGGTTCATGTTGTGAGAGCTGTCGTCATGGTGACCTTTGAGTACTTAGGAACCGTCCCCTGAATGGAGGAGCCCAAGTGTCCATTTCCCTTGAATAGAGGGATCCCTTCAATAAAGGGAACAAATGCAAAAGTTACGTGAAGATTTTCTGGGACCAAAGTTTGTGTCCTCTTCAGGAATGGAGGTGTCCTTTGAATAGGCTCTTTGTCTATGGGAAATAGAAAACAAGGTCAGGTCACAGGTTAGAGGTATCTTTACTTTAGGTCAGGGGTGTCTTGTGAAATGGGTTACAGAAGTGAAGGACTTCCTGCAGTTATTCCTGCCACAGATATTGAATTTATTAAAGCACGAACAAGCACCCTCAGAGCCATCAACACGCCAAAAAATTGTGGTTAACTGATCTATTTATTACAATATTTACAAAAATTATTTACAATAAAAAATTACAGTTCATATTTCTAGAATAAGTACATTTCTAATGAACTTAAATGCATTAAGAGGCCATGTTCGTTCAGTTTCTAATGAGTTCTGTCAATTAAGGTATAAGTTAGAATGATGTGAAATACACATTTGGAAGTGATCTTGTTGTCCATTTCTCAATCGGATTTGCTTTCTGATACAGACCAAACTGACAAGCCTCGTGTTTGAGTTTCAACGCAGCAAGGTTGTTTTGACCGCTTAAGCATTCATACTGGAGATTAACTTCGTTCTGTTGAAGAAGGCTGTAAAAGAAACAACAGATAAAATCTTCAACATTTTACATAACAGTAGGAGAAAACTTAGCCTGCGCCACAGATGGTACTCAGACGGAACTTTTGCTATTCTCAGCTGTTTTTGGCTTGATCTATATATATTTTAGTTTATTCTGTCTTTGTAAACGTTTTTTAAGATGGCAAATGAAATGGTTGATTGTTGTTACGTTGTTATAAACTTCTAAACTTCTGTCTGTGAAACAGCGCCGAAATCCTTGCTCTGGGTCCCCATCTATGGGGGGTGTCCGTGGACTTAAGTACACGCTATAATTAGCCGGCGAACGCTGACGTATTACCGGTCGTCGCTTCTCTCCACCCGAAAAGTAACTTTTGCCAAGATTGGTTGTTAAAAAAAGACATTGTATATTTATCAATCTGGTTGAAACCGCATTTTCGGTAATTCGTTGAGTCCGTTGGGGGCCCAGGACAAGTACACCAGCGCTGCTCCGCAGATGTTTACTAACAAGGGGTTAGATTATACGTCTGTATGTGTCGGCGGCACAAGCTAGAGAAAACTCAGAGAGAAGCCAATTTAAGAGCACCGAAGGTCAGGCACCAAATCTGAAGGTGTATCATTATGTAACAAATTAGTAAATGAGGCTAAGAGAAGATAAAGAGCCTTTATCCCGGCTCTCTTGATGAGGTTTCCGGCCCGGCAAAACCGCTTTGACCTCAGCTGATATGCTCTGGACTCACCACGTTTCCTTCTAAAGTAGGGGAACTTAAACAGAACCGTGATCTCATTCAATTCTTTATCGTCTTTGCCTCTTTCACCAGTAAAGGATGAATGAAAAGAAAATTTGCTAAACTCATCATCTTGTATACGGGCGCGTATTTCTCTTTTCCCAAACTAAAAGCAAAATCTTAACTGGATCGATTTTTTCAGGTCAGTGGCTTTTTTCATGTTTCGAGTTTATTACGTTTCCTAATTGGTATGTTCAACACTTTCTTGATAGCAATCGATCCTTGCCTCAAATTTCTGTCCAATAAATGACATCTCTCGTCTGTAACATCGAGTGCGATTTCTTCAAGGAAAAGCTTTTTCTCTAAAGCTTCTACCTCCTCCCTCATTTCATTGGTTCCGCTGCATTTGATGTAGTTCTCAGGTTCTGGTCGTAAGTCTGGGTAATACACATAACTATCTTGGAGCATTCTATTGAAAAAATAATAGAAAAGCATTAACTTTATCATAAGACAAGACAGCTATTAAAAGACTAAATAAGCACTGATTTGCAAGTAATAACGATGAGAAGTACAGTGCTGAAGTACACCATCTTTACTTACTCGCTCAATCGCTGGTGTTCTTCATGAAGTCTGACAATGCATTCCGCTGCTTTTTCTAACTGTTCTCTCTGACGCCTGCGTGACAGGAATTAAACAACAGTGAAAATTTCACCGAAAAGAATACATTGTTCATGATCTCAATCGAGCTGAGAAGTTGCTGAGAAGTTCCCTTCTCATAAGCTGAATTTCAAGTACCAATCACAACGTCGCATTGACTAGTAACCAATCAGATCAAGGCTAAACAAGTACCAGCACAGGAGCTGATAACTTGGAGTGCGGAGCCTAGATATAACATCCTTTTCACGGACAACTTATTTTTAGCAGGCAGCCTTTGGGAGCTCATAATTTAGGCGTAATTTCGATCACTTATTCCCGCGACAATGGAAGCTCCCGTTGGTATAAGTATACGTCCGGTGGTATGGTATCAGTACAAAAAAAATCATGTAAGGTACAAGTTCTTCTTCTGTCTCAAAAAGTAAATAAATATTTTATTCTTTTGCGATTTGTTTTTTTGCTAATCGGTTTGTGGAAAACCTGCATGCAGCAGTCTGGGTTCGCAGAAAACATGAAACGCGAAAAGTAGTGATTCAGGCCTACTCATTAAATATCAGAAAAAGCATAAGACTCAGAATAACCATGTGAGCGAATTCGGAGAAATTTCTGACAAAAATGTCAACAGTTTGTTAAAAAAAAAACACCAACCTTCTGCGATCGGCTCTTTCTCTTTTCTTTGACTTGTATAAGGTATACACCTGTCCCATTTTCAACGTTTAAATTGTTTAAGCACTTCACTTGTTCAAATAACTCTGGACGACCAAAAAACACGTCTAGCCAGGAGGAGTTCTCTTTGCGAATGACTTTATTCTGTATGACATCACAAAGAAGAAAAAGCACGCGCACGGTCAAAACCAATCAGATTCAGGCTGTTGCCCTCTCGTCGCCAAGCTAACGGTCGAGCGCGCTTGTCAACAGATTTTCCTCTATAAGGGTCGTGCAATTTCAGTCACGATCAGCGAAGTGCTATCAGACCTGCCGTTTTCTTGAGCGCAGGTCCCTTTTACTCTTCAAAAATTCCACTTTCTGGAAAGTGCGCCGCAAATAATCGCGTCGAGTTCTTTCCTGGGAAGACATTAGTGTCCAGCCTGCTCACAGCCAATTCAATGGGACTGGATACCAAGTCCGGCAAATAGAAACTTCAGCTTAGTTCAAAATTAGACTGCGAGAAGTCTCTCTTTTTGCTTGGTCCGTCGAGCAAAACGCCCGAGACACGCAAATGACCACGCGCGTGACTGAAGGCGCGAGACGGGAGAGGCTGCCGCCCTCGTTTCTCGCGTCTTCGCCGCTCAACGCTAGCGCGCGTGCACTTTCCTTACTAAACTGAAGAAAAACAGAGACTGCTCGCAGTCTAGTTCAAAATCATATCCTTGAATAGCCTATTCCAGGCTCCAAGGTACTACTGCAGTCGTTCACAGATCGCGCGCGTCTTCCTTTCGCTACTTAATTACCCATTATACGAGAGCCTGGCAGAGGCTGTGACGTAGGGTTCATTAAAAGCCCAAAAGAGGAGGTTGATAGCAGAGCGAAATATGGAAATTTTAAGAACCAACAGAGCAGAAAATCAAACATTGTGTTATAATGACTTTATTGCACATGGCTTCATAACAATAACATAATTTAGAAGATAACAATCTTCGCTTTAATCAATAATTTGATTTTCTTAGAGCTTTACAAAATAAATAAACTCTCGCTGTTTCTTCTCTTTTCAACCCTACTTCATAGTGTTACTTTTTCCAGTAGATAAAAAAAATGTACAATTTATTGTTTGTTTCAACTCTTTAACGCTTTCAAACCTAATAACGACCAACATGCAATTTCTCCTTACAGTATCCCTGTGCTATCAAACAAAAAGGCTGTGAGAATAGCGGAAATGATCACAAACCGTTGTGTTTTGATTATGAACAAAGAGAGCAGTGGGAGCCATCCCGTAAATGACCTTATAAACGCCCGGGAAGTCTATTTAATTTTAGGGGTCCAAGCGGGGACGTTTAATAGATAGGAAGTGTTTGAAAGAGAGAGGCGCTTATTCGCATAACTGTAACAGGCTCAACAAAACTAATATGCTTTCGGCGAAATTATCAAGAGAGTTTAGAAATAGCGGAATATCCACTTTGTCAATTGATACTCCTAGGTCGTCTAGAGATCCATATCGCTCTTTCATATCCGGTCAACATCGATGTCAGAATTCTCGCTCACGGTTACTGCGCTGCCATCGTCAGTCTATCCTTGCTTTAAACTTGACATTCAACAAGATGATATCCACAAAGCCTCATTAATCAAGCAAGAAACTGAATAATTTGAATGATTTTGCACCTTCTTGCTAATTCTTAGTATTTTCGAGTCATTTTCATAGGGGCCGTATATTATACAGAGGGCGTTTAATAGAGAAGGTCGTCTAATACAATGTTAACAGCGTAGTGTGGCGTTTATTAGAAATTAGGCGTTTATTAGGTCATTTACTTAAGCAAGCTGATCTTAGGAAAGAAAGGGGTTTCCTTATTTGCTATCACATACTTAATCTCTGCAGACTACGAGCAGTCTCTCGTTTCAGTTCTTCGTCCGTCCCGCGAAACGCGCGAGACACGAAAATGACCACTCGCCCCTCTCTAAATCTAAAGAAAATGAGAGACTGCTCGCAAACTATAATCTCTGATTTATCAGAATCTATTTAAGTAATTAGAAAACAATACTTCTTCTTGTAGCCTACCAATTGTTGCATATACAGCCGTTGTAAAGATGAATCATCGCGCAATGTTTATCCCAGTGATGGTAAATGTTGCGTGAAGAGACAACGGTCATGGAGAACTACTCCTTCCAAGAACAATTTTAGAAAGGAGAACAAACTGCACCATTTTATACACCGCAATTCTTTGGGTAGTCTTCATCACGAACCATTATCACAAGAAAGCACCTTCTCAGGACCCGACCAGGTTTTTTAACTGCAACCAAATGGTATGCCAAAAATTCGACACCTTCGGCGATTTTGACATGCCAAATTGTATCAAATTGAAAGACGGCAACTGAACATTCCATTCTTTGGTTAGTGACGGAACAGTGCTTGCTCTTGAATGATAAAATCAGTTTATAATTATTAGCAACTGATAGATTTAAGGAGATGTTACGCAAGACGATTTGCAATGATGATTTTGTGGGTAACAATGTTGGAACAATGTTATGACAATTCAAAACAATGTCGCAACTATGTTGCAACACTCGGTTGCGCTCAAAATCGTCGTTGCGAATCGTTCCATGTGTCATCAACTTTAGCAAAGGCAACGTAACGACTATGACGACGGCGCGTAACCTCGTACCCAGATCTCTTGGGTACGAGATAAGACGGCACGCGCAGATCTAAAATCCGACTTGACCTCGACTTGACCAATGGCAGGACGGCAAATTGAGAATCTCTCCGAGCGCTTTCGTGCTGTCAATTGTCGTTGCGTTGTCTTTGCTAAATTTGCCCAGAGTTCTTGGCGCTCATTGTGCCCCTGTTTTTGATCAGAAGTGTTAATTTCCGCTCAAGAGGAGTCTTTCTTAAAGGGGCGGGAATCTGTTTCACAAAAGCGTTCACTGTAAGTAGGTTGGCTGTACAGACTTTAAGTACAAAAACTCAGTACTGAGCGAGAAAAGAAAGGCAAACAAGAATTAGAACGCATGCATGCTAACGTTAGTGACGACACCAATCCGCCAGCGGTTGTCTGAGAGGAGGGAACATCAGGACAAACCTTGAAACATTCCCAAGGATGGATTCCTCATACCTAAAAACAGGAAAAACGAGCCTCAATTAGGAGGTAAACTAGTTTGAAGCATTCACTAACAAAAGCCGCCGAAGTGAAAACTCAAGCAAACACCTCAATTTCATATTTTGAGATGCAGTGTACTACTGAAGAACAAATGGTACCAGAACTGCTTAGAACATTTATGAATGGTCACACGATAGCATTTTGTTCACAGCCTCAAAAGTTAGACCTTCTTTATATTTCTGATTGAACTCCAGCAGTGTTTACACTGGCGGTTAATAAGTAAATAAACGCCTTCCGACAACTGCTGTATCGGATGATAATGCCCGCGGCGGAGAGATTGTCCCAAAAATAAACATTTGCCCGAGAAGTGAAGCTGTGTGAAAAGGTAAAAGCCAGTTACAAGTCAAGGGCAACCAAGGACGGCTTCCTCCTAAATACGTTGAAAACACTTCTTAGGCTATCCACAGTAGTTTTAGATCTCTAGAAAAAGCGGCGCTATAAAATTTGTATCTGTTCGGTCATCCTAGGGGACTGTGAGTCTTTCTGAAATATCAAGGGCTTCAGTATTACTTTCCCTAATATCTTAGATGCAATTTATCGCTTTATGAATGTGAGAATTTTCCTGATTCCTATCTCTATCACATTTTTGAATCCGAAAATTTTAGGTTTCTTTTTTCTACGCAAAACAGCATTACTTGGAGAGTGAAATGTAAAAAATTAAGCTTCAGAAAATCGTAGGGAATTTATTAGAGAAGTTTCGAAAATTGTACATGAATGGAACGGTCATCTAAAAATTTGTAGCTGTCCCCAAGCAATAGAAAATTTTAGGCAATATTTGCTTCTCCGAACAGATATTGTACACAAAAAAGTCCGTCGGAGCCCGGTGCCTCTGACAAGTGCACAGAGGCTTAACCCTTTAAACTCTAAGAGTGATCGGCAGCAAATTTCTCCTTGTAATATCACAGCTTTATAAAACAGAGTGGTCACAAGAATTAAGGAGATGATCACACAAGATGAATTCAATTGATACTTCAACAACTTCTCTTCTTTCTATGAGAAACGTATACAGACAACAATGAGAATTTAATTTTTGATATAAGGGTTAAAGGTTTATGAAAAAGACCCTTACCTTGTCAGGATCGTAGACTGGGAGTTTGCTCAGTAACGGTAAATCGGTTTCCTCATCACGTGCTATGTACAATGTATGGCCGTAACCGCACGCTACTTCCTGAACGTAGATGCCTTCCAGTGGTTCTACAATCTTAGGGTTTGTTGATGATTTTTGTCCTCCTTTTCTAAGCCCATATCCCTGAGAAAAAAAAAAACAACTACTCACTACTAAGAATGCAGCTATTATCATTACAAGTGACAATTCTTCCGCAAAGGGAGAATATATTTCTATTTATAAAATAACTAAGATGGTACGCGCGTTCTAATTGGTTAAAAGCCTATGGTGATTTACCGGCGTGATAACCTACTTGTAAACAAGCTTTTCTAGTGTTCTCCCAACATCCTGCGTGCGTTATCACGCCGGAAAACCCATAGAAAGTGTTGTCTATTGCTTAAATAATCAGACAGCCTTTATACAAGCAAGGGTGTTATATGGGAAGCTTAGTAAGGCCTACAATAAGTACTGCTGTGACACACTCCAAAAATCAATGCACCCTAAGAGATAACAACAGCATTCGAGACCTAAAGATAAAGTGTCTTTTTTCTCAGATGGACGTTTGTGTACTCTAAATGGAGATGCGTTCTTACTAAAAGCACCCCGCCAAACTTAAAGGGAACCTCCACTTCAACAAAAAGATAACTTTAAATCACAGGAAATAACTGTTACAGTCAAGTCAATCTAAAGTATTTTTAAAGAAAGCGTTTGTATCCGAAAGAAATAACTTTTAAATTCGCCTATTTTTGTTTTCAAATTTTGCGGGCGTCGCCATCTTGAATAATTGTGACGTGTAATGGTTGCCCTATTGTTATTAAACAAAAGCTCTTTGTGTCAGAACAATAGAGCAACCGTAACACGTCACAATTATTCAAGATGGCGGCGCCCGCGAAATTTGAAAGTGAAAATAAGCGATTTTAAAATTCACTTTTCCTGATATAAACACTTTTTTTAAGACAAATTTCGAACAAATTTGTTTATCAACATAATTTTATTCGACTTAAACTTATTCTGTAGTAAGAGTGGAGGTTCCCTTTAAGGTTCCATAGCCTCCCATGGAGGCATTCCTTTGGCTCGTCACGTAATCTCTTCTTTCCCAACGAGAAGAAGAGATTGCGTGACGGGCTATAGGCTATCAGGGAACAAAACTCTTTAGACGGTTAACAGTTGTTGACTTTCTTTCCCTTGGTTTGGAAAGTTTGGCTTAATTTCTACTGAATAAAAAAGAAAACGCAGTTTATTTGAGTGTCAATATGTTACGCACGAAAGTATAAGAGAATTCAATTTTTCCATCTTCTTGTGCAGAAGAAAACGCAATTTTACGTGGTCATCCGAACCCCAGGAAGGTTTAGCCGTTTGCAGGGCAAAGGCTGTTTTTTCATTTCTAAGATATTTTAGGCCCTGAGTATTGGTCCCGCTCCAGGAAACGAACGCGCGACCTCTCGCTCTTTAGACAAGTGTTCTTGCCGTGACTGAGCTTCTCCTGCTGCGGTCTGTGGACCACTGAAAAAAGCCAACGCTAATTTAGTACATACGTCAGCTTCTTACCAGTTCTCCGTAGGTAGGACTCGGTCCCCAACTGACTACGCTATCGTCTGCGGCGAGAACAATACTCGTTTTGCTATCGAAAAAAAATACAATCTCATAAGTTACGTTTAATCATTTGGCCAGTGGTACGCATCAAAACCTGTTCACGAGGAGTGACACAGAAAATAGGCTGTATAACGGACGCTTTATGAACCGAGCGAGGAAAACACGGCATTTTGCGTGAAGCACGAAACGAGCGCACAGCGCGAGACAAGAGGAGAAAAAAAAAATGCTGGTCTCGCGCTTTTCGCGTTCGTCTTGCTTGGCTGATTAAGCGCCTGTTCTGCAGGCTACACAGCAAATTCCTTTACAAATGAAGCACCAATCGCTTCTGTCGCTGTCAAGTTGAGTAGGAAAAGTTTGACTCTCATTCTTAATTTTCGGATGAAAAAGCTTATTTGCTAAGTGGTTCCAACAATTTAGCCCCACCCTCTTCCTTGAACCCTTCCCTCTCCTGCCCCTCCCTGAAAACAATCCCCCTCTTTAACACTTGAGTATATCGGTTTGAATCCGGGAGGGAGGGAGATGAATTACCGAGTCCATCACGTTACAGCCCATGGTCCCCGGGTCCCCGTGGACAAGATTTCTTGAGGCGGGGTATTGAAGAAAGCGCGAGCAGATAGGGAGAGAATAGGGTGGGAAGGGGGAGGGGGGAGCTCCCGCGTCACTCACTACGCTCACCCAGGGCACCTGTCCGCAAGTAAAGTAGGCTGATTTAGCAACAGAACGGGAACATCAGTTGACGACGGCGAGCGCAAATCAAACAACTGGCTTGACCAGTGGCAGAGCGGCAAATTGAGCAGCGGAAGTCGTGTTTAGTCCTTTCCGCGCGCTTTCCCGTCGTCAACTGACGTTCACGTCCTGTTGCTAAATCAGCCTCATATCTAAAATGATAAACAATTATTGGATAAAGTTTTGGACATCTCATTATTACGGTTCATGTTTTAATACGGACACCGCGTTCATACTGACACTTTCTATCATCCGCCATTTTCTCCAGCCTTTCCAAAACGCTGCGCTACCGCGCCTTCCGTTCCTTTTTCAATTGTTCTGATATCGGAAAACGTCTTCCAAATATGGTAAACGCTAGCTGGTTGTGAAGAATAATCTGGGGAATTTCAGCCAATCAGATAGGGAGAAAACCTGACTAATCTTTCTATTGCTCAATAAGTTTACAGGTTATTATGGTTACAAAACAACAACTAAACAAAGATAATATTACAGAAGTATTGCCCGCAGCTACAGTAGCAAGGCTATTCCTAATGCAAGGCGGGGTAATGAGTGCAAAATATTAAATTACTGGATACTTACGAGCAGCCAACACTGCGTACATCCCAGCCACACATATCGCCAACTGGCTTAGGATACATGGTCGCATCACCTGTACTCTTCGTCTGACCCCAGAAAAATAACTGAGAATTCTTTACCCCACAGAGTGACATGCTGTATGTGGAACCAGCATGAACAGATGAAACACCTAAAAGAGATGTCGGGTAAGGTTAAAGAGGCTGTGTGACTGTCAAGGCTACCTTGTTCATTTTGCTTTTAATAGCAGTTACCGTAAGTGACCTAATAAAAGCCCACTTCCAAATAAACGCCTCATATAACAAATGTCTCTCTTTCGTAGTACGTCAAACCTCACCTAAAATTTTCGGAAAAATAATACTCAAGCCCTTGTAATTTCGAAAAGACTCAAGCTCCCCTCGGATTAATGAACAGATACAAATTTTATAGCACCGCTTAGAATGCATTTCTAGATATCTAAAAGTACTCTGGATAGCCTAAAAGGTGTTTTTAATGTATTTAGGAGGAAACCATCGTTGGATGCCCCTGTTTAATGTTTCTTTCAATTCGGTAGCCTGCGTAGCTGGCGGAATTGTGTGGGTGCGAGATTAAAGTTGTGGCAGCGGAGCCGTGTTCCAAAAAAAGGAAGTAGGGACGAGGCAGTTGGTATTTCTCGCGGCTTCGCCGCTCAAATCTCACTCGACTATATTACAACGGTTCGGCCGCCAAATCTCACTCGACTACTACACAATACCGCCAGCTACGCAGGCTATCAATTCGGTGGCCGTTCCTTCTGTTTAAATTTTGATAAATTTCGTGACACAGCTCCTGCGGCTAACTCGACCTGCGATTGAACTAACCCAAAAATTTTCCTTTATCACATGAATAGAAAAAATACACTGGCTTTTTTACAGTGGATTAAAAGCCGGCATCTTTCCATCTTCAAATACCCTGCCGAGACAGAACTAAGGCTTGAAAAGCTGCATTTTGGATTGTACTAATGTGGACAACTTACTCTATCAAGTCAGCTACGGTAAGTCAAATCTAAATTTTTGAACAACTGCTGTATTATATTGAAACAATGTCACATAACTACGTTAATAGTTTGCGGCACAATAGGTTCAGTGGGTATGTTGACAGTATTTTCGCGTAAACTCGAAAAAGACTTGATTCTCTCACGGTTCTTTTTCTGCCCGGTGATTTTGGCGAGTTCTTAGGGTCCCCTTTCGCTGAGAGAGAAATCTCCAAAAAATGAATATTTCTACTTACTTTTTCCTTTGAGGTAGTTCACGAGTCTAGGAACCAGTTCGTCTTTTTGTTGGTAATGACCAAGGCGGCCATAACCTCCAAATCCCCAAGTGTATACCCTGTCTTTTGTGTCTCTTGCAATCTGGGAAAAAAAAAATTACACAACTGACAAACGATTATAAGGCCAAAACAGCGAGATTTTTTTCTTAGTAAAGTACAGTGTTTTGAGCGCGCAGAGCTAACTGAGGACCACACTATTTTTAGATCGTCTGCTGGTGACAACATCGCCATTTCCACCCTGTCAAACGACTCACCGGCTGAGCAACAGACAAACAGACCGCTGGCCTTACAGACAGCTGTCGAGCCTGCTAACAGTCCACTTGGCTCATCTAAACGGTAGGCAGGCTCGAATAGACTGAGGAGAGATTATCGAGTTTTCTCTTGGGATGACAATCGCTATTCACACTTCTAGAGGCTTCGTTTGCTTGGTTTCCTCGCCTATGGGACAAACCAAGGCTCTCCCCCGCGCAAAGCCTTCTGGCTAGATAAACTTGATATTTACTTCTTAGCGGCACTATACCTAAATAGTGTTCACTTAAAACTTGCCAGAAAGTTTGCCTAAAAATGCCAGATTTATTTTCGTACGGACGGACGAAAACGGAGATTTTCCAGTAGGATGATATCATACATCATACGGCGCATGCTCTGAAAGGGTCGCTACTGTATTTCTGTCGTTTTCAGTAGCGTTTTCGTGTGGACGGGAGTAAAGGATTCAAATACGGTAAGTATGGACGCGTTTTTTTAACGGAGAAAATATATTTGAATACGTGTGAACGAGGCCTAAGACACAATCGATTGTATGGAGAGAGAAAAATCTTACCGTGTGATTATTACCACAACATACATCTACAATCTTGACATCATCCAAAACGTGCGTCAAGCCATCTCTTGTCTTCTCCACAAAGACAGCAACGTGACGAGGAAGAACCTCGCAGTCAAACGCCAACTTATTGGCCGTGACGAAGTACTGCCCGTCTGTGTTATGTCCAAGCTGCCCATATTCAGGGCGACCGAACGAGTAGAGTAAGTTATTTTCGTCAATAAACATGCTAAATTCAGCACCACAAGCTGTTTTGATGATCTTTTTGTTTCCTGGATGAACAATCTGTTACGTGAGAGAAAAAGGAAGAAAATTACAGCTAAAAATCTTTGCCTATATTTAATTAACCTGCAAGTTATAAGGTGTAGAACACTGATGCAGCCGGTGCATTTCGCTTTCTCAAATAGTAGACGGAAACTTTTTCCTGTAGAACGGGTCATTTCTGCACAGTTAAAATGTAGATAGCGTTTAAAACTCTGCCAGGAAACACCTGAGAACTCTTAAGCTGAACTTTTCCAATGAGTGTTTCTGCTCTCAAATCTAAATTGGTATTTGGAAGTGTTGTTTAACTAGAAAGATACGAAAACTGGGCCAAGTCGAAGACGGACCATAATGGTGAAAGGCTGTGTTTCTGTTTAACGGAAATGATTAAATTAGATGGGTATCCTGTACCTGGACAGGCTTCGGCATAATGGGCTTTTGATGACCTTGGCCCAGCTGTGACATTTTATTGTCTCCAAATCCAAATAAGATGCCTTCAGCTGAAAAATAAAATAACTTACATGTCATATGAAACAAAGCAAGAAACAATAACCCAAAGCTAAGCGTTGACTCCTTTTATTCCTTAGCCACTTTTCCTAACCTGTAAGGACCAAAGTGTGTGCTTTTCCACAACTGGCCTGCACAAAAGTGTAGGTCTTTAAACTCTCTATGACCTTTGGCTTATTGCAGCGGATTGTGTCACCATGGCCAAGCTGACCTTTGTCATTACGACCTAGCAAAAAGAAACCGTTAAAATAACGTTAGACTCTAAAATGCACAGAAGATAATGATGAGGATGGTGTTGATGATGATGATGATGATGATGATGATTATGGTGGTGGTGGTGGTGGTGGTAATGGTGGTGTTGGTGATGATGATGATGATGATGATGATGATGATGATGGTGATGATGATGATGGTGGTGGTGGTGGTGGTAATGGTGGTGTTGGTGATGATGATGATGATGACGACGATGATGATGGTGGTGGTGGTGGTGGTAATGGTGGTGTTGGTGATGATGATGATGATGATGATGATGGTGGTGGTGGTGGTGGTGGTGGTAATGGTGGTGTTGGTGATGATGATGATGATGACGACGATGATGGTGGTGGTGGTGGTGGTGGTAATGGTTGTGTTGGTGGTGATGATGATGATGATGGTGGTGGTGGTGGTGGTGGTGGTAATGGTGGTGTTGGTGATGATGATGATGATGATGATGGTGGTGGTGGTGGTGGTGGTAATGGTGGTGTTGGTGATGATGATGATGATGATGATGATGATGATGATGGTGATGATGATGATGGTGGTGGTGGTGGTGGTAATGGTGGTGTTGGTGATGATGATGATGATGACGACGATGATGATGGTGGTGGTGGTGGTGGTAATGGTGGTGTTGGTGATGATGATGATGATGATGATGGTGGTGGTGGTGGTGGTGGTGGTAGTGGTGGTGTTGGTGATGATGATGATGATGACGATGATGATGATGGTGGTGGTGGTGGTGGTGATGGTTGTGTTGGTGATGATGATGATGATGATGATGATGATGGTGGTGGTGGTGGTGGTGGTAATGGTGGTGTTGGTGATGATGATGATGATGACGACGATGATGATGGTGGTGGTGGTGGTGGTGGTGGTGGTGGTGGTGATGATGATGATGATGATGGTGGTGGTGGTGGTGGTGGTGGAATGGTGGTGTTGGTGGTGATGATGGTGATGATGATGGTGGTGGTGGTGGTGGTGGTGGTGGTGGTGGTGATGATGATGATGATGATGATGATGGTGGTGGTGGTGGTGGTGGCAATGGTGGTGTTGGTGATGATGACGATGATGATGCTGGTGGTGGTGGTGGTGGTAATGGTTGTGTTGGTGGTGATGATGATGATGATGATGATGATGATGATGAGATGTGGTGGTGGTGGTGGTGGTGGTGGTGGTAATGGTGGTGTTGGCGATGATGACGATGATGATGATGATGATGATGATGATGATGATGATGATGATGATGATGGTGGTGGTGGTGGTGGTGGTGGTGGTAATGGTGGTGTTGGCGATGATGATGATGATGATGATGTTGATGATGGCGACAATTATGATGATGATTTTGCAATAGCATGTGCTACACTTTTGGCTTGGCAATCTTAAATCAATATCAGCAAAAAAATTAATTATTAACCCTACACCACATACCAAAACTCATGATAGTTCCACCCTCGCAAATGATAATACTGTGACAAGCACTAGGTCCTGATGCCACATGCTGGACTCTGATGTTGTTTAATGATGAAATACTGTGTGGTTCCCACAGGTTAGGCCCTCCTGCATTTGCTGCATTCAAATCAAAAGTAACAGCAGTTGTGGAAATTTAGCAGCCTAATAATGACTTGTAATCAATGTTATAATCTATATGTATTTCATATAAAAATAATAATAATTATTATAAATCAATAAAATACCATACCAGAGCGGCGGCATGCTTTGTCAGCACATGGTGACCCCTGGAGCCATACTTTTGCTTTTTGGTGGCTATAAAATGTTAGTTTTTTTGTTCGTTTTTTTTTTTCAAAGAAATCCTATGCTGGATTTCACAGGTTCATATTATTGAGCTCCCTTCAGGTTTTGTAAGAGAACAACCATGTAATTATAAATTACCATCCTCTAATACAGTAATATTACATGTACAAACAACGGTTTGGTCAAGTCCAGGTTTCTTAATAACACGCCTCAGTGGAATACAGGACAATACACAGTTACACACTGTATATTTTGAAAGGTCAGGATTACCCTCTTGATTTTTAAGTATTTTAATCAACTTCACTAGTCAATACTACTCAACAGTAAAGATTGCATACATGAGGTACTTATACAGCATAAATACACACATGCAATGTAAAGGGTAAAATTTATTGCATTTAAAAACATCAAGAATATATAATTTTCTGGAGAGTTCTGTATTATTTTGATTAAGAATAAAGTTGGAAGATTGCCAACTTGAAGAATGAACAAACATTAGTTTATATCCACCTACCTCCAGATTTTGGGACCTCTTTTCGTCCAATCATGTCCCAGTTTGTTCCACCACTAATAAGAAGCCTACCACATGTGCTCACAGCTTCTGTGTTTGCCTTAAGATTAGATGCAAAAAAGCAAATTTAATCATGATGTGTATAGTGCTGCTTCAGTGGACTATACCTAAATACTTCAAAGACCAATGATAAAGTCCACACAAAAAACTGTGAAGTTAAACTACCTTTTTTGCTTCCTATTTAAAATGCTATATCAAAATCCGTATGTTTCTTGGTGCTGTGCAAACCATTGCCAGTTCACTTTTGTGTTGCATAATGAGTATTCTTCACTGTCTTTTAAATCTTTTGTATTACCAACATCATTTTGGTGATTGCACCCATATGAACACTAAGATTTTTTTAACCACCAAAATCTGGATCGGAACAGACTGGATCAAAACCCCTATACATCTTTAGAAAACTCCTACGGATGACGTAAAGGGGTTAATGTGACCCAAGCCATTGCAGGGACAGTGGAGCAAGGGAGGGAAGGGGATTTTCTAGAGGAAAAATGTTTTTGTTTAAGAATAAGGTACATGCTATAAGCACTAGGAGTACCTGTCATTTTACACCTTATCCAGGTTAAGTTTTTTTAAAGAACTAGATCAACACCAGAAGGTGTATACTGGGCTGCTATAAAACCTAGCCTAGATAGAAATAATGTATAATTTGTATGGAAATGAAAAGTTTACCACAACAGACAGCTGACAGTGTATGAAAGGAAGAAGTAAGCCTGCTCAACCCAGTCCCATGCCAGACACCACCCCAACCCACAGGTCTCTTTAAACTGTTTGAACTGAGACTATAAATACATGATTGATAATTCCAGTGTTGTTGATGGTTGATACAAAACTGTGTTTACTGTGGGCTTACCATCAAAAGCGTTTTCATTTGTATTTTTGGCATTCTTATGCTTCCACCAAAGATAGATTGCCTATAGCTTTGATTCGCTTCGAGCTCCCTAATAAAATGTACTCTGCTGAAGTCCGCTGACCGGTTCTACGCATACCCTCATATCTTGCGCATGCGCTGAACACGCCAGAGTGCAGTTTGTGCCAGAAGGAAAAACCGAGCCCATTTCATAACTGGGCTGTACCACAGGCATCCCAGTAAAGATCTCATTGAGAATGTTGAAAATAACATTTCTGTGCCTCCAGATTTCAAAGTTTTCTGGGGGAGGAAGCCCAAAGACTCCCCCTCCAATAAACTTGTGTCTCTAGCACAAGTTGTCGAGCACCCCCTCTCCCAGTTGAAATAATTGCACTGTCCCTAATACCATAAGACTATAAGATAAACTCACAAATATTAATTAATCAGAGAAACCAAGGAGAAAGGAAAACAATAATTTATGAACCCAAAAATAGGTCTAGAGTGTAAGTTGGAGAGGTTAACTTTGGAATCAAAACACATCCTTAAGTTAATATTAGACCAATTAATATTTCATTTCTCCGGAAATTATCTCAAGAAGTAAAAGATAGAATTTCTTGATAATGGCAGTACTTGTCAAATATTTCTGCACTAAAAACGAAGATAAAATATCAAAATACACTGTTACAAAACATCCCAGAAATCCCACCCACTGCATTCACTTACCTCTGATAGCAATTTTAAAGCCCATGTATCACTACAGAAAAATCACTATCCATTGTCTATTCTTAAAAAAATCTATCTATCTGAATTGATAATTATCTTCTTGTAAGCTCTTTCTGGAGATCAAAGATGTAACGATTGAAAAGAATTATCACATGAATACAAGAACATTCAATTTGTGAATTCAAAAATTCACAAATTTGAAATCCAGCTGACTAAATACCTTGAACATCATGAGATATTACAACAACTCTGCTTTAAATTTTTCGTTTTGGACCGAAGTTTACAAGTTTAACCTCAACCTAACATGTGCTCTTCTTTGAGAAACACAATAGTTTATTAAATTGCCTAAAAAGCAGGAAGCAATTTATTACTTAGGTAGTTAGTAATATTCTGAAATACATTGTCTGATATTTTATATAAGCAACACAATCGACAGGTATTTAAATTGGAGTGTGTGCTGAAATCTTCACAGTACCATCAATTCACTATCCTAAAATGAAGCCATGGACTGTTTAATCTATTCATCTCAAATAATGAAGGCAAATAATTTCGTTAAAAGCTGTCTTATTGACATTTTTATGAACTTTTTCTGTTTCAAAATTTTAAAATAGAAGTGAAAGACAAAGAAAATTTGCAAATTAAATTGGGTTGAAAGTGAATCCCTCATGTGGTGAAGAATAATTTGGTTGAACAGTTATATTTCTTTCCTGCAATCCGATCAACAGTATCAATTGACAGTTTCCTTCCTTCAATCATCATCTGTTGAAAAAACATCGTAAAGCTTACAGAATTTTTTTTTTACCACGAGCTTCAAACTACACGTTTTTCTTGCGCTCTAGACCTCTAGTAAAACAACTTTATTCCAATTTCCTTCGAATACGTGATTCACATCGAGTAACAAGACATTATTTCACATATTTTCTAACAAAAGCGCAAAAAGCGAAAACTGATATTATTTACAGCTTGTTCATATCGTCCAAAAATGTTGATTTCCCGCGAAAGGACGCTGCAATTATTGATCTGTGGCTAGTATGAATGTCAAGACCTATCAACGTTCTACTTTACTCATTTTCGGCTGTCAGTGGACTCAAATTTTCTTTTATCAATTTCCATTGATCTTTTCGCCTCAAATAAATTATTTTTGCCAGAAAGAACCGGAAACAACAGAACAAAAGATAGAATGCAGCCCGATCTTTAGTCCGTGCGAGGGATCATTTGCATCAAAAAACTGTCATTTAAACATTTCACTTGAAAAATAAATCTTACTGCGATCACGAGCAAGACCATAAATGAAACTGAATTTACATCTTTCTGTCCATCATGATCCGCTGTAATTTAACATTAATCCAAAATAATTACATCTCCTAGAATATTTAACCCATTAGTCGCATTGGCCGTATAAAAACCCTTCAAACGAAATTCGATCCCCATGAATCAGCCAAGAACGCGCCGTCTCATGGAATTGCTCTCAATCCACCTTACCTGGACTTCGTCGCTCTCTGTGGCCTCCTCGGATGTTGTGTCAGCTAAGGTTTCGTCCTTTAAGTACTTCTCCGGGAAATTTTCCTGACCCGGCGACTCAAGCGGCGTTGATGAATCTGTCTTCGATTTTTTCGAATTTTCATCACCGCAGCTCTCAAGCTCTGCTTTTCGCTTGGTCGGCGCTACTTCCGGATTCGACATTTCCACAGCAATTAATCGTAATACTGAAAATTCGTGAAATTCACTTCATATATCCCCTTTTCCTTTGTTTTTTGAACAGTGCACTGTGACCGCCACACTACTGCGGCCAGAATGAATGACATAAAGACATGACAGAGGGGGAAATGGTGACAAGTTACCAGTACTTTCTCCTTGCGGTTAGTTGCAAATCTCCCAACATAGGAACAGATGCAATCCAAGGGTGAATATTTCTTTTAACCTTACATCTGTAAAAGAGTATAGGACGCAAACAAAAACAGAAATATTGATTTATCCCTGCAAAGGTCAGCTAAAAGCTGTCACGCAATTCTTTCTTGTCGTGTGAGACGCTTGACATCACGGCGGGCATGACCTACCTCTTGCCTACCCGCGTGACATGAATGTTGTCTACGCGCGGTTCGTGCCAGATCAAGCCTTGAAAAGGTTGCAAACAAAATGGGCTAAAGGCATGGCCGCAAAGGAGCGAATAACTGAGTGGCTGAGGTTTAAATGACATTTTGACTTGAACATGTCGAAGTTACGTACAATAAACCCTGAAACGTTTTAACAGTATCAAGTATCATAATAAGTTTTCACAGTTTTTCGGATCATGCGATTTAAGGCAAAGGAATTCCGTCACAAATTTCATGCAAAACTTAGGTATTACTTTAGAATATCTGACTAAGGCGTTTCTCGGAGAGCCAATCTGAAAACCGCCAAATTAAGAAATGTAAATGACAAATCCACTGATACTCTTTCTCAAGGTGATTTCCAACTCTGAGTGTTGCTTGAGATTATGAGAGGGATGATCGCATCTTAGGAATTAGGACTTTATGGGAGATACATGAATTCTCTTTTGGTGGAAAAGACATTGCATCGCATTACACTGACTCAGAAATCAGAGGGTCTTACATGGCTCCTCATATTCCCGTATGAATGTTACGAGGACTGGCTCGTCAAAAAAGTAAAACTGGGCACCAATCTGGGAATCAATCATGCTTTAGACCAGTACTAAAACAGGCAATGAGATTTCCAGTATCTTTCATATGCGAGTCCGATCCATTCTGGGCTTTGTTTTAAGGCCGAAAAAGCATATTAGTTTAACGTATGGATTTTCGGTTCTTGTGTTATGTATAAGCTAGGGCATCAGTAAATTACTGTATTGCGTTTGAGGGTCACGACATTAGCTTCGAGATTTATTTGACAAAATAACTCAACATTCTAACTAAAGGGTTACATTTAAAATCGACAGCCTGGTAAAGAAATAAAAATGAAGGAAACGTAACATAATAGAAATAACTAATTCGACCTTTCACTGTTCGGTCACAATTTTTCCTCCATGGAATTCTATCGATTTCCGATACAACTGATAAATTTCTTATCGACTTTAATGTTATTGATGGCGATTTTTTCGATTGCACACGCAGGGACAAAATATAATTGAAAAGACACACACGCACAGGTCGGAAATATTGGAAAAAATAAAACAACAATGTCACTCAATATGGCTTCAGTACTAACGATAATAGCATAATAGCGGATACAAAGAGACATCTTCGGTCAAAAAAAATGAAAAATATTAAAACAAGCAATCAAAGTGTACAAAGATATAAAAAATATTTTTTTTAAAATGTTTTTTTTTAATATTTGAAGTGAACAAGGTACCCGCACATTTCTTATTAAAATACTGGAAGCAAGAGCCATAGGTACTCAATACGATTTAAAAACGAAAATAGTAACCATCAAAATCAAGTTTGTTTTCCTTGGGTACACATTGGGGACCATCTGGAGTACCATAACGCTCCACCTTTTGACCACCTTGCATTGTAGGTGTGATCAGCAAGGCATTAGTGGATCCAATAGAAGGATCTTCATCAAAGTAATTGAAAGGTCTGATGAAGAAGTTGGCCGAGTTAGCAGCTGTTGCCGTGTTAGGAAGATCTTCTGAATGTGGCACATGAATCGCGCCGACGGTCACCCAGGCAACTAGATCCTCGTTCAAGATGGAGTCGTTATCTAAAAGATACTGACGGAAATCCAGCTGTGGGGATAAAATTTTTGGCAAATATTAAATTTTCTATTGAAGAAGACGTTAAAAACATTCTAGGAAAAATGACAGAGGCGAGGATGGAATGAATTCAGTGAAGATCTTAAGAAATGATGAAACGAGCTCAGTCGCCAAAGTTTTTGGTCCTTGCCATTCAAGAGACCATCACCACGAAACGTCTAATGAGTATCACGGCACTTAAGACCTTAAGTCTATTTTTTAATTTAAAAAACTGTGTTCTTAAACATCCGCACAATTCAATATGGCAGTTGATCTGCTAGATAACCGCTCTTTGGTCAAGCCCTTTGCTCGTCACCTTGCTGATCTCATCTGCTACTGATAGAGATCGTACACTAATCTGATTCTGTAAGAGTTTTTTGCGCGAAAGATAAATCTATAAATAGCTAAATAACTATACAAACTGTGACCTAGGCTGTATGAGAGGTAGAGCCTCAGGGATAATAGGACACTGCTTCTTGTACACTCTCCCTCCCACTCCCCTTCACTAACCTGTAAACTGCAAAACAGTCTTTTTTTTTTTCTCAAAATCAGTAAAGAAATGGGTAAGGCGTAGCGTAAGAGTCTTGCGCGTACTTGAATACGCAAAAATACGAACTGTTTTGCAGTCTAACTAACCTGTGGATCTGCAGGGGCGTTCTGGTTGTAGATGGAGCTGCTCTGCGTCTCATTTTCTTTATATTTTGTGACAGCCATTTGGTAAAGAGACCAACTCATCATGGATACCATCATCCAGTCTTCAGGATACAATTGTTTCAGTATTCCTCCCAGTTGTATGCGATATCCTTTCTTCACGCCCACCCTGTTCTTCTCTGCATCATTAAAGAAATTCAGATATTTTGGAGTATCAAAGTTAAATTTATAAGCGCCGTCTAACTCTGTGTTTTTGACGCTGCGCTTTAGAACCTTTTGGATACGCCGTTTGTTGGGAAACCACCGCTCTGTGATATTTTCTATTCCGATCTCAATTGTCTCATAAGAGTTCTTTCTTCCACCAACGTCTAAGTCAACCTTGTAGTTGAAAAGATGATCGTGTGTGCCACTAGTCAAGTGTTCGTAAAGTTTATACCCGTATGGATCAGTGTTTGAGTCGATGAACGCACCCCAGACATAACCAGATGGTGAAACCTTGACTTCTATGACACCATTTTGGTAAAAGATAAAGTCGAACACGTAATCGTAGTTGTATACAGTGGAAATTGTACGTAAAACGAGAACCTGGTCAGCCATTCCACCGTAGAACCGATAGCCCCCCATAAAATTGTTATCATAATGTCGTCGCAAGGGCATTCCAGTGTTCAACTCGAACACGCAGACAGCGTTGTGAAATGTCAGCGGGTTTGGAGCCCCGATCATGTGCACTAGGTCAAAGAACGTGGCGGTATTGGGACAATCCACGCCTCGCACCAACTCAAAGCTACTTTTACCCATTCCCCAGTTACCGTCAAGGAAGTTGTTCCAGGAAGGGTTTGGATAGTATCCCCCGTACGTGGCCGCGGCTTCCTGAATGCTGAGCTCGTAGATGATTCTTTCTCCGTTGAATTTTATGTCGTATATTTGCAACCCAAAGTTTGAATCCACTCTAAAATCAAAGGACCAAGACATGTAGTTAACGTGGCGTCCACTGACAGTGTATCTCTTTCCGTCAGGCTCATACAGTTCAGGGCCTCGCATAGGCTTGAATGGTTGTGGATCTCCTCTGCGTTCATAGCTTGAAAATAGTGAACCTTTTCCCTTTGGTGCTGGTATCTTGATTTTGCGAATAGTGCCTTTGTTGTATACGTCGACTAATTCATCAACAGAATCAAACGTTTGATTGTTGTAAATGACTTTCAGGATTTTCCATTTTGTAGCGTCTACGCCTGAGTGATCAACTAACAGCTGAAGATCAAGGGGATAAGTGTATTGGCCTGTAACCTTGCGAATGAAAAAAATCCACGAGAATCGGTCTTCACCCGTAAAACCCATTGGTGAGGTGGTAACAGGTTCCAGGCACTTTTCGGCACAATCGTTGTAGGAGAAGCCATCGTAACTTTCTTCCATTAGCTTTTTGAGAGTTTGACACGCATTATTCAAGACTGCCGAATGCAGAGCAGTATGCTCTACGAAGGCGTCGAAAGGGCGAGCATTGAATGGCACAAAATTCCTCTGCTTTCCAGGAATTCTTCTGATGTCATGTTTGTTTGGATTAGAGGCGGGAGAGACAACATATTCTCTTACCACTGGTGGGTCACTAGCACCGTGAAATACAACCGCAATAGCTTTCCTTTCAGGCTTGGCACCATCTCCATCCAAGTATGCAAGGGCTTCATCTTTTGAGGGAGGCAGTAGCTGTATAAGATAGATGTAGTTGCTGTTTAGAGTAGCTTGTAAATAACTGGTGAGGTTGAGTTCTGCTTGCATCAGAAGATAATCTCTAACAGAGGCAATTTCTTCGACTGTAAGGTCGTCAAACACACCTGCGGACTTCGCTGGCTTAGTCGGATTCGACATTCCATCTGCGCATGATTGTACTGTGGCTTTTGTGTATACTCCTGAATCTGCCGATTTGGGTTTGGTCCGCTTTGTTGCTACTACTATCAAAGCAATAAGCAGTGCAACGCTAATCACGATGAAGACGATAGTAAGCACTTTCCATTTGAAGACTGGCGTGACACTCGAAGAGCTGGATTTTTGCTTGATCAGTGGATCGCTTATTTTCATGTTTGTTTTCTGCATGATTCTCTTTCTAAAAATGAAAGAAAATATGTCGTTTCAGATCATTTATCTTAGGTACATAAAATCGAAGCTCTATGTGAGATCACCTGTCCAAAACACCAAAAGTTTCCCAGTCAAAGTCTTAATATATAATTGGAGCTTCTCGTAAGCGACCGGGACAACTTTTGGGTGTGACGAGTGGTCTCATCTCGCTGAATTAGTTCGCTGTGTGTGGTACGGATAATCACAGTATAGGAAGAACTTTAAGAGACCATCTCTTAACAAGATGGAACGACATCGACGTATACTACACTGATCGAGGCGCGTAATTCAGTGTCTCGTCCAAAACTAGATACCATGTCGGGATCTCTGCTCGGGAAATTCCCCGTGTGCTTCGATTCTGATAAGTGTCCCCTTAATCCTCTCACGTTAGGTGGTCGCTCACGAGATGTTCGACTTTATTTTTTATTGCTAAGGTGCACAAAAGTACGAGCCCCTCCAAAAAGAGGAATATATTTAACAATTATTCTTTGAAATCGAGGTGAATAGTGGCAAAATATTTACCGAGCCGCGAAAGCGGCGAGGTAAATATTCCCAAAGCCACTATTCACCGAGATTGAGAAGAATAATTGTTTTAGTATATACACACGAAGTGATCTCAACAAAATCAGAAAGGAAACCATTCAAAAGTAGGATTTGATTGACAGATCAAATCACGCGTAAGTTTAAAAATAGATCTTTGCAGAATTTTCAAACATGGCAATTCACAAGCTTATCATTTCGCAAACAACAGCGTAATGGTTTAAATGGAACCGCTAAAAGTTTGAACTGTTTTCTTACCTGAGAAGAAAAGTAAAGCTTGGTGGTTTTCTGTTGACTCGCCAAGTTTATAGCCAAAAGGGTTTGTTGTGTCGTTCTTCGTATGAAGTGCTGACAAAAACGGCGGCTCGGTTGCTCGAGGTAAGACGTCGTCTTCTTGTATCATTCTTTTTCCTGTTTACTTGTTTTAAATTTGTTTGTCATGAATAAACTTCGATTTTTGAGCCAAAAGTTTCTTGTTAGAAAACGCTGAGTCCACGAAACGGCTTCTTCTACGCGAATACATGGGAGTTGTAAACAATCCATCGAGCACAAAACTCCTGCTACAGTAAATTGAAAAACGCCGTATTGAATCCTTCCAAGTCTTTTCTTGCCTTAAAAAAAGTCAGCCCTAGGATTTTGTCGACTTTTAAAAGATCGTTCTCTAAAAAAAACGGGAAAAACACCGAGCTCACACATTATCCACTCGCTAGGAGGTGAATATTGTTGAATAGTCCGAGATAGCGAACCAATCAGATTGCTTAAATCACCAAGATCACTGAGTGTGTATATACTAAATGTATATATTTCCCTCTTATATTGTGCTACTCCCTTAACCTCATGGGTACAATATACAAACTGATCATGAGTTCTAGCTAGTTCTATGCCAAAGCCGAGAGAAAGAGAATCAAAGAAAGCCTATCTATCCTATCGTTGTTTAGAAAATGATCAAATGGTTATCAAGTCTGGTTTTCCCACAGTAAATTGTAGGAGATGACAGAAATTCAGATTGTTTATCCATGTACAATATCTTTGCTCTGTTTATTGCACTTTATTAAATAACAGTTATTTAGGTACATATTTATAGAAAAACAACAAAACAAATAAGCAAACAAAACAAGCCAAAAACGGGGAAAGAAAGAAGATAAAAAAAAGAATGATACAAAGCAGGACTTAAACCCGGAACCTTCGGCTATACGCGACTTTACTTTACCACTACACCACGAATACTGATTATGTCGCCACGGCGAAAACTCTTTAACTTAATGCGTTATCCATAAAACTTCCGCCAGCAAATTCGTTCAGTATGATCGAGCCGCATTCACCGAAGTATTGACAGTAAAAAAACAATGTCAACGCAGTTTCATGACAACGAATGAATAAAATAACATGTGCTTTACAAACCCGATACACCTCGTCAGCGAAGTAGGAGGCAAAACATATGTTTTCTTATCTCGATTTCTGCTGTTATTTTGAAGCTAATGGTCAAAATCACATCCATTTTCGGCCCATACAGGTTCTTAAGAATAACATGGCATGACATTTTCTTACTTTCAGATCACTTTCCAGCAAGCTGGAATTTGTATATCCCCCGTGATCTTTCGGAGTCAGAAGAGTAATTGCTCATTTTCTCGTCAAGTTTAACGCCTGGACCAGTCAAAGGCTCTTGAAATCCAATCCCCAAGTTAACCATCGTAATCATTTGAAAGACTCCCACGTGTCTTAAATTTGGTAAGACCTCTAACCGTGCTGTAGAAAATTTGCCACAAAGAAAACTCTGAGTCTGAGCAGCGAACGCCGAACCATGCACGCTCTCAGCGAACAATTTGATCCCACGGAACTTCGGAGAGCGCGTGCTTCTTCGGAAGCGATAGATCTTCGCACTCTCGAGTTCGGACCCGATTAATTACGAAGTCCGTCCACTACGAGTGAGCGAGTGACTCATTTGCATATCTCTGTCCCTGCAATAACTCGTAATACGCTCGCGCGTACCCACGAGTTAAAAAGGGGAGAAAAGCCTTCTTTACTTTTTCTCTACACCAACTCCCAACCTCGCCCCCCCCCCCCCCCACCCTCGTTCGCCAAATCTCCTCTCACCTAAGTCTGATACTTTTGTAAGAACGTTCCTTAAAACAAAAATACGGCAAAATACAAGTATAGCCGTGTAGTGTTCCTTACGTGCCCCGAAGGCCAAACATTTTTATGTTAATGAGCTTGCTAAACAAGTTTGGACTGATTGGCTTTTTGTGCACCGTTCGCTGGCGCTCCCCGATAGCTTGCTGATCTTTAACCAGAGGTCTCTGTAGAAATATTTCTCTACTATGGACAGTTCGTTTGGTCCCAGAATGCCAAAAATCATATATTCCCTACCTCTATAATACGGACACCTCTGTAAAGCGGACACTTGGTTCTGTCCCTTTGGTGTCCGTATTAAAGAGGTTTGACTATACATCAATCAGTCAATAAACCTTAAGCTGTTAAACTGGGGAGCGGTCTCGAAAAATAATCAAAATTCAAACAGGGGAAAAAGCCACCAAACTGGATGAAACATAACCACTTAAGACAAAACGAGTCAATATTTATTTGAAGTCTTATTTGTCTCCTCAGGGCCTGAACGATCACGGAATTTTTGGGGTATGCGAACAAAAGTTCTCAACGATTTTTCCCAGACATCCATTCGATTCGTCATTTAAGTAAGCCGACAAATGTCAAATTACCCTTTTAATTACACTACGAACAAGAGTACTAAACATTACTAATTTCTATCGAATATTGGCTCTTGTTTTCCTGTAATGAAAAATCACGTATTGAAACGTTGGGTGTACTTATCATAAACTACGTGCAAGATTCTTCAGCAACCTGAGCTTAAATCAGCATTGGGGGTACTACTGATCTGCTGCAAGCGGCTAGTATTCCATGGTCGCTTGGCCGTAAGCACAATGGCGACATTTCGTGAGGTCCTTTCAGTGCCGTTAGAGATTAGCATGCAAATTGAGTTTATCTTAGTATTTGTTATTAAGATAGTTAGACTGTAAAGTTATTCAAATGTAGTAAATGTTTGTAAACCTACCCGGAAGAAGTTAGGAGTACTGTGGGCAACGGTTTGGATTTCACAAAGACGCCTGAATTTTCAGCTCGTTGATAACCATTGGTCTAACAAGAGCTGGAAGTTGCTATAGGTGAGGCGTCTTAAACAAACACTTGATAATACTTGACCTGAAAGTCACGTAACTGTCAGAATCCAGCCACTTTTATCAATACAATTGAATATCATGATAGATCCTTTTGTTTTGATATGCTTTATTATACAATGCTTTGACGTTGATGGTCATATTTGTAATTTGTAACGCGCTTCATGATCGATCAAGCGATCGCACCCCTGCCAAACTTTTCGAACCTGTTTTATCCACGAGGCGTAAAAGAAAAATCTATTGTTTAGGAACGAGAAATTAATTTAAAAAATTAACTTTACAACAGTGCCTCTTATTCAATCCCTCATTTACACCGGCAAACGTTTTCCTCGACAACTCAAGTAGTTTAACAAGACTGGGTGAAAAAAACGTTTTATTGGTGAAAACTTTGGCAAAGAGGTTGAACTGAATCAATGTATTTGGAAGACGGAAAGACTTCATCGTCCAAATAAAGAGTATAGTATAAATAACTTTACCGTAAATCACGGGATATGTTGCGGAATAACGATTTTAAAAAAGTCTTTATTCATCGACAGGTTCCTTTAACAAGCAAAAATTTTAAGAAAAGCTTGCGTTTCTTTTAGCGATTTTTCTCAGTTGCGTTTGTGTTAATTCATAATTTCAACGCTTCTTGTGTTGTTGGATCACTTTTGGTCTCAGACTTCTTACTTTTAACCGGCACATACCTGGGGAAACCTCAAACAGGAATGAGGCGAAGAGAAGGTGCAAATCGTCAAAAAGGTCGGAAGCTTTTAAATTACAGATCAGAGGTGGTGTGAAAAATAGGCCTATTTTTCCTTTGAACAGAAAACATGTGTCAACGTAGTTTTTCACTTATTGACTTCCTTGGTTAAACTGCACTTCTTTATCAAAATTTACTTGAAGAAACATTTTTTAGGCGCCAAGCTCAAGGACGACAGCCCTCATAGTGCGTCCGGTCTCCTCTACAATACATACAAGTATTCAGAATGTACTTAAGAAAAGTGGAATGATCAATTAACGCTTTTTTCAAGAGAATAAAGTTGAGCGAGTTACTTTGTTTTCTCATGTTTTGGCAAAGTTCGTCACTGTTCCGTCAGCAGTGATTCGTAATAGCAAGAGGAAAGGAATCCCTGAGTTAAGAATTTCCTTTGGCTCATATGCATCATCGCCGTGTTCTCTTCAGGGTCGTCCACCAAATGTTCTCCCGAATTTTGCAAGATTGTGATGCGGATACAAAAAGCCCCCTCCGGAAAAAAAAATTAGAAAAAGATAACTGAAACGATGCAAAATGCACAAAAAATGTTACTGAACAAGACACTTGCAAATTCAGAACTGAAAAACAAAAGACGTTAACTCAAGATTACTAAGGAATATAGCGGCCGTTAAAATCGAGTTTGTTTTCTTTGGGTACACACTGGGGACCATCTGCGGTACCATAACGCTCCACCTTTTGACCACCTTGTGTGGTAGGCGTGATCAGCACGGCATTAGTGGATCCAATGGAAGGATCTTCATCAAAGTAATTGAAAGGTCTAATGAAGAAGTTAACCGAGTTAGCAGCTGTCGCCGTGTTAGGAAGATCTTCTGAATGTGGCACATGCATCATACCCACGGTTACCCAGGCAACTAGATCCTCATTCAAGATGGAATCGTTATCCAGAAGGTACTGACGGAAATCCACCTGTGGGGATTGAAAAAATATATATATATATTATATAAACCAAACTTTCCATTGAGCAAGAGATTAACAAAATGTTTTCGGAAGAATAAATGATGATGGCGAGAATCAAATCACGTTAAAGGTTATAAGAAATAATAAACCCATCACAACGTAACGTCACGGCGCGTAAGACTTTTAGTCTATTTCTAGATAACTTGCTGTGTTCTCTAACACCCGCGGTTCACATCATCTTCATTCTGAGAGCCCCGTACAAACGGACGCAGCATTGCTGGCCAACAAAACCCAGCATCAGGCTAGATGTTACATGTTGCGTCCATTCGCACTTCTGTTGTATGTTGTTGCCTGTTGTTGGGAGTTGTTACATCCGTTTGCACACCACTGCAACACGAAAGCAACAACACGCAACATTGTTGGCGCAACAATGTTGGGAGTTGGTGCTTTCGTTTGCACGAAGCGTAAGAAAAAGTTTACAGCTAAGTTATGTTCTTTTACTGTGTGACCCAGGCGTCGTCTGAGACTACTGAACATACACCCTCAAGGATGATAAGCTACTGCCTTACTCACTCTTCCAATTCCCTTCACTGACCTGTGGATCTGCAGGGGCGTTCTGGTTGTAGATGGAGCTGCTCTGCGTCTCATTTTCTTTATATTTAGTGACAGCCATTTGGTAAAGAGACCAACTCATCATGGGTACCATCATCCAGTCTTCAGGATACAATTGTTTCAGTATTCCTCCCAGTTGTATGCGATACCCCTTCTTCACGCCCACCCTGTTCTTCTCCGCATCATTAAAGAAATTCAGATATTTTGGAGTATCAAAGTTAAACTTATAAGCGGCGTCTAACTCTGTGTTTTTGACCCTGCGCTTTAGGACCTTTTGGACACGGCGTTTGTTAGGAAACCACCGCTCTGTGATGTTTTCTATTCCGATCTCAACTGTCTCATAAGAGTTCTTTCTTCCACCGACGTCTAAGTCAACCTTGTAGTTGATCAGGTGATCGTGTGTGCCACTAAAGAAATGTTCATAAAGCTTATACCCGTATGGCTCAGCGTTAGAGTCATAGAATGAACCGAAGATATAACCAGATGCTGAAACCTTGGCTTCTATGACACCGTTTTGGTAAAAAATGAAATCGAATACGTAATCGTAGTTGTACACAGTGGATATTGAGCGTAAAACGAGCACTTGATCAGCCATTCCACCATAGAAGCGGTATCCTCCCATAAAATTGTTATCATAATGTCGTCGCAGGGGCATTCCAGTGTTCAACTCAAACACGCAGACAGCGTTATGAAATGTCAGCGGAATATCTGCACCGCTCATGTGCACTAGGTCAAAGAAAGTGGCAGAATCTGGGCAATCCACGCCTCGCACCAACTCAAAGCTGCTCATCCCCATTCTCCAGCTGCCATCGAGGAAATTGTTCCAAGAAGGGTTTGGATAGTAACCTGCATAAGTGGCTGCAGCTTCCTGAAGGCTTATTTCATAGATGATTCTTTCTCCGTTGAATTTTATGTCGTATATTTGCATGCCACTGTTAGAGTCCATTCTGAAATCAAAGGACCAAGACATGTAGTTAACGTGGCGTCCGTTGACAGTGTACCGTTTTCCGTCAGGCTCATACAATTCAGGGCCTCGCATAGGCTTGACTGGTTGTGGGTCTCCTCTGCGTTCATAGCTTGAAAATAGTGGGCCTTTTCCGACAGGTGAAGGTATCTTGATTTTGCGTATAGTGCCTTTCTTGTATTCGTCGACTAACTCATCAACAGAATCAAAAGTTTGGTTGTTGTAAATAACTTGCAGGATTTTCCATTTTTTTACATCTGCACCTGAGTGATCAATTAATAAATGCAGATCAAGGGTATGACTGTATTCGCCTGTAAGCTGACGGATGAAAAAAATCCAGGTGTATCGGTCATCGCCCGTAAAACCCATTGGTGCGGTGTAAATGGTCGAAAGGCACTTTTCGGTACAATCAGTGAAGGAGTAGCCATCATAACTTTCTTGCATTAGTGTTTTTAGAGTTTTAGACGCATTGTTCACAACCGCCTGGTACAAGGCAGTAAGCTCTAGATAGCCATCAAACGGACGAGCATTAAAGGGCACGGAATCTCTCTGTCTTCCAGGAATAATTCTGATGTCGTGTTTGTTTGGATTAGAGGCGGGAGAGACGACATATTCTCTTACCACTGGTGGGTCAGTAGCACCGTGAAATACGACCGCAATAGCTTTCCTTTCAGGCTTGGCACCATCTCCATCAAGGTATGCAAGAGCCTCATCTTTTGAGGGAGGCAGCAACTGTATAAGATAGATGTAATTGCTATCTATAGAAGCTTGATCATATCTGGTGAGGTTTAGTTCAGCTTGCATCAAAAGATAATCTCTAACGGAGGTAATTTCTTCGACTGTAAGGTCATCAAACACACCGGCGGACTTAGGTGGCTCAGAAGGCTTTGACATTCCATCTGCGCATGAAGGTACAGAGGAATTCCTTCTGTAATCTGGACTTTTGTTTTGCTTTGGTCCTGCTTTAGCTTTGGTCTGCCTTGTAGCTACTACTATCAAAGCAATAAGCAGCACAACGCTAATCACGACAAAGACTATAGTCAATACTTTCCATTTCAAGACCGGTGCCACACTTGAACGACTTGATTTTTTCTTGAGCATAGGATCGCTTTTATCCATGTCCAACTCCATTATAATCCTCTTTCTAAAAGTAAAAAAAAAAACAGAATAAAACTACAGTTAAAAAGGCATGCCATTAGGTCTAAGCAAGCGCCAATGGCAGACCACCTCCCTCCCCTCCCTATTGATCCATGTCCATTGTATAATCCTCTTCCTAATGGTGTAAGAAAGCAAAGTGAAAGGGAGACTACATAAAACGGCAAGTTAGAGTTCAGGCAATCACACTGCAGATCATCTCCAACCCCTCCCCCCCAAAAAGGAATATTTTCCAAAAAATTCATCCTCCTGTTAATTATGCCTCTGTGGACCCAAAAAGAACCCTAGCATTCCAATCAGGTTTTTCTAAACTGAAGGGGAGAAAGTGTGAAGAAAGAGAGAGAACGCAGAGAAAGTCTCCTTTTCCCATTTGACTTCTTCCCCCTTTTTCTTTTCCTGAATCTCTTTTTCCTTACCTTTAAAGGCAGTCTGATATAGTAAGAACCTCCCCCAATACTAAATAGCATGTATGGAACTTACTGTTAATTGTGGCAAGCGTGGCTTACGCGTTGGAAATTGAGAATTCACGTCCGATTTCTCTTCTCCCTTTCCAAAGCCACAGCCAATTGCAGAGTTTGAAAATCACAGCTATTCCATCGAGTAAAGTAAGTGCGAAACCTTTGATATGGAAGTGACTATTCTATCATAAAAGTGGAATCAAGTGGAACTTATTTTCACACGAAAGGTTTTGCAGTTGGCCTCATTTATGTAATTGGGGGCTTTCTGGAACAGGACGTAACTATCATGCAAAGACTTGTCTTTACCGATCGCAAAATGTTCAGTTGAGTGTCACGCAAAATAAAACAAAAATTAATAAATAAACCATAAGCTGTTACATGCTGTTAACCCGGAATTTGCAACATGCGGACATCAAAAGTCTTAAAGATCTTTCGAAGACATCCATTCACATCGCTCCTTATTATGTCGATTTGCCCTTCAGTCCGGTTAAATTCAAGTATTGCAAAGAATCTCAATTCTGACACGTCAGAACCCTTTATATATTAGATGAAAATATAGGGTGAAGATAGAAATTTTATGTTGCGAGTGGTTGTAATTTTCACCGCAAACAATCCAACTCTCTCACACCTCTCAGTATCGCGGGTCCAACATACTGAGTAAGCTTTATTTGCATGACTACCGTAAATGAAATTACAGTATTGCAAACTTAAGATAATACGGGATAATAATAATATGTCGCAGGTGCTAGCTGCAGCTGGTACACATCGATAGCTTCCATTGCCGTTGTTCATGTTGGTTTACTGAGTACGTGGTACGAATATCGGCGAAATTTCGTGAAGATCGAATCCTTGTGGAGAGGTATCCAAGTGTAAAGGTCTTTAAAGCAAATTATGGACTGTAAAGGTGTTCAAATGTCGTAAATGATTGTTCACCTACCTGGAAGGAGTTAAGTAGTACCGTACGCAAAAGTCTGGAATTGTTTTCACTAAAACGTCTTGAATTTACCGGCCTCGTAAACGCGGAGCAATGGGTTAAACAAGAGCTGGAAACTGAAGGTGCTATAGCAATACTAGGGATAAACACCTGACTTCAGTCACGTAACTGTTGGTACTCAGCCGCCCGGCCGCTTTGTATCAGTTTTGATTGTTTTCGTATGCTTTGTTCTGCAAAGACGACGTTGACGTTGATAAGTGACAGGACCGGATATTCTTATCTTTGTAATTGATTTATATTGCACCGAGGATCAATCGAGCGAATAAGAACAAGTGAGTCTATCTTTTTGTCGAGGGTCGAGGGTTCAATGTCGAGGGCGAGGGTACCATGTCGAGGGTCGAGGTTAAGATTTTTTTTTTCCAAATTTTTTTTTTTTTTGGAAAAGGTAATAATCGATGCAATAATCAATGTCATTAAAACAAATAAGAAGAATTTAAAAAAACAAATGGCGCGTGAACATCTTCTAGTTGTTGGGCGGGGGTGGAATAGAGAAAAGCTCCGGGACATCCATAAAGAAAATGTGATGTTGTTGTTGTTGTTGTTGAATTAAAATAGTAGGTGGACATTAAAAGTAAAGAACCTTCTCCCTTCCTGTGAAGGTAGACAGGTTGTGCCTAAAAAATGTCTTAGAGCTTAGGCAGGGGCACCGAACGACTGTTTTCTGTAAAATCAGATATCTGTTCGGAGAGGAAAAAAATTGCCTACAATTTTCTGTTACTTGAGGAAGGCTAAAAATTTCTAGATGGCCGTTCCATTCATGTACAGTTTTCGTAGCTTATCTAATTAATTCCCTACGATTTTCTAAAGTTTAGTTTTTCACATTTCAGTCCCCAACTTATCCTATTTTTCGTAGAAAAAGGAAATCTAAAATTTTCGGATTAGAAAATGCGATGGAGAAAGGAATCAGAAAAATTCTCACTTTCGTAAAACCTAAAATTGCATCTAAAATTTTCGGGAAAATAATACTGAGGCCCTAAGTGATTTCGAAAAGATTCAAGTTGCCCTAGGACGACCGAACAGATACAACTTTTATAGCGCCGCTTAGAATGCATTTCTAGAGATTTGAAAGTACTCTGGATAAGCGAAAAAGTGTTTTCAATGCATTTAGGAGGTAACCGTGGTTGGGTGCCCCTGCTTCGCGGCTTATATAGTCACGTCTGCCTCTTCTCTGCCTTGCTTGGCTGTTCAGTGGGGTAGTTTGCAATTGTATATGGATATTTCACCGATTCTTGTTTTTTAAGCTATCCCACTGCATGCGACCGAATTGTCGTGCTTTCAATGAAGTAGAAACTCGCCATGAAATTTTAAAATACAAGTCATCTATAATCACCGACACCGGAAATCGTGACCTAGGTACGTAGGTGCGTAGCTAGAGTGATAATTTAGATGGTTGATGCTATCGCCCGAGTCGCGCCGCAATAATAAACTCCTTTGATTACCAACGTTATGTTCTGCAGCTTAAAAAGTGTATCACAGCAAGAAATTTGAAACACCCTGAAACACAAAAGGAACGCAAAACCAACACTTATCGGCGCAGTTGATGGCAGCACTGGGACAATAGGAAGTCATTTGGCGAAACTAATTTTGTACACATGTTTATCCCTAGTGTGCATTTCAAACAGAAATCAGAGGTGTCTGCCCAAAAACTTTCTTCACAACGGCTTCAGCGATTATTTCCTATTTTGCACGAAAAGGGGAGCTTTTATTAATGAACAGCGATCAGATCGAAGCAGACCGATTATGTGAACTTTCAAAAAAAGAAAAAAAGAGTGTACTACGAGGAGCCGCAAGAGGTGATATTTTTGCACGGCATCTGGCGGCACATCAAAGAATTTGGAATTGAAGGGCAAATTCCTAGAATATCTTCGCCAGTTAAGCTAGAGAAAAGGTGTTAAAAAACCTCAGGATCCTTAACAACACGTCAATCAAAATATCACTTGGACCTTTTCGCTAATGAGGAGCTATATCACGCGGCTAAGCTTGAATTAGACATACATTGAAATAGGAACTCGTGTCAATAAAGTATCTTAAGTGAGTGGGAATCGCTCCTAGTTAAAAAACTGGTTCACAGGGATATGCATCTCTTCTAGTTAAGAGAAGGGAATCAGAACTGCTTTTCATGCAGGAACAGGTTTTGTTCGGGCTAACTACAAAACTTCAGCTTATTTCACTCCTTGACATTGTCAAAGCGCATTTTGTAAAGATAACTTTTTCCGCTTTATCAGCTTTTTTTATATTCTATTCCATTAATGTTTAACCTCCCTCAAAAGCCAAATAATATAAATGCTGTTGTTAAAAAAAGCGCTTTACCTGTTTTCGTGAATTCGCTACCCAAAGATCACCATGCTCAAAGGACAGGGCAAAATTTCCAGGAGAGAGGCATTAATTTTTTTTCCCACGAGGTTACAAAGAGAAAATGCAATGATTATTATTAATGTAACCATCAGGTATACTCTACCCACGAGGTTACAAAGAGAAAATTCAATGATTATTATTAACGTAACCTTCAGGTATGTTCTACCCACGAGGTTACAGAGAGCAAATGCAGTGATTATTATTAAATGTAACCGTCAGGTATATTCTACCCACGAGGTTACAAAGGGAAAATGCAATGATTATTATTAACGTAACCTTCAGGTATATATGTTCTACCCACGAGGTTACAGAGAGCAAATGCAGTGATTATTATTAATGTAACCGTCAGGTATTTTTTATTCTACCCACGAGGTTACAAAGAGAAAATGCAATGATTATTATTAACGTAACCTTCAGGTATGTTCTACCCACGAGGTTACAGAGAGCAAATGCAGTGATTATTATTAAATGTAACCGTCAGGTATATTCTACCCACGAGGTTACGGAGAGCAAATGCAGTGATATTATTAATGTAACCATCAGGTATGTTCTACCCACGAGGTTACAGAGAAAGTGCAATGATTATTATTAACGTAACCTTCAGGTATGTTCTACCCACGAGGTTACAGAGAGCAAAAGCAGTGATTATTATTTTAAATGTAACCATCAGGTATGTTCTACCCACGAGGTTACAAAGAGAAAATGCAATGATTATTATTAACGTAACCTTCAGGTATGTTCTACCCACGAGGTTACAGAGAGCAAATGCAGTGATTATTATTAATGTAACCATCCGGTATGTTCTACCCACGAGGTTACAGAGAGCATGCAAATGCAGTAACAATTATTAGATTTTAGTGCAACTATCAGGTTGAGTTTCTCCATTAAAAGAGTTTTTTGCTTGGGTTAAACAAGTTTGGCTTTCATGAGTTTCAAGGTGCAAGAAATTATCAGTATAATTATAGCACACAAACATTGTCATCTAATTCTTCGTGCGTAGCCGGAATAACCCAAGAAATGAAGCATATATAACGAAAAATCGTCCTCAGATGATCTCCATATTAAGTAAACGTTGCGAAAGAAATTATTGTTTGTATCCGTCCTATCCATCGTAAAAGCGAGGGGTCATCGCATGACATCCGGTATATTAAACAGAGGTAATACTCACGGGTTTCACGAGTTGTATGCACTATTTTTCGCCGAGAAACAAATTTAAACTTCAATTCTTACCTTACAGTAGTCCGTTCTTTTACCTTGCATTCGACAACAAATCCGTTAAAGGCGAACAAAGCGATTCCGGCACTCTTCTGTATGATGAGTAGCAAGCCGCAGGAACTGAAGCCGCTTGACTGAAGTAAAATCCACCGATATGCGCGGCGTTCTCACTACAAATATAAACAAACGTCGCGGAGAAAAAACGACGAGGAGGAAAAAATGCCAGATCTTCGCCTCGGCAATGTATTCCAGCTACCATGCCGGCGTATCTCCAGAAGGAGGACTCGACGTGGGACAAACCCTGTGATCTTTTTTTAGAAGCCCTTTGCGCGCAAACTAATTTATTCTGGCGCGAAATGAAGAATATGTATACTGAAATCTAATCCACGACAACAGGGGGGACTTCGAATTAAACGAGTTCGAAATAGCGAGGTTCACCTCACCGAAAGTCGCTACCAGGCATTATTCTATTTTAAACCCCTGCGTTAGTGGGTGGCGGTTTCCATGCGAGTTCGCGCATTTTGATAGCTCTGCAAAAAGATAGACTCCAACGATTGCATTGTTCGTTTGTGACACATTTTATGACACATTTTACAACGCAGTAAGAGTTTTTTCCTTCCATTCTTGTTGGTTGGACCAGAAATTCATAATTCAACGCCCTCATTCTTGTTTTACGACATTTTAAATTTTGTTTACAACATTTTTTTTTTAAATCAGTGTTTTCAACTAACGTGTTCTGTTCGTGGTATGGGTTTCCGGGGTGTTATAAATGTAATTCTTCGAAAACAAATTGGGATGTCCCGGAGCTTTTCTCTATTCCACCCCCTAGAAGATGTTCGCGCGCCATTTGTTTTTTAAATTCTTCTTATTTGTTTTAATGACATGGATTGCATCGATTATTACCTTTTCCAAAAAAAAAAAAAATCTTACCCTCGACCCTCGACATGGTACCCTCGGCCTCGACATGGAACCCTCCACCCTCGACCCTCGACAAAAAGATAGACTCGAACTCAAGTGTAACACGTCCATACCCCCAGGGGTACTCCTGGGAATTCTTGGTTGGGGTGTGCCACCCAGTTCTATAAATAAATGTCATTTTCCACACCCGTTATCAGACCTGGCCTCTAAAATCCATACTCATTTTCAGACCTGACCTCTAAGAAATTATGTCATCATTACTTAGATTAGAACAGCAACAAAAAAAGACTTCTAAAAAATGCATTCCAATTTCGCATATTTCTCTTTCTTTCTTACTCATTTGGAACGGAAACGATTAATACGTTCATACACTACCGTGGCTCCCTCGAAAACCATACCAGATTTCAGACCAAAATGGGGCAAAAACCAAACCCTTTGGGGCCACACATACCTATATGGCTTGTATACATTCTAGAGATGTAAAGGGAAAATGCATCAAAAAGAAATGATGTATTAAAAATAATGATAACGGTGGTCGCATCTTCCGAATTTGGTCCACGCCGGTCGGTTATGGTTAATTTTTGTCGGGGCGAAATATTTTGAATTAATAATAATTAACATTAAATATTTCGAGCTCTTCACGTTTGACTTCTCAGACTGCTCTTCAATTAAAAACAAAACATGACAAAACAAAACCGTTTCAAAAGTAGGTTGCTTTGATCAGTCCGGGTGAACGTGGGCCTGAATAGGACTGTTGTTGTTGACAGTGACTGACGTTTCGACAACCTGTGCGGTAGTCATCTTTAGAGTCAAAGTGAGTTGTATCCCGTCAGTTGATGGTATTATACACTCTGGCTATTGATCTGATTGGTCAATTACGTCGCGATGTTATTGGTCGTCTGTCAGTTAAGCCGTGATGTTATTGGCTATGAAGACTCGTAATCAGTAATTGGTGCGTTTTAAACAGTCGTCTACTGTTAGTCAAATTGTCAGTTCTCCAGTCGTTTTCTCGTAGTTAGTTTTGCTTGATCTCGTCAATAAGTCGTTTGTATGGTGCTACTGTTGGCTACGATTCAGTGGTGTTTGTTCTAAGTTAGTAAACCAGCTTTCTAAAGTAAGTCGTTGATAGTAGTCTGTAGAATACGCTATACATGTCGCAGAGTCCCAGTCAATTTGATGTTTCGTCTGTAAATGGTGTTTAGCAATGTGATTGTTAACGTCACCATTCCTCGTCGCTCGTTTGTGTTCGGTCAGTCGAGTACTAAGGTTTCTGCCGGTTTCACCAATGTAAGAAGCCTGGCAGTCGCAGCATTTGATCTTGTATACTGCTCCCTGTCTGTCCTCGGGTTTGTCTTTTTCCTTTACATTAGTAAGCAGTCGTCGTAAAGTGGTTATCGGTTTGTGTGCAACACGTATATTGTAAGGTTGTAATGTACGTGCGATAGTTTCAGAGGTGCCTGTGACGTACGGTATAGTCACTTTCGTAACAGGGCCAGAGTTGACGTTGGTCTGAGCGTTGGAATCAGTGTTACTGTTAGTGTTACGTCTAACAAAGTCCGTGTTGTAATTGTTCTTACTAAAACGTTGTCAATTTAAAATTATAGATAAATGACAAATGTAATTGTAGATAAATGATAAATGTAATTTTACAGGACAAAATCAATTCTTTTACTACTAACAACAATAGTTTTAAATTTCGAGTACACTCATTTCAAACCTGATTTTTCATCGGCATCCAGTACTTCACCATTGCTCTTAGATTTTTATCACGTGACCTATCATGTAACCAAAGCCTGAGAAGACCCAGCGTTCATCTTGTTCTATCGTAGGTAACTTATCAAAAGATATTCAGTAATCACAGTTGTAGACATAATTGCTAGCACATTTGACTAAGTCCTAAAACCCGCTTGAAAAGGAAGACTTGGTTCGTGTAAATAGGGTTTTCCTTGAAACGACAATTGTTGGTCACGTTTATTACTGCGGAAATAATCTGCCCAAACAAAAGGGTTCACCAGGGTTATTCCGGCTGTGTATTAAAATGCAAAAGAGGATATAACTTATATCGTTTCGCTTCTCATTTAGAACAAGAAACCGTCGAGTCGCTACTAACCTCCCTCGTGCAAAGCATGTTGGGCATCACCATGACAAAATCGAAGACTGGCGAAACTTGAAATAATTTCAGCAATTTGCGAGACTAAGTGAAAGGTCTCTGTAACCAACCATAGTGGCAAGAAAATGACGCCGGGCTCATTTAAAGAACTTGGTTTTAAAAGAAACATCTCCACGCTGATCTCGTGATCTAACACTAAACGCACTACAGTTGTTTGAAGTAATAAAAACAAGGCGCACTGTCACTTAATATCACAGTAATTTTCAAGGAGTTACAATAACTCCTCTAGTGGGGCGAATGTAACTCCTTACCGTGGAGTTTCTTTAAAGGAGTTTAAAGAATTATTTTTCAGGAGTAAAAGTGACCACAGATATTGAGGAGTTAAAATAACCCCCAAAAAGGAGTTATCCTGTACGTAAAAGTTTTACTCCTTTTTCAGAGTTAAAGTAACTCCAAAAAGAGTAAAAACAACCCATGTAAGGAGTAAAAATAACCCCATTTCGAAGTTACTTAACTCCAGACTGGGAGAAAAAAGAACTCTTTTTCAGGAGTAAAAATGATCCCAAATTCGGAGTTAAATTAGGAGTTAAAGTAACCCGCAAAACGTTGTTATCCTGTACCTAAAATTTTTACTCCATTTTTGGAGTTATAATAACTCCCTAAAAATTACGGTGCTGGTTTATCCATAGTAGGTGCCATTATAATCAAGTTTGTTTTCCTTGGGTACACATTGCGGACCATCTGGAGTACCATAACGCTCCACCTTTTGACCACCTTGCATTGTAGGTGTGATCAGCAAGGCATTAGTGGATCCAATAGAAGGATCTTCATCAAAGTAATTGAAAGGTCTGATAAAGAAGTTGACCGAGTTGGCAGCTGTCGCCGTGTTAGGAAGATCTTCTGAATGTGGCACATGAATCGCGCCGACGGTCACCCAGGCAACTAGATCCTCGTTTAAGATGGAGTCGTTATCCAGAAGATACTGACGGAAGTCTAACTGCGGGGATTGAAAAACAAATACACATTAATTAGGGAGCGGTCATTAACTATTGGGGGGGAGGGCTGGTAAATTTTGGGGGAGGGCTGTGTTTTTTTGGGCGCCCATTTGGGGTGGGCCATAATTTTATGGGCCCACGTTTTATAGGGGAGGGTTACAATTTCTGGGCGCCTTTTATTAAAACTTTGGGCGATGTGCACAAATGGGTTTTGTGCTATTGACTTTAGCATGGCAAGAGAATCTTCATAGAATCGTATACTCAAAGCTTAATTGCACAGTGAAAAAGCTCACACCCAGAACAATTTTATAAACATCACTTGATTTATTGTTATTTTAAAAAATCAACAAATTCTGGTATGCTATAAAACTCAATCAGTCTTAAACAGTAACGGTATCAAACATATTGCCAATGTCCAGTGAAGATGTATAAACGACTACTCAATGGGCTCATAGTAAGGAGTGCATTCCATTGTGTTCCAGTAGGGGCCAATGTCTTCTGCACTGCTGCTGTCGTATGCTTCCACTGCAGTAAAGACACTTCCCGAATCCTCCTCCTGACATTGTTCAGTTACATCACTATCATCGGCCCCGTCATCGCTATTTCTTTCACTGTCTTTGCTGTCATTGATGCTACTTAGGTTGTCTTGGTCGCTACTTTCATCGCCGTCACTTGCATTAGAGCTACTCTCACTTTCAGAAAACCCTAACATTGTTCTAAGCTCTGATTTCGCGCTGTCATTCAAAAGTTCGCACTGATCAAACATCAAAGCTACCGCCCATTTCTGCTCTCTTTTTCCAAGTTCTTTTACGATGTCTCCGCACAAATCCTCCTTCTCACAAATCTTACCCTCCGACCAATCAGGCGCAATCTTCTTGAGGACCTCAGTCGTCCTGGCCACATGCCTCGCCTTTTTCCGCTTCACACTCTTTTGGATATTTTGTTTCCTTTTTCTTGATTTTCTTTTCATTGCAGAAAAGGGGTGCTTAAATGCTGCTTTGCAGGTTTCTTGGAGCTGACTTAGACTAGTTATTAAAGTGTGTAATTCATTTCTAAAACCCTGCAATTCGGTTAGCTTTTGCTCATCAAAGTCATGTGCAGTTTTATGTCCTGTTAAAACTCTACCTGATGAATGGATTGTTCTTTCTAAGTGTTCCTTTAGGTTTTTTTGTAAAGTTTCGATTGAAGTTTCGACCCTCTTTATGTGTAACATGTTCTGCGTTATGGTCGTTGAATCATGCGGCTTGAGAATGTGGTTTTCTCTTAGAAGAAATCCAGCCTTAGAAGGATCCTTTACAGATTTCAGTTGCGCTAATTGCTCTCTAATTTTTTTTACCGCCTTCTCATTGTCGTATTCCCTTCTCGCTTCTTCATGGAATGCTTTCTTAAAGGCCTTCTTGTTTCCACCAAAATAGCCAACCCGTTCCAAATAAAATGATTCGTACACTTCGTTATAAAATCTGCTCATGTCATTCCGGGGATTTGGGATCCAGCCAAGGTCGAGGGGTCGAGCAAGAGCTGCGGACTTCTCTTGAATAGAGACAGCTCTCGCTGATCCGTTATTAAATACGCACAATTTGTTCACTCTTGAAATTGACTACAAAACAGGAATTCAATGAGTAACAACGGGGCTGTTTAATGTACGGGTTCCCTTTACTTGGTGAACCATTGGGTTTTGTAAATAGTGTATTAAAATAGTAACACTTTTTTCTTATTCCAGTGAAATAATTGTCTCAAAATAACGTTCGTAAAAAAATCAAAAGTTTTTCACAGGGGAGGGTTACAATTTTTTGGGCTCACATTTTAAAGGGGGCCAAGATTTTTGGGCTGTTAACCTGAGAGGGGCTAACATTTTTGGGCTCTAACCTTTGAAATAATACCGACCCTCCCCCCCCAATAGTTAATGACCGCTCCCTTATATATATCAAACCTTGCAATTTTATAAGACTTTTGTAATGTAATGTAAGAAGTATAAACAATGATGGCGAGGATTGAATCACACTGAAGATCGATCTTTATCCTATAGACCGTGGGTGGGGGAGGGGGAAAAGGGCCATGAATAATGATAATAAATTTTTTATTTATACTGCGAAAAATTGATCAGTTGAGTATAAAAACAGCGGGTATAAAATAAAATATTTCAAGATTTAAAAAAAAACAATAGTACATAGTAAAAAAAGGGGAAAGACTAATATTTACAATTAAAAAAGGTGTTCAAAATGAAATAAAATTAATTAATTAATCTACAGTCTACATTTATGCTGTGTTTTGTCTTGTTCTTGTAAATACTCAAATCTCTTTCCTTTAAAAGATCCTAAAGTTAGGCCATCAGCCCGTAAGTCATTGGGTAACTCGTTCCAATCTCTGACTCGCGCTTCCCCTCACTAACCTGTGGATCTGCAGGGGCGTTCATGTTGTAGGTGGAGCTGCTGTGCGTGTCATTTTCTTTATATTTAGTGACAGCCATTTGGTAAAGAGACCGTACGTGGCCGCGGCTTCTTGGAGGCTGAGTTCGTAGATGATTCTTTCTCCGTTGAATTTTATGTTGTATATTTGCATGCCACTGTTAGAGTCCATCCTGAAATCAAAGGACCAAGACATGTAGTTAACGTGGCGTCCGTTGACAGTGTACCGCTTTCCGTCAGGCTCATACATCTCAGGGCCTCGCATAGGCTTGACTGGTTGGGGGTCTCCTCTGCGTACATAGCTTGAAAATAGTGGGCCTTCCCCGATAGGCGAAGGTATCTTGATTTTGCGTATAGTCCCTTTGTTGTACTCGTTCACCAACTCATCAACAGAATCAAACGTTTGATTGTTGTAAATGACTTTCAAGACTTTCCATTTTCTGACATCTGCACCTGAGTGATCAACTAACAACTGAAGGTCTAGGGGATGACTGTATTCGCCTGTAACCTTGCGAATGAAAAAAATCCACGTGTATCGATCTTTACTAGTAAAACCCATTGGTGCAGTGAAAGAAAATGAAAGGCACTTATCAGTGCAATTGGTGTAGGTGTAGCCATCATAACTCTCTCGCATTAGCTTTAAGAGAGCTTGAGACGCATTGTTTATGATTGCCTCATTCAAAACGTTACCCTCTATAGAGCCGTCAAAAGGACGAGCATTGAAGGGCACGAAATCTCTAAGCTTTCCAGGAATGTTTCTTATTTTGTGGTTATTGGGATTAGTGACAGGAGAGATGATATATTCCCTTACCATAGGCGGGAATGTAGCACCATGAAACACGATCGCGATAGCTTTCCTTTTAGGCTTAGGACCGTCTCCGTCCAGATATGCGAGAGCCTCATTTTTAGAGGGAGGCAACAACTTTACAAGATAAATATAGTTGCTATTGACAGTGGCTTCTTCATATCTCGTGAGGTTCAGTTCAGTTTGCATCAAAAGATAATCTCTAACGGATGTGATCTCAAAGACTGTAAGGTCATCAAACACACCAGCAGACTTGGGTGGCTCTGAAGGATTCGACATTCCATCTGCGCATGAAGGTACAGAGGCATTTCTTATGGAATCTGGGCTTTTGTTTTCATTTGGTTCTGCTTTGGTTTTGCTCTGCTTTGTGACTATTACTATCAAAGTAATAAGCAGCACAACACTAATCAAGATAAAGACAATAGCCAGCACTTTCCATTTGAAGATCGGTGCCACGCTTGATGTACTGGACTTTTTCTCGATCATTGGATCGCTAGTATCCCTGTCTAACTCTTGCATTATCGTCTTTCTAGTAATGAAAGAAAAGGCGTAAATGCATGCCGTTAGATCAGTAGATGTTCTGTTACTGTGTTGCATTTCTGACACAAATCGCATGGCAAAAAATACCGTAAAATTCCGAAAATAAGCCCCGGGGCTTATATTTTTCAAAGGCCCTTTTTGAGGGGCTTATTGTTGGAGGGGCTTATATTCGGAGGGGCTTATGTACGGAGGGAAATTTGCGTTTAAAAATCGATTAGGCTAGCCTTATTCTTGGTAGGAAATTTACCGTTTTTCTTTGTTTTACTTTGTATTTGAGGGCAATTTCCAAGTACAAGCCCCCCAGGGGGCTTATCATTTGGAGGAGCGATTTAACGGAGGGTTTTTTGCGTTACGAGTTTGGGGGGCTTATATTTGGAGGGACTTATACATGGAGGGGCTTATATTCGGAATTTTACGGTATGTAAAAAAAACCCCTAAGCTCTTGGGTTTATTGTCTCCCCAGGGTTTGAACTTGACCCTGAATTTTACAAGGCTTAATGAAATAAGTGATCTCGTTTTATGATAAGGTATTCGAACATTCTCAACGATCGTTTTTAGATTTTCAATCGCTTAGTTATTTAGGTGGACAATCTCGATTTTGTGCTTCAATTAGAAGGTGAATCCCAATGAAGAGGTTGCATGCTGACGCTTCTACATCCTGATTAAATATACAAAGTGAAAACAGGAATTTCGTACAAGTTACGAGTGCGTGTAATCATCACACACCCGGGATCACACACTACGTCCAACGACGGATTATATCAAAATTATCGGCATGTAAGCTCAAGTCAAAATCAGCGGAGGAGCTATAATATCTGGTCAGGTACGCACGCGCACAGAGTCAGTTTCCACATGACAGTGGATGAACAAGCAAATCGGCGACATTTTGTGGGAATCGAATCATTTCAGTGCATTAGGACTTCTCGTATTGAGAAGCATGTATGTTTAATATTTTTTCAAAAGCAGTTACAGACAGTTAGGCTTTCTAAATACAGAAAATGTTTGTAAACCTACCTGCAAAGAGTCTACAAACAGACGTCTTCCACACCTCGGTAAATAGAAGGCGGCGCGGCGCAAGACACAGACAAAGACAAGACGTGACAATTAGTAGTCACGCAGTCATGGGTTTTCTATGCTAAGGTGGAACTTGTGTTCATGGGACACACCCTCGTGGGACCGAGGCAAGTCTCCCCTGAATAGAGGTTGGACTGGGGTTTGTTTATAATTAACCAAGAAAGACAACATAAAAAATCTTGGTGAATTCACACCAGTGCATAACATCGATTTAGGTGAGATAGTTCTGTTTGTGAAATCTTCCGATATCTCGTGATAAGTCGGTACACTTAAAAATATCAGCCCTCTTTGTGGTCAGTCACTTTCAATCATTGCTAAGAGGTCCTTTGAAAGGAGGCTAAACCTTGGTTTTGGGACCCAGGAAAAGTGTCCCTTTCCCTTAATAGAGGTGTCCCTTTAATAGGCTAATCCTTGTTTACATTTTTTGCCTCATTAGCATAGGCCTATCATTATGTTATGAAGCTAATAAAATGAAATTTCTGAATATTGAAAGAGCATAACAATTTCAGTTATCTCTGAAAATTTGAGCCCGATATACCAATGCAAATAGTTTCGGAGAAATTCTCTTTGGAAAATCCCAAAAGTTATAAAAATGTATGATCCTCATTAACGTTTTGCCACCCAGTAATTTTGCAGTTTTTAATTGCTGCTATTTTCTTTCCTACTGATTGCAAAGAGCTGAAACTTGCACAAACTGCATAAACTAACCAGCTCTTTTAGTTTTTGAACCTAATTGATATATACTGCTACATCTTGTATGGGTTAACTAATGAGCAAAAATGTGAACAGTGACGTCACGATGAATCCGCCTATAGAGGTAATAAAAAACAAAGAATATGTGGGCGTATTTCCTTCACTAAATAATGACTAAGCGCCTTGAATAGAAGCGTCCTGAAGGAGAGGTTCCTTTTGCTTTCATATGCTCCCCTTTGTTCAAGAAATATTGGTTTATTGTGATAAATGGCTGAGTTAAACGCTGAATACCAGGTTAGAGCCTCATGTAGCCTACATACATCTGCGCTGAGCCGTTTTATATGCAGTTCTGAGGGGGAGGGGGGGGGGGTTACTCAAAAAAGCTTTATACGGGGAGGTTCCTCCCTGAGGTACATTCTCTTACCCTTTTATATACCATTTTTGACAGGGAAGGTTCCCCTTTTGTATACCTTCTGTTAACAAATGGCACCCCTCTCACATACCGTGTTTAGAACTTTGCATCCCTTTCAACCACAGAAAATGAGCGGAATTTAAAATGTAAATAAATCCAAGAGCCATTCAGTGGCTGTTGATAAATCACAAAACCAGAACGAAGCATCTGATAGTCCTTTTGGGCCTTTTAACAGACCACAACTCGGACAGATTTCCCTTCCCTTTCGTATTGACGTCAAATCATTGAAGTCTGCCCTGAATTTGTCCTGAGCCGGGGCAACCTCGTCCCCAGGGGCCGAGGTTGGAGCCGGGGATTTCCTTGACAGAGTTGTGATACAACTTATTTCAGTATATTTAATTTACTGTATATCTTAGGTTAATTTTTGTGTGATTAATTCTGGGATAGTTTCTTTTAGTACACAATTTTTAGCATTAACGTAGTTCTAGTTTCTCTTAAAATTTGTTGCACGGCTCGCTGAGAGGAGAATTTTTAATGAAGTGAGACCGTGAATGAAGCTTTTGATTGATTGAAATCCCTACCCTTTCATATACCTGGAGCCTAAAAAAGGTACCCCTCACGGGTGGAACCTCCCCGTACAGGCCATTACAGGGAGTACCCCCCTCCCCCCGAGGATGCTGTTACGGCCATATTTAATCAGTGTCATCAAACGTTTAACACAAAAAGCCGGTTAGCTTCAATTTAACAACAACCACGATGTATTTATTTACATAACTATAAAGTTTACAATACTTTATGCCCCGCAAATAGCTATAATGCTGATGTACGTTAGACAAAACTTTAAATAAAGGCGATATTGAATTACATAAGAAAAAAGGAAAAGAAAAGAAATACAATAACATACAGGGAGAAACACCTTACATATTCAATTCAAGTACAGGGAGTTTGTCATTTGAAAATAGACTAAAATTACAACTGGAGGTATATACAACTAATTTGGTATCAGGTTAACATTCAACTGTAATTATTTTGAATTCATTATCTAGAACATGAAGGAATAATGATTTAATTTTTTTACGAAAATTAGATATGTTGAGAGTTTTAACAGAAAGTGGAATAGAAGTCCAAATAGACACATCCATTCTAGTAAAAGACTTTTTCATTTTTTTCAGTTCTAGAAAATTTGACAGAGAAACATTCCTTTGCAGATAACCGAACATTATGGCGCGACATGTAATTTATATCGAGGCGTGGTACGCACGTGATATTCTGCTGGGGTTGGCTTATACCAGGCACGGATTCGATACTAGCATTGGTTTGGCCAATCAGGTTTAAGTAGGTCACATGCCTAGTATATGAAAGACAGTTCCATCGAGATATCGGATTGAACAGATCCCCAGAAAAACTTTTTCCCGCCTCCTCCCCATTTCACCACCTCCCAGCGATTTATCACGTTTCACCCTGTTGCTTCGATAGTATCACTTTTTAAGGCTGGCGGTATTTTGTCGCCCCATTTGTGAACAAGACATCATATACGGAAATGTTTATTTCTGTGTTTGAATTTTGCTAATTGTTGGATTAAAACTAGCCACAATCGTGGCCAAATTTATTCCAACAAAGTTGTTTCTTATTGCTACTTCCGGGCGAATTAGCTCTTACGTGGTTTCTCAACAAAGCTCGCCCCTTTTAGGTGGGTCACTTTAGATCATATTTTACATTCAAACACGGCTCGATATAAAATGATGTTTTGTACTGATTTTCGCAAACTTATCGAGAAGACTTTTAGGAGCTGTCTTAGCATGGACGTCATACATCAAATAGTAATGTAATATGATGTCTCCTAACGGCGGATCTAATAAAAGGATTGTTTATCTGATATTTATTGTAGTCTTATTTTAAATATAACGTTAGTCTGTTCCAGGCGTTCGAATAATGGAGTGATAGCGGAGTGCGTTTTTTTTCTGCTCACATGTCTGTCCCCAGGATCTGAACGCTTGGAACAGGCTAATATAACGTAGACTTGGCGTGCACTAGTTTTCATTCAAAGAGCGAAACAGAAATGGACTAAATAAAGTGATAGTTAGTTATTGCGATCGTGAAATGTTCAGCGCCCCGTTTAGTAATTTATCACACCTTTCGTTAAGTAGTACATTGCTCAATTTTTCTTCTGTTTCGCTGTTTCCTATCACAATTCTTAACGGTTTTGGTCCTTAAAGCTTAAGTGACCTTCAGTCGTCTACTTGCCATTTGAGACGGGTATATATAGATACATGCAAAACTTTGCACTGAATAGTACATGGGATTTTAGAGCATCTTTAAAACGTCTTTGAAGCTTAAATTGCTCTCACAATTAAAACATTCAGTCCTTGCTCCGCCTCAAGTCAATGTTAGCTGTTCTCAGGATAATCCTGCGATTGTCTAGTACCTATTTTGGGGACAGTAGACTTGTCACCAGAAACCAAATTCCACTGTGCTTGTCCTTGTGTAAGCCCAGCTTGTGGCCCGATATTTCCCTGCGTTGTCTACTTCTCATGTACACTTTCCTTGTGCTTGAGAGACCTGGAAAACCACAATGCAATTCCCGCGTTGATAAGCATAACTATCAGGGCTGCGCCAACGGTGTTGAAGAAAGATACGTCAGCGGTTGTGTCTCCCCATGCGCCTTCCCGCTTTCTCCAGGTCCTCTTATGCTTGACATCAGATTCAATAAGTTTGAAGGCAAATTCTGTGCTCAAGGCAATCAAGACATGCATAAAATGATGGCTGTTACCGACCAGATCAAATCGTCCTGGGAGAAGGCGTTCCGGTAACCTGGTACTGTACATAAGACCTGCTAAAACAGTGCAAAAAGCGTGACGGAAATAGTAACTAACAGATGCACTGTTGCATGCAGAGAAGGCCATGCATGACGTGCTACTTTGTTGGCAACTACAGAGTGTCACGCCAACTATAAATGGTGAGGTGGTATTCAACCAAGCTACAAGACACGAGGTTGTACGGAGGAAGATACTGTATTTAAAAACTTTGTTTCCAGTCTTACAGCTGCTGTATGTCGAGAGGAAGGAAAGAGTTGCCGCTAAACTTATGTATACAGAGGGTATCTCAAAGATGATCCAGTTGGTGTTTGTAAAAGAACATGGCCTGAGCTGATGTGAAAGTATACAGGCTGATGGCTGCGTAGTCAAAGAAAAAGCAGATTCTGTAACCGCGCTCAGATATGGAGTTGAAAAGATGCGCCATAGAGCTGGTGGAATAAACACTTAGCGTTCCAATAGCAGAAGCAAAAAGCGGCAAATTAAATGGATCAAAGAGATGAGGCGTTTGGGTGAGAGCAGTCGTAGAATAGCGTATTACAAAGAAAACTGTGGTGAAAATGTGGCTCCAAACGTTAAAGCTTTCGTTGTTAAAGTAGAACAAACTCTTAACACACTCCCAAGGTGTACTATAAGCTCGTCGGTATGCTGACGTAATAAAGCGCTCACGAAACCCTTCAGGCATTTCACAGTCTTTGAAGAGCAGCCTCATGCTGTCTTTTTCAGTGAGAGCTGTCCTCTTTTTTCCCATTTTTGTTGCGCTCAGCTTTGGTTCCCTAGCTGGCTCCCCGGCTCTTGTTGACATCCTATCAAACAAAAGAGATGTGCACTGTAATTTTCAGGGAGTTATAATAACTCCTCTAGTGGGGCTAATTTAACTCCTTACAGTGGAGTTATTTTTCGTGGAGTTATTTTAACTTCGATCCAAAAAGGAGTTTAAAGAACTCTTTTTCAGGAGCAAAGTGACCCCAGATATTGAGGAGTTAAAATAACCCCAAAAAAGGAGTTATCCTGTACCTAAAATTTTTAGTCCACTTTCAGAGTTAAATTAACTCCAAAAAGAGTAAAAACAACCCATGTAAGGAGTACAAGTAATCCCATTTCGGATTAATTTTAACTCCAGACTGGGAGTAAAAAGAACTCTTTTTCAGGAGTAAAAATGACCCCAAATTCGGAGTTAAATTAGGAGTTAAAATAACCCCAAAAAAGGGGTTATACTGTACCTAAAATTTTTACTCCATTTTTGGAGTTATAATAACTCCCTAAAAATTACGGTGTGGACTGTTAATCTATGATTCTCATATATTATAGCATCCTTGCTTTACTTTTTTTTTTACAAAATCATGAAAAAGCAAACACCTATTAAGGAACAAGTTTTCGCGTTTTTCCTTTCTAGTCAGCTTTCATGTAGAAAAAACAAAATGAACTTCTGACATCTCTAGGGAAATGCGCCTAAATAAACTGAGGTCTGTAGAAACCTGTCATTTTATTTGCCTAACTTGAATTAATTTGTCAGGTTGATCAACGTCTCAAAATGTTAACATGTATTGTCCCCTGTCTAAGAGTTCAAATTTTCTGCACTCTGGAATAAAAAGTAGTTTACGATATTTGAAACGAAAATCACAAATCCCAGCTCAATGTTCAATGACTCGGAGCAAAGGTCATTGGTGTTACGCATTGTTCTAAAACCCATAGGTAATATGCCAACGCTGTGACAAGTGGTTGCCGAGTAGTTATGGCGCCGGCCTTACAAATAGAGAATTAATTACAGAACCTATACTGACTTGAAGTTCCACTTGAAATAATTCGCTGCCGGCTACTAGGAAAATATTCCCACAGGGACACGGCTGCATTAAACACTTTTTTCGTTTATTAAAACAACTGTATAGCAACGCTGAGAGACCCCTGAGCCCAGAAGGTTGAATTTAAAGTGTACAGTTTTAACTTTAAAAATATAAGGCGTGGCTAATGCCTCAATGTCCACTGTAAACAATCGCAAGTTTATTTTACAGTAGAGCTAAAATATAAACAACAGTGGGTGCTTCTTAATACTTGCAGTCAAGAAAAATTCTGAAATACGATATTTCAACGAAATCAGTTTAGACGGACCGAGGAGACACTGATCTGAATTTGCTAACAAAATATCCCTACAGCTTTGGTCAGTTATGTTTAGTATCTTATGCTGCCACGTAAAATTTGTCATAAGCTAATGGTTGTCAGTTTTATGTTGTATGAAAATATTAATGCAACTGCATTGTACACGTACATATTTTTCTTGCATAACTACTCAGCGAAGCCCATAATTTATATTTTCACAACATAGAAAAATGACTTTAAAGAGCCCTAAAACCCAGGAGCGAAGGGCAGATATTCGCTACATTTTGTCTTCTATGATTCGAAACAAAGCATTAAATTCTTTGCATTCAACGTAATGCTTTTTCAGTTGTTATATAAGTATTTTAATCATAACCTCAAAACTTACCTAGCAAATAACAACTAACTTACCTAAGAGTTATAAAGCACACTCTCTCGTTTGTAGCTTAAGACTCTGCTGTGGTTACGTGTTTGCCGGTTTCACGCATTTATTGGCAATTTAATACATATCTTGTTCATCAACCTTCATCAATATTTACAACACAAAACAAATAATTACCAATTCTGACAAGGTCGAACAACCCGCAGTGAACACGCAACGTTTGTAGTTCACTGCACACACAAGCATGCCAGTGAATGAAAGTGCGCACATATACCATACTTGAGCTAGTAAATTGAGTGAGATGTTTCCGGCGCCCCCGCATGCCGTGGATATTTGATGGGAAAGCTTCATCATCTTTAAAAGTTTCAAGTTTAGAGAACCAAGTCTTGGAGTACTGTTGAGTGATTATTATTATTATTAATATTATTTTTATTATTATTCTTTTTATTATGTCCATTCCTTGTAGGATGTTCGGGCTGGTTTATAGTCCTTGGGAGTGGGTTACAAGTCACCACGGGTCCTACAATCTTGGACAAAAATGTTAAGAAAAATGCACGTTGTATGTGTAATGTGAAAATACTTCCCTCTAAAGCTCGGTTCACTCAAGATACTCCCCCCCACTCCCGAACATTTTTACTGCCTACTAAACAACATTGACCAGGGAGGGGTGGGGGGAGGGGTCACCATGGTGCCAAATTCGCAGAGTAGGTCTCCTGTGTGTAGGAAAGAGCAAAATTCTTAACACTTTTTGTCCAAGATTGTAGGTGTCTCTTTTCCTTTTTCTTACAGGAACAGTACTTTCCTTAATATTGTTGTTATTATTATTATTATTATTATTATTATTATTATTATTATTATTATCTTCTTCTTTTTTTTTGAATAACTGACACTGATTTGACAACACCGATGAAATGTTTTATATTGAATATTTCAAGCCCTTCAAGTCTGGAATAACTACATTATGCATTTGCATTTAAAAACAAATTATGAGGACCAGTCATAGGCTACTGGAGCCCAAACAAACTTACATACATCTGCGATGAGCCATTTTTCTTTTTTCATGCTGAAGAACAACGTTCAATCATGCAGTTCCTTCAAAAAACGTTTTTAATTAAAGCCAGTTAATTACCTCAAATGTTCAAGCTATACTGTAATGTAATGTCTCTTCCAATATACAATGCGGAACAACGTCGATGAACACTATAATAGTGTTTAGAAATTGTCTTCCTCTGAGTCTTGCATCTACGCAATTTCTGTACTTTAAAAACAGCAACGCAAACTAAGGCTAATAACCCTACTGTTTGTCTAAGAATAGTGAGTTCACGCAACAGAACGGCAGGAAGAAGAGGACGGCAAAACAGCTGTGTGTGACAAACGTGACAGGGCTATCACTTGTGGGTTTTGTCGTGATCTTCACTTAACACCAAGGTTTTCTGGCCCTTTACAAAAAGATCTGTTTAAAGGAAAGTGAAGTTTGGCGAAAAGTCGTTTCAAATAAAATTATTGTCACGCTTGTCACACAAGGTTTGCCGTCTTCTTTCCCCCGGCTCCCGTCCTGTTGCGTAAGTTCACTATTTATTGTAATAGGACTGTATGATTATAACCTATTCCTCTCTTCTTACAAGGGAATCCAGATTACGGAAAATGGGAAAGTTTTGCTTGTGGAATCCGGAGTTCGGGAATTTTGGCTTGCAGAATCTGGAACCCTAAGCTTTAAAGCACCGAATACAGCTTAAGGAATCCGGAATCGCACTAACGATTGGAATCCGGAATCCGCGGTTTTAAATCCACAATCTAGTCCTGTCTTGGATTACCTGACATTATACACTTAATGTCAGATTCCGAGAGAGAAAGTTAGTTTTGGTTTCCCGAGAGTTCTGATGTTCCCGAAACGAAGTCGAGGGAAACATCAGGACTCGAGGGAAAACAACACCAACTGGTTTCTCGAGGGACCTGACATTAAGTGTTTGTTATATTTCTAGACTTTCACTTCAACAGCAACAAAAGAATAACCGGAGCTAATCAAAACAGTCCACTCGGTACTTATAAGAACACAAATTCTCAAAACCACTGAATGAATGATTTACAAAGTATTTCCTTATATTATATGCATTTTTCCTCCACTAGCTGCTGTTTCTCTCCCGGGATAACTTTGAAAATCGTTACTACCTTGAGGCCTTATGTTCGTGTTGTTGAGTTCATTCACGAAATTTAAAACTGGCAGACGGTATTTTTCCCGCCTTCTTTCGCGCCACTTTCTAGCATGCTTTGATCACGTGCAGTAATGTATCCCGAGCGGGGTGCAATTGCTGAAATGTATCACGATCGGGATACATTTGATTTTAGTCAAGGCCATCTGAGCAAGAATCAACCAATGGTAGTCCCTGTTTAGTTGAATGAAAGTATAGGAATAGTATAACAGCGGGTATCCTGCGAAAACATCCGTTTCTCCTCGCTCTTCGTCGATGGGGACGTTTCGCGCTAAACAGCGGGCGATATTCCTAGAGAATAGTGATACACTTGTCACTAGAAACCATATTAGACTATGCTCGTGTGGATGCCCCCGAACAGGCTTGATCGACTGTACCCCTGCGTGTTTTCACTTCTCATGTACACTTTCCTTGCTCTTGAGAGACCTGGAAAACCACAATGCAATTCCCGCGTTAATAAGCATAACTATCACAGCTGCGCCAACAGTGTTGATGAAAGATACGTCAGCAGTTGTGTCTGCCCATACGCCTTCCCGCTGTCTCCAGGTCCTCTTATGCTTGATATCAAATTCAACAAGTTTGAAGGCAAATTCTGTGCTCAAGGCAACCAAGACATGCATAAAATGATGGCTGTTACCGACCAGATCAAAGCGTCCTGGGAGAAGGCGTTCCGGTAACCTGGTACTGTACATCAGGCCTGCCACAACAATGCAAAAAGCGTGACGGAAATAGTAACTAATAGATACGCTGTTGCATGCAGAGAAGGCCATGCATGACGTGCTACTTGCGTGACAACTACAGAGTGTCACGCCAACTATGAAGGGTGAGGTGCTATTCAACCAAGCTAAAAGTACCGAAATTGTACGGAAAAAAGTACTGAATTTGTTTACTTCGGCTCCAGTCTTACAGCAGCTGTAAGTTGCAAGGAAGGAAAGAGTTGCTGCTAAACACAAGTATATGAAGGGTATCTCAAAGATGATCCAGTTGGTGTTTGTTGGACGAATGTAAAAGAACATGGCCTGAGCTGATGTGAAAGTATACAGGCTGATGGCTGCGTAGTCAAAGAAAAAGCAAGTTTTGTAAGCGCACTCAGATATGGAGTTGAAAAGATGCGCCACAGAACTGGTGGAATAAACACTTAGCGTTCCAATAGCAGAAGCAAAAAGCGGCAAATTAAATGGATCAAAGAGATGAGGCGTTTGGGTGAGAGCAGTAGTAGAATAGCGTATTACAAAGAAAACTGTGGTGAAAACGTGACTCCAAACGTTAAAGCTTTCGTTGTTAATGTAGAACAAACTCTTAACACACTCCCAAGGTGTACTATAAGCTCGTCGGTATGCTGATCTGATAAATGGTTCTCGAAAACCTTCAGGCATTTCACTGTCTTTGAAGAGAAGCCTCTTGCTGTCTTCTTTAGTACAAGCAGTCATCGTTTTTTCGCGTTTTTGTTGCGTTTTCCTGTTTTTATCTTGCGTGTTCTTGTTCTTGCTTTTTCTGAACGTGTTGGCGTCGTATTGCTTTTTTCACAGTCAAGGAACTCAACCAGTTGATAAAAATCTGTTCAAACAAGATAGACATGTGAACTGTTAATGTATGATACCTATCATTATAAATATTTTTGCTTTTTTTTACAAAACTGAGAAGTAACGCTAACACCAGCTAACACAAAAATATACAAAACATACAAAACGTATAGCGACATCACTCAGCCACATTGCATTGCATTGCATTGCATTGCAGTTTTTGAAGTTCGCGGTGCCTTAAATTTCTTAGGCCTAGTGAGTTAAGTTCGTGAAAAGTTCGATGTCTGGCTAGTCTAAGTTCGTCTGAACGAGTTTGCGTCCAACACGTTCTATTCGTCTGCGTCAGACTGATAGAACGTCTTAAAACGTCTCCGGGAGAAACGTCGATCTTCACAGACGACGAACTATACTAAAATATTAAAAATCTGTATGATAATGTACACGTGCCTCGTTTGGTCTGATTCAGTTGATTGGTTTGACGCGTTGCATGTTCGACATCTGACCCAACAGACCATCTTAACTTAATTTAGGTCGACTCAAATTAGAGTTTGGTTCGTCTCGTTTGGCCTAGGCCTTAGTATGTTACATTAAGCAGAAGTCACGCTCTGCTGCGATACAAAGTACGTGTTTGGCAAGGATATTGTAACTAGAAATGGCTACATTCGCTGTCTTGGTAACGAGGTAATCTAGCGTTACACTGACACCAGGTTTGTGACATCGATGCAAAGTTCTTGTAATTAACCGCCTTTACGCAGGATCAAGATTTAAGCCCGTGAACTGTTAAATTAGATGGTGTGTCTAGTTCTGAATCCAATTTAAACACCCACCAAGATATAAATTATGTACACTTACACAGGTGTTTAATATGTCGTTTATGTAGTTCTCAATAATATTCTGAAACGAGAATAAAACCTCGGATAATGTGATGTTTTTCTTCTAAGATAACCTGAGTAACTAAGGCAACTCTAAGTCGCAATAAAGCGGCATAAAACAAGTAAGACTCTGTTCTTTAAAAAGCCCAGTTTACTAATAGCTTTCGGCAGATGAATTTGTCGATCTTTGTAGTCTGTTCAAATTTTCTTCAGTCCGAAGCAAAGATTAGTCTACGAAAAATATAGACTGCGATCAGTCCCTCAGGATCGTCACGCGAGCAAGGAAATCGAGCGAAGCGAGTGAAAAAAAAAACAAGAAGCCGAGGGGAAGCTCCAGTTTCCCTCTCGGCCTTTTCGCCCTCTCCAGTCCTGCCGAGCTTAGACTCGACTGACTGAAGAGGGACTGCTCGCAATCTACGAAAAATAAAAACAGTTTTACTTTTTTCATTTGTCCACTGTTCATCATTCTAAAAGTTTAAGAAATTTCCAATTGAACCTGTGATAAGCCGAGTTAGGATCATTAAACAAATGTTAATCAAATCACACCAAAAGGTCTATAAGCAACGTGGTGGCCGAGTAGTTATCAACCCGCGAACCGCAGACGTATTTCCGGTCGTCGCGTCTCTACCTAATTCGGAAGAAGAGAAGCGACGACCGGAAATACGTCTGCGGTTCGCAAGCTAAGTAGTTAAGCCTTATAATTACCAAAAGAAATAATTAGAGAACAGCTGACTTGAATTTGAAATAATCCGCCGACTAGTCTCAGTAGATATTCGCGCAAGGACCAGTGTACTAAACCCCTGACTAAACCATTTTTGCTTCAGTTAAAAACAAGCCGCGGCAACGTTGAGAAAACGCTGAGTCCAACAGGTTGAATTTTAGGCTAGCCCACACTATCAGATACCGGATAGATTTTGCGCCGGCAGCGAAAACCGGATTCTGTTCGCGCATAAGAAGGGTGATTTGGGCGCGATTTCTATAACGGACGGAAACTGCGCCCCGCTAATCTCTAAACTGAGTGGAGAGTAGCAATGTGTTCGTAATATACCGGAAAGGTTTTCGTGTCGGCATGAAACTCGGTATCTTGAGAGTGTGAATAGCCTTAGACTCGCATAGTTTTAAGTTCAAATATAAGGCATGTTGAGCCATTGTAAACAACATCGCAAGCTTATTTTGTAACATGGTTAGAATATATACAGAAGTGCATGGTAACTCTTAATACTTGCAGTAAGAAGAAAGTGATAAAGTTCAATTTTAAGGACTGATCCGAGCAAAGAGACTCTTTTGAACATGTATGTTAAAAGTCCCGAGGAACTGAACTCTGGCTCTCAGTTCAACAAAATATCCTAAAGCGTTGGTCAGTTAACAAAGAAAATAATCTGAGAGAATAATACCGCTTTACATAATCACTTGCAATGCCTCTCACAAGGAAAAGTTTAATTTTTCTTACATGCCGGCATCGGATAACTAACTGGACGAAACGCCGCGTCTGTCTCATCATGACGGGTAAAATTTTGCCATAAGCTAATGATTGTTTTTATGTCGTTTAAAAATATTGATACTAGGCTACAGTGTACACGTATATTTTTTCTCGGTTGGATAACTGCTCAGCAATGGCCACAATAAATATTTTCACAACATCAAAAGACTCCCTAACTGAACCCCGGCCGTAAGGTTTTAGTCTAGTGCATGACAGCACCGAAAAGCGAAGGTTATAAACTGCGAACGTACAATATTCAGTACAATTTGCCTTCTGTGATTCAAAACAAAGCAAAATTTGCATTCAACATAATGCTTTTTTTGAGTTGGGAATATAAGTCATTTTCGTACGTAGTTATGTATTTTCAATAAACCAAGAAACCAGTCCAACTTACCCAGTAAGAAATAGTAAGTAGTACCCGACTCTTACACTCTAGTGCTTGTAGCTAGCTGACCAAAGAACCTCGGCAGGCTGACTGCATGGTTACGTATTTAACAGTTTACGCAAATTAGCGCCTACGTTGCTCATCGACGTTCATCAATATTTACAACACAAAACAAATAACCAATTCTGATAAGGTCGAGCAACCCGCAATTGACATGCAAGCGTTTACAGTTGACTGCGCAAAAGCTGTAAATGAGAAGTGCCTCACAATATATACTATATGCTTTATTAGTGAGCTAGTTGAAGGTGATAAGACTATCTAAACCCCTCCGCCTTCTTTGTCACTTATTTGAGTTTTGCATTCATTAAAATAATTCAATTTCATTTTATTAATTAAAAATAAAAAGATCTGTTGGGCTTGTTTTTGTAGCTAACTAGACAGAAGGTTCTCGGTTAATGCATTAACTGAGCCATATTTTCAACCACCGATTTTCACGAAGCTGTAGTTTGTAATATCCTGGCTTTAGTACACTTATATGATACTTGATGGGCCCCCAGTCTTTAAATATTGTACCTACCCTACCCTGCCCACCCATCCCCTGTCCACCTTAGCTCCTGTTTACAGAGCACTATCGTATTGCGTAAGAACAAGTTACGCGTTCGTGCCCTTAGTATAACAGTACAGGCCGGCCATCTTGCTTCAGGACCCCGGCTTAAGACCCTCTTTAAAGACACTCGCAGAGGATTGATGGTACGATCCCCCTTCTAGCCGGGCAAACGTTTCTCCTTATAAACACTTTGGCCGCTCACTCAGTAGCCTGTTCCAGGCTCCGAGATGGTGATGGAAAGTCGTTCAGTAATAAGAAAAGCAAAAAAACGCGCGGGGGCTGGGGAGAGTCGTGCGCGTCTTATTTTCACGTTGTTCGTTTTTTAAAATTTTAAGAATCTGTTTTAGAGTTAAGAGGTCGGGGTATTTTTTAAGTTTTAAGAATGCTGTTTTAGAGTTAAGGTTAGCGTTAGCGTTAGGGCTAGGTTAGGGTTAGTTTTAACCCTAACTCTAACCCTAACCCTTAACTGTATTTTTTTTTAAAAAGTTAGACCCCGAGCCCGCGTTTACGGACACCTGAGACATTCGCTGTATTAGACACAATCAGAGCATGCACGAGCGCTGTTAGCTGGGACAAAGGGGTGAATTTTTTGTCACAGAGGCTCGTTTAAGTTGACACGGCTGGGAGGGGAGGATGACCAGGTTATCTCCTACAGCTATTTTGAGACAGGTTGTCGCAACAAAATGTGTACGCCACAATCCCGAAACGGGTAATATAGGATATGATCAATACACTGCTCCTGACACTGTAGCTGTTAAGCCCACTTTTGTTGCTTCGGCTTTCAATTAGCACTCGCATACGTCCATGGCCTCTCGTACCATTAACTTTCAAATTTCTTTGAAAAACAGTGAACTCCGTCAAACCAACCAATGAACAATACCTTTCGGGATTGTCGCGTGCACTTGTTTCCGACAACCTTTCTCGAAATAGCTGTAAACGACGGGACCTTATTCGTTCTTTGAGGTTGCAAACAGGTGATTCCTTTTGCAATGGACTTTTCTTGCGTTATGTTAAGTTAAGTATGCAGGCGAATATTCATTTACATTTTCCTCATTAACATATGCCTACGGTTGTCTGATCAAGCTTTTAAAATAACACCTCGGAATATTGAGAAAGCATAGCAATATATATACAGTATAAGGAATGTCACTGCGGAGTAATTCTCCCTTAACTTGCAGGATTTTTTTAGATTTTACATGTAGAGAGTATAAAATGGCATAAATTCCTCATCGACAAGTTAAATTGAGCCCAAGTTCGTCTTGAGAACAAAAGGAAATAACAAATGAAACTATAAGCAAGATGAAGAAATCCAAGGTTTGGTCATAACTCTCTCTGACTAACTTCCCAATTCCCACTTCCTACTTGTAGATTTAGACGGCATTTTAAAAATGTGTGCAAATTTATTCCAATTACGGTACTCCCTAGAGTATTGATTAAAGGTTTACATTTTGATCGAAACCTTGGTTCGAAATAAGCGAAGCTAGAGAAAATGTGCGCTTTTCAGGAACTTGAAGCAAATTTCGAGAGTTGAACTTTGTGAAGGGCATAGTTCAAGTTGTTAAT